TACTTTCTTTGTTTTTTCAGGATCTATATTCATTTATTCTGATTAAATGATATATCTTAAGAATATTACTTTTTATACTCCAAACTTGTATTTCGATAATTTGAATCTTGAATTTATTCTTTTGAATACTTCGAGTATTTTCAATATATATCTTTTATATTCCTTCTTTTTCTAAAAGAAAACTAGAATATTATTTAGATAATAGATTACAAACAAATTGAACTTTTTAAATATCTTGTTGTTTTGTTATTGATATATAATTAATATATTAATTAATCCGAATAATATAATTATATATTCTTATAAATTTAATAATAGAATAAAGATTATCTTCTATTTATAACCCTTTTTTATTTATATCAAATTGAAAATATTTCTTTGATCTAATTTCATATAGATTATAACTTTATTCAACTTATCTCTGAATTTCTAAACTTTTAATATCAAATATACATCTTTGATTATTCCATCGTTAACTCAATAATAATCTCTACAAAATCAACTATCTGGATCATCTTTTTTAAATATCAATAATATATTAAATATACAAAAGGATTTGGATTTCCTAATTTATCCTTTCTTCTTAATCTTAATCCTATATTCTTTTTATATCTGTATAATATTAAAGTTATATAACTTCAACTTTTCAATAAAAAATACAAATCCCTTTTTGAAGTTGATCTTATAATCCTAAAATTTATATTCTAATAAAACTTTTAAATCTTAAAAATTCTCGAAGAGTTTGATGAATCTTTTATATTATATTGAAATTTCTTTTTTATCGATTTTATTGATTAATAAAGGATTTATTACTATTATAATATAATATTCAATCTTTTGAGAAGTTTGTTTCTTTAGATTATATAATCATTTGTTATTACAATTACAACAATTGAATATTAAGATATCTCTTATTCAATCGATATTTGAATTATATTTCTTAATTTATAAGATATTGAAAACAATTATATATTTACTTAATAACATTAAATCCATCTTAACTCATTTGATATACCTATTTAATATAATTATCTTAATAATACTAATTTCTTTATATACTCAACTATCAATTTCAGTTTTCTTTCTTTCTAATAATATCAGTTAATAAAAATCCTGTTTTAATTCTATAGGAATTCTATTTTCTCTCACAAAGTTGAAATCCATGAATATACCTATAGTTCTGAAATCAATCAAAATATTGATCTATTGATTCTTTAATTTGATTTTTATAATTAACTATTCGATTCCTATAATACTATTTAATTCTAATGATAATAATTCAACAATTTGTTTTTCGATAAAGAGATTTAATTATTCATACTGATATTTGTTTATATTTAATAATCAATAAAATATAATAAATAATAATTCTATTAATTTTGTTTGAAAATCTTGATAATAATTTTGATTTGATATTTCTTTATTATCTTTATCGATCCTTTATTAAATACAACGAATCCTGATTTGTAATAGGATCTTTTATATATCCTCAATTTCCAAACTATATTTATTATATTCTTATACTTCATTGAAGAATAAAGAATTTATATTTATAATATACTTTCTGATATTGTTTGCCTTAATATTTTCTTTAAATACTATACAATAAATATTATTATATATTATTATATAAAGTATTAATAAAATAAAATAATTATAGATTTTATAATTCTTAATAAAATCAGGTTTCTTCTTTTTATAATAATACTATATCTGTTTCTTATCTAGATAATTAATTAAATATTATAATTCATTTTCTTAAAACAAATAACAGGATTCAATTGATTATTGATTCTCCTCGAATTTCTTAATTGATTCCTTCTTGAATTCCTCGATTAATTCCTTATCTTTTAATTCGAAATCTTTTGAAAGTTCTTTTTTGTAATCAATACTATTCTCAATACTAGTTTTAGGGTTTTAATTATTAATACTCAATTCTTTTAATTATTTAGGATTAGATTGAAATAGATCTTTTTCCAATAATTCTATTTCTTTTAAACTTCCTTTCAAGATCCTTGTTTCTCGAGAATCTTATTTTTTGTTTTCAAATCTTATCTGTTTTTTGTTTTTTGTAATAAATGGTTTCTTTTTTTAAGAACAATTTCGAAATATATATTTGTTTTTTTTATAAATAAAATATAAATTATTCTTTTTGTATCTTTTCTTTTCGTCAATATTTAGATTGTTTGATTTCATATAATATTATTCAGTATTATTCAATTCTATTGAATTATTGATATTTGTAACGATCTGGTTGGGGCAGCGGCTGCCTCAGGGTTTCGTCTGGTTGGTAGTTGTAGGTTAAGGCTAATAATCACTGGTTATCCACTCGAAGGTGAATACGTTACTAGATCAATTGGAATGTAGGTAAACTAATTGATAACTAAGTTGAGCACAAAGCTCCTAAACGATGAAACTATTCTGACTATATACTAATCTCTTTTCCCATGCTAGCTATGCTAGCTGGCTAGCACGGCTAGCATTCCTGTGATGCTAGCTCTGCTAGCTGGCTAGCAGAGCTAGCACATCACGTGACTGATCCTGAGGCCTCTCATATCCCAAGGCCTTTCCTTTCCTGGAACACTTGTCCCAGGAGCTTTCCCTCTAGGAACCATAGCCCTAGGATACGATATCCTCTAGGGTGATAGTCCCATTACAACCAATTAGGTAGGACACTTGTCCTACTCTACTATGGTTGCCTAGGATACTTTATCCTAGGAATCCTGGGGTCCTAGGCTTAGGTAATCAGGACCCCCGAAAGCAACGGTTAAATCACACCCCCTCTATAGTCGGCCTATAAATCACCGACGTCAATAATACTACTATAAAGAAAACCGTGAATCGTGACAATATTATAATATTTATTCTGATAATAAGGTTTTTAGAACTTTTTGTTTTCCTAAATTATTTCTTTCTTTTCTATTTGTTATTTATAAAATCGATTATCAATGAAAATAAAAGTTTCGATTAATTCGGAAAAATTAAATGATTTCGAAGCTTTTATTAATTCATCCTTAATAATATCTTTCAATTCTTTATAAAATTACAATTTTAGATAATTATTATCTTAAATAATATATTCAATATATTATTGAAATTTGATAATATAAATTGTGATTGATCTGGTTTATTTAAATTGTTGTAATACTTTTTCAGTTATATAATCGAGATCTATTTCTTTGAATATTTTATTGAATCCTTATTTAAACGATTCATAATTAAGAAATAAATAATAAATCTCAGATTTTATACTTTTGTTTAATTGATTATCGATAATTTTGATTATTAAATTATTGAAGAATAATTCAATTCAATTAAATATAATTCTTTAGAAAAAAAAGATCAATTATAAAATCCTTTATATAAAAATTAAGAAAAGTTATTTATTAAAAATATAATAAAGATCAATTTATATAACAAAAACTCGATATTTGTTATAATCTTTATAAAATAGATCAAGAATAGATATCTGAATTGTTTATCTATATTCTATAATAATAATAACCTGAACAAAAATTTTGATTAGATTGAATAAAGATAATTCGATAAATTATTAATTGGAAACTATTATATTATATATAGTTTAATTATAATGATATTCAAAATATAACAATCTGATCGAAACAATAATTACCTTAGATTTTTATATAATTAATAATTATAGATTAAGATTAATAATCATTAATTATTTATTCGAAAATGGATATATTATTAAATCAATTGGAATATAAATAAACTAATTGATAACTAAATTGAATATGAAACTTCTAAATTATAAAACTATTCTAATTATATACTAATCTATTTTGAGAATTTTCAAAAATCTATATTTCTAAAAGCTTCAAGAAGTTTACAAAAGCCTATATTCCTAAAAACTTTATTATATAATTAAAATTAGATTATATATCCGAGCTTATTGAAGGTAAAGAGATTATATAAAACGATTGCTATACAAATTTGTATACAAATTGCTTTGCTTTTCAACAAGATCAAAGCTTATAGAGATAGGTTGACTGTTACCTCGTGACACTCTATAAAATGATTTCGTGACAACAAGTTGCTTTGCTTTTCAGGGAGGTCTAAGCTCATAAGGACAGGTTGACTGTTACCCCGTAACATTCTATAAAATTATTTCGTGACAGATATATTATATAAATTATTTTAATAATTGTTATTGATAATTAAAGAGATAGAAATTTTATATTTAAAATTATATTTTAAACTCTTTATATAAATATATTTATATTATCTATTAAAATTATTAACTTGAGATAATTCAATATAATTCAATATTAATTAATTTGATAATTTATATTTATATTTATATTTAATATAAATTGAATTATACTTTTTATTATATTATTATTTATATTTTATAAAGATTTTTTGGAATATAAAAAGAATTCAAATAGTTTAAAATAAAAATAATCTTAATATTAATACTTTAGATTATTATTTATCTTTTTATTATAAATAAAGTTTTTTTTATAAAGATTATAAATTTTTTAAAATTATTATTATATTATATTTAAAGTTATTTAAGTTATTTAATTTATTTTAAATAGAAAATTATACTTTTGAGATATATTATATAAATGAATATAAAAGAATTATTAGATATTAATAAATAATTTTGATTTAATTTTATATTAATTAATAACTTTATGAATCCCATGTCTTAAGTAAATGAAATTCAAAATATAAAAGATTATTTTCAACTTTAATCTTTTTTATATCAAAGAAATAAAAATAGAAAGTATGTTTAGTTATTTTTTAAATAATATAAATAAATCTCTTTTTTTTCTTTTCGTTAAACGACGACTTGAGAAGCAACTTTTTGAAAGCGAGTACAGTAGATGTTTGTTAATATCAATAATATTTACTATTTACTGTAATGTGTTTTATTATTTTGCTTGTAAATTCCTATTCTTGGGATAGGATGTGTGTATATCATCTAAACCTGAGATAAGTCACAAGCTGCAGTCAATGGCGAGTAACAATTTGTGCTAGAAGAGCAGGAAGCGGGATAGATGTCTACTTTATCTCTGCCTTAAATGTTGTCTGTAGTTGCGTATATGAAATAAAGTACCTGGGTAGATAGAATAGATAATACAAACTGTTCTCATGAAAATGTTTATTTAAATCAACGAAAAATCCTTCAGGAATTCGATGAGAATTCTTAAATACAGCATAACACATCAATACTGTGATATCAATCATGACGCCGACGGAACTGAATATGCTTAAGTTGGAAGCGAGTAGTATGATGTGGGCTACAGCCGTGGGGTTGTCGGTATGCATATGTACTTGAAAACGTATCAGGCTACTGGCAGCTTTCTTGTGACGGTTCTCACAGATTTACTGAATATTCTATGTATAGGACTGATTTTGTGAAGTTCATCGGTTGTTTAAGCTCGAGACGCTTTCGAGAAAATGCATATATTTTTTTGCGTAGGACTTGGGATCCTCTTGGTTGGGTCTGTGTCGCTGTTTTTGGTTCCAATGGGGGAGAGTTTTGGGTGTTCGTGGAGTAACTAAGAGTGCAGGTGATGGAAATGAGGTTGGGGATGGAAGTGAGCTGGCGGATATGGGGGAAGGTAATCCTCGAGTTTCTGCTGCTGCTACTGCTGACGTTGTGCCCGTCAACGGGGAATAAGTTGAGATTTTCGATGGTGACGAGAGTATTTAGTTTGAGGGAACGATACTACGGCCTATTAAGATCAATACGAACCATCTCAACGGGTTTTTATCAAACTTGTGAATTGAGACACTTTGATGCTGTAAACGCAGCAGAAGAGCATTTGAATGGCTAAAACACAAGGTAGCTCAATTAAAGGGCGATGGAAGCAATACGTAAGGAAGATAGCTAAGGGTTTCAAAGTTTTGCTGTCCTTTGTCGCGGGTTCATTTGCTCACGATCAGAACAAACCAAGTCAATTCAACGGTGCCTTGCACTCTTGGAAAACCAAACTACATATTCCAAACATGCAAATATGTTTTTATGAGATAAAATCAAATGAATGAATGTATCCAATGCACAGTACCGGCAATTAGGTTGTGATTTCTCTGGGTAGTAGATTACCTCAAGGTTGAAGCACTAAAGCTAGCTGGTGAAGAAATGTAGATAAATATGTGAAGACTGCAAAGGTAATTCGAGGTATACACTATACATACATGACACTGACCAATATGATATATGGTTTTCGACGTATTAATCGAAAAGGAGAGGGGAGGATATTGTGAAGAGATAATGGCAAGTCGCACTAGTCACAATCTAACGTGGGGTTACATATCAACCCCACCTCCGCCACTTCCATATTTGATCGAGGAAAGATCATGTTCTTACATAGCCTTCAACCATCTTTTGGGTAAATACGATGAGCATCCTTCCCAATCACTTCTCTTCAGTACTCAAGTTTGCATCTAGATCAATTGTTAGGAGGAAAATTTGTTCCGCTGGCATATCTCTCACGGGCTCTTTGGGTATAGGTACTGGTATTCGCTGTAAGAGAACCTTCAGTATGACCACACGATCATTAGATGCAAATAGAGGAGATGCAAAGGGAGTGAGACGTTTTGCTCCATTGGAGAAGGATATAGAGATCGGGGCAGAGAAGGTAGAAGTTGTCAGAACATTGAAAGGAATCATCTTTGATATGGATGGGACTTTGTGGTGAGTAGATTTGTGTTGGATTTTTTGTTTTTTGAGTTCGGGTTTTGTTTTATGGTATTGTGGCGATTGGAAATGAATATCTGAATTATTTGGAGGGAGAGAGCGAAAATTCTGGATTGAAGTGAAGAGGTGAAGATCTGCTCCTTTTGAAGTTTCGAAGTGGGCAAAGTCAAGTGAGAGATGAGAAATGGTGATTGCTTTTGCTTGTGTTTCGTTTCGCATGGGTAATTTTGTAAAGCTTTCTGGAGGCTAGAGTCTGGCAAGTTGTTAGACTTCATTTCATGACACAAAAGGATTGAATGTATTGGATAGCGTGCTTGAACCATGTGTTTCTTGATATGGTTACAAAGAGGGTTTTGCCAATGAGGAGTCACTCATGGTTTTGTAAGCTCTTACATTATCCGCATCTAGAATTGATATATAATGTCGCACCACTTCACAGGCTACAAAGACTTTCCACTACAATCACCATATCAATTAAGTGCTTTCTCTCGAGCTCTATAACTAACTTATCAACAGTGAGCCACAGACCTACATGTATGTGTAGTACGACACACTCCTTTGAACTCCGGCTCAAAGCAGCATCCATGGTCATTCCTTCCTAACACCCACAATAGGTTCGGACAAATGCGAAACGCTCTGGGAATCGACAAAACCATCGATATCCTCGACCACATCTATTCCCTCCCTGTCTCTGACCAAGAAGCCGCTCATGAGAAAATCCGCACTATAGAACGCGAGGCCATGCTCACCCAAGTTCCCCAACCAGGTATTTCGCCATTTCTCCGTCACAAGTTTCCCATCCTAAACTAACAAACAATCAAACCCCAGGTCTTCAAACCCTCTTCACCTATCTCGCAACCCTTACACCTCCCTCCCCTCGCAATCCTAACACGCAACCACCCACCCCCAGTCCACCACCTCCTAACAACCCATCTCCCACAAACTCCCTTCTCCCCCATCATAACCCGTGAATTCCGACCTCCAAAACCTCATCCCGCGGGAATTCTCCACATAGCGAAGGAATGGAATGTCGATCCAGCCGATACGATTATGGTGGGTGATTCGATCGATGATATGAAAGCTGGGTTTGCGGCGGGGGCCGCAACGGTGCTTTTAGGGAATACTGTTAATAGGGACTTGTGGGAACATGAGTGTACGGATTTGGTGGTGAAGAGGTTGGATGAGTTGGTGGGGGTTCTGCAGAGGGGGTTTGTGGGGAGGGTGCAGAGATAGGGGAATAGAGTTCAAGAGGGAGGTGAAGGTTAAGGTGAAGATAGAGGTCAAGAGATGAGGAGAAAAATAGAGGAGAAAGGCTTCGGTATGAAATTGGTTTGAATATCGTCAACTTAGAATGGTGGATTAGAGATCCTTTTCAACATGAGTACAGATCTAGAGATTATCTTTAAAGTTCACACACATACTCACATCAAATTCATCTTTCACATTCCTCGAAGACGCAAAGCATAAGTTAAAAATGAAAATAGCTATTTGTGTAAATACACTAAGCGATTGAAAAAAGAAAAGAAGATATAAAAACCGAGCCCAAAGGTCGAAGTGAAACTTTAATAATACATCAATCCTGAAACATCCTCCATACAAATATCAGAAATCCACCCATGTCCATTCCCAAAACTCTACTCATAAGCACCACTTCCCTTCTCATCCGCCGCCAAGGCGGTCATATTTCTATTTCCAACCTTAATCAACATCTTCTCATGCGGAAGCGAATCAATAACATCATCCGGCAAGCCCAAGGTATCCTTAACGACCTGTCTAGGAGTCAACGCCAACCATTGAGCCACACTGATATCACTAAAAACCGGTTGTTGCAACACCTCCAAAAAGACCACATCTTCCGTGCCCGTATTCTCAACATAGTGCGAGTTACTGGCGGGGATGTATCCGACGTCTCCAGCCGTGTAGTCGAAAGTGCGACTGCTGCTAGGAGCGGAGTAGATGGTGATGCGAGCGGAGCCCGAGAGGAAGTAATTCCATTCGTCGGATGTGAGATGCCAGTGGAGTTCGCGCATGGCGCCGGGCTGGATGGTGACGAGGGCGGCGGCGAAGTTGGCGGCGATGGGGAAGGTGGTTGTGTCGATGACTTTTACGGATCCGCCTGGGACGGTATAGGGTTCTTGTTGGGAGAAGTGGTAGGTGTAGGAATCTTTCTGAGGGAGGGGACCTGCGTTGCTGGTCTGATTTTGCGTGGAGATGTTGGCTGGGGCGGGAGTGCCGTTGAAGATGTATAGTTGATCGGATGGAAGTTTGTCGAAGGAGGAAACAGGGGTTTGGAAGTTCTTGGAGAGGACTGATTTAGGGTTTCGAAGAAACATCTCGGATACGAGGACTAGGGTTGGAAGTTAGTTGTGTGTCAAAAATAGTGTGGAGGGATATGAAGAATCAAAACTACCGAGTAGTATGAAATGAAATGAAAAAAATGCTTACAAGTGCCATCTTCTGAGAAATCTCCATCGTCGAAAATCAACAAAAACTCACAGCCCTCATCCAGCGCTTGAATAGAGTGAGGAACACCAGCTGGGAAGAACCATACATCGCCTGCGCTAATATCGTCGATGAAGCTTTCACCTTTCTCATTAACAGCAGAGATTCGGACACTTCCTTTTAGCACTAATGACCATTCATTTGCTGTGTGCCAATGTAACTCTCGGTATGCTCCTGGTGCAAGACGCATGTCTACACCAGCCATCTGAGTAGCTATAGGCATTTGACCAGTGTTTTGTTGTCTTGCCCATCCCGATTTCTTGCCAACGCCCAATCTGTTGTGGGACATTCCCATTGGCCATTGTGCTTGTGGGAAATCTCCACTGTCTGTTCCTGGTGGAGCGAGAAGATCTGGGTTCAACTTCTGGTACTCATATGTTTCTATGATAATGTTAGATTTGAATTTCTTCGGTGACATTTATTCCAAACTTACGTGGCCCAGGGTCAGTCTCGCCTGCCGACCCTCTAATAGGCTGAGGATTCGGAACACTGTTGAAATCCAGAAACAAACCTAGGTTTGAATCTGCTTCCTGACCAATGACAAGTGGGGTATCTGGCATGATGGCGGAATCCGCTTTAGACAGAGAAGATGACTTCCCGGATTCACCCAGAAGTGATTTATGTCCATAAAGCGATCCGGAGGCGGCAGTAACAGTAGGTATTGGTGCAGATACACCAGCTATAGCTGCTGATTGCTCGGCATAATTCATCTGAGGTCTAGGCGCAGGAGCTGCAAGAACTGCTGGAAGAAGTCCACCAGCTGCAAAAGAAGTGAGCAGGAAAGTTTTGGAATGCATTATGAATGAATGAATGTGAAGGAATGTGTGTTTATTGTCTTCTGTTTGGAGAATGATGTAGAGATGAAGAGATGTTGTGTGTACTTATATAAATCTATAAGCTATGATGATATCGGCCTCAATATGCAAACATTCCGGAAAAATTTGCCGACATGAGCCATAGCAGAATTGCCCACAGCATCGGAGGCAACTAATACGCATGGTGCATGAGGAGGACAGCATTCCATGCCAATTAATTTGGAAATTTTGGATGAAGAGAACGTGCAGAAGAATACGATATGCACCGTGAGTAAACATGAAAATTGACTAATCGAAAAATGACGTTGAGGCGTGGATATTCCTGCATACAGGGTACATTGGCAGGTACCGGAAAGTATGCTAATACCTGAATTCCATAAACTTTTCATGTGAAATCCGAAAGCAGGTAGAAACAAAGCTTAGAGACTTCACCGTCGGCCCGTCTCTCGAGGCCTTATCACCCCCCTCCCCCTCACCCCTATTATTTTTAGTGATAGCGAATGATCATAGTTCCTGTCCACCCGACTAGGTGGAAGTTTTTGGTGGTCCTAGAGGTGAGCTTTGTTCGTCTAGAGGTAAGCTTTGTTCGCTTCTTCCCCACGATGTTGCATGGTTAGTAGAGCTAAGAATGCTAAGCTTTGAGTACCGAAGCACCACGGCGCGGATCGGTGAACCCCATAACAGTAGAATCATGACAAAAAAAGATCAAGATATAAAAAGATTCAGATCATCACTCGGCGATATCTCGTGAACCTCGGATTAAAGAAGAAACGAAGAGTATACAATATGTGTAAGATGCGTTATGACTCTCTGACCCCTGGATGCCTTTGTACGAAGCTAAATTATTCGTAGTGGTGTACCGCGATAGGCTATGTGAGCAACTGCTTAGAAAACGTGGAGAATAATCGCCTACAAGACTTGGCATACTTGTGTCGGGTTTCTTGGAAGAATCGATGAAACTATGAAGTACCAAACTACTTAGTGCACATCTGATATCGGCGGCAGGTCATCCATCTCAAAATTGCCTTGACACTGGAAAGAGGGTGTTCGAGTATCCATGTCTCTGCTTTGAAGCACACGTAACGCAGAGACGGCGGTAAGGCATTGATTTAAGATTATTCGTCGAGAGGTGCATGATTGGGAAGAGGTCGTGTAAGGGTCGCGGAGAAGAGGTTTGAGAACTCGCGTATAGATTGCCAAGGAATGATCCACCTGATTAACGTGCTCATCAATTTTATGCATGCCCGCATGCACGAATGCACGATGAACGATGCAGGATGCACAACTGCGGGGGATAACTTCATGTGATAAAGGTGATAGGTACCCCTTTGTGCAATAAGATAACTACTCCGTATAAGTGCTAGACGATTGATGTAATGACGACCATTTTTTCATTTTAGGTAACGCGATCATAAATGAAGAATGCCACACCAAATCTACAACATATCATTGTCAATATGGATGGTGATGATTCGATGCAAGATCAATCCAGATTGCCAAGCGTTTTTCGATCTCTAGAAATCTGATATTTCGGGTTGCCTTTTCTGATATCATCCGACGTGTAGGTGTGGAAAGGAATTGAAATCCACGGAACTATTACATAAACCTGGGGGTATCTCTGCAATCCAATACCAACTCCCAATGACCAAAATGAGAGAACACCTCTCCCATAACTCCGTCTTCATAAATTCGTTGGAACATTACCCAGAACTTTACCCACACACCTAATCCAATGAGCCCCTAATTTCCTCCTCGTAATTGGCAGCTTCGTCAAGAACTGGTGCAACACTAGGGTTTCCATGTCCTCTCCAGTTTTTACGTTCTTGCCAGCTTTCATTTTCGGCTAAACGGCCATCTTTCTTCCTCTCAACTTTGTAAATGGCTTCTTTCAAATCCCTACATTGACTCGAGTTAATTTGTTGGTGTGATACAACATGAAATTTAAGTCCACCTACCGAGGTCCCAATGCTTTGATGACATAGCCTTGTCTCTCCAGTTCATCTGCCAACTCAGCTTGGTGATTATCGAGGAGTGAAGTGTTGGGCACGACAATGAGTGGTACACCAATTCGAAGTGCATCAAGGATTGTTCCTGAGCCTATATCGTCCCAACATTAATCACATGTTCAAATATGATTTGCTTATTTGAATGCCCACTAACCAGCGTGCGATATTACTACACCTTCTAGACTCTCTCCTGTGCCATAAAATCCCCCTTTCTTACATTGACGCATCTCATGCCCTAGCCCATTATGATCGAAATCGAATACTTCGATCTCAAGTCCGGGTCCTTTCTCTTTCGGTATGTTGTTTTTCCAATAATCGGCATCCGGCCCAGCTTGTACTCTAAGTTTCGTATACCCTTCCTTAGCTAGTGCCTGTAGAGTATGTAATGCGAACACTTCTTCAATGAGCTCTTTGAAAGTCGCAGTCGCGCCAACTGTAACAAAAGCAACTTTTGATGGCACACCTTCTGGAGCCGATCGCATGGTAAGATTTGAAAATGACAACTGGGTAGTTATAGGTCTCTCTACCAAGGTGTGTATGTGTTTGTCTACCAGAACTAGGTATTAACGGTTACCCGTTTCTTGTATCTTTGGCTTTCCAATAACATTGGTTCTCGGATGAATTGATTGACCGTACGGCGGTTCGAGATTTTCCGAAGGACGATAACGCGGGATAATTTACTGCTAATATAAAATAGGGCTAGCGCCAAATTGTTTATTTCGGGATGATTTCCATCTGGAGATCCAGGAAAGGGAAGAATCAGCCATAATCACCACAATGGCCACGGCCTTACAAAGTCTGCGTATGACAGCGCGATGCTGCTCATGCAGAAATATCACCTCCAGATACACCAGCAAGGCAATTGCTCAACGGAGGTTATTCTCAACCACACCAAGACAGTATAAAATCGACCCGAAATTTAAGGACCTCGAGGAGACAGAACCAGACGAGGATGAGTTCATGGAAGAGATTGACGATTTGTTTGAGAATGCAGGTGCTCGACATGCAAATAATCTACCCTCGTATGGGTTCGACGAGGGTTTGAAGAAGAAGTTAAAGCCTACATTTCTAAACATGGGAGACCCAGAACCGTTCGATGAAGACGATAGAGAGGATGACCACGATGATATCACGACTTTGGCGCATATGGAGTTGGAGCAGGTTCGAGAAATCAGACATTATAATAGATTGGCGGCATGGGAGATGCCAATGTTGAGCAGTGAGTTTACCTAACGTTTCCCAAGGGCCCAAGTCGAAACATGGGCATCTACTAAGAAGTGATGTATAGAATTGGCAAAGCCATTTGTGCCACCCTCGGCGGAAACTCCTTTACGATTCAGGTATACTTCATACATGGGCGAGCAACATCCAGCAGAGAAGAAAGTTGTGATGGAATTTTGTCCTGCGGACATGCCAGGACTAACAGAAGTTCAAACGGACAAACTTAGAAAACTGGTTGGCACAAGACTCAACCCGGAAACAGATATTGTCAAAATGAGCTGTGAGATGTACCCATCACAAGCCCAAAATAAGCGATATCTTGGTGATCTGGTTGATTCATTATTGGCAGAAGCAAAGGTATGTCTTGATGTCATCCTGTATGACCAGGGACTAATTCAAATAGACTGGTGATACATTCGAAGATGTTCCTTTAGATACGCGCCATCATGTATTCAAGACGAAGCCGAAATTCCCCGTGGAATGGAGATTGACAGAAGAGAGGAAGAAAGAATTGGCACAATATCGCCAAAAGATGGTGGAGACAGACTCGAATCGAGAATATATTGGTCAATTGGTGGATGGCATTGAAACGATTCAGCAGAAATTGAATAATCCAACAGCCAAGGAACCAGTGCCTGACACTATCGCAGCTGGAGGGAAAATAATTGCCAACAAAAAAGTCGCTGTTAAGAGGTCGGTGTAAAGCAATTGCAGCATATGTAGGATGCGATGATGTACAAAATCACAAAGTGCCACCCAAACTGGAGGGGCCTGCTCGGATGGGTTATTTGGTTGGTTGATAGCTGCGGGCAAGTGACACGAACAGCATGATAAAAACAATTTGGTATATCCGATTCGGAAGACAATAAAAAGTGAAACAATGATTAGACACAAATCACAAATTTCAAATTACATCGAATGAAATGTTTTTCCGAGCGAGCTTCTTCGTAGCACATGTAAATAAAGTTGTGGGATCGGTTACCCATTCCTACTTGTCTTTGACCCCCGCGGATAAAACCAAGCTGCCTCGGTTTACTCTACATGTTTAGACATCTAATGGAGGGGGAAGCACCAGGAACCTTGAACTTCGAATTCTATAACAAACAACCTTGGTCAGCTCTTCCTCTTTACAATTATTGTTCATTCATTGAAGATTAATGAATGAATACTTGATATTTGAATATAATTGATAAGCAATTCTCCTACCTGTCTTTCAATTACGGCCCAACTACAAAGATACCATAGGATACCATCACAGGTTGTTCAACCACAAAAGGAACAATGTCGTCTGTTAAGATAGCTCCTTTCGAGCACACCTCTCTTGAATCCATCCCCACCACGGCCAAACTACTCCGAACAACCTTTCGTTCGCAAAGAACCAAACCAATCGAATATCGTTTGAAGCAACTTCGAAAACTCTATTGGGCTATTCACGATAACAGCGATGCTCTTATCGAAGCAGAAAAGAGCGATCTTGGTAAACCCGCTTTCGAAACTTGTCTTACAGAGATAGATTGGACGAAGAATGATATCATATTTATTTGCAAGAATTTGAAAAAATGGATGAAGGACGAGCGGGCACCAGATATTGCCCTCACCAATACTCTTTTCAGCCCTAGGATCAGAAAGGAACCCCTGGGTACTGCTTTGATAATCGGCGCATTCAACTTCCCGGTTCAGTTGTCGCTTGGTCCTTTTGTTGGAGCTATGGCCGCAGGGTGTACAGCTATGTTGAAGCCCTCAGAACAGGCGCCCAAAACTGCCATGGTATTGAAGAAGATTATGGAAAGTCTCGATCCAGAAGCATATAATATCGTCAATGGGGCTATTCCCGAGACGACCACTTTGTTGAACGAGAAATGGGATAAGATTTTCTATACTGGAGGCGCGACAGTAGGAACCATCATCGCGAAAAAAGCTGCGGAGACTTTGACCCCGGTCGCTTTGGAGCTTGGTGGTAGAAACCCAGCTATCGTATCAAAGAATGCAGATCCTGCTCTTGCGGCTAGAAGATTGTTATGGGGTAAGACACTTAATGCTGGGCAGGTTTGCGTCGGCCAAAACTATGTTATGGTGGAAAAAGAAATACTGGATGCTTTCATTGAGCAACTCAGGATCGCCTATAAAGAATTCTACCCTCAGGGTCCCAAAGCTAGCCCTGATTATGGTCGTATCGTCAACAATAGACAATTTTTAAGAATCAAGAAGATGCTTGATGATACGAAGGGAAGCATCCTAATTGGTGGAGAATTGGATGAGGCCGATAATTTCATCGCGCCAACTGTGGTTTTGGTTGGTAGTAAAGATGATTCAATGCTGGTGGATGAATCTTTTGGTCCCTTGATTCCTATTCTTCCAGTCGATAGCCTTGATGAAGCCATCAATATTGCTCACGATGTTCACGCGACTCCATTGGGCTTCTATCCATTTGGAACGAAGGAAGAAACTGATAAGCGTATGTATAACTCTCATATTGTATTTCTTTCCTTATCTGTATATGTAGATGAAAAGAATCTCCAGGTGATTCTATTTACTCGTATAATGGGTTTTGTGAGAGGAAAATGGCAACTGTTCGGTGCTGGCGATCGCCTCTGATAGTAGTTTACTATATTATACAGATAGTTCTGTGTTTGCGACGCTACGTCATCTTCACGACGCGCATTCGTTGGTAATCAATGTTAAGATCAATGCCAAGTGATGTATATTACGATTCCCGTATCCACATTTCAGCTACCCTTATGTATACATCATTAACACTTCTTCTAGTACTCAACAGCATCACATCTGGTGGTGCTACCGTCAACGACGCCTTCTTCCACGGCTCGATACCTAATCTTGCCTTCGGAGGCGTTGGCGATAGTGGAACTGGTAGTTATCGAGGCCAGCAATCCTTCCAGGCCTTCACTCATCGTCGTTCCGTTGCCACAACTCCTAGCTGGATCGAGAAAATGCTCAATGTCCGCTACCCACCATATACCAATGCCAAACTCGTCCAGTTCCGCAAAACCAGTACGAAAAAACCAAATTTCGACAGGGAAGGCAATGAGGTTAGGGGTTTAGGTTACTGGTTGGGTTTTGTGACGAGCCTGGGTGGTGAAAGCATTAGGGGAGTGCTTATTAGGTGGGCAATTCTCGCTTTCGTTGCGTATGGATCCAAGAGAACTTGGGATGTGAAATTTGGTAGCGGGTTACCTTCTTTTCTGAGATGAAGGCTTAATCAATAATTTGGGGGTATATTCTTTTAATACACCGAGGGAATACAGAACCCAGCTATAGATAATGATGCTAGAAGACTTTCGTTTTCTTTACATTTTGTTTTTACTGTTTGGAGCAATCATTTTATGTTCAACTCCAAGCAAATCCAATTTCATATTACCATCATTCAGTCCACAAACACATATGCATATATCTATCCATACATACTCAGCACCCCAAAGATTAAAAAAAAGTAATGTGATCTCCACCCACCACATTGCATCTTTTGCATATCTCAATCTCTTGGGAATTCTTGGTATTACGTGTAAACGGCACAATGCAGCGGGACAGGGAACCCAGAGAGGTAAAAACAGAGGTTTTGTTGCACATCGGATTTCTTGGGGGTTGTTTCTTTTTTCTTTGTTGTCGACTCGGCGGTGATTTTTTGGTGGGATTTTTCTTTTCTTTTCTTTTTCTGATAGCCAGGCTTGGTGCCAAGGGGTCTTATCGCCAAGATGGGTGGGTTTGTTTGACTCGTGTTTTTTGAACGTTTCTTCTTTTTTTCTTTTTTTTTCTTTTTTTTCTTTTTTTTCTTTTGTCTTACTTATCTTTATCTTTGTGCTTTTGGACCTCGTCCAGACCCAGGGATCGGATGTATCGTAATTGTTAATGTTTAATTATGTTTGACATGTATTAAATTCGAGAAAATCATGTTGGGGTTCTGGAAATCTATTTTTGTATTTTAACCTTATTATATGAGGTTAACCTTATTAACCTCATCGATTTCGTCAATTCCACATCCGATTCCAAATTCAAGGATGGAGCTAGGGATGAAGCTAAGGATGAAGAAGTGCACGTTGAAACATGCCCAGTGCCAAGCAATCTCGGGATAATGTCAGAGAAACTATCCGTGCCAAGAAATCTAGTTTTGCGCAATATCTACCAAGACTAGGCTGGATCACCTAACCCAGCCGGCCCGGGTTCTTGCATATGTGCTTCCGGCTTTGATGCGAGTTTCGATGCGCCCCGAGTCATGTTTTGTGATGATTCTGCTTTCGTGTCACCGAGTACCGTGCCTAATAGTCTTGTCTTGTCTTGTCTATCGGAAATACGGAGGACTTTTGTATGGGGTGTGTATGTACTGCTTAGAAGTAGGGATGACTCAAGAGCTTGGGTGTTGCGTTGAGTTTTGAGCATGGAGTAGGGAGCGGGGAGCATGGTTTTGGAATGATAAGGGTTGTGTGTGGTGGCGGATAGGGCGCGGGAGTGCTATTGGGAGGGGAACTAAGGGGTTTTTGTTGCATGTCTGACGATAAGTATGGGCTGGGCGAGAATGGGCTGTGCGTTTGGTGAGGGGTGAGGAGGTGGAGGGGTTTGTGAGAAAGGAATACTGTGGTAATGTATTATCTTTCTGAGATGAAAAGATATGTGTGATTGTTGTAATATCGTATTTTCTTTTTCGAGGATGTGTATTTGTCCTCATGTTGTCTTTTTGCCTCGTCCTGGATGTCGATGGTTGTTCTCTGTATGTGTAATCGTGTCGCAAATGGTTTTACGCTATATATCTTGTTAATATCAGCTTTTGATCAGGAAGTCTTGAGCAAGCGTTTGAGCGATATATACGCGCTGGCAGAGTGCTTCTGAGGATATGGAGGATAAGCCTTGGGACTTAAGGTGAAGATGACTTTCGGATGAGGAGTTGGCTGTTGCTTATTAGAGTAGCCATGTTGTTGCGAGACAAGGGATTGGCTTTGCGATGTCTTTGTATTGGGATGCCTACTAGGTAGCGTAATTCTACTCAGATTTGAACTGGACATTTATTTTGCCTCTTTTTTGAAGCCACGTTTTGATAAGAGGACGTTTTCCTTACGCTCGGCTCTTGGTAGTGAGGAAAAAGATGCCCCTCTTCTTTGTACAACTCAGATTGCAGGAAGATTTCCAGTCTCTCGAATTAAAAGCGCGTACAGAAAGAATCACTCTTTAGTACCTCTATGTCTGTATGTGTACTGCTTCTTTACATGAGCCAGGCACCAAAGGGGAGTTGAGAAGTTGAAATTGTTATTCAAGGTTGGCCAATACTTCAAACTAGTAGCTAGATGTAGCAAGTGCTAATTAGTGATCTATGTTTTTGATATATCAAGTGGATCGGATATTTAAAAAATGAGTTCCAGGGGAATCGGTTCAAAATCCTCGTCATCTGATGCAATCAGTCCCTCCCCCTGCCCCCCAAACGCAAGTATAACCTCGCACTAAGCAACTCCAAACCCAAGCATCTCAAAGCCTCAACCCAATCTATCATTTTACCGCACATCGATTGATGTCCCAATAATCATAACTTCAACAAAAATATCTACCCTAACGAACCATTTCCCACCGATTCTGCCTTTTCGCTCATACAGCAGAAGGCCCTCCATGTTTATTCACCCTCACTACCAATACCACACGGCACGCAACCACCATGACTGGCTTAGCGGGGTTAGTAATGAGATGGCTTCTGATCAGGTCATTGAGTTACTGCTTGGAGTCGTTAAACAGGATTTGGCCACAACCTCACACGCGTGAGAACCTTGGGTGATGGCTTCGGCTATCATTTTGCTGGTTTTTTGTTGGTTGGTTGGCTGGTTGGTATGAATGAATGAGGTTCTAGGAGCAATCTATTGATGATATTTATTTTAATGTTACGACTTTATTTATTGTCGTTGTTGCTCGCCTAAAACATTGTTCTCTAGTAATATTCGATAATCTTGGTATCAATCCGATCTTCTTATTGAATTGGTATGTATGTGATTCAGGAAGGAGGGAGGCATATGTTGAGTCGTGTTGAATGCATGATATTGAACCACTGCACAGTTCTATGATTGGTTTCTTATTTTCACCATTGCAACTTTGTTTTTCTCTCCTATGCTAATCTTCAGCTGCTGCGGTTCATCACTTCATTTAAAGATCTGGAAGATCTGCAAAAGTTATACTCATCTCTCATCCTCTCCTCTCTGCTCCTTTATCTTATTTTTCTTCTCCATGTCTTGCAGTTCAATCATCCATATGTCGAAAAGCGTCTGTTCCATGACTTACAAGTAGGGACTTGCAATGAGTCTTCATCCAGAGCCATTGAATCGACGGCTTGGTCAGGATCAAAAACTGTTAAAAATTGTACATCTTAAAGACAAGATAGGTGTCCTCAGAAGCTATGACACGATCAGCCCTCTATTTAAGCCTAGATAGAATTGAGAAATGTTGCACTATTCTATAGATATGTCATCAACGGTTAGCCAATTTATATCCGTTCTAATAGTTAATATTTTTGAATCATGCCCATACGAAAGAAGTCAAGATTTGCATTTGAAGTATAGATAATTAGTGGCAGTTTGAGGGTGGCTTGAACTGATGGATACATATATATACATAACCTCAAAAATGAGCTTTTCCAAAGTGGCATCGCTTTTGGATCAATAGAGTCAAGTCATGTATATATGACTATATTTTGCGTTCTTGAACACAGAAGAGTCTAACGACCAATAAGAGCTGAAAAGTAAATTAGCGCCGACGGTTCAGAAGATGGTTATCCAGGCGCGGTATGAGTGAATTCCAAACTTGGAAATCGAGGCTCATTTTCAACACTTCGACTTGACCGAGCATTCACTACAGAAGAAATATTATGATGATTTATCGAAAACCTTCACATTTGATTCGAAACACTTAAAAAGTATAAGTTATTCAGTAAAATATGAAAACAATCATCGAAGTTATAATGATGATAAAAATGGAGTTGTGTTTTGCTACAAAGTGTTTTGAGCATAAGACCTTTAACAATTCATATGATTTGATAAAAAACTAGATATTCATATAATTCAATAGGAAAAACCCTTGGATACAAAAACCTTTCCCATTAACCATCTTAAAAATCATATTGTTCATAGCGAAAATTTACTACAATCGTTGTTTAATGTGATTTTCGCTTCCGTAGTGATCCTACTAAACATAACCTATTTCAACATGCGTAAATCATAATCATCAAGCTAAATTAGTTTGCATATATCTTAAAGTCTTCAGAGCTCTATTCATATTCCACACCATATTCCCAAAACTAAATACACGTTCCGTTATTTTCCAAATCTGTTAATATACATCCTTTGCATTCATCATTAATAATTTCAATGTACAACAAACATTAACCGAGCATTTGCAATGACTTACAGCACAAAATGCCTGACGTCCCATTACACAAAGCACTTGGTGTAGGATTAAGTTGGCTAGGAGGGGGTAAAGGGAAAGCTCTTAAGAATTTGAAAAAGGCTCACCTAGAGATAGATTTAGTCGAAAGTAGGTATGTATTGATTTCTTTTATATCCCCTTACTCTATATGAACAATTAAACATTTATAAATCTTTCCAATTATCTTACTTCTAACCCATCGAAAAATTTGCTAAAAATTTGCTTAGTATGGAATTACACCACATGGCTCAAGCAATGGGACTTGAAAGTGTCAGTAAAGATGAAAACATCAATAACAATACGCATAAATCTCGAAGACACCACGAGAAGAGCAAAAATGAACCACCTCCAAAAACATCTATCCCAATGGGTCCCTCTAGGAGTGGTTCAACGATAGATTATAGTAAGACAGATGGATATCAAAGATCCATATGGCAAAGGGACGGAGGGTATTCGTCATACTCTGACAAACTACCTGCTCATGATTCTCCTCTGATAACTATAGGATATACGGAGAATAGTTCTGAATATCCAGGTGCTGAGTTGGGAATGGGTGGAAAACCTTGGGGTCGGCAGAGTCCTCCTGCACATTCTACACTTGAAAATTATGTACTACCATATAGGACATCTGGAACTTCGCAGGTGGGGAGTCCAGTAGGTTCTAAGAGGTTTCCTGCTGAGTTACCGACGTCGGCTAATAAACCCTCTGAGGAGGAAACTCATGTAATTGGGAGTGGATACAAGAGTAACAGTCATCAGCACCAAAATTACCAAGGTCATCTACAATCTAGTCTACCATCATCGCCGCAGGCAATCTTTGATCCGGTACGAGATGCTGCAGCACGGAATCGTACAGATTCCGCTGTTCATACGAATCCTAAATCAGACACCTCATCTCACGCTATTCTCACAAGGAAACCGGTGCAATCTTTCCCCTACCAACAAGCGCCAATAGGAGAGAAAATTGAAAATTCAAAATCTTATCACAAAGAAGAACGAGCAAAGATCAATCGTCGAAATGAAGAAGAAGTCCTTCAAGAACGAAGAGAGAGAAAGCTTAAGGACATTCCACAAGAAAGTAAAAAACCACATGACGTCTACATCGACGAAGCATGCGCAGCGAAGATCAGACACAGAAATGAGGAGGAGATTCTTCGAGAAAGAAAAGAGAGGAAGCTTAAGGAGAGTCGGAAAATAAATCAGCAAGCGGATACACAATTACCTCCTTCATTACCCCCAAAAATACCCCTAAGTTTCAACATACGCCCAGATCACCCACCACCCAACACCGCCATCTCACAAGGCAGCATTCGTATCCCCATCTCCTCTTCCGTACCGACCTCGAGTTTCATCCCGCACAACTCCTACCTCATCACCCCCGCAAACCAGCACATGCACCCAAACAAACCTACCACCCAAAACAATATCAATATCCAAAACCATACTATCCATGACCACCACACCACCAAACACAAAGCACCTCAAGCTCAAGCTCACAGCTGGAATAAAAGCAACGCATTTCTCACTCGAGCTCCCCCTACATTCCCGATTTATTATCCGGCCGCAAGGGAATTAGACGGTACGAGTATCTATGTAGAAATTAACCATGATCACCATTCGCCTCGGGAACATATACGTTTACTCGAAACTTTAATGAACATTGAAGGAATTCGGAAGAAAGATGGAGAGCGGATAGCTGTGGATATCGGTGTGGATATGGATGTTGATGTTGATGTACGATCATCGAGTATGGTGCGCGCACGCAGATATGCTTTTGCCGAGAAGACGAATTTGGTGTTGGGTACTCTTGGGACTTTGGGATCTGGTTATGAATTTGTTCGGGAAAAGGGAGCGGAGCGAGCTGGGTATGGTGGTGGTAGGATTGGTGCTGGAGGCATGTATTTATATGGGGAGAATGTATATCCGAATGGGATGATTCGGAAGGATTTGGTGGGCGCTGCGAATGGGGAGAGAAGAGTACCCGGGAGAGGAGAACAAAATATTCCAGAGATTCAAGTGCGGAGTCCTACGCTCAGTGCAGCTTTAAGAGCGCAAAAAGATGCGGGTATTCATATGAATACCGATAGGAATTTTACGCGGATGAATGAAGAAACTGAAGAGTTGCCAGTGCCGGAATTGGGCATTGAGACTGAACATATGCATATTCATGCAAAGGAATCCGGACGAAGAAGACATAGACATGCACATAAACATAGACATCATAGTCATAAGAGAGATATCGATGGAGAAGTCGACGCGGCAAGATCTATTTAAAGATAGTGAAGGGAATTTAGTTTGTAGGAAATGTGGATGGATGAGGTAGGAGTGAGTTATGATGCTGGGTTGTGTTGAAGGTGTAGAAAGGTTATGTGTTAATTATGTTTTTAAGGATTCGAATTCGCATTCGAGGATTTGGAATTGGAATTGAGAAGGGATAAGGACAGGGATAGAGTTATGATTGATTAGGTGATAGATGAGCATGTATGTAAGTAATAGAATAAAATTCTGAGAAAATAGGATATTAAAAATATTACTTGAAAATACTAAAACTATATCTCAAATTTTATATTTTATATTATTTATACAAAAATAAATTCTTTCAAAACTTTTAATAGAACTTTCCTTTAAAAACAATAACAAGCTACTTGAATATAATAATACAACTTTGAACTTTGAACTTTGAACTTTTAAATTTTAAATTTTAAATTTTAAATTTTAGTTTATTTTTTTATTTATATTATTTTTCTATAGATTTTGATAGGGGAGAAAGGAAGGAAGAAAGGAAAGGAGAATGGGGTAGAGTTTTCCTTGTTTACTTTTCCTTTTAGTTTTGTTTTCCCTTTTTCCGAAGACAGGGGGTTTGGAGATGGAGAGGGATAAATTCTATAGAGAAGGCGAGATGCGGACAAGATAGAGATCAAATGAATAAGCAAACAAACCAGCAACCAAGCGAGGAACAAAGAGGTGAGGCAATTTTCAAAAAGATATATTGTAAAAAAGATTATCTATCAGTCTAAATATTTTTCCCAACGCTATCATTACAATAATCCATCCAGATATCCTTATATTCAACTCCAACCCATTAAATCACAACCCATCCAAATCTATCATAATCCATCCATGTTATCCAATGCCTATGTTCATCAAGTCAAAGTCGACATCCCAAATTTATTGAGGAGCAACGATAACACCTCTGTATCTCATCTTGCCATCCTCGAGTTTCTTCATGGCCTCTTGGATACCTTCCTCGCTCATTGGGAATTGCTCAATGATTGGCTTGATCTCGTGGTGTGCAGCGAATGCCAACATATCTCTGTGGACTTGTCTAGCTGCGACCAAAGATCCTTGGATCTTGAACTCGTTCAAGATGATTGGCATGTATGGGATGCTCATATCTTCGAATGAGACGGTCAATGGGTAGATGGTAGCTTGAGGAGCCATGATCTCCATGAATTGATGCCAGTTTGGTTGGAAAGAGGTGGTGACGATCAGGTGATCAATTGGAGCTGAGATCTTGAGTTCGGAGACACCCTTCGTAGCGACGAATTCAGTGGCACCGAGGGAAAGAGCCTCCTCTTTCTTAGCGTCAGTGGAGGAGAAAACAACAACTTCACAACCCATCTTGGCGGCGAATTGAATGGCCAAGTGACCAAGTCCTCCAATACCGATGATACCGACACGCTCGCTTGGCTTGACACCACCGTTGAAGGAGCGGAGAGCATTGTAGACAGTGGCACCTCCACACATGAGAGGAGCGGCATATTCGCGGGCAAGGTTATCAGGGATCTTGAAGAGGAATCCGGCATCCCAGACTGCATGAGTTCCCATGGATGCTTGGTCCAAGTTGGCCTCACCATACATGACACGGCCGGCGCAGAGAGTTTCGTGACCAGTGAGACATTGCTTGCAGTCATTGCAAGAGTTGTGTTGGTAACCCCATCCGACGGAATCACCCTTCTTGATGTTCTTGACAGCAGATCCAACTTCCTGTGAAACTGTTAGTTATTTGGTTTTATGAAAGTGGTGTTTCCAGTCAAGTCTAGGCGGGAATGAAGATTGATTGGTATCTATTGCATTATGCGACAGTTCCGCTCAAATTCCCCAATCCCGCTAGGCGAGTGGAAAGGGCGGAAGATAAGGAGTGAAAGTACCCACCTGAGCAACACCAGCACCCTCGTGGCCTAGGGCCATATCGGCATGTCTGTAATGTTCATCGGTACCGCAAAGACCCTGTTATATGATGTTAGTGATATGTTCGGAGAATATTTGATGCAGCTGCTGGGATATCCCAATGCTTCGATTGCATATGCGAGCAACTTTGGGAATAGTGGATTGTAGTACTTGGAATTAACTCAAGGTGGAATTGGGTCTCTTACCGAGTGAGTGATCTTGACCAAGACTTCATTGGCACCAATTTCTCTGGTGGTGGTAGCCTTAACGATCTTTCCCTCCTTGGAACCCTTGAAGACAGTGAATTCAACCATTTTGATAGATGTAGCGGTGGATGTAGAAGAGTTGAAAGGTAGTATTGGTTGTTGATTGAGTATTGAGTAGGTGGTAGTGGGTAGTGAGTACTGAAGATGTGAAGAGTTGATTGATTGTTGATTGTATTGATGATGTTGATGATAGTGAAGAAGAATATAAAAAACGAGAACAAACCTGATGTATATATATACCGATCCTCAAGTCGACATCAACCCCGAACCCAGCGAGTATTTGCTGGCATGATGCAAATATTCCCACCTACTCTCACAAACTCCGAAATCAATGACATGTTTTCGATCCACTCCATAGGGCAAAATTGAATCTAGAATAAATCGTAAGTAGTCTCCGAAACGACACGTCTTTCCTAATATGGAGATAATCCGTTGCTATTTAGTCTTCCATTTTATTCTGCGCTACCAGAAACTTGTCACTCCTGGCTTGAATCCCGCTGATAATCGGATCGAGTGAAAAAAGAATTTGATAGCGGCAGGAGTTTGGAATGTGCCGGAACTCAAACGGCATCACATCGGGGGGATAGATGGAGTATCCTAGTCTCCTTATCTCAGAAAAGAAACTCTAACTCCGATGAACCAAAACAGGTTATCAGATATATCTCGGTCATCTATGGCATTTTTAATTATGTAAGACATGGAAAAGTGTTCCTGTTGGCACACTTATGTTTCGGGAATATCAATGATTGGACGAATTGATGTTCAAACGCCGGAGTACCAGCATTACTGACATTGCAAAGTCATGCTTATTCAGCCTTTCCCTCTTTCATAAATTGGAGATTCGGACTTGACATCTACCATTTCTATCTTTAGGGGCCACTTTCGGCAATAAACCTTTAGGTCACTGGTGGCCTCACTGGTCTGTCATGCATAATCGATACATTTACCGACTTTAACTGTTTTGGTCAATTTGTTTCACGGAGGCTAGCCTGTTGTGAACTGATGATAGGTTGACAGCCGAAAATCTCTTTTCGAAGCCCAACTTGTCTTCGGAGCTTCAGGAGTTCCAGAACGAGAAAATTTTGAAGGTAAGAAGGTCGTATGTTCATCGTTTCTCTCCATTATTGCCATTTTGCCAACAAGTTGATTACTTGCTGTCGGGTACTTATTGCCATCTTACCTCGGCCGCTATATTAATCTTCCATTAGAAATTGTATCCGTTTTTTATTTTGATGTTTATTGCATTTCTATTTGTTTCATTAACTATCAATGCTTGATAACTTATTACCGTCATACCGGGCTCGGTTGCCATCTTATTCTTTCATGAGGATCGTGTGGATTTTTTGGATTTTAATACCCATCGAGAATCAATGCTGTCTCTTTTCATATTCCGCTTATTAGACTTAAGACCCGCTGGCCTACCTCTCCTCCGACATACGCGCTACTTTCACCTTCTTCCTCATCATCTACCTCGACAGCAGCTTCATAGGCTTTCATGACCATTTCTTCATCAACCCTCAATCCTTCTTCCACCAACAATTGAATGACCCCCTTTATTCTCGCAATTTCCCTCCTAGTTTCTGGAGTTATTTCGTCGTTTTGACTTGAATATGCCGCGCTGCTAACACTCTCCTCGATCCTTGTAATAGAAGTTTCCCCATCTTTCACTTCGACGTTTTTGCATATCCAGATAAATCCATTGACCCCCAAAATGACATCTACCTTCCCTCCGTTGTGTACTGTATCGATAGTCCAGACTTGTCTTCTGGCGCGAACTACACCTCCACCACCACCGGTTCCACTAACAGCCATGAAAACACCATTCCTTAGTTTTCCATATTTCAAACTTCTCGTATGCAAACTAGCACTACCATCTTGATATAATTGTTGGACTTCGGCAACCAGTAAATCTCCTTCGGAAAAGAATGTTCGTATTTGAAGTTCATCAGTTTCCGTTCTCTTTCTTTGAATTCCTCCTGGAAGGTTGATCGCAGATAGTGGTAAATTTGCAAGAACAGGAGCTCCAATATCCACACGCCACCTCTTACTTTGAACTTCTATAATTCGTCCGACAACAAGATCACCAATTTCTGGCGTATAGCGGGCGCGTAATGGTCGTACTGAGAGAAGCTTGTTCGTTTTCTGAACTGTACCTGCGACGGTTCCTATAATTTCAGTACTTCCGGGAGCTACATGTGTGCCATGACCTCTAGAAGTATTGTTAGCTATGACTGTTGCTTGCGGCTTTTTGTAGGTTAAAAGGAGTTATACCTCATCCATTGAGGATCATCCGTGATTATTTCACCAGGTGTAACAATCTCTTGATGCTTTGCCCGTTTGGACGGTCGCATATCAAGATCGCCTTCCAAATCAACACCTCCATCGTCAGATTGATCAGAGGCATCTTCTGTATGATGAGGAATGGCGGCAGAAGTCGGTGCAATAATTGTAATTGCCATGATGTAAATAGAAAAGTACAATTTTTTTGACACGAGGCTGTGAACATTGATACAGAACCAATGACCTCCAACTCGTAAACATTTTGCTTAGCGCGAGGCCTCGCAAAGCCAAGGCTGAAAGACTTGATTTGAGAAGGCTTGGCGCACGGTCAAGTGGTAAATCTCCAATCAGAAGTTATCGTTTTCAGTGGTTCCAAGAGGGAAACCACTTCTTTTTAATCGAGGATTGACAATTACATCATCAACCAGCATGTCTCAAAGCATCCAATACCTGATGCAATTTGATCACGATAGAGATATGTTACCTTTCCGTAAGTATTAAGCACATTCTTTTCTTTCCATTTCTTATCATAGACAATTCAGAACAACTACATCAGTCATTTTAAAGTTTACAAAATCTTAACTTTGCAATTCTTTTCATTCGTTCGTTGTCTTTTCCGAAAATTCCGTGAAGGTCACAAAAACATACGTATCTGCCCCATGGCGAGCGCATAAACTATTTCTATCTATTAAACATGCCGGAGTTCAATGCATTCAAAGATGAAGAGATCAAAGAGACCGAACATCATAACCATTTAGGCCATCTAGGACATCATGATGGAGGATCAAATACACAATTAGAGAATGAAGAAATGCGGAATGCACAAGATGTGCTGGACACCAACACGCCACCTCAGCCGCCAGAATCATCAACGCACAATCTTCAAACACCGAGTCAAATTTCATCACCTTCACAAACATTCGGGATAAGAGAACCATTACCTCCTTTACATACACCACATCGGAGGAGGAAAACGATATTATGGGTTGGACTTATCCTCGTGACGCTTGACCTTGCTTGCCTTCCAATTACATATTACTATGCATTGAGTTTTGGCACAGGGCTGAAGTTACAAGATAGTAAGCCCTTATTCATTATTTCTACCCATCGTTTCACCAGTTTTAATCATATACACTTAGTCTTCGCTATTATAACAAGTGTATATGGAATGATTAGTTTCTCCCATTACGCTTTTCGATCGCTGAAACTCTTTCGCGCGAAAACAGCGACAAGATGGAGACCAGTAGGATGGACTAAATGGGGAATGGTAAGCTATTGGAGTCAATCAATGGTTTGAATTCGTCGCTAATAAATTTTCAGCTTGAGTTCCTCCATATCAACTTCATGATTGCCATTACCTTCGTAGAAATAGAACTAATAATAGGAACCATTCCGTCCCACCCATGGGTGCGCTTATGCGCTATGCCTTCCCCTACGATATGCTACTGGTTCGGATTCATGTTTTTATACTCTGCGATTCAAACAATGCGAAAAAAGACACTGCCGTTCAACATGTCGTCGACAGCGAAGGGGACGACATGGCGACCTGCAATATTAGCCATCATCGAAGATGCCGGCGGAGTAGAAGGTCAAGGAGGAGTCGTATATCGAAGCAACGTAATGAGGAGATACGAAGTCAGTCCGATATTCCGACGGATGATGATGGTCCTAACCTGGTTTTGGGGCATTGGTCTCGTCTGCATTGCCATCATTTCAACAGTCATCATAATGACGTTACCCGAAAATATCGGTTTCGGAGTCGGGTGGGGATTGCCATATATTTTCGGTTTCGTTTGGGTTTGCCTCACGATGGTATTTGTGAAGATGCAACTGCGGAAGGAAAAGAGCCATTGGGAGACGAAAGATTCTAGCGAGGGGCAGGCGGTTGCGGAATATGCTTGAGCGAGCGAGAAACATTTGTATATTTATTGTTAGATACCATGATGCATTCATAGAACATTTTTTTTAGGCATCTTTCATCCTCTCATCCATCCTTCATCTGTCTTGTAATATTATCTCACTCCCAGTGAAGGGAATGCCCCAAGCTCTTAAAACGCCAACCTTTATTCACGAGATTCTCGTCCCGTAGTCCCAGACATTCTAATTCTTCAATCTCCAAAGTCCCATGCCAACAAGCGTCAATGCAATACCAGTAATACTAGTCTGCCGACTCCTCATGCCAAACACGGATTTGCTCTTGAGGATTTTCGATTCTTGAGCTTTTAGTTGGGATTGCCCGGAGAAGTAACTGTAGATTCCTAGGCCGATGAATGCGGCGGATCCTGTTGGAGGGGTTTAGAACATTGTTTGTGGGGTTTTGAGGGTAGTTTTGTAAGATTATGAGCGCAGTGAGGCAAAAGATAGGGCACATGAGAGAAATTGCGGGAACTAGAGAAATGGAAGGCGGAGGAGGGAATTAGGAGGAACTTGAGGAGGAATTAGAAGGGTAGCAGAGGAAATCATACCTGTAAGTCGACATGGTAAACAATCATCTTTCCATTGTGCCTCATCTTTCTTCAGCACATCGGTGAGTCTTTCCTGTCGATCGAGGGATTGTATAGAATTTGGTGCCATTTTGTATTCTGTGAGTTGTTTGTCTCACTCGTATAATTATTTATTTGAAGCTTGTTCAAAGCTGGGGAATTCCGCACTTGAGAATTATAAGCGGCCGCCCCACGAGGAGCATCACAAGCATCCATTCAAATCATTGTCCAAGGTACAAGTTCTAAAACAAATGTCTTGATAATATTCAACGGAAAAATGAATGGTGCTATTGAGGCATTGTATATTTATGATGAACATAAGTAAGTAATTCCCTCTGATTTATAGCTTTAATTTTTTCTGCGCACTGCCTCTCTCACTCTCCTGGCTCCCAGATTCCCAAGCTCCCATGCTAACTAATGCAAGTCGACCTCTCCTCCAAAACACCTATACCTCGCGGCCTCTCTCCTCTACACAGCTCCTCCCGCTTTACCTCGCCCATCCTGCCCCACGACCTAGTCTGATATACCTTCCCAACACATTTCCGCCCACTCTTCTTTTCAGCCTCATTCATTCAAACCTGCTATTCTGCCTCACTTCCTCCTCAGAAATTGAACCCCTCCTAGCTCTCGAGTTCTTACATCGAGTCATTGATGTCTTAGAAGAGTTTGTGGGTGCGCCATTATTGGCGCAAAAGATAGAAAGTAGCTATGATGTTGTTGCTCAGCTTTTAAATGAGATGTGTGATGCGGGCGCAGTTAGCTCGACAGAACCTAATGCTTTAAGAGATATGGTGGAGGTAGAAGGATGGATTGGAAAGCTTCTAGGGGGTATAACTATTCCTGGGTTAGTATATACACTTCATGGGATACGGTTGGAAATTTAGAAAGGGTACTAAGACCTCTACAGAAAACCCGGCTTCGCAACTCCCTCTACTTCGGGTATGTCTGGATTATCCTCCACAGGAACACTCGCAGCGAATACACCAGCACTCCCTTGGAGAAGAGCAAATGTACGACACACTTCGAATGAATTATATGTGGATTTGGTTGAATCACTCACTGTTACTCTTGCGCCGTCTGGTCGACCATTGGCTGCGTTTGCAAATGGAACTATTGCGTTCACATCAAAGATATCCGGAGTACCAGATCTACTTTTAAATTTGTCCACGCCATCTGGTAGACAAAATGTGAGCAGTGTTATGGAATTACCAGTATTTCATCCATGTGTGAGGTTAGCGAGATGGAGAGAAAAGCCAGGAGAACTAAGCTTTGTACCGCCAGATGGACGGTTTGTTTTAGCTGGATATGAGGTAGATTTACTCCCTTCTACGGGCGGAAAATCTGGTACTACAAATGCATCTCATCTAAAGTTACCTGTCAATATCGAAGTTAAAACTAGTCTTGGTCCTACCGGGTCTGATTTCGAGGTTCGACTATTCATTGTCAAGGTTTCTGGTCAGGGTAATTCCTCTTTATCCTCAGGTTCAAATTCCAGGGGCAATAGCAATGCCGCAGCACATTTAAGCCGGGCCGCGTCGCAGTTTAGTGGTGGCAATATTGGTGGCAGTAGTGGTAATAGCACATCACCCATCATCGAAGACTTAGTAGTTACGGTACCATTGCCAGCTGATGTACGAAATTTATCCGAGATTAAAGCGAGTAGAGGCGACACAACATATAATCCAGGCGAAAAGAACCTAGAATGGCATATACCAGCCAGAGATGCCATGGTAGGTGGAGCAACCTTGCGATGCACAGTAGTGGGACCATTATCAAGCGAAGAAGAGTACGATGGGAATGGTTTCAGACTTGATGGAGAATATGATTATGACACAGAAACATATCAAAGCGCCCCGGAGAAAACGAAAGTGGAAAGTACCTCGAATAATGAAAGCAAAGATGCAAGAAAAGTAGCGCAGAATAAAATCCTGATGCCTAGTTCGGCGGCAGTTAGCTTTTCAGTTAAAGGGTGGCTAGCTAGTGGTATCAAAGTGGAGAGTCTAACGATTGATACGAGGAAGAGCAGAGGAATGGGAGAGGGCATTAAACCTTATAAAGGGGTTAAGTATTTGACGGTTAGTAGGGGTGGTATTGAGGTTAGGTGTTAAGTCATGTTAAGCATTTAGGTTGTGGATAAGGCGGATTTAGGCGTCTTGGTCGATGGTAGGTATGCATATTTATAGAAATGAAGGAATAGGGAGAGATACCATTCCTGAAAATTGAATCCAATTAAAAGGATTCATGAACGCTACCAGAGCTGTGCTACTGAAGTAGAAACTTAGTAGTTCTACAATCAATCAATTTCGAATATCCAGGCAAAACCAAAAACAAAAAGGCGAAAAACAACAACATACTCCTCTCCCTCAACCCTAACCAACCCCGTCAATATCCCCCCCTCTTATTCCCCATCCTCATCTCCTCCTCACTCATCGGTACATACCCCTCCAAAATCGTCCGCTCCATATTCCCTATACATTTCTTTTCCCTCCTCTCACCCCTCTCAATCTCCCTCGCGCGTATCTCTTCCAAGTTCATAGGTACGTATCCTTCGAGAATCGTTCGTTCCATGTCTCCTATGTGTTTTTTTGGTTGAGATTGAGGTTGGGATTGAGATTGAGGAGGAAGTTGGGGAGATAGATAGAGAATGAGGTTTTTGCGGGTTAGTTTTGCTGGTGCGGCTTTATTTTGTGGTTGTGGTGGTAGGAGGGGAGAGAGGGGAGCGGCTTTTTTGTTGTTGGAGGGATGTGCGTCTGGTTTTTGTACTTGTACTTGTATTTGTTTTTGGGTCTGGTTCTGGTTTTGTACTTGAGCTTGCTGTTGAGCGAGTAAAGCTGCGGCTTTTATAGCTGCAGATGTATGATTAGCAGGTACATTAGTGCGGATTCGAGCAGGGTATAACTTTGCCGCTTCGGCTTCGGCTTGTTTATGAAGGCGCTCCTGCTGCTTTATGTCTTCCTCAGCTTTGAGACGGGCTGCTTTTTCTGCTTCGGCCTTGATTACTTGGGCTTTAGCGCGTTGTTTTTCGAGAGCCAGACGTTCAGTTTCTGCTTTCTGACGTGCTTGTTCTTTCTCCTTTTCTCTCTCTAATTCTCGTCTAACCTTCTCCAATTCAAGAGCTCTACGCTGATTCTCCAAATGTCTTTGCGCTTCGATCCGTCGTTGTTTTTCCTGCGCTAATCGTTCTTCTTCTTTCTTTTGAGAAATTTCTTTTTCCCTTTCCCTTTCTCTTTCTTGTTCTTGTTCTTGTTCTTTTTCCCGTCTAATTTTTTCAAGACGAATAGTTTCGACTTGAAGAAGTGCTGCTTTTTGCTGTGCTAGACGGGCCTTATATGCTTCTTCTTTCTGTCTCTCGATGCGATGAGCGATAGCTTGGTGCTGGGTTTGTAGTTCAAGTTTTTTGAGATGGGCTGGATATTCTTCTTTGGCTTTAGGAGTAGATTTTTGATGGTGATTATCTTTCTGTTCTTTTTCTTTTTGTAATGCTAGTTTCTCTTTTGCAGCACGATCATTTTCCTCATTTCCTTTTTTCACTCTCGAAGCTTCGAGGGCTTGGACTCGCAGAGCTTTTTTATTTGTCTCTTGTTGTGCTTTTTCGCGTTCTTCCCGAGCTCGTTTGGCTATGTGCAGATTTTTGGCTTCGAGTAGGCGTGGTTTTTCTACTTCTTTCGCGAGGCGCTTTGGATTTGTGGATTCTGGCTCTCTTACTGCTGGAGAGGGTGAAGGTGAGGGTACTGATTTTGCCGGAGTTTTGTCTAAAGGAGGTGTAGAGTCTCGAGTTTCTTTCTCCTTATGATTATTCCGAGGCTTGGACACTCGTATATCGGATTCCTGATAATCATATCGAGCTAGTTTCTCCCCAGAGACTCTATCTCGTTCTTTACCATCTGTTCTCTCCCCCACGGTACTGCGTCTTCTTCTTCTCCTTCTACGTGGCTCGTCCCCGACGTAACCATCATTTCTACCTCCTTTCTCAATGCCCTTCTCATCACCTTTAGAATACAAAATACCTTTCCCCACAACTCCTCTCCCACTTCCACTTCCACTTCCACCTCCACCTCCACTTCCATTTCCATCCCCAGCAACCCTCTGTCCCAACGCCATAATCCCTCTCCCAATACTCTGCCGACTTATTCGCAGAATTCCTCGTTTTTCTTCCTTCCCATCCTTCCAATACTTATCCTCCCCTAATCTCGCTCTACCCCGTCTTCTCCATTCCTCAATTTCAGATCCAGTCTCGTGACCAACGCGATTATTTAATCCTCTTTCTCTTTCTCTTTCTGTTCGTCTTTCATGGCGTGCTTGATGACGTGCTAGTTTCTGCGCTTCTGTTTCTTTTTCTTCTGGTTTTCTTTTGGGTTCTGGGGCTGGGGATGGGGCTTTGGGGTTGGGAGTATTTGGTTGGGTTTCTGGGGGAGGGTGTTGCTCTGCGGAGGACTGTGGTGGCATGGTGGAGTTTGAGGGGTTGAGGTTTGGGGTTAGAGTGATGGGTTGGATGGGAATGGGAATTCAGCGGGGAAAGAAGACGGTAAAGGTGAGGTGAGAAATATAAAAGATGATTTATTTTCCCTATTCCAGGAATTTGTAGATAGATAGGATAGATAGGTAGATAAGTACATGAAATGGCAGATATGAAGTAATCTTAACAAGAGGTATCCTCACCATGAATTATCAGTATCGGAGAGGAGAAGGACAAAAACACCTCAATGTGTTTGTTACATATGTAGGTAGGTAGGTAGGTAGGTAGGTAGCTGTAGATATCAATAAAGGTCTTAAAATAAAAACCAAACCTTTTATATGGATGGATGGATGGATTGATGGATGGATGGGCATAGAAACACAACTAGGTATCTGCGATCTGAAGATCTGGGAATAATGGTGCTTTTTTGTTTGAATATTAATGTTAATGTTAATTTGAATGCAAATATGTAAATATGTGAATACCTCACGTAGCAATAGGTACATACCTAGTATGAAGATTAAAACAGCCGTAAGGTGAGGAAGTTGTTGCGGACAAAACTGTTATTGTGTTGTATACCTACCTAGTATTTGAATGTTCTTAAGCTTTGGGTTCGTATACCTAATAAGATATTGTGTTTGTACCTAGGTAGTCTTAATTTATGAATGTAATGTGATGAGAGTATCTAGGTAATATGATATAGATGTATAAGATCTTATAAATAACCTAACCTAACCAATACTCTCCAAGTAAGTAAGGTGAGCTGATATTGTAATATTGTGGGTTTTCCATTCAATTTAATTCATCTATGGGTAGATATCTAGGTAAGACTTATAAAGTAAGTTGGTTGGTGATATTCCCTGGGTATGCATGGTTATTGGGTAGGTATTGCAGGATTGGTTATTCATATTATTGGGGAAGTGAGATGTGAGATGTGAGATGTGTAGTGAAATGAAATCTATTGTGCGTTCTATATCTATTGTGGTATTTGTATCCTTGGTACCATTCAAGGTTATCTGTAAATCTGCTTTGTATCTTCTAGCGGCCCCTGCTTTTGCTTCTGCTCCTGCTTCTTTTATTTTCTCCATGGTCAATCTTGTATCTTTCTTGAAACATGTTAAATCTAGGTATGTATTCATGCATCCATCTTTTTCCCGCCTCATTATCTCGCTAGAAAGTACCATTAAATCAAAGCGTATTGTAGCAACTTCCCCCTTCACTTTCCAAGTCATTTCGTCGATGAAAGCACATCTTCCAAATATTCACAGTCCTCCCATGAACCCACAAGCTCTTTCATTAAAATTAACCCCTGTTATCATATCTCCCATAACTCCTCAGTCTCAACCATCCCCTTAACAAGTACCTCCAAGTTCCCTCTAGCTCCCTCCTCCCCCTTCTTACAACTTTCCAATACTTCCCGCACAGCTAACCATTCTCTCTCACTCATTTCCCATCCCTGAAGTTTGATCAGTTGTTTTACGGTTGTACAAGCTAAGAAATCTTCAGGTAGGATTTCATGCGCGAGTGAGGGGATGAAAACTGCGCCTTTGAGGGCAAAGTCTTTTGGGAGCGGATGCAGGGGAGAGTAGTATATTGGTTTTGAACTGGAATTGCTGGATACTTTTGCAGGTTTTATGGGTGGTGGAATTTTTGGTCCTGAGGATGGTATCGGGGGTGTAGGTTCTGGGGTTGGGAGGGAAGATTGTGGAGGAGTTGATGGGGGTTGGGAGGGTGGAAGAGTGTTGTATTTATAGAAGGGGGGGATGTAGGATAGTTTGTATGGTTTATGAGCAGGAGAGGATGGAGGAGAAGGAGAAGGTGTATGAAGACGAGGAGAGCGCCGAAGAGGAGGAGGAGGTGGTGGTGGTTGTCTCGTAGGTGCCACCGACTGCGGGTTATCGTCTAAACTTATGTTTGAGGGAGATTCAGCTTGTAAACGATCTGAAAAATCAGGTGGAGGAGGTCGATGCGCGTATGGTGAGTGTGTTGGGGATGGCGGTTCGATTCTAACATGAGGAGGAGGCAGAGGTGGCAGAGGCGAGGGTAATGGGTGGCATTTAGATTCTGAAGGTGTAGCTTTTCGACGCGCTGTTTGGAAATAGTCTGACGTCATTGGAGATTGTTTTGTAAGTTGTGGTGAATTGTAGTTGTGAGGGTGTATTGGTTGAGAAGGAGGGTATTTCGGAGGAGGCGGTGATGTGTTTGTAAAATAAGGATTTAATGATTGTAGAGTAGAAGGTGATCGAGACGATGGCAAAAATGGCGATGGTGGCGATGGGGCAGAAAAGTAGGGATTTAATGACTGGAGGAGACTAGATGGTATTGTTTGTGTTGAGAAGTGAGAACTTGGTGGTGGAGGTGGAAGAGTAGATGATGGTCTAAGTATTGATTCAGAAGCTGCAATCGGAGGTGTTGAAGGAAAATATTTCTTAATCAATAAGTCCGATAACGAAAATACCCCTGAAGTCGATGGCGCATGAGACAGTGCAGTATCTTTGAATAAAGGCTTCTGCTGAGTTAAAGGAAACGATGTTTGAGGCGTAAAACTTGATGCTGGACTAAGCGAAGGAGTTCTCTGAGTGGAAGGGAATAATGTTTGAGATGTGTGCGGTGAGTTTGAGCGAATCGAAGGTGTCTGCTCGGCAGGGGGAGAAAACAATGATTGATGTGAATCTGTCGGTGGTGTTGTTCTAGCACGAACAGGATTTAACGACCCAAGAAACGACGTTGAGGGTGAGGATCTAGATATTGGTTTAGTGCCCGGAGGTCGAATATACACGGTGTTCCGTACTGCAGGTAAAGGATCCGACGTCAGTGGTTGTGGATTTGAATTTTGCGCAGCGAAACGTACTACAGTTGGAGAGAGACCATATTCCATTTTTCTGGGGATAACTTGGCTTGAATCTGACGACAGATCATTATTTCTACGCAATTCTCGTCTAGAACTCTCTCGTTGTGCGATGAGATCCCCAAGAGAATCGTATCCGGGTACAATAAAACTCTCTTGTCCTGTATATATATCGAAAGGTGGCGGTGATTTTAAAGCAGATTTCAAACTCTTGGGCGGTGGAAGTTCTTTAAGAGAACCTGTTTGAGGGAAAGCATCTTTAGTAGCATTTCGGACCAAAGTATCGTCGAAATGTATAGTTCTACTTCCTTGTCCTAATGCACCTGACATCGAATACTCTTGGGGGCCCGGAACTTTTGAAGTTGATGGGCTGTGAGAAGGTGTTGGTGGAGGAGACACAATATCCATTTCATCAGCAAATCTAACCTTTCGCTTCTTAGCTACGGGGGCAAGCTGAGGAAGTAAATTCGATTGTTCCATGTCTTCATCTGGGTCTGATAAATCCAGTGCACTTCTGACACGTTTCGATTTCTCAGTTTTCTGCTCATCATCACGTCCAGTCCACACAACAGCATTTACCGTTGCTTCATCCCCAATCTGACAATCTTCCAACGTCTCATCGCCTTCTAACTCTCTATCTGCGTAAGAAAACGCACATTCATAATCACGACGAGGGATGATTTTTCTATTAAATAGTGAACTTATGAATGTTGCTTTGACAAATGATATGCGAGAACTTGGACTGAGATTTAAGAGCGTGTGTGTATCGGTAGTGGTCGAGATGTAGAGAGTTTTGCATGGTCTATAAGTTTCAGCTAGGAGAACTGAGTCGTCGTCATGATCTCCTTGGAAATCATTAGTTTGGAATGTATTGTATGCCATGTTTTTGAATTTGTATTCGTTATTGAAACTTTCCATGAGAAGAGTGGCATCTAGAAGAGTGCGTGAGAAATATTTTCTGGATATTTGGGTAGTAAGAATAGCCTTTGTTTGACGAGAAATCTAAATTAAGGATTTGAGAATGCTTTGTATGTCTTTAGCTTGAATCATCCCTTTGTCTTAGTAAAGTATTCTAAGCCTCAATATATATTGACAACGGCTAGGTATTTATGTCTTCCAATCAGAACTAAGAACAAATTATGACTATTGACTGAGGTCAAGACTCGTGTTCCTTAAATGCATCTTTGAATGAACTGAAATAATTATCATATGACTCGAAGAACAATCAGCTCGTTGATAGGATTTTTGGCAGTTTGGACTGCAATGTAAAATGGAAATCAAAAAACCGTGAAAAGCCGTGTGCAAGCTCAAGAGTCTATGGATAGTCATAATCTGGGGTTGTTCATTATTCTATATAAATTCAACATTACAAATTTGAAGATCAAGGCCTTTTATTATTGCAGTACCATCTGTGCTATTGATGTAGCTCTGGATAGGAACAACTTGGATATGTTTCTCATATCACATTTGAATGATATGTTAAGGATTAGACGTAACAATGAAATACTAGACAGTAGTAAGTTCTCAACTATACCATGATTTGAGGTGAGGACATCCAAGGGAAATGGGGATCAGGATTCATTAAATCCAATTGAATTGTCATGAATAGTACGGGAGACAGCTGGCTTGGTGTGAAATTGGTATTATCTCATTGCGTCAAACGAGGAATCCCAGGAATCCCGTGATATGTACTGGACAGAATAGACCAATGATAAACAAATTCAAAGTGAAAAGTGCTCAAATTCTTCACCTCCAGTCGACTCTGGGGCGGACACTACTGCAGCACAATCTTTTTATGCATAAAAACACCAGTACAAAAAGAAAAGCAATGAATCATTACTGAGATGTTGGACACCCAGAAAGAATTCAGAACAGTTCATCGGGACAGACGCAGAAATATAGGAAAACTTGTTGATGGGAAATGGGTTTGGGGTGAGTGGCATAAACTTTCAACACGCACGGCATTCACTTCTAGCTCCTCTACCAAATATCAACAAAGTAATGCACCATCCTTTCCCACACAAAATTCAGTTATTTTTAATGGGCTTACCATTGATGTCACAACCAACCTCGAGAATACGGTGATATCTGGTCAGAAACAAGACATTATTTCCCATGATTTATCAATTCTAATCATGGGTGAAAAACGTCGTCAACGTGGAAATCGAAGCATCTCAAGTGGAGGTTCTTCATCAACAGGAACACCGCGACCAAATCCTCCATCAAGCTTTCTCAATTCTATTGATACACTTATCGCAACACCAAGTTTCCTTGATTCTATTCCACCACCTTTTCAACCTGCTGTTACTTCTCCTGTACAAACTTTCAGACATGTCAACATTCTTGATTTTCCTACTGCTGAACGCGTTGCAGATAGCCCATTTATGTATTCACCAAAACTATCATCAAATGAAGGGAGAATGGTTGAGAAGTCTAAACCAAGCAGCATTGTTGCTAAGCCAGCTGGAGACAAGTCATCCAGTCTCGTAGTTGACAAGGAAGCTGATGAAGCAAGAACTCTCCAGAATCTTAGGTATTCGGAGTGGAATATGGAACCTGAACCTCAACTGCCTGCCCAAAGAACTCAAACTTTTCCCAAAGATGTTCAGCCTCGTATTAAAGAAGCTCAATATTACCTCAAAGGTCGTCTTGGCAAAGGCGCACTTTGTATCAACACTAACTTCCCACCAGATAAAAAAGTCCCTGGAGCAACCACACAAAAGAATTCCGAGTATCCTCATTCGAGAAAAGTCAAAAAAGACCCTTCAGCCACTACAAAACCCACCTCGAATGTCAATTCATATTTCGGACAACCACAAAAGCTACAGCCTTTACCTTCCAAGCCAAATAATCAAATGCCAGAAAGATCTCGTCGTCAAACATACGAGACAGTCAAGGTTGATACATTGCCAAAGGAGCTTCGAGAACATGGTGCTCCAGTCCTCCACTTTAATACCCCACCTGCCATAAAGGCTTACAGAGAAAGATATTTACCTTCAATTCAAACTGGTTCTCCAACCTCGAATAAATTGAAGATGACAACTGGTGCATCAGCATTGGAATTGTCAGCGCCAAAAATGGGAACTGTTCTATCGACTTTATCGCCAAAGAGATTGTTCTCAGCACAACCCGCTGACCCGGTACCAGCAGAAGCAAATAATGTGCTTGGGCTCCCAACAAACCACCCATCCGTCACCGATCCTGGAAAATATGGATCATTCCAGACACCAGGTGCTGTGCCATACAACTTGACCCCTTCTCCTGCTGCTAGCGTACAAGAGAACGATTACTACGAGCCTTATAATGGTCGTTCACCATCTCGCTTCGACAGCGGTGTTAATATCACCGATTCTCCTCCCATTTCGGTAAATGAGGCAGCTCCAACTTCAATAACTAAAATCATTTCTCCAGTATCCAGGGCTTACAGTGCTGATACAGCAACTCCGGCTGACGAAGAAATGAAAAACATAGGCAACCAGGCACACACCTCGACCATCAACAACTACGCGACTTCTGCGATCCTCGGAGCTCGAAATCCCGACACGCACGCTGCAGCTAACGCGGGGATGCGGGAAATTATTGATTTGACTGAGGAGTCACCCGTGATAAATGGTGGAGCTTCTCCAGCCTTAGGCAGTCCCGATGCACAAAGCCAGAGGGATGAAGGGATGGAGGATGTACTTGAGGTGAAAGAACAGATCAGGAACTCAATCGGACAAACCTCGGACATGGTAACCTATGCGAATCCTCTAATCCTCAGAGCTCGCGACTCCAATTCTCATGTTAGAATTCCATCTTCTAATTTCTGCGAGGGCCATCTTCTGTCGCGGATCGGCTCAGTTGCAGAGCGGGCACGAAATTCAACGTATTCCCTGGAACTAGAACTAGAGCTAGAACTGGAATCTGAGGCTGAGCCTGAAGCTGGGGTTTTTCTGGGCGGAAGTAGGGTCGGGCAGCGGCAAATAATAAATTTGACGTTGTCTCCAACGCCAACGTCGAAGCTCGACGGTTCGCCAGAGTATGATCACCCGGACTGTCTTGAACGAATTGGTGATGAGGATACTGGCGCCAATCTTGCTGAAAGAGACAGTTTCATCGCACAAGGCCATCATTTTCACAATCGTGATGGACGCGCCCCCTCTCCGGAAAATTTTGACTCCATGTCAAGCAGAAGAGTTCCTGCGCAAAATATGAGCGGCTCATCTGAGGAGGCCAATTATTTGGTCAGGGACCAATTCGGCGATTCTCAAGATCAATTTGAAGTTGCTACCCTCACAGAACAAAACAGATCGAATGCTAGGTCTCCAAACGGTAAATCTCTAGAAGATAATGATCCTTATGATGAGAGAAGTCCTGTACTATCAGCACCATCTGCTGAGCGTGCTACAATCACTGATATAGTCACATCTATCGAGGATGACACATCTCTGGAGCTCGAAGTATCTGGCGAAGGAGACGCGATGGAAGTTGACGAATCTGCTGAGGTTGACCCCTCCTTCAAGGTCACCGCACCTGCTGAAGGCGATGCCATGGATGTCGACGAACAACTAAGCTCTGATCTTTCCGATGTCCCCAGCGATGCCGAGTTAGGCCCTTTCAATGAAGAAAGTGAGAGATTCATGAGTGAGAAAGAGGTACAACAGGCAGTACTTGACGCTCTAACGGTTTCTGTTTTCCCGAAATCACCACCGTCAAGTATGGTCGATGACGAGAGAGCTTTTGAGTTGGCAAAGCGTGGAGCATATTTTACTCTGGCACACGCGCTCTTCAGTGCTGTTCCCAAGGAAGTCTACGACCAGATTTGGAAGGATGAACACGTCCGTCCAAAGATTAGCTTGTCGGTTAACCCTCCTAGATGGATTCGTCCTCTTGATCCTACAATTAAACACCCAGCCAAGGCGGATCCTAGTTCTACTGAGATAATGAAGGTTATACGTGAAATCGAGAAGTTGTTGGTCAGGATTTGGACTGCGGTAGAGTCAATTGTTGTTGTATTGTATTCCGATATTAGCAGTAAGTATTTACCCTCCTTCTCATATAGAAATCTTGCTAACAATCACAGGGGAGTTTACTGTACACGATCTTGATGAGTATTTCCGTCGCTACCAAGTTCAGATTTTTGTTGAATGGACGAGTCTCCACGGCCACCTTCTCACCTTGGCTGAGTGGAAGGACCGATATTTTGCAATCAGCAATATCAAGAAGCGAGCTATCCGTCATAATGCAAATCCATACGCTCGTTTGTTCACGGCCAGGAACCCAGCCGGCATCCTTTTCTATGGAACTGAGAAATATCTTGGAGCTATGAAAGCTGCACTTGCAGATGCTTATCAGGCCAACGAGTGTGTGATGATGAAAGGCCGAAGATGGAAGCATTTGATCGGAATGCATAAACGTGCTTTAGGTGAGGAATATAGTAATTGCCTTGATGGATTGAGGAACTTCAATACAGTTGTTAGGAGAAGAGATTGGAATGTTGAAGGTGCGCCGGTGGCTGCGGTACCTTCTCCTATGGTTGGTATGGAGATGCCTACCAAGGTTGCGTCCAAAGAAGTATCGTCTAAATTGAAGGAGAAGGAGATTGCTGTTGAAGATGACGTCAAAAAGGAGTAGGATCTGCGCGTTACATTAACATGAACTATTTTACTGACATCAAACAGGCCTGATGGTTTGAGCGACGGCGATCCACCTTACTACGAGGCCCCATCCAAGTCCAAGGGGAAGGAGGTTGCTGTTGAGGATGACACTGGAGAGAAGTACGACATCCTTATCTATGGTTATGCAATATTATACTGACATCAAACAGATCCGACGATTTAAGCGACGGTGACCCGCCAGATAACTACGAGGAAAAGGATGATGAGGACGATGAAGACTACGTTGAGAGTCGTTCCCATCTTCGTCGCCGTGGTCCCAAACTCTTCGTCCAACCACCCACTCCGCGTAAGAAGCGCACCTCTGCATTTATCAGCCGTTCAACTTCTCGCTGTGTTTCATCTAGTGATGACATTCAAAGTAACAATAGACGCAGAACTTTATCAGTCGCCCGTTCAACTTCTCGTCACTTTTCTTCTGACGATGAGATGAAAGGCAACAGAGGTAGAAGTTCAACTAATAGTAGCGCAATAGAGTCTGGTGATGAACTACCTAGAGGTCGTTCACGTTACCGGGCTGGTTCCGTTCCAGCACCAGGTCCTATTAAGAGTATCCGAAAGGGAGCTAAGCGACTCATGGTAGAGGTCGATAAGAGTTCAAGCCCGAATACCCCTAAGGATTATTCCGAGACACCTTGAAAAGACGTCGATGGATTGTGAGCTAAGGAGGATGAAGTGTTATGAGATTCCAGAAATCTGTTTATGCAGCTCAGCCCACTGCAAACATTTGGGAGTGTGATATGGTATGATATGATATGATATGATATGCTAGGATACAAAATCATGTTTGATCAGAATACCTAAACTTGTGTCATAGCCATGGTATACCATAGGGCTTTCATTAAACAGGAGTTTGCAGCTTTTGTATTTGAGCGAGTGTCTTGGAAGTCGAGCTCATTTTCCGCTGTGTACTCAATCATCCATCAGTAGTAATTTTCTGACTTCGGCTAGTGATTGCAAGTAGGACCAGGACAAATAGAATGATTTTTAAAATCTGCTGACTCTCGTTTGATATGTGAAGGAATCGAATCTTTGCTTGAAATATCATAGAGCATACCATACACCACACAAAGCCAGCCCATATGGGCGACTGAGGAAATAGTACTTGCATTGTATTACATAGTCCCGAATATCCATTCTAAGCCCGGCCAAAGGCAAAGCAAAGCAAATCAACTTTTCTATAGCACACTCAGCAAGCATATCATAGCATAGCAGAGAACATCATCTATTTACACTTTTGATAGTACACCTTGATCTCCCTTTCTCTGAACTATTCACCCTCTTCTTCTAAACAGCTCATAGGCCTCTCAGAGTACTATTATCTCTTTGATCAATAGGTGTATATCTCTCCTCCAGAGCCTGCTGCACACTCTTATCCAAGTGAGTGGGCCCCTCAAAACGTTCCCTCAAAGCTCTCTCCACATCCGAATTCGTCATCTTCTGCTCTGCGATTCCTACCGCAGCACCGGCTTTTTGGGCAATATCCTTGCCAGCTTCGATACCTCGAGAAACGGCATTACGTACCGATTCACGTGCTGCATCTACTGTTCCTCCCGCTTTCCGTTCAATTTCAGGATACGAAGGAATTTTTAATTTCTGCTTTCATCCGCCCCTGGTACCAGCAACCGACCTCCACCAGCAACCACCGCCTCCTCTCCCTCCCTCCCTAAAATCTCTCAATTTCTCCCCACAACCTCCTCTCCCCTCTCAATGCCCTCTCTCCCCCTCTCCAACCCCAACCCAAGCGCTCTACTAACCGCCCCCTCAATCCCATCTCTCACCCCCTCCCAATCCGTCCTCTGAACCCATCTCACCCCATTTTCAATCTCTGCATTCCAGCGATCCTTCGCCGCTTCAATAAGCGTACTGCGTTCTTCGCGCGCGAGCTCAGAGCGCGTTTTCGGAGGCGGAATCGGCTGTTTTTCTAAGAGCGAGGTGAGGATGTAGGATTGCTGGTGTAGGTGGAGGGATTGAGATGCGCGGTTGCGTTGGTGTGCGAGGACGGTTAGGTAGGCTAAGGAGAGGGTTAGAGTTACGCCGCCGGTCTGGGTGAATGGTGTGTTAGTTATTTATTTATTTATTTATTTATTTCTTTGGTTTAGGTATTCACCCATCATGCGTAGAAAACTATGAGCTGGGAAGCTGTGAGGGGAGCATATACTTACAAAACCGGTTGTAAAACCCATATTTGCGTTGAACTTGGTGCGCCGATTGCGCTTTTCAATATGATATGACGACTCTTATTTCTCAGCTCGTATGGAGATATAAAAATTCAATTGGGAAATTAAAAGCTCGAAAGAGCGTTGTGTGATAGAATTACCTAGGATAGAGTGAAGTCGTAGATAAATACTCAGTACATACGAAGACCTAGATAAAGAAAGAAAGGCAGCGAGCCATCCAGCCCACCACCAAGAATTTTGACAAACGCGGGCCGAAATCTCCAATCTTTCGGCCTCGCCAAAACTTTTCCGCCTCGTCCATCAACCGCCTCTCCTCCCCTCATTCACCCAACCATATAACGCACCACCTTTCCCATTTCGTAAATAATTACATATACAAAATGGCGGGTGGACGCATGAAATATAGACATCTGGGTCGTACCTCTTCGCATCGACAGGCGCTTCTTAGAAATCTTGTTACGTCGCTCTTTACACATGAATCTATCTCGACTACATATCCGAAAGCGAAGGAAGCGCAGAGATTGGCGGAGCAATTGATTACATTGGGGAAGAAAAATACAGAGGCTAGTAAGAGGAGGGCGCTGAGTATATTTTTTGTGAGTTTTGATTCTTGGTTTATTTTACTTTCGGGGAAAGAGGGGGGCTTGTTCGGAAGGGAAATTGGAAGATATGATAGGATATCGATTTCTATATTCCTCTAAATATAATTTGGAATTGTATATAAACACAAACTAATTCCAACCCCTAGACCCCCCACGGACTCCTCCCCAAACTCTTCGGGCCCCTCCGCGAACGCTACGCCCAACGTCCAGGAGGCTACACCCGCGTCCTGCGCATCGAACCACTCAAAGCAGATCAAGCACCTAGCGCCATTCTCGAACTTGTGGATGGACCGAAAGATACGCGCTGGGCGATGACGGCGCGAACCGTCGCACGATTCCGCAGTGAAAGGATCCCGCTGAATAGTATTACGGAGAGGAATGTAGAGAAGGTGACGCAGTTTCGGAAGGGGGGTGAAGAGGCGTTTGAGAAATTTGTGACGAGGGTGGGACAGTTGGGGCTAGGGAAGAAGATAAAGAGGGAGGATGTGCCATTTGATGGAATGGGGAGAAGGGGAGTTGGAGGGAAGAGGAGGAGGGAGAAGAGGTGGGGTGGGTTTATTTAGATGGTTTTGGTGGGGGGAATGTATGGATGGATGGATGGATGGGATGTGGTTTGGACTAGTAGACAGGTATTTGGGCAGGGCTGGGTTATCAATGTCTAAATGGTTTGGTGTGGAGTGATGTACAAATCAGAATTCTGAGACCATACCCCTGGCCACGATACATCTATTACTTCAAGTGGTCTCCAAACAACGATGGACCTGTCACCACAGTCTTGGAGCAGATGCAAAGTGGCTATTTGATGCCAAAGAAAGGGAAATGGTCATGGAAAATATCCTGCACAAAGTACCGAATGTATATGTACTGAAGTAAGATTTGCATGGACAAGGCCTTTTTCCGCGTCTATGTTACATCTACGGATATAAAAACCCAAGTATTAACTAGCTTGAAAGGGTATTATAAGAAATCAAAAGTATCGCCTTTCTCATTGATCATTTTCCCAATCCTTTCTGTCCCTGCTATTCTCTCCAATTTCATAACATCCCATTTAGAAAACACCACGCGTACGCTTCCATCTCCAGGTTCCAGATCACCTTCTCTCACACTTCTACTCAGATATCCTCCGACAATTTCCTTGTAGAAGATGGGGTTGTCGGGTAATCCATACATGATAACCTTTTTAACACCCCTAATTTGGTATCTTCTGAAATGATGGGCTCTTTCTGTATAAAGCAGAATCGTGTGTCGACCACTGTAGAAATGGGATCTTGCTCTGGCAACTTCTTTCGGCGTGGTGTATTCGGAAATACTGCCAAAAGACAAAGTGCTCGTGGTAGCTGAGGTTGAGAAATAATTTCTTACTCGGACGAAGTCGAGATATGAAGGGATAAAAAGGAGGGTTCCTGCACTATCCTTACTTCGACGTGTCAGAGTAGGTATTATTGCCGAAGTAAAATATTCGAAACGTGAATCTGGGTCCGAGGCGAATGATTGAGAATCGAGTCGTGAGAAAGTCTGTTTAACCTTCAAACCTAGTTCCTGAATAGCTCCCGGATAATTCGAGCTGACTTTGACTTTTCCTGCCCAATTCTTAGATTGGTTATAAAACATGGTATTGAGTTCTGGTGTATTGAATCCCGCCAAAGCGATAGTTTGACGGAAGTATTGAGCATTGTTATCCAAATACCAACTTCTTACACGACTGAAATCACAACCATGAGCCTCTTTTGGCTGAAGATTGAGATGCTCAAATATAAATTCAACATGCTCCCAGTTCTGCATAAGAAGTGCATCAGCTTGATCAACTATGACCATCTCAATCGAACTGAGAAAGTCATGATCTACTTTCTTCGCATCTTCATTTCCTATGGCCATTCTCAAACCAAGAGGACTTGCGAAGATGATATCAGAATTATAAAACTGTGAGAAATACTTGATAGTCTTTCTTGTAAATTTCAAACCAATACGGAACATATCATCATCGTTGCCTGCGAAGAGTTCTCGAAAATCTTCTGGTTTATCAGTGGAATATTTCTCCTCTTTATCGACGTATGAATCATTGAATCGTTTTCGGTTCTCTTGTTGATCGGCTTCACATAATGAAGTGATCATATCCACCATTCTAACGCAAGATTCGCGAGTAGGCAAAAGCATAAGAACCTTAGGCCTCGTGAAGCCCTGATCTCGTAGTTCTAAGTCATCGCTGCTATCTTCTCGGGCAAGGCGAGAATTGTTTTTAATGACACGATCTCGAGTCCTGGAATCATTAGGTTACGCTTACAGTGAAAAGGGGCTAACTTACTTGAACACATGATTTACAGCATGGAGACAAGACAACCTTCTCAGACTTTCTGCATTAGATGTGTTGCGCTCACAAAATATTAAATCCTGATAGCCAAATATCAGAGGAGATATAGACTTTTCCAATGTATCGAATGTCGGCCATTGCCTCCTAATCACACCTGCCAACTTTTGCTTCAATTTGAGCTCTTCCGGGCTATTGATAATCGTTGATTTCGTCTGCTTTGCTTCATCATCGCCTGGTATACTCGTAATAGCTTTTCCAATATTTCCAAGTATTGACTTTTGAATGGCCCATTGTCCGTTTTCCAAATGTTTTAATCTTCTTGATAATATATTATCATCTGGATTGGCAAAATGAGCTTCAAAAGGATCCGAGTTGTCTTCCTCATCATCTTCTTCGAGGAGGCCATCTGTCGCAGTTTCGGGACCCTCTTCTGCTTCCTCAACATGATCCGCATCGTTTGCATCTTGGTCCATAAGGTCCGCCTCTTCGTCTTGCTTTTCTTCTTTGTCAATATTGAGCTTCCTCCGTTTAGCTTGTGGTGCAGAATCAGCGGTAAAACTCTGCATTAGAGCTGCGTAGGACTTTACAGCTGGTGCTGGTTCCGCATCATCGTCGTCGCTAGATTCCTCTTCACCCTCTATAGCTTCATCCTGGCTTGATTCCTCGGATTCTGAATCGCTTTCTTCACCCCTACATATATGAGCAAGTCATTAAATCCGAATAATTGAAATGTACTTACTCTTCTTTTTGCTGTGCTAATCTAGCACTGTCAAATACCGGCCGTCCTCTTCCTCTCCCCCTTCCTCTTCCTCCTCTCAACCCGCCCCTTCCTCGCGGGCCACCTCTACTGCCTCCTCGACCCCTAAAACTGCTTCCGCCACCACCACGACCTCCTCTTGAAATATTTCTCTGTCCAAAAGCCATATTTTTGTTGTGAAATATCAATGCAAGTCAAAATACTCTACGCTCAATAGCTGGTACAAAAAAAAGTTCTGGCGAATCCTTATCTTAGCGTCATCAGGGCTCAGTAAAAATGTTTTGGATCAAAGATTATCGACTTTGGAATCAATGTTATTGTTAAGAACAATACTAAAAAAAAGCAAGAATCTACAGCTAGCAAATAACCAAATCCAAATAATCAACCTTCAAATATCTCAATCCATTCTTTGAGTATTCAGTTACATATATCACAAATCGAGGGGAAATCCTTCACAACTTTAACGAAAGCTTATCTTAGCGCGAAATCAGATCCTTGCGTTGCGCCCACACAAAAATCCCACTTGCGCAACTGGTTTGCAATCGACGACGACGAGGACATTCCTATCTCAGACCTGAACACCACACTCGTCCTCCAGACTCGATACCGAAATAATTTTAGCCCAGCATGGCAGTCGGTACACAGTCCTTCCTTCATCTTGCGCGGCCACTAGCTCCCGCTTCCATTGGTGTTCAGCCAACCACCGCACCTCTAAATGTTATAATTCAACCCCAAGTACGTTTTTTTCCTGACCCAAAATTCCCTTCTGGGGAGACTAACAAGGATAAAAATAGGCCGTCTTCTCCATTCTCGATCATGCTATCCGTCGCGATACCAGCGTCACCCAAACCCCGCGTGTAATCGGTGCACTCCTCGGAATCCGCGCTGAAGATGGCATGGAGTGTGAAGTGCGCAACTGTTTCGCCATTCCCCACACCGAGACCGAAGACCAAGTTGAAGTCGATGTCGAGTATCAAAAGAATATGCTCGCTTTACAATTGAAGGCCAATCCTCGCGAAGTGCTTTTGGGATGGTACACGACTTCTCTTGAACTCAACAGCTTCAGCGCCTTGATTCAAAACTTCTTCGCTAGTCCCGAAACTGGAACATTCCCTCACCCAGCTGTCCATTTGACTGTTAGCACCGAGGCTGGAAAGGAGATTGAGGCAAAGGCATATATCAGTGCACCAGTTGGTGTAAATGCTGAGAGGGCGGCTGAGAGTTGTCTTTTCATTCCAGTGCCATATGAGATTCGATATGGTGAATCCGAGAAGAGTGGTTTGGAGCTGATTTCTGGTGCTAAGGACAGCGAGAGCCGTGCCGCACCAGTAGTTTCTGATATTGAAGGTTTGGAGCGAGCTGTTGACCAAACCCTCGATCTTTTGGAGAGAGTATCCGAATATGTCAGTTCAGTCCTGGACGAAGAAAGAGAGCCATCGAATGCGCTTGGCCAGTTCCTCATGAATGCATTGTCCTTGGCACCAAAGGTTGATGCTCAAGACATTGAGCGTGACTTCAACAACCACATCCAAGATGTCTTGGTGGTTTCTTACCTCGCCAACACTATCCGCACTCAAATCGACCTTTCCCAAAGATTGGCCACCGCAACTCTCACCATGGGAGGCTCAGATGTCCTTGCCACATCCGGCAGCGGAGAAGGAGGCGAGAAATCCGAGCAGCGTGGACAGAGAGGCGGCAAGCGTGGAGGAAGAGGAGGCGGCCGAGGAGGCGGACAAACACGAGAGCCCAGGGAGCCAAGAGAGCCAAGAGAGCCAAGGGAACCCGTTGAGTAGTAGACGATGATAAAAATAAAGCCTTTCCATAAATTACAATCTCTGTGCATGTGGATGGAAAAGTATGGCGTTCAGGTAGGCTCTAGGCCGATACTTATAGAATTTCAAGATTATCGTTTTTATGTCACCGTCACATTTTCATAGGAGAGAGGATATAAGCCATAAATTGGTGCGTGTGCAAAAACTTCAGTGTTCTCTTGTAAACGAAAAGATGGATAACTCGACACAAATGACGTCAATGGATTTCAGTTTCTAATCGTCGAGCATCAAGGAGGGTGGAAATGAGGATGATTGAGGACAGAATAGCATAGTTAGCGAGGTTTGGGTTTCACCGAGACCTCCGCATTAAAGCTCAGGGCCATACTAGAATCATAACGTGTTAGTTTGAGTTGTTCATGTCAGTCACTCGTGATTCCCTAGGAAGCGCGACGTTGAAATTGAACAGTATAATCAAATGTATTGTATTTGTAATCGTGGGTCTATCAGCCAATATAAACCTGGTACTTAAAATGAGTTTGTTTTAATGCCCATATTTCCCACTAACTCCACCAATGCTACCATACGCCACCGTTTGTTCATCACAGAATATCCGTAATCCCTCAAAAGACACCTAAACGCCAGTCGGAGGCTTTGGAGGTAAAGTTGCCGGGTTGCCAAAATTGGGGAGGTGACTTCCAACTTGGCCATTGAGCAGTGGACCCTGTGGCATCCCTTGGGGCATACCATGAGGCATAGCTTGTGGTAAGCCTTGAGGATGATTTTGCGGCATATTCTGATGCATCATTGGCCTATGTGCCATGTGTGGAGATGCATGATACGAGGGCAAGGAGTTGTTCGATCCTTGTCTCGCCATGCTATAACCCATTCCAGCCCCATACTGTTGCTGAGGAGGAGAGAAGTTGCTGTAAGATAGATGTGGAGATCCAAGATGTGGAGATCCATGGTGTGGAGAGCCGTGGTGAGGAGACCCATGATGAGACATGGGCTGCGGAATCGGAAGACCCTGATTGCCGGGGACAAATGACTGAGTCTTTGGATTGAACGCGTGCCTATTTATGAAACTTCCAGGTATCGGGTGCTGGCTTTTAGGATCGGCTGGGTTCGCTGTGCTAGGCAATTGTCCAAAAGCGTAAGGGATAGTGTTGGGTGGTCCTCCTGTAACAGGTCCTCGTGATTGATACGGGGCACTAGGGTATTGATTTTGTGGAATCCATTGTTGCGGAGGTTGTGGAGACTGTGCAGGTGTACCGTATGTCGTTATTGGAGCACTATGAGGTTGATAACGTGGCTGATTTTGCGGAGGAAATTGCTGATCGAATGTCAGGTAACATATTATATCAACGGAAAGTGATTTAACTTACCGGCGGTGGCATATTATTGTATGATTGCATATTTCCGTTGTTCATCATTGCAGGATTAAATGGTTGCGGAGGTGGAACAAATTGAGGTTGCATTTGGTTTTGATAATTGTTTGGCATGACACCATTGTATTGCTGAACTCCCATAGCGGTGTAGTTTTGGGTTGGGATCCAAGCTGGCTGAGCTTGTTGTTGTGGAAAGTATGGGGTGTACTGAGATCGAACGTCGAAGCTTTCGGAGTCATCACGACGCTGCTTTCCAACTTTACCCCTCTTGCCCTTGTCCTTTGTGGAAACGGAGCTAGAACGCGACATTTCATTCCCTTCTTCGGTTTCTAGATCATCATTAGTAAACTGACAGAATCGTCTTAACAGAGATCTCTGAAAACTTACCTGGTGTGGCGTCGCCGGATTTATCTTCTTTGCCGAATATTCGTTCCCGGGCTGCAAGATAAACGGCTTCTCGCTCTTCTCGGGAAAGCCTTCAACTAAAGTCAGCTCAAATCATGACAAGGATGTAAAATATCATACTTTTCTTTAGCGGACTGTGCTTTTTCTTTGGCTTCGCTTCCCGTCTCGGAAGTAGCTTTTGAAGGGCTAAGTCCAGTATCACCATCACCACCTCTACGCATAATCTTCATGGCAGGTAGGTTAGGAGGAGGGGTATTTCCAGTAGTAGGTGGGTTGGAGATGCTCGTTAAAGATGGCGGAATTCTGCAGAATGGCGTTCTAAAGATACGAACTGCCCCAACTACAGCATCAACTTGATGTGTCATGTGGTAGTAATCAGCCAACTTGTGAGTTAGCATTCTGCAGAACGAATTGCATGGTGGCAGATCAATGAAAGGCTCCCTGTAAGCATGTTAGTCATACAACAACGATCGTTAGCTAGGATTTTAGCTCTTACTTAGAATCCTTCACAAACTCAATAACATCTTGCTCAAGGCGAAGCAGAAATATGCGGTCCTTTGGTGATTCCAGGGCCTCTAGAAGCTTTTCGTCCGGAGTCTGTCGATAGAAAAGTGTAAACGCTTCAGTTGATCCCGCTGGACCTACAAGTGGCTTAGATTTATCATCTGTGGTTTGCTGCCCGGACGATCCACTTTGGGGAGTAACAATGCCCTGAGTTTGGCGCTCCTGCATGAGTTGGATACTACGTCGATCAGGGGCTTCGTAAAATTGAGCACGGTAAGCTCTTGCAGCTGCTTCCGACCCAATCCTAGAGCCGGCAACGATAGAACCGCGACCCGAAAATGTATCATCATCTTCAGCTGCTTTTACGCTTGCGCTATCATCGGGACGCAAGGACTCCTTCTCATCCAAAGCAAACGTTGTACCTGAAGTTATGCTCTTTCCATCCAAGCTTGGAGGCTTTGTGCCCAGATCGGACCCGGATTCTGTTCTCTGAAATGGATCATCGGGAAAACCTTCTCCCAAGTCTCGTTTGTGGGTAGCAGGTGCTATCCCCGAACCATTGACAACAAGACTTGGTGTAGTATCACGAATATGCATCGCTTTGACTGTCTCCACCAAATCAGGTTCCTTTTTAGCAACCGTCCCGCTCTTTGAAGTTTGATCGTTTGTCGCTGCGACCGTTTCCTTGTGAGTGGTCGTGCCAATATCATTGCTTGTAGCACTAGGTCTGTCTGTGTTTTTACTCCCATGTACGGTTGGGGCTATATTCTCAAGTTTTGTATCTCGTACAGCAGTTGAGGAAGCAGCAATTTTTGCGAAAGAAGCTAGAGCCACATTGTCCTTCCCAGCTGAGGCAGCAACCTATGATCAATCTTGTTAGCAGAGCACTTAGATATAATAGCGAATCCATGAGTCCACCGGTGACAATTCACCAAGTGTTCTGAGGGAATACCTGGTAGATTTGCGCACCTTTGCGAATGACAGCCTCGAGGGGTCCGTCGTCATTGGCGCGGTAGCCATGATGAAGAGTATACTTTAGTAGTAAATCAAATCGCGGAAATGAGTGTAGATGTCCAGATTGGACAGTGTCGAAATCGCAAATTGGTGGAGGAGCGATTGTAGAGTAAATACTTTTGAAGTGATGTAGATTAAGGGAGTAGATTAACAAAAGCGTTCAATGAAAAGAAGTGACATCTAGTCATTGTCGTTGCAGACAAGCTTTTTGTAAAATAATAATTATGATTGAAGGTTTTCGTTCTTTTTAGAGTATTCGTTTTTCAGTACCGAATTGACTGGTGGAAGTCCTGATGTGGTTTTTGGTACAACCCACTTCCTTCAAAAGATAATCGATACGCCGATACTCCTATTACCGGCAAACTAATTCCGCCCACAGTATTGCATGAAATATTGTAAGAGTTTGCTGGATATTGATATTTGATATTTGGGTATCCCGTATCTCGTGACTGTGTCGGGATAGAAGTGATGTTCACATAGGAGATTTCAAAAATCTCCAAGGTGCATCATCAGTAGGGGAATCAAATCAAGAGATTGATTGATTGATTGTGCTGGCCCGGTGGGTGGACAAGAAGTTTAAGGCTAAGGCTGCCCCGAGAATTCTTTAGCGGGAATCCTGAATTTAAAGTGGGGATATCAGTATCAAACTCAATATTTAGAATGAATAACAATAATAATAGATCAAAGCAGCAAAGATGATCTTGATTGATCGATATGATAAATCATTGATGATAAGAAGATATATTCATAAAAACAATATTATTCCGTACATTACCACAGTATATCTAGGTATTTTACCCTAACATATTTTCTAGCTTCCCAGACAAACCCTACATTGTTTGCTGAACTCCTTTTCCTGAATTATCCTATTTGGTGTTGCAGGAACAGCCCACGGATAAGGTCGACCAAATAGCTTCTATATCACACTACACTACGCAGCTGGAAGCTCATTTGAAGCTCCTAAAGTCCCCAATCCAGTCCGCCAGGGTTAGCAGCATATAAATTCACTCTACATACCCAAAATACTTCTTCAACCACTTGCTTGTTAACACTACAACGTCACCAAAGGAAACATCAATATTATGAATCGCTACCATGGCATCAATAGGCCTGCAACCATTGGGGGTCATTCCAGGGCATCTGCTTCAACTACGTGCCAAAAATGTCTAAAGAAAGATATGTTCAAGTTCTAATTTAGTCTGGATCCTCATAGCTAACTATCATTACGGCACTATAGTTATGAATGCAAAGCAAATGCGCAGGAACGTCCATATGTCTCCCGACCCTCGCGTACACAACAACTTTCCAATCCCAAGCTTGTTCCAAAATTGACTAGTGATATACCACAAGATCTTTTGAAAAAGTACGTCTTTCTGCTCAGCTACGCCCGCATGGTCATTCTTCCTTCTTTGCCCCCAATTGTTCCCAGGTACTGTTAGAAGGATGTTAGTAGGCTCTGACTTCTACCGCTTGAGTGAATTGAGGCATCGCATATTAGGGGCATATTATGATATTGTGCATTTGCCAATTCTTTAGTCAACAATGGGGCTAGAAAGTTGTGCTGACTGGTTATGATAGGAAGGGCGTTGCTGATGAGCAACTTGCGAAAGTGGAGCAGGAAAGAGGCCGTAAACGCGAGAGACAAAATGAGGACTTGGAAATGGGAGCTTCCAAGCGGAGAAGGTCAGTTTCTTCAGCGTCAGTCTCGACAATATCTACAAATATGTCGCGTTCGCCTTCACCAAGACAAGCTCGGCCCGCGTCCGATACATACGATTCTAGGCAGCCACATTCACCACCCCGACCAGCCTCCAGTCAACACAAGCGTAGAACCCCCAGCTTCTCCCCGTCACTACCACCATCTCGACAAGACATACGGAACTCCGGAACGAAGCGGAGAAGAGACAAATCCTCTTCTATAGACTCATACAGTTCTAGAGAAGAGCAAGACATCAGAAATTCGAGAGAAAGAACAAATAGCCGAAGTACGAGAAAGAGATTCAACGACCGAAGCCCCGAGGTGCGTGGGAGAAGAACCGAAAGCCGAAGTCCCCATAGAGGCAGAAGAAACCTTTCACATGATAGGAGACGGTTTGATGAGCCTCGGGTCAAAGAATCGCGTAAGGAATCTTTTGCATCTTCTGAAACTCATGCTCCATGCCCACAGAGAGAGAGGAGTATGAGCCCTTTTAGCAAGAGGCTAGCGCTTACGCAAGCGATGAATATGGGTCGGTGAGCAAAAGGGCGGGCCAAGAATGGTTGCGTGGTTGAGAAATTCCCTTTGGCTACCTGCCACTTTTGTATCTATATTAATTTTTAAGACGCCCATACGCCCTTATAGTATGCCTGTTACGGAAAAGAACGCTTTTTGTACAATCGATTAAAAAATCTCGACGTTGATCTCATTGTAGATCTTCATCCTCTTTCTCCCTTCGTTCTTCTTCTTCCTCTTCCTTTTCCCGTAGCTTGACTCCCTCCACCAAGGCAACACCTTCCATTCCCATCTCCTCTCCATCCTCAGTTGCATTTATTGCGCCCTTCCCACCCTTCATCCTAGCCGCCTTTTGTGCGCTTTCAATTCGTTCCCTCACTAGCCTTGCGATCGCATTCTCCGTCCGTACATTTAGAACCTCCAATTTCTTTTCCAAATCCCTCTTTAAGTCCCAATTAGGTTTCTTAGGCTGTAATTTGAATAGATCCACCCCCTTATCATCCTGTTCCTCTTCCTCCGCCTTCTTCCTAATTTCCTTCTCAACCTCTGCAGCTTGCTGCTCAAGTGTAGGTTTCTCAAGCGCTAATGTGGGAGGGGCCTCAAAACCAAGCTTGGGACCTTTGGCTTCAGCATCGTAGTTTCGTCCCGAGAGGTGTAGTTTTGCGACATCTGGGGAGGCTGGTGGTGAGGGCGAGCGTGTGGATTCTGGTGCTACGATTTCGTCGGCTGGTTGCTTTCTTTTCAGAGATTTGAGTTTTGCGAGTCGCGCTTTGCGCTCATCTGCTGCGGCGCCTAGAGTGGCATGTGTAGATGACATTGCCTGGGTTTATGTGATGTTATAAGTTAGACGTGAAGCTAAAACGGGGATTTTTGTATGTTCCAGCTATCGAGAATTAAGAAATTCAAATTGGAGATCTTGAAGTTCCAATGCGCAATATGATTGGCTCATTGTAATATCAGCCTGGTCTCACCACGGCCACTAAGATAAACCTTAATTTTTTTCCGGATCGCCAATTTTCGAATTGAAGCTGCCCTCGCTGTCAATAAGGTGCTAGTCAATGGATCAGAAAATGCATGCCGGCAGCTGATGCCTCCATTTCATAGCTCTCTATCAAGACGATGGTCGCCATTGGAATTGCCAATTCATCCATTCCTTGCACCTAGAGTCTTCCAACCATGGCCCTACAAAAGTGCCAGAGTCAATCTGAAAACGGAAACGGGACAAAACCAAGACAATCGTGAACTTTTAGTAGCAAAAGCTGCGAAGAGGAAAGAAACATTAAAGCGCCTTCAAGGTTCATCAACAAATGTTCCAGTGCAACCAGGCACAAAATATATCAGATTCAGCAAACGGCGAACGAACCCCGCTTCCTTTACCCACGTAGACCTTTCTGTCCGTGGCTCCGTAAGACACTTCTCTTCGAGATCTGGTTTTGGGAAAGTAGCTGAGAGCAATGGGGAAGATGGTTTGGCCACAGAGGGTCAGTTCAAGGCACCACATGAACTTAAGCCCAATGCGCGGATGGAGACGCAGCCAAATAGTGTCACACTGACTCATCAATATCCAGAAGAGACGGAGGGCTCTGCAGCACGCAGTTCACAAACAAGTCGTTCACCGATTGTTTCACCTAGATCTCGTCATTTGCATTTGAATACCGTACCGAAGACGCGACATTTGCGATTAAGATCAAAGTCCCGCCGAATGCCTTTCGGTAAGGTCGACACTACCCCATCATACAATGCAGAGACAAGCCGCTCCAGGGGTTCTACCATTTATTCCTTACGAGGTTGCGCAAAGCCCACATCTCCACAATCGTCGTCGTCTGCACCTCCGTCTATAGCTCAAACCGAAAGTCTGGCTGGCCTAGTATCACCATCTGCTTCTCCATCTATCACACCACCTGAAAAGCCCTGTAACGATGCAAATTCATATCTACCCGTCACAGCTGCAGAAACAGTCACGTCCAAACGACCCCGCCAGAGGTATGCAAAAGATAGTTCAAGAAGATTAGGACGGCCAATCCTAGGGACGCGCATTAAAACCAGACCCTCGAGAAAATCCGCTTTCTTTTTTCGACGACCTGCCGGATATAAATTTCCCCGTGAAAATTTTAGACGGCCGAAAGGGCTTTCGTCCATATATTGGAAGATTTCTCTGGATCGTCAACGTCTATACTCTCAACGTTTTGCAACTATTCATGCGCCATTTCAGGCATTGCATGAACAATATGAAATTTGGGCGAAGCAGCAAGGCCTCCCAAAACTCTCGACTAAATATTTAAAAGTAGACATAGATACAAAAGCCAACATCATGAAGTTACGGATGTGGTCTGAGCGATTCGCTATCATCAACCAGCGACATGAAGACGCTTTGAAGGGTTATCCTAAATTAGAGTATAATAAGGTGGCTGTTTCGAAGTTTCCTACGGCATCGAGATTGCTATTCGTCAAGCAAGACAATGTCGCTGCCTTGGCCTCCATCTGGCGCCGAGTTCCTTCAGAGATTCGTTCTGATGTTTGGGAGGAACTCATGCTTACATCAATGGACCAATATCCTGCATCCACTCTCAAGTTACTGCTCGCGACGTATCAAGCACCGTCTCTTCCACCTCGCTGGGCTGCGAATGATTGCCTTGATTTTGTAGTATCCCATTATTTCGGATCCGAAGAGCGCAAACCCACTCGAGAATCTTTCACTCCCGACGATCTTCAACAGATATTTGAAAGTATTCGATATCTTCGGCTTCGTGGTCTCCGGCTTAGTGCTCGCTCAGTGTACCTGTTACAATCAATGATGAATCAAAAAGAATTCAGAACATTCTATCTCGTAATAGCAGGAACAAGGCAACATCTCACGGGCAGCAGTTTACTACGATTTACCTATCGATTCGCACGGTCTAGAGAGACTGATTTGGCTTTCCAAGTCCTTCAGCAGGCCACTAAACAAGGCTTCAATCTGAACCGCTGGAGATGGCCACAAATTTGCACTGTACTTCTGGCCAGAAGATATCGTGATCCTCATGCTCAAGTCACCGACACGGAGCTTTTTGATTTCATGCTACATCACGGCCTAAGGCCAGGCATTGTTATTTACAACGTTCTGATTCAGAATTCACTTCAGGCTGGTGACCATCCGACGGCGTGGCAAATATATGATATGATGATTGAAAATGGAGTCGAAGCGGATGCATACACTTATTCAATTATGCAAAACGATGCCAAGATACGTGGAGATGACATCGCGCTGGAGAAACTGGCGCATTGGATGAATGAAGACGGTGTTGGGAATAGTTATACTGTCACCGATACCTTAGACGCAGTATTCCGCGCAAACAGACGGGAGTACTTCAAGCGAACTCCCAGCGAGAGAAAAAATCTTCAAACGCCATTCTCACAAATGATTCCGATTTATTTGAAGAATTTTAACGTTGAACCATTAGCTCAACTTATTCCTAATTTTGATGAGAGTTTGCTACCCCCTATCTCAACACAGGCTGTCGAGGAGGTAAATGACATCTCTGTTGCAACCGCCTATCGAACCCCAGCTCAGGCTGAAAAAGCTCAGCGCCGTCTTGACCTGGCTGTTCCCGAGCCTACGGTATTTAGCTATGACAATAATATCGAGCAAGTTTTGATGGAGCCGAACCATGTGACGCTGATAGTGATGCTCAAAGCATACATTGCAAGTGTTCGTCACTACAAGGCTTTATTAAGATTTTACTCTCATTTCAAATCCTTGATATCCACAAAGAACCCAATAGTCGCCCCTTTACTAGAGGAGGCACAAATTTACAATCATTTGCTTGTTAGATTAGGCAATCTGGATGCACCAATGCACGATTGTCTTGACATCATTGCTGACATGCAAAGCCCGCTTCCCAAACCAGGACAGCCTATACCGGCAACTGAGACTGATCCAACCCAAGATGAAGATAACATCGTTACGCTGCCCAATACTTCAGATGAGAGCGACGGCGGTTTTGAGTCAGACGATTCGTTTTCTAATTCAGAGGATAGTTTCCGGCCACCAGCCCCAAGTCTTCATACATGGAACACATTACTTAATGTATTCATGCAACGTCGCCAACCCCGTGCAGCTGAGAAGGTGTTGCAGATCATGATTGAGAAAGAGGGGTTAAAACCTACTCAAGCCACTTGGAATGCCTTGACTATGGGCTACATGAGACTGCAAGACCCAGTCATGACAGCTGATGCCCTCATCCGAACAAAGAAATCCGGATTCATCGTCGACCAAATCATGGCAAGTAGGTGGTGGCTCAGATTCCAAGCTAGAGCTCGTTTAAGTGAGGCCCTGGAATCTGCCCCCGGTGGCAATGAAACCTCCTTGGCGGATGTAGCCAATGCTATAGAGTCTGAATCCGAGATGGTAGATCCGGCCGACGAAGATGTTATCGATGAAGAAGTTTTAGAAACTACCACTTCGAGAACAGGGGATATATACCGAATACTTAAGCGACGTTTGCATGCTGTCAACTCGCCTGTCCATCCAAATTGGATATTTGATGCTATGATCCGGGTCGGCGAAGAGAATATCATCGAACAGGAAGCTGAGCAAATACCTGACAATGGAGCCGAACAAATTTCCAATGATGTAGTCAGGCCTGAAGTGAAATTGATTCATTCTTCGGACGGACCAGGTCGTGCCATCGAAGAAGATTTTGGTCAGCTTGGAGACAGCGCAGAGGCGAAAGCGTCGATGGTAGACAGGTGTGTTGAACAACAACCACTTCCATCAGCGACTGAAGATAGAAGAGAATCGAGACTATTGCCAGCGAACAGGCTAGTGGTCCGGAAGGTGACGCAATTTACAATGTCCCCAGGTGCGAAAGCTTTCCGCCGCAAGTTCCAAGCGAAGGTTTTGACTACAGGAGTAGAGCCACCTCACGCCAATTTCAAAAATGACAGAGATCCACTATCATGAACAGGCAATGGATTATGCAATATACATCTAGATGAGGATGAGTACACGATTGCTTGTACCACTTTTGCATTCGGTGCGGGTATGTGTGCTACGGTTACTTGGGTTGTATTGGAAATAGAATTGGGCATAGATGGTGCCATCTGCTAGTAAAAGCGAGTGTAACTTATTGTAGTATATGTAAGATCTTAGCGACAGATTAGACGAAATAGAAATCAATCTCGATAGAGCTATGTTGATTATATTTTCGCGGAAAAGACATACGTAATATTCGATTTTCGAACTTCTAGAGATGCTCCCGGTGAGCTCTTATAATATACAGTCGATGGTGAGCCCTCTTATTTCTATGTGGAGCTCATCCGATAAGAATGAGGGTTTCTTATCATGCACGCTAGCTTTCTTGGTGGGGTTCAAGTTCCTGTAACTTCAATAAAATTCGAAGCTATCAATTGGAGCATTTGTAAATTTACTAGATATCTTCATCATGCCAGACAAAGACGCAGGTACTCCGAGAGTCTTTCTCATTCGACAGTAAGTGTTTGCTTATAGTTGTTCGAAACGTCCTTCGGTAGAACTGCCAAGGCATGATTACACTTCAATTTCCTCACTCCGATGCAATCGAAATAGATACTGGATACTGACTCTGTGTCAGTGGTAAGTCACTTGTGGCTTTTTTACTACTATAGTTCACACTATCGATAAGATGATCTAAACTCGTAAACATCTTTTAAGGGAATCGAAGAATTGCATAATCAATTTTCTAACCTCATCATGTATCAGGCGAGACAGAATGGACCATCTCAGGTCGCTACACAGGCCGAAGTGATATTCCCCTAACTCCCCACGGAGAAAAACAAGTCTCCTCTTCAGCAGGCATTCTAGTTGGTCCAGACAAGATTATTGATCCATCCAAGCTCGCCCACCTATTCATAAGTCCACGAACTCGAGCTCGACGCACATTCGAGATTCTCTTCGACGAAAATACACAGAAGGAACTTGAAACTAAAACGGAGATTACTGAACATATACGGGAATGGGAATACGGTGCCTATGAAGGACTTCTTACCGCTCAGATCCGAGCAGCTAGAAAGGAGAAGGGTTTGGATAGTGAGAGGCCGTGGAACATTTGGCTTGATGGCTGTGAAGAGGGGGAAACGGCGGCTGAGGTATCGGATCGCTTGGATTCGGTGATTGCGAAGATACGTGAGATCCACGCACCTTATATGCATGGAGAGAAGGGCGTGGATGTTGTGCTGATTGCACATGGACATATCTTGAGAGCTTTTGCGAAAAGATGGATTGGATTTGAAATGGGGAGAGCACTACCTATGATGCTTGAACCTGGAGCTGTGGGAGTGTTGAGTTATGAACATCATAAAGTTGATGAGCCGGCCTTTTTGCTAGGTGTGAATATGGGCGCCAGCTAAGAGTAGAAATAGAAGTCCTTGGTCGAAACGTTAGACTGGATAGAGAAATGATGCAAATGCTTTAGCTACTGTATATATATTTCTTTTTGCAAATTTTTGGGTATCATGATTTTCGTTTAAATGTGTACAAGAACAGTCCCTCTCTAGTAAAAGTCTCTCTATCTTGATCCTCAATCTCTTCAACTAAGAGCTTCTTCTTTGCATTCTTCATAAACTGCATATCTGCTCTCCTCCTTTTCTTAAAACAGAAATAGATAACTGCATCCTTTGATAATTCTAAAAGCTCTTCCAGAGTTTGGAGAAGTAACGGGAAAGCCGGCTCAAAATAGACGCAGTCAGCTGCTAGAATAACATCTGGTTTATCTTTCACTACTAGCTCCGGTAATGGTTCACCCCTATAATTTGATTAGAGAAACGAGCATAATCATGAATGACACTAGTTAACATACCAATTTAAAATCAACGGCTCGACTTTCGACTCGAGTTCATTGAGAGAAACATTCCTCTTCATAAGTTCAAACATGACTTCCATATCCGAAAGTATTAATGGATGTTGAAGATCACATGCAAGAGCCACAGCTAATCCCACCAAACCACCTCCAGCCCCAAGTTCGAGTCTGGATCCTCATTAGTTCTCAAAATTGAAGAATTATAGAATGGCGATGGAAACATACATTCTAGCATCTTTCAAAGAATCTCTACGATATCGTAACATATGCTGCGCAAGCACCATACCAGCAGGCCATAGTTGACCACCACATCCTTTGGAGAGATCTTCGTGAAGCTTTAGTGGTGGTTCGAGAAGACCGAAAAAGTTTACAGTGCTGGTTGTTGCTGCTTTATAGGTAGGAAGTGGCGCGAGATCAACTCCTATTGCTAGTGGTGAAAACTCTGGGGAGGGAGATCTAGAAGTCATTTTGGTTATTTTAAAAATTTAGAGAGTCTAATAAGTGGATGGGCATTGTCGCGGGTTTGATATTGCCCCACCATCCCACCAAGAATTCTGCCGCATCGCTTGATGAAATTCACCGCCTAAGATTAATAACCAATGCTCATCCCTTCATCTATCCTCCCCCTCCCTGTCACAATCCTTTCTCACGCACCAAAACGATGTCTCCCTGGCCTGGACAATTGAATATAATCGCAAGGAATGCTAACACCATCGAATAATGATGCAGGATTTCCTGAAGTTCACACATCAAGGGACGTTCGAGGATTTGAACAATCCTGGGTACTAACTACACTTTGTGACTTTTTTGACCTCCCTCTATTGCTATCAGAACACCGCGAACTATCTCAGGTAGTTATCTGAGACGATTGAACTTTGGAAAAAGATCTAAGAATGGCACGAGAATGGTTCTCGACAATTTTCTTACTTTCTCTCAAAATTGCCACAAGATGTTGCTCGCTTCAGTGAGGCTGGTCAAGGAATTTGAATAGTCTATGTATAGCCTCAAATCAGCATGTCAACCTCCATTAATGTTTCGATTATCTGATAAGGCGGGGGTATGATATTATCTTACCCCTTACGTCACGATGATTCTCGAACTCCAGGTAAGGTAATGCCTATAGGTAAATATCCCTCTACTGCCCCTTTAGAATACCTGACGATGGCAAGTCCCTGATATCTAACTTTTCCTATGTCGAATATCCCCTCAGTCGCTGTTTTCATCTAAAGATTTACTTGACATGTATTATCTCTCATTCTGTATGCAAGTACTATCTTCTTCCGGACTCATTGAGAATAACATCTGCAAGACTCTCTGGATATGGCACTGAGGACCATCCTGTCTGCTATTGCCGTCTTTGGAGCAGTCGCTGATGCTATACCGTCAATTGCATACCCGATCAATGCCCAATTTCCTCCTATCGCGCGTGTATCATTACCATACTCATATACATTTCCTCAATCAACATTTAGTTCAACATCCCCTCTCAGATACAGCTTGTCCGGCTCACCTCAGTGGCTCTCCGTCGACAGCACTTCTCGCACATTATCAGGCATACCATCCAGTAGTGATGTTAGGACTGGAACGGTGACAGAGATCACTTTTGGGGTGATCGCAAGCGACTCGTCGGGATCTATCACCTCAAATACTACTCTAGTTGTTTCGAAGAACTCACCACCGTCGATTAAGATACCAGCGCAATTACAACTCGCTTCACAGGGACCATTCTCAGCACCTTCTACGCTGTTATACCACCCTTCATCACCCTTCGAGATCAGCTTCGACCCGGCAACATTCTCGAGTAGTGGCGGAACAAATCTTAAATACTATGCATTGTCAGCCGACGACACCCCTCTGCCTTCCTGGGTTCTTTTTGATGATCGTACACTTACTTTCAGTGGTGAAACCCCGGAGTATGCTTCTCTCATACAACCACCCCAAACTTTCGGTATTCAGCTTATTGCTTCGGACGTAGCTGGATACTCTGGAGCATCTATTCCCTTCAACATCAGGGTTGGGGTACACCTCCTGGCATTTAGTACAGTAAACTCTGTTGTCAACGCAACACCAGGGGTAGAGGTTAATTACACAAGTTTAGAGAATAGCCTTCAGCTTGATGGACAGCCTGCCAATGATTCAAGCATAGTCTCTGTTACAGCTCAAACACCGGAGTGGCTTACCTTTGATGATAATACTCTCAGCCTGACAGGCACACCGCCATCTGACGCCATTTCGTACAACGTCTCTGTACAAGCAGTGGATATATACGGGGATAATGTCAATACTGTGGTCTTCATCAAAATAGCTACCGCATTATTTGTTGGTCCGATCAAAGATGTGAATGCAACCATTGGTTCTAAGTTCTCCTTCAGCCTTGGTGCCTACATCGAAAATACTTACGATACTACATTGACGGCCCAAGTATCTCCACCAACAGATTGGATATATTTTGATGCTCATGGCTTTGTGATATCCGGGAAGGTGCCTACGTCTGCCAAGCCTTCTAATATCAATATTACGCTCACAGCAACCTCTAAAGCATCGAAGCGCAGCAGCTCTGAGTCTTTCAACTTAGCCATTCAGGCTTTAGATGGGGGCTCACCTACCGGCTCAGATTCCACTCCATCATCATTGTCGGGTGCCTCTGCAGCGTCTGGCAGCAACCACTCCGCAAGCAAAGATTTGAGCAAAGGAGAGATAGCGGCAATTGTGGTCCCGATACTAATCGTCTTTATAGCACTCATTCTCTGTCTGTTTTATTATCGAAAACGGCGTTCTTGTTCCTCGATACGTTCGGGAGGACCTTCCAAAGAAGATATATCAGGTCCTTTGAAAAGCACGTCTAGCATAGAACGCGCATTATCTGCTAAGAAGATCGCACCACTTCAACTCGATACCTCCGGTTTTTCTATTGATGCTAGTTCTAGTGTTTATACGTCGACCACGCCCAATTTTGTGGTTCATGATAACCGGAAATCACTCCGGCGTTCTCAGACCCTGGTCCCAAAGTCTCAAGTCCGCGAATCTCAAGGCTCGGGAAATCGGGCAAGGGCGTACTCGGAAAATGCTTTGATTAAGACCCCCAATGGAAGTACGTGGAGAAATACTCAGGATACTGGTTATACTTTTGACTCGTCAGGAACGAATAGCAGTAACATGCTTCGGCGAAATTATTCAAATTATTCAAGGAAGGGACATACGAGACGATCGCAATATGTTGTAAGCAATGATCCAAGGCTGAGGGACAGTGAAATGAGTCAACTTGGTAATCAAAGCCTTCTTGGCACCAACGCTTCAGACGGTACAATATTGAACCTGTCGGACAGCAATTTCTCCTCATCTCCCTTGGATAATTTCTCTGTGCTTTCAGGAGACTGGAGTAAAGCTGCACGGGCACCTCTTGCGCCACGACAAAACAAGCAAGGTCGGAATACCGATAGAAGACGTGCCCATCGAAAATCAACAACTAGGAACCTCAACTTTGCAATGGCAGACAGTTTAGATAAGAGAATAAGTGGACTAGGTCATGGGGCTCGAGAATCAATATCCTCATTTGATAATGTTCCAGGAAATAGGGGAAGTATAGGACATGGTCAACACCCAAGTCTTGTGCGTAATTCTCGCACTTGGAGAACGGTCAACACGATTGATGCGGACGCTGATAAACATCGAAGTGCGACGAGTGTATATTCAACCGCCTCTACCGATCTACTGAACTTTGGACACGCAACTGTTTCACCAACTGGAGGCAAGGAAATGAAAAGTATCAAAACAGTACCTAAAAGTCCTCGACCACCAGCACCAATCTGGGAACAGGAGACGGGAGGAACTAGTAGGATGTCATACAACAGCATTAACGCTCGACCCGTCTCCCGGCGCGGTGGCGTTTCTCCATTTTTCGGCGGTGGCGGAATGGCGTCAGTCCGTCGAAAAGCAAGAAGAAGTTATGCGGATTCTCCCACTGTTCCTGAAGAAGTACATATAGGCAATGAAGTCGAAGCTGCCGGGACAGGGATCAATAATGATACATTGGGAATAACATATCCTAATGGATATTCCAGCGCCAAAGAAGGAACGCGTCAATTACGTTCTTATATTCAAGCTACGTTTAGCAAATCGAGACTTAAGGGGAGTGATAGTTTGGTGAGTATGGATAGTCGTTTTGAGAGTGTTTCGAATAGTATGCAGGAATTGCAGATTAAAGGTGATGCGAAAAGTCAGGGGGATATATCGCAGAGTCAAGGTCGGCATGCACAACTTCTTGAGGCGGATAGAAGAGAACAGGAAAGAGGAACGGAAAGAGGGGTAGGACAAGCAAACACAGAAACGGAGACAGGAAGTGATGTCTTTCCGAGTGAATTCAGCGCAGGTAGTTGGGAAAGTCTCGGAGAAAGCACGGATGTGGATTCGCAGCCGAATTTCATTAGGCATGGAGCTGGGGGGACAGTTCCACAGATACCCCAACTCCCTGCTCTAGGTTTAGGCAGTAGTGGAACTGGTACTGATAGTGGTATTGGAGCAAGAGGGAGAAGTAATACACTCGCCATTCCCTCCTTCTCTCCTTTCCTCCCGAATCCTTTTACTCCTGACCTAGGCGCATCCGAAACGCAAAGCGGGTATCAAAATCCCTCTCCCCGGCGCTCCACAGAAACGGACCTCAAACAGAATACCCAACGAGACAAAAACGAAAGGGATAGAGAAGCGCGAGAGGAAAGTCCGACAATAGGGAATCTAATGGTAGGCCCCAATGCACGAATGGTGATGGGAGCAGGAAGGAGACCAGTTAGTGTGGATGCGAGGGAGAATAAGAGGATTAGTAGTACAAAGGCGAAGATTGGACGGCATGGGGAAGGTGGGGAGAGTGTGGTTACTCTTGGTAGTTTGAAAGGGAGTCTTGGGGGAAGTGTCGGGGTGGGGAGTCCGCCTCAGCAGGGGAAAGGGGGAGGGAATGGAATGGGAATGGGAAAAGTTATGGAGGGCGAGGGATTTTAGCGCGTATATTTAAGAATTCAGGACGGCGCATCGAAAATGGGAAATGGGAGGTTGGATATTGTGTTCTGGTTTGCGTTGGCTAAATAACATGTATCGTGTTAAGGAGTTTGCACATGATGACTTGGGTAATAATGAGAACATCAAAATTTAGTTATTTGGAAGTTGAGGGAATGAAATAGTGAATTAGGAAGTCAAAGCATGCTTGCATGTGTAATAGAAGAAAATAATATGATTGACCCAAATTCTTACGGTGCTTACCATTAGTTAACTCTCCGATCAAGATGTTCTCGACAGTCAGCGTCATCTACTTTGCTATTATCACGTGACTAGAAGTGACACTAACTTATCCAGCATTGTGGTATAGATGGAGTTGACAGTCAGAAGGCCTGGGAACTATCATTGACAAAACCTAGATTTTCATCTTGAATAAATTCAAGTTGTGGGGACGTGACATATCTTCCGTTACATTTTGCTAGTTCTGCTACCTTCAACTCTACGTTTCTTTCACTCTCCAACCACAATCACCATTGCATCGCAAAATGGCCCCGCAGAACAATAGTACACATGCAGAGATATGGGACGATTCCACACTTGTGAATTCGTGGAATGAAGCTCTAGAAGAATATGAGGTAATAATTCAAGCCTGATGATGTGGATATTGCTAATAACAAACAGAAGTACCATAGTATTCACGCTCGGGGAGAAAAAGTTGAGAATGTGTTGAACGCGTTTGAGAACCAAAATAATGGATTGTAAGTCATCAGTTTGCTTTGGTATTATGCCATCACTGACCTCTCCTAGGGATGAAATGATGGATGAAGATGGTGGGGAGATCGTTGAAGAACATGTAGAGAAGAATATTATCGAGCAAGACGAGTTTAAAAAAACGGAAGATCGTACTCCCACGGAGACCGGACCCAGAGTAAGCATCGAAAACGATCATCGATATATTTTGACTAAATCTTATCATCCTTTAGGTTGATGGACAACCTACCGGTAAAGCAAAAGAGAGCGAATCTCAACCTCCATCTTCAAAAGCTCCAACACTGCCACCTCAGTTAATTGGCCAAGGTGAGATGTACAATCGCCGTTGATACATGTAAGGCTCAGGCTGACGTGGAATTCTCATACAGTTCACGATGAAAATCTTAAGAATTTACTGATGTCTTGGTACTATGCTGGCTACTACACCGGACTTTACGAAGGCCAACAGCAGAAAGAGACCAATAAGAGTACTTAACAAGCACAAGGTATAGAACGAATTCCATATGTAGGAACAATCGTCACTATTACAAGTATCTGTGACACGGATAGTTTGAACCATCTGATCTTATTCAACGGGAAGCATTAAGATTTGGGATCGGTACGAAGTCCGAGCTGTGCATACCGTGCCATTCTGGCAGATGTCAAAAAATTTGAAGGATGATCTTCATGGTAGCTCAGAAGCTCCAGTGTTACAGCAGGTATAGGCGATATGTATTATATGGTTTCATGAATCATTATTGACCCCGGGTACCTACGTTGTGCGCATTGACCGGGGTTCTCCTACTCTTCTCTTCGTACGATTTCAACGCCCCAAGAGTTTACTTTAATGCTTATGTTGAGATGTGGAATAGGAAGCCCTGCTTTTGATACCGATGATGGTGAACGCCTTAATCGTCAATATCTGGGGTATCGCTCTAACTTATATAGGATATTACGGAAGACATTTATGAGCATGGCTGCAATGAAATGATTACTTTCATCCTGACCTAACATCGAAAAATATCAGATGAATTCCTTCCAATTCAACACTCAGTGCGTCTCACACCAATTATCAGATCAAAGTTCTCCCTCTTTACATCATCGAATCTAATGTTGCAGATATTATTAACTTCAAAAAGATTTTAACATTGACGTTTATCCCATGTCAAGTTACTTTTCGTCCCAATATGATGGCTGAGACGAATCTGGCACGCGCCACAGGAGGTTCCAAAACAATAAACGTCAGGGCTGGACCAGGGTAAAATGTCCCTATGGAGCAAAGATTGGATTTCAATATAGGCTGTACTATAGGCTGTGAGTATAGTATCCAGCGACTTTCAGCGTTAAAATACAGGGATGAAAGGTTAAAAATTATCTTGTGTTTGGGCTTGGCATTGATGACAAGGGTTTTCATCACATCTTCATCCAAACCTCGTTTTTAAAACGTTGGAACCTTTGGCATAGAGCCTCCTCAAGGCTCCTGGTAGTAACTTTCTTTTTTTTGATGGCAGTAAAATCGACTCTGGACCGGACAAGTAGGTCTCCGAGTGGTACGATAAATCCTGGAGGCTTCTCGACCCCCTTCACTGAATCGTTTCGACTAAGGATGTTCGAAGCAAGTGCTTTTATTATGTCTTTTTTGAGCCATGTTATTACATTTTTTATGAATGGATTAATATCAAGACCGTCCCCCAGACCCAGTGCGTACTTTTCTCTCATTCTATCATTCTTGAACTTGTGAAGACTTTTATTCATCCTTCTTTTAGTCTTCTATTAAATACTATCACGAGCAGGCCCTCGCCAACTGCCTACTTTACTACTTAAGTCAATTCACGATCATTACACAAGCCAAGACAGCTTTGGTAGTTTAAATTTTCTCCGCAGCGCGGTTTGCATATCACTCTTTCACATTCGTCTTATATTTATACGACATTCAGTCCTTATACCCTAATATATTCGTCATGAGATCTTCAATAATCGCAGCATTATGCGCAGCACCATTAGCTTTGGCCGGCAATCTTCAGCATGACTTGGTTGGGCGCGGAGTAATTACGCCAGAGTTCACCGAAAAATCATCGGAGCTTGTTGTCAAGGAGAAGGACATTACAATTGTGCAAGCTAAGAGCGAGGTCATCATTATCATCTGGACGAATAATGGTGGTGGAGCTGCTACTCAAACCTTAACGGAAACTAAAACCGTTACTCAAGGAGCGGGAGCGGCAACGCATACTGTCACAGTTGGTGGTGCGGCTGGTACTGTCTATACACCGGACACAGTTTCTGCTGCTGTAGGAGATGTGGTTGTTTTCAATTTCGAAGCTAAAAATCACTCCCTCACACAATCTGGTTTTGCGACACCGTGTGAAAAATTGGCTGAAGGAATGGATACTGGGTTTGTGCCTAACGTAGACAATGCCATCAACCCTCCTCCATCGATGGCTATGCAAGTCATGACTGATACTCCTCAATGTTAGTATACTGCATATACACACACCCGTTGGTAACCAATTCTAATACGAAAACAGGGTTTTACTGCCGTCAAGCTGGTCACTGCGGTTTGGGAATGGTTTTCAGTATTAATCCTACTGCCAATAAAAGCCAGGCCATGTTCAAAGCTATGGCTGTTGCACAAAATGGTACAGGGACCCTGAGTGCAATTCAAGGAGGAACTCCTTCCAGTGGTGCTAGCGCTGAAGCAGCCTCGAGTGCTGTAGCATCACCAGCATCACCAGCTGCTGCAGTGGCAACAGTAGCTTCTGGGACTGGAACAACAGGTGCCGATGGAACATGCTCTTGTAGTTGTCTATGTGGACAGGCCGCTTTCCCGAATGCCGCTGTGCAGGGCGTAGGAATGTTTGGTGGAATCTCTGGTCAGCATTCTTCTCTGTTTGGATCGTAGTTTTGACTAATTCTAATAGACATGTAGGTTCCATGCCAATGTCTTTACTCGAGAATTAAATGAATGCATGAACGATGGTAGAACACTGCTTGTTGGTAGACCCCCCAAGAATGACGCTAGACTCCGGAAATGGGACTTTATGTGTTATGACGGTGATAGCAATCGCCCATAAAAGGCTTAACGCTTGGGAAGGAAGGATTTTCATGCATATGGCTGGATCGTATGTTGGACTAGAGTTGTGAAGGATAAGAGATGGTGTATGAATTGCTGTGATATGTCTTAATAGCTCTTTTATACAATGCCTACTATATAAAAACGAATGAATACAATATTCTCCCACTGGAATTATTGACTCAGCTTTTCCACTGAGATGCCCTTTTGGCTCTTTCTACCATAATCGTTATTTGATAAAATAGAGATCGAATGTCAAAATGCTAGATTACGTCCTTTCTCCAGTCTCAAATACCAATCATGTCCCCACCCACTAAATTCTAAGGTTAAATCAAATGTTAAATTCTGGGTCCCATTTCAATACCAAAATCGAAAAGTATACCGTTGTTAGACTGGTGGGCTGTTAGACTGAATATTCACATAAATTCAAATGATAATAGAATCTCCCTAGAATGTCATTCATTATAGAGACATTCTATATATTCGTAAATCTAATCATCCAAATCTCCGACGAATGAATCACCCCACAGGCTATAACTTTCTCATTCCAGCACCAATTTTCCGGTACCTGGCACTAAACCCAACTTTAAAATTAGCGTTGTACACTCCCCAATCCCTGGGAATCATCCCCCGCCAAGCAGGCCAAGCCCCGCCATTCCCCATTTAGCACGTTCAATCACAACAGGAGGATCTCTGGTGACCTTCATTTCTTTCACGAAGTATTGTAAGTTGGTGTTTCAAACAATCTTTTTGCAACTTCGATACTTACTTCGTTCTTTTCTACTTTTCTCAGAGTAGATCTTCAACTTTTTGCGTATTGACGCTGTCCTCTCTTTACAACACAATACACACACATACGCTCTTTAAGTTAATCCATATTGATTTCTTTTACCCTCATTACTTTCTAACCTTCCTTCCATTCCCGATTCATATTCTTCGATTCAATCTCCTTACAGCAGTGCATTCATTCCAATCGTATCAAAAAGTGCAAAGCTTACTCACGCCCATCGCAAAAATGCAAACTCCAACTCTCATCACCCTTACTCTTTCTCTTCTCGCTCTCTCTGTATCAGCCACTCCACCCGCTTGTCTCCTCGCAGCCGTCAATGAACAAGCTACGCCTTCTGATTTGAAGGCTCTTTGCGGAACGTTAGAAAATGCTGTTGTGGGAAATATTACCGAGAAATGTGTGAAGGATACTTATGAGGAGGCTGTGAGCTCTTATAAGAGTACTTGTCTTGAGGGTGCGGGGGTTACAATTAGTGAGTTTTTTTTTGGTTAGGGAGGATGTTTCCTGGGTTGTAGGTTTGGAGGGGATTGAAGAGGAGAAGAGGAGGGAGGCAGGGGTAGTGGGATTTGTTGAAGGAATTATGCGCGCTATGGACTTGGTGCTTGGGAGATATTAGATAGGAAATGTGTAAGAGGGAATAAAAGAGGTACAATGCTAACTAAAATCCAACAGCAATTACATCATCCTCCGCCTCCGCCTCCGCCTCCGCCGCAGCTACTGGCACAAGCAAAGCATCAGGTTCAGCTACCGCAACCGCAAGTGGAAGCGGAGCAAGAATTACTGGAAGCGGAAGTGCAACTGGTACGAGTGGATCGACAGCTAGTGCAACAGGAAGTGCTGCTGCTGCGACTGTAACCGCTACTGGAAATGGTGCTGGACCTTTAGTTGTTCCGGGATTTTTGGGTGTTGTTGGATTGGTTGGTGCTTTTTTGTTCTAGAGAGGGTAGTTCTTTGATTCTAAGGATGGAAGGGGAGGTCTAGAGATGTGGATGCCGGAGCTGAGAAATGAGGTGAGTGAAGGGGAAAATGCAGATTTCTAGATAAGATGAAGATGAAGATAAATTTGTGCATATTACATTACAAAGATACCAGGATAGTTTTTTCTGCAGTTTAGACAGACGAGCGAAGTTTAAGATGAACAAATCAATAATCTAATCTAAATCACGCTTCAATTAGTTTTTTCAAAACCACCCAATATGCTCTCTCTGCGTTTACAAAGTTGCGAAGATTTGAACTGAAGCAAGTTTATATTTTGTAATTCAAGATAGATATCCAAGAATATTAAATTATAACCTATATTCTTTATATACTATACCTACGTCCACGATGAAATATATTTGAGAAGAGAAACTAGAAGGGACTAAGATACAATACAATATAGTGTTGAACTTACTTGCATATAATTAGTTGGTGCAGAGATAACCTTAGTGGGAAGATTAGTAGGTAGTTGAAGTAGGTACCTAGTAGAAAGGAGATTGAAAAATGAAATGTGAGGAGTGAGGAGTATGGTCCTCTGATGCAAGACTTAACATTATTAGATGATTGAGGTGACATTTTGTGATTTCATTTCTTTGCTTTGCTTCAGAGATGTATAATATAGACGATAATAGAGAGATGATCCGCAACTTGCAGTATCCTTGTTTGATTGTAGTTTTTGTGATATCTTTAGCTATCTAGTACGTAGCTGTCTGTACTTGTAGCCATATAGATAGCCCTCTATTGGAACTTTTGTTTATGCCTTAAATACTATAGCTCCATACCCTTGGTGATGCATACTATTGGAGATTTGTCCCCCGTCCCCCGTGCTCCTCAATCAGCAGCCGAAGCAAAGCTTCTTTCACTCAAGCCTAGAACCATCATCTCATGATCTCATCACTCAACCACCAGTAGCCTCCCTATAGAAACTCAAACTTCCATTTGCTCCCCCTGTAACAAACGCCTCACTCCTGCCCTGTACTTTCGGCAACCACTTCACTGCCCAAAGCGCTTTATCCGTCTCACTATGCGTTGCTACGCAATTTCTACCCTCTACACTCCACACCTTTACTTTGCCATCCCATCCACCGCTAGCCAGATACTCACCTGTAAAACTCCAGTCTATGCTGAAAATCCATGCAGTGTGGCCGGTCATGTTAGCGACTTGTTCGCCATGGGCAACGGAGTAAAGGGCTATAGTTGCGGAGTCTCCAGCCGCAGCGAGATAGGTAGAGAGGGGTGAGAAGGCAAGGGTGCGGATTGGTTGGATGAGGCCTGGTTGTGTTAGTCCTATCTCCTACTCCTGTCGCCGACTCCACCCCCTCAAAGAACTCACCAGGTAAACTATGCACCATCCTCCCCGTGTCATTATTAAAGACATAAACCCCTCCATTCTCATGACCACTAGCCGTAAACCTTCCATCCGCACTAATATCCACACATAACCCAAAACTCCCCTTCGTCTCATATTCGCGAATTTTCTTGCCTACGCTTTTCTTTCCCGCATTCGCATTATCCCCCTTCCCTTCTTCACCTACTTGTAATAAATCCCACACCCCAATCTTCCCATCTACATTTGTACCCGCGAGGAATTGTCCATCTGCACTTAAAGCCAGCGCCCATATCTCACCTGGTTTATTACCATCGAGAACATGACCATGATGCGACCATTCTTCCACGCCGTTTTCGTTCTTGGATTCTGTATTTGTCCAAATACTAACTGTACCATCGAATCCAGCGGATGCGGCGACGGTCCCAGATCGAGAGGTACAGATGTGATGGCAGCCGAGTTTGTGGGCGGGTAGTGATTGGGTGAGGGAGGGGGGTGTGGTGAGCGTGCTGTGGATTTTGAGGGTTGATGTGCCCGAGGCGGAGAGGATGGAGGTGGGTGTTACAGCGAGAGAGAAGATGTCGGTTTTGTGGGCTGGTGGTTGTGTTAGTATAGTGCTAGAGTTGAGGTGGCTGTAGTAGGGGATTGCTGATATGGAGGTGGATTGGAGGGGTATTTGGATGGACTTACCATTATCGATCGTGTGCGTCGTCAGGTATTGTTTAGACTTTACATTGTTAGAGCAAGCATGGAAGTATTTGAGAGATCACACACCATTGTCACCGCTTCATTTGGAAATCTGGGTATATGGTTGATGGAGAATTGTGTTTGGTGGATGATGTAAATGAAGCTGAAGCTGAAGCTTTGGAAGCTTTGGCGGGGTTGAAGAAAATGTTATCCTCACATGTGAAGTGAGCTTCAACAAACACATTTCACATAATATTTAGAATAAGATTTAGAATAATTGATGGATGTGGTAGAATATTGTTATTTTGATTGTACAGTTCTATCATTGATACCACTTCTGAGGAAATATACCTCACAATCAGGATCTCTTCCCCCATATCCCAAAAGCCTTTACTGATGCCATACATGATCATGACCATCTTCTGAAATCCACAAGCCTCCCCTCACTAATCCTATTCCGCCCTTCTCTCCTCAACACTAATCTTCAGTTAATCAATTTTCCTCTGGCCGATAACTTGCTTAGGATTCTTCTCCTCATATATCTTTCTTGCAGCATCCTTAGCTGCCTTCTTCTCCGCCCGCTTGGTTTCCAGCTTCACCAATTCAGCTTCTTTCTTTGCCTGCTCCTCTGCAGCCCTTACTTTGCCTGCTTCTATCCTTATTTTCTGTTCAGCAATCTCATCTGCTCTGGCTTGCTTTTCGGCAAATCTCTCCTCATGTGCATTAGTCTTGAATAAAGTCTTAATTTCTATATCACCGTTAACCGGGCACCTGTGATATTCCGTTTAGAAAGCCCTTACCAGCAACACAATAAGGACATAATAAATGTGCTCTCTTGATGTGACCACAAGCAGAACATCTATTCAAGTTTGTAACATCTTGTAATCCTTTGCCTGCCATTTGCCTATGTCTCTTCTTCATATGCGAAGTCTTCTTCTTGGGCACGGCCTTCAATATTCCCTCCCATAATCCTTCCAAGAATCCGGGGATATTGAGGTGTATCGCAGATGGGATGGTAAGTACTGGGAGTAGTGGGTGGGATAATTGTCGTGAATATAAAGTGGTTGATCTCGTTGCGAAAGTGGCTGTTGCAGGTGCCAATCGTGGAAGAAATGACGAGAGTATCGACGAGGTAGTGGCATGAACCGACGCCATTCTGATTGAGACGTCCACGAATTATTAAAGTGGTATTGTTGGTACTCAACCTCGCTGTCGATACTAAGCATTCAAAATCTTGAATCTTTCGGCTCGGATGCCTTACTTTACTAGTTTACTTTCCACATGCAGATAAGCTAGCGCATTTTAAGATTAGCTTATAATTGTCCAATTCCTTTCCCCTGAGGTCCATGTTATATCGCCAAAATAATCTGGAGACTGACCTCTTTCCCTAACTTTGTTCATGATCAACCGCTTTTGATTGCTTATTACTTTCGAAGAAATCCCTTTGTATCTTGTTTCTTTTCAATTCAAAAGATAATACCCTCGTTTATAAAGATTCAAATTAATACACTCTTTCCAAAATGTCGACGATAACTGATAGACACGCTCCTCAACCTTCCGTTTTCCCAAAAAGCCATGTTGGTTTCGATAGTATCACCTCACAAATTGAGCGCAAGCTCTTGAAACGCGGTTTCCAGTTCAACGTCATCTGCGTCGGTGAGTTCACTTTAGTATTTTTATTGATGAGTTGTTTGAAGAGTTTTTCTAATGGATTTACTCGTAGGACAAACCGGTCTTGGAAAATCCACCCTCATCAACACCATCTTCGCCTCACATTTGATTGATTCCAAAGGAAGACTCACCCCCGATGAGGTAGTACGATCTACTACCGAAATTCAAACCGTTTCCCACATCATCGAGGAGAATGGCGTAAAGCTGCGACTTAATATCGTCGATACCCCAGGTTATGGAGATCAAGTAAACAACGATCGATGCTGGGATCCAATCGTCAAGTACATTAAGGACCAACACTCTGCATACCTCCGAAAGGAACTTACAGCCCAAAGAGAAAGATATATTCAAGATACCCGTATTCACTGTTGTTTGTTCTTCATTCAACCTTCTGGCCACGCCTTGAAGCCGATTGATATTGTGGTCTTGAAGAAGCTTTCAGATGTTGTCAATGTTGTACCAGTTATCGCCAAGTCAGATTCTTTGACTTTGGAGGAACGTGCTGCTTTCAAGGAGCGTATAAAGGAAGAGTTCGCTTTCCACAACTTGAAGATGTTCCCATATGAGAATGATGAGTTTGATGATGAAGAGAAAGCGTTGAACGCACAAATCAAGGTAAATTTTACGACACTTGGATCTCATTTAAGCAAGCTAACAATATCAGGACATCATTCCATTCGCTGTAGTTGGATCTGAAAAGGATATTATTGTTGGGGGCAAACAAGTTCGAGGACGTCAAAACAGATGGGGTATCATCAATGTTGAGGACGAAAATCACTGCGAATTTGTCTACCTACGAAACTTCCTTACCCGAACCCATCTCCAAGACCTTATCGAAACTACATCTCAAATCCATTACGAAACCTTCCGTGCTAAGCAGTTGTTGGCTCTCAAGGAGAGCAGTGCTGCAGGACATGCTGGTAGCAGACCTATCAGTCCCGCAGCTGATAGAGAATTGAGCAGAAATTCCCAGAGAATGACCATGAACGGCTATTAAGGAAGTGGTCAGGTACGAATGATGGTCAGTTGGTGATGATATTGAGGTTGAGTTTGGGTTTGGATGATTGGTTGTGTTTATGATGGCGAGATAGTATTTGCCAAAAGCGACATTTTCTTCAAGGCAGGTTAGGGGAGATTTAATGGACTGCTTTCGTAGGGCTGGGCTTTTCTAACCTGAACATCTCTACGTTTCTCCTTTGCTTAATTAGCCGTTTTTCTTTAATATCCAGAGAATGCATTTAAATAGTAAATAATTCAATCTTCGTTTGATTCTTAAGGTCATTGATATGTTGTAATCTAATCTATGAGGATTTGGGGATGATCCTTCATCTCATCGTCTAGCTCCCATCATTGTTGAGGTTGATTAGGTAAATAGAAGTAATGCTTTAGACCGGCCCTTTACCCATATCAGGCCTGGTTTTAAGGCCCAGTTCAGTGGTCCGCACCCAGAGCGGGAGCGGGCTCATATGAAAGGGCTAAAGAACCCCCCAAAGCGCTAAAATCGATAAGGGGTTTCCCCAGCTTTATCGCACGACCAGCAAGCACGCACCAACCACTCATTCAAGCGTCACGATAATTCCCTTCCGCCATCTTTTTCTACCTACACATACATATGTGTTTTCTACAACCGCAATTCTTGCGACTTTCGTCTAAACATAGTATACTACGAAACCCTCCATTCGTTTCTTCTTTTTCTTTTCCTATCCCTAGGAATTGTTCGCGCGCCGCTAGTACGGGTGGAATTTCTAAATTTGCAGTTATGTCTCGTAGGTTCCTTTTTGTTGAATTTTAAGAACTGGTGATTTGGAGGATTGAGAATCGAGGATTGAGGATTGAGGATTGAAGATTGAGGATTGAGGATTGAAGATTGAGGATTGAGGATTGAGGATTGAGGATTGAGGATTGAGAATTGAGAATTGGAGAATAGGAAGAAGGAAGAAAAGAACTCAAACCTAACAAACTCACCAGCAACCCCCCCAACCACCAACCCCATCATCATCAGCGGTCCCTCGGGCGTCGGCAAAGGAACACTCTATTCGCGACTCCTAGCCAACCATCCCAATCTCTTCACCACATCTATTTCGCACACGACGCGAGCGCCGCGTCCAGGAGAGACGCGCGATGTCGATTATTATTTTGTGCCCATGGAGGAATTCGAGGCGATGATTGCGAAGGGCGATTTTGTTGAACATGCTATGTTTGGTGGGAATAGGTATGGTACGAGTCGGAAGATGATTGAGGAGAAGAGGGGGGAGGGGAAGATTGTTGTGTTGGATATTGAGATGGAGGTTTGTGGTTACCCTTTCTTTTGTTTGTTGAGAAAAGAGCGCGGGAAGGGTGAGAGGTGTTTGCACTGCTTGCTTGTTGAAGTTCAGAATGTGGTGAGTAGTATGATACTAATCGAATATAGGGAGTCAAACAAATTCATTCTCTCAACCCTCCATTTCCGGCTAGATATATATTTATTTCTCCTCCTTCTACTGCAGATATGTCTGCATACGAGGTTTTGGAGGAGAGACTCAGGGGAAGAGGTACGGAGAAGGAAGAATCGATTCAGAAACGTTTGGCACAGGCGAAGCTCGAATTGGAATATTCGAAGACGGAGGGTGTGCATGATAAGATTATTGTGAATGATGATTTAGAGGTTGCGTATAAGGAATTGGAGGACTACATTTTTGGAACTAGGGCTTAGAGGGTATGGATTCTGCTGGTAAAAGGTACAGGGTAGAAGGCTGATGTGGGATCGTTCGAGCATGGGCAGAGATGATTGCTACTGAAAAATTCCTTTGCAGCACCTGAAAGTTATCAAGTTCATACATAGATTGCAGAGGGTCTATACATCGGATTCGGTGGACATAGAAAGAGTTATACATAGACAAAAGTGTTCATAGAGTATCAACCTACAAATTCACAAGACTCACGCGCTTCAACTCAACGTTGAACATTAGTGCAAGCGAAGCAGAAATGAAGACCCTACAAGAAAGAAAGTTTGTGGTTCTCATGTGTAGGAAGTGACCATAGCAGCACATTTGAACCCTGTCAATTTAAGTCTGCCATAACTTTGGGAGCAGCGAATCTTGTCTGGGTCAAAAATTCGGATCTGCCACCTAGAGTAAACCAATCCGTAGCATCCAAACTCTCACACCATCTATCTTTTATCGCACTAAAAATAACATCACCATAGAATTTTCAAAAGAGTTCATTAAAGCCTACCCATATGAATATCACCCACACAACACAACAACGAATGACGCTGCCAGCACATGCATGCACGATAAACCACACGCGTTCTAGAACAGAAAGACCGAATGCTCCATGCTCAACACCTTGGGGGTTCCCAATGTAAACGTATTAATGAAATGTATCGATATCATTCGAAATCGTCCCGAAATTCCTGGAGATTCCTCTTGCCCTTTCCTCTAATTAAACTCCTTGCTTTCTCTAGGTTGTGTCTTTAATTCTTGTTTTGGTTGATTTCTCCATCTGTGAGTTGTGGATGGGATGGTGAAGGTGATGATGAAGATAAGGTTAAGATTAAGATATCCTTGTTGAGTACCTAGGTATCGAATATCTATTTCTTTGCTTGTGCGGCGGCGAGGGCTTCGGCTGCTTTTCTTTCGTCGGCTGGGGGTTTGGGTGTTAGTTATGTTATGTATGGATAGAAAAGGAAGGAGAAGCTGGCTACCTTTCTTTTGCTTCTCCATTAATAGAACTCGAGTCTTATCTTTCTCGGCCTGCATCTGCGATTTCGACATACCGGTTCCGGCTTTCTGTGAAGATGAGGTTAGTGAGTGTTCGTGGATAGATGGGGTGGAGGAGATTTGTGCGATTATCAGGAGATGATTTTTTGAGGGGAATTTGAAAGTAGATGAGAGGACTTGGGAGATGAGAGAGAACATACGGCAAGTTGAGCTTGTTTCTTAGCATTAGCCTCACGGGACTTTTCTCTTTGATTTCCTCGGGCCATTTTGAATAAAAGGTATGTTTAATGTGGACGTTTTAGTTTTGTGTAGAGATGGGGTGTCCGCGATAGATGGGATGCTGTATTTTGTGCGTCTGGGTGGCCTTTTTTGAAGGAGAATGAGGTTGTCAGATTGAGAAAATTAAAATGGATGGATGGGTGAGGCTGAGAGAATTGTAGAATTGTAATTGTACGGGTACGTACCTATGGATGATTATGAGCAGTGTACGGAGTATGCAAGAAAGTTCTGGATTGATACACACGGAGGGTCTGATTGTTTTCGCTTAAGGGATGGGAAAGATATAATTGGTGGATTCGAGCGATATGATTGGGAGATGGGTTGTTTGAAGTATTTCGATGAAGGTTTGCTTACGAGTGAGTAGCAGTAGATCCAGCCTTTCTGCCTATGCACTTCAAAGGAAACAACAAAGTCTATTTCGATTGTTATTCCTATATCTATTTTCGAATAAAGTTATAAAAAGAACATAGTCCCTATCAATGAACCTCAACAATTGGCCACCAGTTTCTTTGTGTTCTTCTTCTGCCACTCCGCACAATCAAAATCTCCAAGTCATGAAACATGGTTGCCCGAAGCGTTTTCATCCAATAATTTGAACTTCATATTTATATCTCAAAACAGCCCTATCCCAAACCCCAATTTGACTTGGCTTTCAATTCATGCACTGCTTTTCTATTCTATTGGATGTGAGGTAATTTAGTACTACAATGATCGATGTCAAGCGCGTCTTTTCGTCTCTTTCGCGCCTTGGAGAAGTGCTCCTTGAAGCAACCCGAGTTTTAATGGTGGGACGTGGATATTTCATCCATTCATTTCTGTCGCTTCTGGGTCTTCTCCGAATGACTTCTATAGGTTGCAACATTGTGGTCAAAGAATCAACAGGTAATCTAGATGTTATTGGATTTCCTTTAAACTTTCAAAAATAATGGAACAGTAAAGATTCCATTCACCCCACAATACCAAGGTTTTGCAGGCGTCAAGTTGCGTCAAGTTGCGTCAAAGGACTTTGGGAGTACTTCTTTCAATCTTCATATCCATTCACTTTTTATCTCTCTATCTGTTGTCCATGAAGACAATAGACCTTTCAGAGATATCTCATTCTATTGTTGGGTTATTCAAATAATGAAGTCTTGATCTCAATAACGAACAATTAATTTATTTAATATATTTCCTTTCCTCCTGTTTGAGATTTTGAATCCGTTTCTTACTTTCTCCCTTCAAAACTACTATACATTCTTCACGGTCTTTCTTAAAATTCTACAAACAGCTACAACTATACAATCTTACCTACTAAGTTACAAACTTACTACTTACATACTTTGAAAGTATTTCGAAACTCCTTTATCAACTGCAGGCAGTTTAATATCACACTTCCTTGCCCCAATTGTAAGTTCTTTCTTTCCATCATCTTGGATACCACTCAAGACACTTGGCTAACACACTTTTAGACTCGAAACTTATATTCGTTCTTTAACATAAGACAATCACCATGTTAAATATCAAGCAAGCAGGTCGAGGCTTCCTTATCCTTAACGCCATTCGCGTCATGAATATAATAACACTCCTCGATGTTGTCGCAGCCAGCTGGATTATGCTCGTCATGACCGTCAAGACCTCTAATGTAAGTCCCTTTACCCCTTCCCACATCAAAAAAATACTAACATCTCATCTAGTTCTACTTCTTCGACGGTGTCTCTCATTTCATAACCAGCAGCATCGGTATCTTCCTCATTGTCTCCGAACTGTCACTCTTCAAAAAATACTTTGAAACCTTCTGGCCCCTTCTCTGTCCCCACAACGGTTTCCTTTTCCTCGGTCTTTCCATGTTAGCCCTAGGTTTTAACATACTCGGTAACTTGAATAAGAACGCTACTTCTGTTCAAAACTTAGGTTTACCTATGTGGCGTGTGGTTATCTCTTCCGGATGTCTTTCGGCTATTTTGGGGGCCATTAACTGTATTGCTGTAAGTTTTCTTTCCTCCCCCTACCCTCTTATATACAACTTACTAATGATAATCCTAGTCCGTAGTCTTCACCACCAAAGACAAAACAGCGCGTCAAATCCGCACTCACGGCGCCACCACTCCCCCAAACCCCTACGAAAAACGTCTTTCTCTTCCCGCCTCCCTCAACCAAGACCTCCCTTCCTACTACAGCAATCCCGCCGAACGCCGTAAATCACGTTTCCCATTCCGTCTTCCTCTCCGCGGTTCCCTGATTTCCAAACCCGTAATTTCAGAACCTAAACCTTTCCATCCTGATTTAGAAGAGGGACACAGTTACGATCATCAAACTCCCCAAGTTAGCGATAGATCCTCACCTATTGTTCCCGGTGTGGAGAGACCACCCACGGCTATGCATCCTGCGCATTTGAGACCGCCTCCGGCTCCTAGGAGTAGCGTTTATAGTGTTGCGAGTAACGTCACTAGATTTACTAGGTTCTAGGGGGTGAGAACCTGGATTCAGTAGTGCGTAGCGGTGTGGAGTGTTTTAAAAGTATTGGATTGCGCTGCTTCTTGAGCGTGGAGTTTGCATGCGTACATGCATGGATGGATGGATTTATGTATGGAATGTATTTACTCGGGCGTTTACAGTCATGGGATGGGAGTTTAATGGATGGATGGATAGGATGCATGAATATGATATGCTATGATTTGATGCATGAATAGGATGGATGGATGGATAGGATAGGATAGGAAATACCCAATGATCTATTTATTTACTTTGGTTTTGTCTTTTAGCACTTAACATCTAAAAGTTCCCATTTCCCATTTCCCATTTCCCCATTCTCCATTCTTCTTTTACTTTTTTATATTACCCTTTTCCTTCCCAAGGACTCCCCCCCCGAAGTAAGTTTCTCTCAACCTCACATTAACCTCATCCATCCATCATCCATCCATACCCTGAAGCCTCCTAGCAAAACCAAATCATTGATCATTCATTACCTACCTAAGTAGGTATAATACTATACTCAAATCCCTACATCCGTAGATCGTCGCGAATTGCCTCACAAATTTTCTCATGGATTCTTTACATATATTGTAAAAGTGATAGGTCGAGATACGTGCATCCCGATAGCATGTTGTGAGAAGGGAATTGGAAAAGAAAGCTGAATTAGATTATATTGTAATATATTACTTATAAAGAAAATAGAGTTTACAATAATTTTAAAATTGATACTATATAAGTTCAAAATGTATATATATAAAAAGTTGATTATTTTCAAAAGAAAAAGTAAAAATTTTCCTTTTATATCTAATTACAAAAGATTATATAATTAACTAATTAAAAACCTTTATATATTTAATTTATAATTTCAACTTTTTTATAATATATATATGTTTTTTGTATCTTTAATAATATAATAACATAACAAATTTATTAAATACTATTTATCTATTAACTTAAACTTCAACTTAAATCTAAACTAGTTAAATTGACTTTTCGTCATTTTTCAATGGAGTTTTGAAATTATACTATTATCATTGATGCTAACTGGCCGTGAGACAAGGAAGTTGGTAATACTATATGAATGATAATATAGATTTTTTATTATACCGTTTCTATATTAACAATAAGATCAACCCCACATCACTTTTTCCTTTTTAATTTTCTACATTTATTTTATAAATATTCATAAGATGTAATGCTTTTCCTTTTGGATTTGACTTATCAATATTAGTAAGCCATCCAAGGGTATGAATCAACGCCATGTGAACTAAAAGTTCATACATACATGAAGACGCCAAAGCCATGCATATAAATCACCAGCAATAGATGAACTAAACGTTAGTATCCACGACCCAGTATAACCCCACGAAAATGCAATGATTATAAATCCTAGAACTCCCGCAACCGGTTGAAATTGGAACGCCTAAATCGATGCAAGCAAATGCAAAATTAACGAGCTTCAGAATAATCATTCAAAGCAACGCAAACGAGTCCTAGATTTGACTGATCAGATGAAGCAATAGATGGGAATGTTTGGATCAATGTACCGCGATGATGACCATTGTATTGTCTGATAACCGATTGACTATGTAACTCCCAAAGTCGAGCATAATGATCCGAGCATGCAGTAACAAGGTAAGCAGAATCAGCACTAAAAGCGCAATCCCAAACCCATCGTTGATGACCGGTTAATGTTGACTCAAGATTGAATGCTCTTGCTTCCGTTTGTGGCTGGTTTGGGTTTGGAGCTAGAGCTGTAAAGTCTACTTCCCAGATCTTGGCGGTATGATCGGCACTACATGTTGCGAGCTTCTTGACATCTGGAGATAGTAGAACACGAGTGATGTATTGGTTATGAGCCTTGAAGTGAGTAATTGGCATAAGTTGTGTCTTCTCACGGAACTGAAGAAGCTGCCAAACATAAACGCTGCCCTGCACATATGTTAGCATAATTCTAAAAGTGCTTGAGAGCTCACTTACAGAATTAGTACCAGCACACAAGGTTGATCCATCAGTTGCGACGGTGACGCTGGAAACAGGTACGTCCTCCTCTGGAATAAGTTGGTGAGAGCAATTATTTTCTGCAAGATCCCAAATGCGAACACTGCCTCCACGATCACAGCTGATGATTTCACCTTGGTTTGGATGGATGACTACATCGTTCACAGGACAGCCATGACTATAACTTCTTTGAACAGTGCCACTTCGTGTCTCCCAAATTTTAACGGTTCCATCTTCAGAACTTGTCACCATCCATTTCCCTTCGCAATGAAAAGCGACACCTGTAATATTTCCTGTATGTCCTTCGAATGTGAGAAGTGGGTTCGGATTTGTTGACTTAATATCGTAGAGTTTAACTGTATGGTGGCCAGCTGCAGCTAGGAAGCGCTTATCGGGGGAGATGCATAATCGATTGACTTGAGAATCAGGATGTTGAATTGTTCGAGAACAGATACCAGAGAGGGCTTCCCAGAATCTAATGATTGTAGAATTTCAGTAAACTGCCGTATTGCAAGTCGCGCATAAGAGTAATATTTACCTGATAGTATGGTCATAGCCAGCTGTAACAAGAATGCAAAGAATGTCAGTTTGGCCATTTTCAAAAGCGGGTAGATACGCCATTTCGAGATGGATGATAACTTGGTCAGAGGAAAAGATGAAGCAAAAAGATAGGTGGAAGGTTTAGAGGCAAAAGAAACCAGTTCACTCCAATTGCTATGAAAAAGCAACAATTCATCTGAAGATGGTAATAACAGTCTGATGAAGGAAAGAGTGAGTGTTGAGTATTGAGTATTACTTACCGGTACACAGAATTACAGACATATCTTCACCTAATATATCAATTAAACCGATCAATAATGAAGAGAAATACAATAAGAAAGAAGTAACCACAGTGAGTTTGAATTGACAATAGCACCTTCCAGATAGAGTGGCTGCAAAGAAATATATAAGAGATTCTAAAGTATTACACCTGCAATACAGCCAGTGACGTTAGGAGCTCTTTTACTAAAGCTTGATTTAAAAATTGACCGCCTTCTTTATTCAGATGATTAGATCAAAATAATATCCCGAGAAATTAGAGAAAAGCTCGAGCCAATCAAGAATAAATTGTATCACGTGGTTGCATAGCCTGCCAAAACTTTTTGAATTCGATCTGGAAACTACGGTCATGATGGATGTTCACTTTCATATATGACACTTCCCACAGATCGTTTCTGAAAGGGTTTTAAATTATACAACTTCAAACATTACAAAGTTAGCTTCATCAAAAGCCCTTTCACGCTGAAGAAGAAGAAGAACAACCGAGTAAATATTGAAGTTGTGAGTTTGAAATATCTCTAGGCTATCAAGCCAAACCTACATTTGTACAAACTACCCAACTGGGTTCTTGAATTTACCACGGGCTATTGTCACGAGCTGTTGTTAAGTACAAAGTCTGGTCTTCAACATTTGTTCTTTTAGATTGCTTATGGTCACCTTGTTCAGAGGTATAGTGTCAGAAGCATATCTACTCAAACCGACGTGCTTTCGTGGTAGAATATATCTTGCGACTCAAGGCAATTGTTAGTACCATTACATCAAAGAGACCTCAAGTTATCTCAAGATGGAGGACGTACCTGAAAAGGGTGTGGTTCAGAAGGAGTTTGATAGAATTGGAGGTAATTATGCTCCTGAAAATTCTTTGCTCATTGGACTTACACCTCCTTCCTTTGAGCAGTGCGATAACCAGAATTCTTCTGGCTTCCAAGAAGATGATACATGGTGGGGTTCTTTCTCTATGGAAGAAGAGAACTACCGAAACAACTTAATGAAAGATGCAGAGAACTTCCAACTCACTGGAGATATCGAAGATTTGTTCGCGAGCGGCCCAAAATGCCCTGTGGATTATGTCGAACCACAAGTAGCCAAGAGACGAAAGTTCAATTCCGATTCAACTAAAAGTTCTTCGCCATCCCCCAAAAATACTCGAGAAGCTGTCAGTCCAATCAGTGAATCCTTGTCCGTTTTCTCCCAACAGGCCATGCCAAATCAAAAGACAGCAGAGCCAAACTCATCGTCAAACACTACCCCTAGGGTCACAAGCCAAATGGCTCAGCATCCAACTGGACAAGAATCACTTCTCTCTCAAGAATCACCATCTGGATTGAACAATTCGTCTAACAATGACCTTCCAATCACATCATTCAATGGTCAGGATACAGACCTTCAAACCATACCAATCATCAGCCAAGTTTCTTCACCCGACATCCACCTTTCGCAATCATCTACAAACGCAATTACTACTCCAGAAATCTTTCAAACTCCTTCAGGAACTCACCTTATTTTCATACCAGAACCTCACCAAATAGTTCAGCAACAACCTTGTGGAGTTACTGGCGTTCCTCTAGGGCCCACCATCTCACAAAGTCCGGAAATGCAAGTTGAATCGAACGTCTATGGCCATCAACTTTCACCTCAACGGTCACATAACCAGCCGCGACCATTTACTGAATTTCTTGCTGAACAAAATCTTGGTTTTACGCCACTTCGACGATCGCTCAAACAACAACCTACATCTCTCCCACAAAGCTCAGTTCAAGCTAGCCAAAAACCTACAGAACACGCCACGAGGCTTTGTCTCCCAACTCCACCAACCCCCAATACAGACCTTCAACAGTCCTCGCCACCAGTATTAGATAGAAGTTCGATTAAACCTCAGCTTAGAGAAGTCATGGAAAGGTTTGAAAACAAGATTAGGATGGATGCGGAACTCAGACAAGCTTTCAACATTGTCTTTCCTGGTAAGTTCATAACACTCAACCCAATTTCGAGCACTTACTAACATATTTGATAGCACGAAGTATAGAAGTGGAAGAATTGAAGCAAAAGATGCTCAACGAAAGACGTCAAGCTGCGCTTAAAGAAAATGCTTTGAGAAAAATAATCACCGAATATCAAGATAATATAACAGCTCAAGAAGCTTTGCAGACTAGAGCGATGGGTCTTCTTACACAGCTCAGAACAGATCCTAAACACGATCGTTCTTGGGTATGTCTAAATTATAATAAGAATGGTCAACTATGCAATCACATTCAAAAGGAATTCTATCTACTGGCGAAGGTTTGGAGAAGACGCGAAAGATGCTCCAAATGCAAAACAAAGACACATGAGCTAAGTCGGAAATACCTTGATGATGATGCAGCTATTTCATCATGGAATTTTGAAAAAGATGGACCCGCCATGCCAGAAAATACGCAGTCATTGAAGCGTACGAGAGATATGACGGATAAGCCAGCAGTTACTCCTCTGTTATTCGTTGATTCAAATCGTCGCCAGTCATTACCTAGTCTTACTGTTGCTGGAAAAGATCTTCAACAAGATTCGAGTTCCAGATGGGCTTCATTACCACCACCTACCCAGAAGAAGGCTCGCAATCACTTACCCTTAAACAATAATAAGGAAACACGAGATACCTTAAGAGCAGCACTTGGAGCGCCATCCAAAACATGGATGCAAGCACCGAAGCAAATAGAGACCATTGTTTTAGACGATGATAATGAGGAGGAAGTCGAGACAGATCAATCAGAAGAAAGCCCTAACGATACCCCAGCGGTTGAAGCAGAGACCCGCTACGAAGATTCTATGGAAGCTGATTTTGATGCAGCATTTAATGCTGACCTTGAAGCGGAATTGGAAGCTGATCTTACTGCTGCTTTTGAGGAAGAACTTGTATAGGAGTTTTACTTGGACTTTTAATGTACACAATCAGTGTGATGGATTAGAGTAGAGTACTGAAGAGCATGTTTTCCTGGAGAAGTTAAGTCTTTACTCGGTTGCGTGACTCACAGCACTATGGATGAGTGGTGTTTATTTCAAGCTTCACGCCACTTGATTGTACTTCACAGTGTATGACGGGAGAATGCATTGTCAAAAAAATTAAAGCTGTGGACTTTACTTTACTTTACTTTATTTATCGAATTGTATCAAGCAGACAGATGGTCAGACCATGTAATTATACCTTCTACCACATTAGCATAGCACTTATTAGGTACACGATGGCGAGGAGATATACTATTGACTTTGTTATAAATTTTATACCCGTGGATGTGGAGCAAAAACCATAATGTATTACCATTCTTATAAGATGAAGTATATAGAATATTAAATATAATATAATTAGTTAGTTATTAGAAAGAAAGTGAAAACATGATAGAAATATAATAATCTTATAATGTATTCTCACAAACTCTCACAAACTCAAACTCTTCTAAACCCAAACACGCAAAAGAAAAAGATAAAATCTCATCATGAATTATTAAAAAAAAGTAAAAAAAGACCAAAGAACTATTCCATTCCATTCAATTCAATTCCTTACTTTCCATTTCTTTCCATTCCTATACTTGCTTTCCCTTCCTATCTCACATGTATATAATAAAGTGTATAAAGTGTGTAAAGTAAAACACCATCGTCATGAGTATTTGAATTCCCCTCCCTTTCCTCCCTTTCCTCCATCCCTCCCCGCATTAAATCAATTTGAACTATATTTGTTGTACCCATTGATTCGCACCATCCACCATCTAGTAAATCTTCACATTTCCCCAACCTTTCCTCCTCATTTCCACAATACATTGTTTATTTTTTTTAATTTAATCCCAAGAACAAACAAGGCCATGAATTAGATTATATATCTCGGGAAGAAATATCGTATGTTTGCTCGTTCGTGACTATGCGGGAATAGATATCTGATGCATTGGGATTGCTTTCTCAATTGAAGAAAAGCTTACAAGATGAAAGCAGCAGCAGCGAGGAAACCAGCAATGCTAGCACCTGAGAATGCCATGACGCGGTTTCCGTTGTTGGTGTTGATGGTGAGGGGTCCGGAGGGGGTGGCGGATGGTTCGGATGGGGAGCTGGTTCCGACGGATCCGGCACCGGTAACGGCGGTGGTTGGTGCTGGTGCAGTGCTGTTACCGTAGGCTGGGCCGGAGCTGATTGGTGCAGAGCTTGCTGGGGCAGTTGGAGCGGCAGTGCTAGGAAAGGTTAGTTTTGCTCGCTTTTGGTTTGTTTTTGTGGAATTGCTGGATACATACCAGTCGTTGCAGATGACAGAAGAGGTGGTGTACACTGGCTTGGAAACTGTACATGGGCAGTTGGTAATAGTGACAGTCTCACTCTGTGAATGATATTAGTTTTTGTGCTCCAGTAACTCGATCTTGAAACTTAGAATTTCGTATTCGTGTGGCTTCTTTTGTGGATCGACCACACGAACTACTCCTCTTGATGTTTCGTATGGGATAATTACCTCGGTGGCAGTGTAAGTTACACCGTTGAAAGAGAGAGTGGTGGCCATTGGGCAGACAGTGGTGAAAGCAGTAACAACATCAGTCACCCAGACAACAGGCATTGTGGCATTTGCTGGAGCACTCGAGTTTCCTGTTGCTGAGACGGAAGCTGCGAGAGCAGAGATGATTGCGACGGTAGAGAATTGCATATTGAAGGATTTAGATTGGTATTATTATGTACTTTAAAGTGATCTCGTTGATAGATTGGACGTGTAGAGTTGGCGAGGTAGAGGTTGTTGTTTTGAAGGTTGATTAGTCTGTACGACGAACGAATGTAATTGACCAAAAGTCGGGTATTACTGCAATGAAGCAAAAGGATGAGAAAGTGAAAGTGGTTTGGAGTGAAAAAGGGTGAGGAAAGAAGAGATTATGATGACTTTGGGGTGATTGCGGATCTTATACCGAGTGCCGTGAAAGTGGATCATTACCCACGTCTAGACCATGCAACTTTACCAACCTTGACTAACAACCTGGGTCTCTCGAGTGGAACCCAAGAGGAAACAGAAGGTGGGAAAGCACTTTAAAGTGCTCTGTCTGTCCATTTTGAGAAGCGACTAACATCGTATTGAGCTTAGATGGTATTCAAACGATGCAGGTACAGACCAGATGTGATTGGATCAAAGCGAAGATTAATTTACGGACAAGACTATTTAAGATACGATGCAGATCATCACCAGTAATTAGGATCCAGTTAATTGGTTTCCAAAGATCAGACAAACTGTTATAATTTAGGGTATTGCCTTGGCAATAGTGATACTGGCAGGGAGACCACCAGGGTGCAGCGGATGGAAAGAAGAAGTAGGAGAAAGGACGTGGAAGAGGCAGATGGCCTATGATGAGAGAGGAGAGAGAGAGGAGAGAGAGAGAGAGAGAGAGAGAGAGAGGAGAGAGAGAGAGAGAGAGGAGAGAAAGAGGAGAAAGAGGAGAAAATGATCATTTAGATTCTTGTCATATTTCATCCGATTCACAAGCACTTCCCCTGACAAAGAACTGATATGAGAGTGATTGACTTGGCATAAATATATCATATCTACCTACTCTCATGATCAAGATGGATAAGATTATACATTGTGAATATTTATCCTACGAAAAGAACTTGCACGTACAGAGTAAATACCTCCAACTCCTCGGGAAGCTTTGCATCGGTCACACAGTAGCGTCAGGGGTAATCTTACAGTCTTACAATCTTACAATCTTACAATCTTACATCCTTCTCCCGGCAGGCAACGAGAAAAGCGCTAATGAGTGCCAAATCAATCATCACAAAGAAAGAAGACAAGTCAACAGGATAAAAGTCGGAAGAAATAAGGAGAAAACACTAACGAAGAAGTAGATTTCCTTTCTATGGATTCTATCGTAGTTGTCAACCGATGGCTCACTCGCCAACTCATCTCCACCCACCAAGAAATCAATGTCCTAGTGTCCCAAGGTTTGCTAGGAGTGAGTGGAGAAATAATTCTTTTCAGGTCTGGTTCCATCTCCCGAGCGATTAAATGATTAAATGACTAAGATATCTCGGTGTTGCCTATGCATCTATATATTCCTTGGCTGATTCCTTTTTATTCTCTTGGGGTTTTTATGAATTTGAATAAGACAATCCTTTATCAGAATCATCATAGTAGCTACAGAGTACAGAGTACAGAGTACAGAGTATAGGAAGAAGAAGAATAATAATAAAAGTTCTTTTGGTATGATATTAATCTGATAATCTGATATTAACATCATCAATCCCGTTGTGTAGGTTACATTACATATGGTACTCCGCCAACGTTACATTACAGATCCCTATCTACCTATCCTATCCATCTACCAACAAACCGTATCCCATCGTATCCCATCGTATCCCATCGTATCCCATCGTATCCCATCCCATCCCATCCCATCCCATCCCATAACCTTACAATCCTTACTTACATCAATCACCAACACCAAAATCCGGGCAGACTTGGAAATCAAGCAGCAAAGGACTACCTAACTAACCGACTGACTGACTGACCGGTTGAATAATAACTCCCTACCTACCTACTCGACTAAATAACTTTAAATCTTTACAGAACATATCTATCTACCATCAAGAACCAATGAAATAAGATACAATAATGAAATAAGATAAAATCAATCCAAACATTCTAGACGCATCCCCAATCCTCAATATTTGCTGGTATTCATCGTAATTAGACATTGGGAGATTTTTCTGAAGAAATTCCCCGAGACAGTTGTTGGTATAGATGAGAAATCGTTTCTATGATGGTGATGGTTGGTTTGTACCTGCATGTGGCAATTATAGCTTTGAGATCTTCCATGATAATGACAATGACATGCATAACATGATTTACCTAGTTCGGCGGTGGGGAAACTATTTTCTTATTACTACTTTTTCTTACTAGGTAAGATCTTATTGTAAAAGAGGAAATCTTTTATATAGTTAATCATTTCTTTCTTTAGAGAAAGATATATAAATAAATAAATACAAAACTGAAGAAACATTTTGATGTCTATCTATAATGAATGCTCAAGTGACAACTCACTCACGCATTTGCGAAAAAGCTGAGGGTGTAAAGACTTCCATACCTGCACACTTACATATCTATCGATATCAATTTTTGTTTGATAATCTCAGATGATTTGCACTATGTACGATACGTGGATACTACGAGTCATTTTTTAATTCCGAAATTCGAATGTATAGTTATGGTCTGTAGTCTACAAGTCTTACAATGTATAGGGAAGAAGATATCAATGATGATGATCTTTTGATCTATTGAGACTGGTATTCTGTCTCAGCTGTCTGTCTGGGGAGAGAGATATCTAGATATCTTATTAAAATAGAGAGATAGGTTAAGATCTGATATTATATTTGGGATATCGATGTGAAGGTTTGCTAGGTAAGTTTACTGTAACGTTGTGTCTTACAATAACCTTTCCGTCTAAATCTCCTGTTAGTTATCTATTGAGGAACCTTAGAGTCTCTCTCTATTCTATCTTGATGATTGATTGATTGAACAAAAAAGTTTCTAGATTCTAAACAAGTGCTTTATTTTATACTTTTCCGGATACATCGCTTGATGATGGGATCTATTGGATATGTCATGTCTATTTATTAGATATTCAACGATGCAATGATGTTTATCTTAAGCTCCTTGGTCATCGTAAAACTTAAGATTTTACTCTTGAAATTGTTCGTTATTCTTGCACTTTTTGAGATCGCTTGATCTTGGTTATTTTTTCTTCCATACTGGTTCAAGATCTGTTCGATATGTAGGATATGGTATCCTGGTTTGTGATTCTTATTTAACTTTTGCTGTAAGATATTATTTATTGTCTTTGGTGATTGTACTAGATTAACTTATAGGAGGATAATAAATTTACTAGCTTTATTTATCTGAGTAGAAACTCAACATCAGATCCCATCATATCTATTAGATTCTCTAGATATTAGCTCATTCTATAATTAATTGATTTATTCCTCGATCTATTTATTTATATCTTCCTCGAGCTCATAATATGAACAACCAAGTCAGAATCCAAGTACATCTCAACCAATATAATCCGACCCAACTACTATCCATGCCTAGGTATTAAGCACTACGCTGTACATTCTTTCAACATCAAAAAGGGTTAGCTATAGTACAATACCCTCAAAAGAGTTAAGAGTCCCCCATTAATTCCCCCCTCCCTCATATTCTCTCTACTCAAAACTCCTCAAAACTCTATACTCCACAATAACCTCATCCCTTCCTCCTCTCTGTGTCAAAAATCTTGGTAATTCTTTTGTTCCCTCCTTCTTATCATTGTCATCTCATTCTCACCATGACCTCCATCTCTATCTCCAGACCACCAACTCTCTTCTTGTTCTTGAGCGAATTCCTCGCGGGTGAGTAAAGGGGGGAGAGGGCTGGATAGATTTGATAGATTGGGATTGGACAGATTGGATGGATTGGGGATCGTTGCTTGATTATATAGGAGGATCTCTACTATCTGAGTTGATGTATAAAGCTGCTTGGGCTTGGGGTATCGTCATTTATGTGGCTGTTCTCGTTTTGTTCGCTGTCTTCATTCTCGTCGCTGCTTGTATTCTCCTCTATGTTCTCATTATCCTCTCTGCTCTGCTTCTTCTCGCCATCCTAAATCTCCTCACTACTTTCATGCTCCTGTATCCATTTCTCTATCTCTTCTTCTTCATTCTCATGAATGATCATTATCGATCTTCATGATTCTCATCTCATTCATTCTCATTTTTCATTCCATTTTCGATTTCACCTTCACCTTCCATCCCTCATCTCTCTTGTTCTCACATTCATCACCCACCCCCCCCCTCCCTCAACAACATCCCCATCAGCATCCTCATAAATCTCAAACTCCCACCCTTTTCCCCTCTCTCCTTCCCTTCTTCCCTTTCTCCTACTCCCCATATTTACCGACCCTAAATTCAGGACTCATTTCATAGATATTAAAATATTAATCTCAGAGAATAAGCTATAATTCCGCAAACATCATCTTAATGCATCTATTCTTCTTCATTGAGATCGGAGATCTTCGTCTGCTGAGCTGTGTGGATGCTGTGCAGTTGTGATTGCTAGTACTTTGCTTCTTGGGATTGTTTGAAGTTCTGTTTTTTGGGGGAGGAGGCCATGTTTTTATTCATTTTCTTATATCCCTATCCTCTCTGTCCTCGTCCCCCCGTCTTCTTTTCCTACAAATCACCCTCTCACTCTCTCTCACCTTCCTCCTCACAAACTCTAAAACCCCCACCCATATCCATCAAATCCCAACCCCAAATTCAATAAACCTATAATCTTGAATCGAATTTATTTCTTGTAAGAGTTCTGGTCATTACTCACCGCACCCCCTTTAAATTTCACCTACACTTTTGAAAATTTAATATTAAATCAATACTACAATATTTTTTATTGAAAATCTAATAATATATTAATAAATAATAACTAATCCTTTTACTTCAATCATATCCTTTAATTTACAAATCAATCTTTCAATATATAATTTGAAATTTAAAGAATCAAATATCTTCTATAATCTTTTAAACTTCTTTTTTAATTCCTCAATAGAAATAAATACAAATAATAGTTTTTTTAATTCCTTTTTCATCTAATATTATATCTTCTCAATTGGATTGAGATCTAAAGAAAAGAAAGATCATTAAAAATCTTTAATACTATATTCTAATCGAATTAATCTAATATACTTCAAATAAATCTTTATATTATCCTTTATAAATATATATATTCAAATCTTAATTCATCAAATAAAAAAAATACAATAAAAATAATAACTTGATTTTGATATACTATTAAATTTATTTTTTTATTGTTAAAATTCTTCTTCAAAAAAATTAATAAAGATTTATAATTCTAATCAAAAATCTTTTATATTATTATAAAAATCTTTTCTAATTTATATACTAATTTAATATAACTTTTATATCTCTTTTTTTCAATTCTACAAATCATCTATATCCTACTATATTTTCCAATCTGGAAAATACTTTCATTTAATTATATAATCTTCTTTTAATCATTTCCTTTAAACTTTTCAAAAACTACATCAATTATTCTTTATCAACAATATATATATACAAAATCCAACCTCTTTTTTGTTTATTTCTTGAAAATAAATAATCTAAAATAAACTATATAATATTTATAATTTTATCAATATAATTTATATCGAATAATATATATCAAAAACTTTAACCTTTAATATATATTTTATTTATTCAAAAATTATCCTTCTTTTTTTTCAATCTTTTATTAATTCTCTTACAATTCATTAAATCTTTTTAATTATTATTATAAAAAATCAATATATCTTCTTTTTATAAATAATTCTAAATAAATTCAATTTAATAATATCTTTTACAATACTTCAAAATACACTCAAATTTTGTTCGATCCAAGATTACGATTTTCCATCCCTTTTAATTTGAAAAACTTTAACTTTACAAAAGATACCTCAATTTTGATAAAATTCATAATTGTTATTTTTATCTTGAATTTTGATAATTATTTTGAGTTTGAATAGAAAATATTGAAAATTAAAATTTTGATAAATTATTTATAATTAAAGATTGAAAATAAGATTACAGTTATTTCTTGATAAAGTATACAATTAGAAGTTTTTAGAATTCTTATATTAATAATATATAATACAAAAAAAATGGAATTATAAATCAAATATATAAAGATTTTTAATTAATCAATTATATAACCTTTTGTAATTAGATATAAAAGAAAAACTTTTATTTTTTCTTTTGAAAATAATTAATTTTATATATATATATATATTTGAATTTATATAATATTAATCTCAAAATTATTGTGAATTTTGTTTTCTTTATAAATGATATATTACAATATAATCTAATTCAGCTTTCTTTTTCAATTCCCTCCTCACAATGTGCTATTGGGATGCACGTATCTCGACCTACCACTTTTACAATAATTGAAAGGATATTAGTTTTGAGAAATTTCGTGGTCGGATTGAGGGGTTCATTTAGGGTTGGGTTTGCTTATGGGTTTGTATTTGTATTTGTATTTGTGAAATAGAGAAGGATGAGCGGGAGGAGGAGGATTAGGATAAAGAGAATTCTTTGTTCGGGGAGGAGTGTTTGGCGGAGGAGATGGATGGTGATATGCGCGTAGGTGGTTTGAGCTGATATTGAGATTGTAGCGGGAGGAAAGGTGGGGGTTAGACGAGAATGGGGATGTATAGGATTTACAGTATATATGAGAATAAGAGCAGGAGACAGCTAGCCTATACAAAACCCAGAAGTTCGGAACCGGAAGGTTTGGAGGTTATTCATGTAGGGGACGTGCTATTTTGTTCATTATACTCGTTTAAATTGGTTGGCTTGTGTATTTCTAAAATTTTCGATGAGTGGGTGTTAGACTTTGAGTATGGATTTGGGTTTGTGTAAAAAGTATTCGTGCTCGTATGTAGGTATTTTGATTAGAAGGAATGAGCGTCGGAAGAGAATGGGACTTTATTGGATCGGATTGGATTTAAGTTGTATATGTAGTATATATCACAGAAGAACATAGGATGAATGAGTGGATGCGTAAAAGACTTAATGAATGGCTGGAAGTAGCTCAAAGAGAATGAAGATATAGAAACAATAATTTTCATCCGAGATGACTTTTTCTTGGTGAGGTTGTGAGATTATAAAATGAGTTGGGATTTTAAAGTTGGCGATCCCCTAATGTTTATCTACCCATTTCCTTTTTTTATATCTATCTAGTAAGATTACATCTAACCCTCATACGATGAGCACAAATAAGATAGAAATGAAGTAGGTGGAGATAAGTAATCCATACTCCACCAGGGATTTCATATAGGATTGGAATTTTGGGATTTTGGGAATAAGGAGACGGGGGAATAGATAATTTGACGAGAAAGGGAAAGGGAAAGGAGGAAGATGATGAAAAAGAAAGAAATAGAAGGGAAATTAGAGAATGTCTCTTTCATTTGTATATTTGTTTCATCTTCCATTCTACCAAACTGCTAATCGAAAAATCAGTAAACCAGCTACTTTGAAGAAACTAGAAGTTTGTTGGATGTCTTGTATTATTGTGGTGTGGTATAGTGCAGTGTGGCTTTGTTGTTGTGATGTTTGACATTCCATATCCAATGTTTTGAATTCTGCATAGAAGAAGCAAAGTGAAGCGAAAGGAAAGGAAAGGAACGGAAAGGAAACATCGAAAAAGAAGAGTGGAAAAGTAAGAATGAGAAACATAAACAGAAAGGAAACGCAAGAGAAGAAAGAGAATGTTAGGATAAGATGTTATGGATTTATTCTGAGCCTCTTTCTAGAGAGGTGTGAGTTTCTAATGAATGAGTGGATAGATAGATGGGATTTTTCCTAAGAACTTCTTCTTTTCCGTCTTCTATTTCTTGCGCAGTATTTTCCTATTCCAAGATCTCGTCGGGAAAGATATTCAGAGTTCCTGAAAATTATCGAAAATTGAAAATATTGATGCTGGCATTCATTCAAGAAAACAAACTCAGCGTATCCGATTTAAAGGTTCGCTTGACACAAAACACATCCACATACATACATCGCATCCATATTACCACCATCAAACTTCAAACCCCAAATCCAATACAAAATGCAGATCCCCTGCCTCCGCAAACAACGCTGCAAATCCCAAATTCCATCTCAATCCCAATTCCGAAACATAAACCAAAAATCCAGAAAACCTACCTGTAGCCTCAGCCTCAACCTCAACGTCGGCCAAAAATTTCGACTCAGAAATCTCAAACGCAAATTCTCAAAACTGAAGTTTAAACGAGGAATATTTGGTGGTGCAAGGAGAACGAGGGGAAAGACGAGGAAAGTTGATATTAAGCGACGGTTTGGGCGTTTTCTTCGACCGAAAAAAGTGCATTTTGGATTTCATCCGCGGAAGTTTAATTGCAAGTGGCGTTTTCCTGGACTTAAGTCCAAGGGGTGTTTTGGGTTCGGGTGGAGGGGACGGAGAAGGGTTGTTAATTGGGATAGTGATAATTCCACGCCTAGCCATACCTTCGTACAAGCTATGAATACACATGCCCAACGGAACAGTCGGAGAAATACAAGTAGTATAAATGCGGACACGAGCACACCCTCTACACACTCAGAAGATAGAACACATTCACAAGCCCACCTACTACCTGAGCAAGCCCAAACAAACCAAGTCAACCCCAACCACAACTATCGCTACCCCTATTCCTTGGCACCCGAAGACTTTCCAGATACCTTCTATCGACTCCATCGAGATGAGAACTGGAGAGATACATCCGACCTTCCCCGATCGTACAGTAACAACTCATTTAAATCCAGCACTTCCCTTCAAGCAACAGATAGCAAGTCCAACAATCGAAGACAAATACAAAAACCAATTTACAATGCTTCCGAACACGGCTGGTCAGCAAAAAACACATACACGCCTGTTCCTCCTTCTCCGAAGCAAATATTAATGCTAGTGCGAGGACACTTTCTCGAACGCGGAGTTTCATCATCTTCAATTTTTGTTCCTGGGGTTTGGAACAATAGGAAGGCTTCGGGGGTTAGTTTGTGGGATAATTTGGAGGATGCTTTGGAGGAAGGGAGGAGATTTGGTGGGGCGCAGATATTTCCTGTGGAAGGAGATTTGTTCAGGAGAGCCTCTGCTGCATCGACTGGTGGAGGAAGTGTGGTGTTTTGTATGGAGGAGTTGTTGAGGAGGGATAGTAAATTGTGTATGATTACTAGGGGGAGATATGGACAAGCGAGAGAGAAGGGGGAAGGAGGGAAAAAGCGAAGAAGGAATGGGTTGAGGGGAAAGGCGTATTTGGTTGCGGGAGTTATTCCTGGTGAGCATTTTTATGATTTTGGGGTTTAGAAATTATAACCGGAGGAAAAAGTGAAAGGTGAGGTAAGAAGAGGTAAGAAGTTGGAGATGGCGTGATGTTGACTGACTCACTTCTAAAAATATCATCGAGATGAAGGAGGATGACATGGATGGTGGTGAAAGAATGACATGGAAGGAAAAATGACTAACATTTCCAGGCACACATAATTATCCACGAACATCTCCCATTACTGCCACGACAGACACAAATACCACATCTCAAATTAGGAACGAAAAGAACGACATCAACGTAGTAAAAAACAGAAGAATATCCTCGTCACCTTCATCTTTTATCTTTAACGATATTCAGGAAATTCCTGATTCTTTCGACTTCGAAACTTTCGAGCGAGCACAAGAAAATCCATTCATTAAGTCACAAAGTGATTCCATGGGAAACGGACCTTCAACACATGGTGAAAAAACAAGCGAAAGAGCCCTGCTTGGTTGGGACTTGAATGTTCTACACTCGAACGAGACAAAAAGAGATATTCGAGAACTTCGTCGAGAACACAGGAATAGCAAAGTGATGAAAATGGAATCGATTTCTGAAGATACAATAATAGTAGATGCCCACACAACACTTCCAACCTCTTCACAACAACTATCACCAGCGAAAACGTCTAGCGAAATCCCTCGGCGACAGGATTCAAGAAACCCAATGCGAAAAATTAATTCTAGAGCTGGAATTACCAGAGCGGGGACTTTTGGTTCGAAGTCATCTAGAGGAGATTTATCAAACGATTTGGGACTATCTTCGCAAGCTCAGTCATCTCACGAGTTCGCTATGAGCTCTGAAAAATCTGGTATTGACAGCAGCCAAGATGTCAATACCGCTACCGATGCATCTCGTGATGGATACAGTTCTGAAGATAGTCTGAGCCCTGGCTCTGATATCCCGGCTGTGGCCATAAAAAAGCGAGTTTTGCCTCCTCCTAATTTTGATGGTGAAAACTCGAGTGTGAGTGCTTCGAACGTACGTCCAGCCAAGTTCCGAAATTCTTCGGCTCAACTCAAAGGAGATTCTGGGTCAACTCCCAATCCTGTTTTGCGTTCTTCGAGGGCTGTAGAAGATGAAGATATGGAGTGGATTTCAGAGGAAGATACGGAAGCCGCAAATCGTGGGCATATGAGACCGACTCCTGCAGCGAATAAGATTCCGATGGATTACTCGAAGAGCAGACGACCTATCCGAAACCGAACACCGAGAAACTATGGTGATTCCCAGAAAAGTGTAAAACGAAGTTCTTCGAACAGCAACAACAACCAAGAGCTTCTTGATATGGACCCTGCAGAATGGCAACTCAACAACAAAGAATCATCAACAGGGAGCAACACAATTCCCATTCACAGAAATGCTGTGGGTAAAGGAACACATGGTAATGATAAAATCAATCCTTGCGAGTCCAATCCGCATTTAAAAGGCACGGGACCACATCATCCTCTCTACAACGAACTCTCCACGATGAGGCGCCAATCCATTCAACCCAAGCCCGACCCCATACTCAAACTCAAACGAAAGCCCATACCCGAACTAGAAAACGGTGAGAAGGTATGGGCTTACAAAGCCGTTATCGCATTCGGAATGCGCAAATTTGCCGATGCATCGAAACAATGTTATCTCATCGAATGGAAAGAACCATGGGGACCCACCTGGCAACCGAAAGGGTTAACAGATAGACCATTGAGAGATGATTGGCAGAAGAAAAAAAAGCTGTGGGATATGCAATCGAGAACTAAGGTTGGGAAGAAATTGACAAAGGAGAAGAAGGCGGAGAAGATATTGTTTGAGGAGGATGGTTACTATTTGGTGGATTATACGACGGATTTGAGACCGGAGTGGATAAAGAAGGCGGATGTGACTGAGGAGTTAACGAGGGAGTTTCTGCAAAGGAAGAGGAAGTGGAGGTATGAGGGTCATGGATTGCAATCGGAATATGCGGAGATAGGGAATGAGGAGGAAGAAGAAGAAGAAGAAGAAGAAGAAATGGAAGAGGAGGAGGAAGAAGGAGAAGAAGCTGAGGAGGAGGAGGAGAATCCCTCAAATGGAGTACAATCAGACGTAGATGGAGGCTCGTCAAATGACGAACAAGATTGATGAAGGCCAGGAGTGAGTGTAGAGTAGGAGGCTTCACCCCTTTTGTAAGCGGGAGTCGTGGTGATAGATGAAACTGAGTTAGCTTGAGGAAGGACTTTTGGTACTTTTAGAATATCGATATTGGTTAACTGCAGACTGGTATGGAATACCAATACAAGCTTCGAGGCAGGAATGGTGCACTCTTGTTAATGGATGTAGAAGACTTCTTCTTTTAAAATAGTAGATGTGAGTTGACAATGAAGCGAGACTTTTTAGAAAAATTCAAATAACTTTTCCTACGGATCCTGCTTTCATTGATTTATGTAAATAGCCGTAGATCTCAAGCAGAAAGATCCAAGAAGACATCTCGATTTATCTTTGTAATCCAAGTGACAAAGAAAGATGGATATACATACTATTGTGTGCATTTCATCAGTTCCATCTCGCGGTGCCTCAAGAACCTGATAAATCCATGATGCAAGCCAAAAGAATAATCATGAATCCCCAATGTCTTTTATGAAGGGATCAACATCACGCGCAAGTAAATTCCTCACAACAATTTCGTGGCCTCTATATATATGCCACTTGGCAGCATGGCAAATTGGTGGGCCCCAATTATTGGTGGTTTCTCTTCAATATCCATGGTTTTGATCCAAACCAAGCTTATGAAGTAACGATCTCACCATCCATTGGAATGACTCCGCTTTATGTAGCTTCACCGCTTCATATAAATTAGGTGACCAATAGAAGCACTTACTGATCGAATAATCAAGAGTCTGAAGGTTGATATTGTACCTCTGCTAACGGCAAGCTCGGTTCGGTTGGCTGTGGTGGAGCCAATGTATATTTCTTCTAACACAGCTGCACAATGATCAAGACCTCAGGATGAGATATTCATTGCTGGAAATGTATTTTAAGTGGCCGGAAAAATTACTCTTCAAATGGCGTTGTTTTGATGAGTATCCCACTCATGCCCGACCAGAATGTGGAGAAGATCAAGATTAGGGCTCCAAGCCAGATACCTCCGAGGCCTTAATTACCTCAGCGACATCATTTGTTGAGCATCGCTAACCGTAGGACAGATATCTAGTTATCTGATCCAAGTTTCATCGGGCGTAGATACTTGAACAAGAAAGATTGGGCTCTGCTCCATCTCAAACTACGCCTGACCATAAAGACCAATCAATTCAATCCTCAATAACCTTATCCTACTTAGGAGGCTCTATACAAGTTTGTGCAAAAATCAACGCGTATCGTTCTTTTGTCAATCTCGGGTGTAACCTTACTGGAAACTTCTGGAGACATTGTCCTGGTGCTGGTAAACTTAAGAGTCTTACCAATATCTGACCCGTGCAAACGACGTCGACTACATGCTTATGCTTGTACTGAAAGATAAATATATAGTAAATCCCCAAGAACTTTGGTTACCTAATGAAAAGTATGATAGATACTCATAATGACAGAGTTTCTTGAACTGGTTATATTATTTTCGTGTAGAGTAATGGATTGACATATTATTAGTGTCCGTGTACGAAACAAAACTCTAGCATTTCTGGCTTGTTCGTCAGAAAAATGACTTCGCCACCATGGCCTTACAATATATTGATCACGTGCCTTGACATCATAAGTAGGAAGTCCAGTGTTGAGTTTGTTCAAGTCTTTGGCATCTAGGAAAAGAACACACCGGTGCATTTATCTGAATTCAAAGATCGCTATTAACATAGTACATCGAAAAGTCAAGGAAGGACTGCTTGTATTCAGAAAGGTCTATATTTTGTGACTGAGCAGTAACCTTATAGTAAACACAGGTATGCATTCCCCATTCATTGTGCTCCTATACTTTGATTCACCACCCAGACAACTCGACTTATTGGCTAGGATGTTTGCTACGGCTTAAGATAAATGCAGCACAAGCAAGCAGACGAGAATGGGATTCTGTTTCAGCTGTGAAGAATGATCAAGAGCAATGGAACAGTGAGGAGATTAAGATAACAATTTTTTAATTTTAGCATACAGGATATTTTCCACAAGAGTGGCATCTATGTTAACAACGATCCATATCGCCGGTCACCTCACCATTCCAATTACCATCCCACCTCATCAATCTCATATCTAAGCATAAGCCAACCTCCCCTCATCCCAACCAGGCTGCAAATAACTCCAATCCCTATCAAACCCAAACCCACTCTCATAAACCCCATAACTAACCAACTCCACATCCGTCAACCTGGCTCCTGCATCCGTCATCGCCCACAAACTCAACGCCAATTTATTGTTTCCCTGATTATTAATAATACCAGGTGGTATAGGAAAGACAGTTTGAGGGCCGATGTGCGGAACATATTTACCATATTGATAACCGTTGATCCAGATCATAACGCGTGCGACAGTCCCAGCTGGAGCTGAAAGCTTAATTCCGAGAGGAACGTCGAGGTCGGAATCGAGAGCAAGAGCGAAGTTTGTAGTGTAGAAGGATATTCCTGAGGTGTTGAGACCGATGAGGGGAGTAGAGTAAGAAGGAAGGGGTGGGGAAGAGGGAAGATGCCAGCCGACACGTTCACCGTAAAATCCACCCTCATTCATAGGTCCTCGTACTGGATCAATATTTGCAGAACCTCCTGCATTTCCTTGGATTTTCCAGAGCTTGAATCCAGTAGATGTGGAAGGTTTAGGGACGAGAAATGCGCCGAGAATACCACGGGGATTTTCGACGCCTTTTGCTGTGGAGGTTTCATCGTGGCCGTGGTAGTCTACTACGACTGTGACGAGATTGTTTTTGGACTTGACGACTGAGGTAAGATTTGTGAGACCAAGAATGGCGTTGGTAGTGGTGGCAGTGGCGACGCCGGTATTTCCGCCGATGAGTACACCATTTAGCCAAGCGCTCCAACCAAAAGCTAAACCTCCAGAGCAGGTAATGTTGATTGATGTGTAATTGAGACCGTCGAAATACCCACGATAGATTTTTTGTCCTGTGTAAAAGCCATAGTCGCTTGAAAATAGTACGGGAAGAGTTAAAGGCGCTACCGGGCTTTGTGTAGTTGTCTTGTTGCAGACAGTCCATTTTGAGTCGTCATAGGATGTTTCCTTCTCCGGAAGAGAATTTGCAGACTCCCATTTGGTTAATGATGGTAATGAGATGACTCTGCTTTCAGTACCTGGAAGCGATGCCGAATATGAACCATATTTGGTCTTCGTTGCTGAAAGTGAAACTCCATTCCATACGATATTAGTTAATGAGCTTCCGGCGTAAACTTCAATAGTTGTGGCGTTGTCGTTGTCACCAAAGATCTGGACGACCCCAGAAGACATAGATGCATTTCGTACGAGGTATGGCCCTAATACAAATATTTGTTCATCGGGCTTGACCTGAGGATTTAATGTAGTTGGTGGCGCCCAGAACTTCCATGCAGATGGCTGGTCAAGTAAATATACCAAAGTTCCATCAGAGAATTGGACTACTGTTTGCCCAGCTCCTTGGGTGTATGTGAACGTTTGTGAGGTCGAAGAAGAACTTGAATTTGAATTTGCAGCGAAGACTGAATTTCCATAAACTTGATAGGTCAATTTTGAGGCTGTCTTCAAAGCGAATTGACCAATTTGTCCCTGTTCGAGATAGAAAACTAGAACATCAACATCGAATGTACCATATGTGAGGATGTCAGATGATGCATAAAGGAGAGTATGATTTCCAAAATTATAGTCTGTGACGAGAATCTTGCTTTGGCGACCATTTAGGTTGACATTAGAAGCAGTCACAGCACCAAGAGAGGTATTCAGGTATACGTCAAAGGTCACTGACGCTCTTGAGCCAGAACTCGCTTGTTGGACAACAGTAAATCCGGCTTGAGTATCGGGATTTCGTAAAACCCATGACCAAATACCAGTTGAAGATACCTACTACGCGTCAGCTTTGTGTCTGAATATGTTTCTCCACCCCTGTAAGGGCACTTACGCTATGGCCAGTGCCGTTGCCAATCATATCTGTCTTGAGTAGATCGGTAGAAACTCTCGTGAAAAGACCAATAAGCTTGGTCTGTGATAGTTTGTCTCGAATCTGACGAGTTTCCCTCAAGGGAGCTGCGTAATCGTAAGAACTATAGACCACTGGAGCTGCAGCTACACAAAGAATTAGTTCTCACTTCATTGATGAAACCGGTGAATACTTACAGTGACCCCAATTCGTACCACCCCAAGCCATATATAAGCTCATGAGAGTTGTTCTTTGCCCAATGTTGTTCTTATAGTAAACATCTGGAAACGAAGGATCAAGCTCCGATTGGCATTCATCATAAAAGCTACCGCCCCATGGGGTAAAGTAACCACCTTCAAATTCCGGGAAGTATGATGGCTGCGTGTAAGAATAATTTGAAAACCACTGGTAATAATTGCGAACAACAGAGAAACCAGAGTTAGGGTTAGTACATGACAAACCACCGGGGTCTAGAGATATTAGCTTCAGTACAAGGAGAGAAAATTTAAGATTGACAATTAAATGAAAACGTAGCATTCTGATGTACTTACAGGAATCTAGGCCGTAAACATTCACAGCACCACCGACGTTTTCATAGTCAGTACTCCATGACTCACTTCGCTGGCCCTTTTCATTATGGCTAAAAGGGACAGTAATGCCAGCAGCCCGAAAAGCAGTTTCAAGTTGCTCCATGTAAAGAACTAAAGTATTAGTCGCCGAGTGAACTGTTTCTTGAAGTTCGTTCTCAACTTGATTGAGGATGACGGGCTATAGGAAAAGTTAGTATGCGTTGGGAACTTGTCCGTCATGACTCTTACTCCTCCATTGGTAATTTGGTTTTTCGCCAGAATCGCTCCAATCTCCTTGATCCATGGTTGCCAAGATTGATAGTATGCGGCATTGTTTGTTCTTAACGTCCCCATACTTCCATCAGAACCCCACAATGCAAGACCTCCACCAGAGGTCTCAGCATTGCAGTATGGTCTATACAATCGGATGAGTCAGTGATTGCCATCTAGCATGATTTTGGGGAGATAAGGAGGCCTGAGAGTCAAGATGTAACAAGTAACAAAGTATGTATACAAGAAAGCACTAGCGTGAGCTTCCGAACTGGGAGCTGTGTATAGGGACAAAAACTTTTAGTAAACCATTTAAGCATACCCGGCTCGAGCAATGACATAGATTCCAGCTTCCTTTGCATAATCAAGAACTCTTTGAACATTCTTGCCTGATGTTTCGAAGTCAAATGATCCCTTGGAGGCCTCATGATAAGACCAGAAGAAATATACGCTACACTAAGTTAGACAATCCAAACCAGGCATTAATTGTTGAACCTACCTAATTGTATTGAAACCATTTGCTCGGAATTTTTGGAAAATGTCCTAATCGCCGTAAGATTTCTGCACGAATTGAGGGATAAGTAACATACAAGCCATAGTTCCGGAACAGGCATACGCTGGTAATGGAATTCAGCAGAGCTTAAGTAGCAGTTAGCAGAAATTCGATGATAACTTTAGAAAATCTCACTAAATGAAGACCCTATCACCATTGATAGTCAAACTATATGGATCCCATTCTACAACATCGGTCAAACCATCATTTGTAGCAGCTCCACTCCAAAGTAAGAGACACAAAGTCGTGAAAATGTTTAGCAACCTCATGATATCACTCTGTGGAAGCAAAGTACATGAATTACACTGCCAGAGTTATTTCTTATATAGCATTCTCAAAATAGCATCATTGGGGAAACAAAGCTTGTGCTCATGCATGATGTTCTTGCCGATGCATCCCCGCATTTTGACGGCTCTGAAGATGCTGGAATTCCAGCAATCAGAAAGACAATCACTGTGGATTCATCAAGATTTGAAGTCGGAGTGGAGTTAAGAAACGTTCTCGGTCTTTGGCTAATTGTAGAGTTTAAAGTGTAATCTTGAGCAAAAGTAGTTTAGGATTCTTTTCCTGCAAACATAACTCGGGGAACTTTCCACCGGGCGGCAATGCACTCGAGTATATTGGTCCGGGTATAAGTTGATGTAGTCTGACAGGCATGGCAAGGACCAAGGTGCTAAGTAGAATCTTGGGTGCAGAAAATGTAAAATATATTGCTCCGCTGAGATGAACTAGAGGAGTGATACCGATAATGTACCACTTTGCCCCAATGCTAATCGAGGCCGAGGTATCTCGGATCAAAAGATTCAGAAAAAGCAGCTAAATCCTTTTAAGGGCATTGCTCAAAGATTTAAAGGATGATATAGAACCATCAAGACTTTGAAAGAGATTTTGTCATGGACCTCATATTTTTCATCGACTTGTCGCATTGCATTGGTATTTGGATGAGACTGTCATCGGATATCACATGGCTTATTGATTTGAAATCTCCTCGGAGAAGTTCAATAATCTTCCGCGTCACATGATTTACTTGGCAAGTTGGATGATGTAATGGAGAAGAAGCACAGCCTCTATTCGGCAGCCACAACCGATTTGTGCCACCTTGCCGTCTTGGCCCGAACTTGGGACGAAAGTTCTCATAATTCTGATGTAATGGAATATCTCGAAAAGTTCATCAGCTGAGCTGAGTGAGAGGCTGGGTGCCGCCTGACTGACTGACTGACTATTGCAATGATGTTGTATCTCTGTGACTCAACTCTTATTCACTTCTTATGCTATATCAATACGTTCGTTTAAATACTGACTACGAAATACATTAACCAAGTAAAGTACCAGGAGATCTCGCACAAACACTCTTCAGAATATAGAAGTAAGACTTGGGATATTGAAAGAGAAATTATCAGCATGGTTCTACTTGGCGGCCTCGAAGTCCTCGCGGCAGGCTACCTTTTAAAACAACATCTCAAACACAAAGAGGAGAAGCAGCGTCTCGAAATTGAAGCTTTGAACCTCGAAGAACAGTCTTATCGCATTTATTCTTCCGATCGCGCTGGTCCTTCGCATCGAAGACGAAGACATTCTCATGAGAGGGAGCATGATCGCGCACATGATAGGGACAAGGGGAGGGAAAGAGGGAGGGAAAGGAGTAAGGAGCGCAGTCACAAAAGTAGAGACTCATCCGAAAGTAAATACAAATATGACAAGAGGGAGCGAGATGATCGAAGGGATGAGCACAGAGATGATAAGAGGAGAAGTAGGGAGGATTTGAGGTATAGCAACTCGCGGCCAGCAAAAAGCTATTATGCGCCGCCATCGGGACATAAATCACACTCGCAGTCTCAAAAACCAGTACATCCACATATTGGCGCACCGTCAACACAATGGGTTCCTCCTCCTCCACCTCCACAACACCGCATGAACAGCCCACCTATCATCACCACGTCTCCCTCTTCCACTCATCATCCTCAGCCTTATCCTCCTTACCAATCATCCTCGCACTCTCTCCACCCAACCTTCGCAAATGAACCATATGCATATCCACCCGAGAAGTTGCCTGAGTCAATGCTGAGACCTGGTGCACCAACTCGAGGTCGTTCATCATCTGCGCCTGGCAACATATATGAGAGTCCAAGAGCAAATACATCGAGAGTAAGGATTGTGGTTCCAGGGGAGGATGAACTCACAATTCCGGGCGAAACAAGAGATCCTCCACCTGCATATGAAGAGGTTGGAGGGAGGGACTGATGAGACGTGTGATGCAAGTCCCGTCAGATTGGCTGATTTGGATGATGATCATCTATCTAGGGAAGGAAGGCTGGGTTTCCGGTTTGGTTAGGCGATAATGGTTAAGACACGGATTTCGGTTCACTGGATTAGGTTGGAATAGAGATATTCATCTGGGTTAGATGATTCATTTTGTCTTCATTACTGGCGAGAATATCACACATGGGTTGCATGGATCGTCTGGGTTTGGAACGGGTATTTGGTGCTGGTCGCTGTATTTCGGTGGAATAGTATGTTGATTTTGTAGGATATGCTGCTCAGGAAAGTGCTTGGTCTAGTTTTCACGGAACATGATTTATAAAGCAATGGTTTAGTTTTTTGGTGGTAGCATTCTTGGCGATATCCTCAATGAGCCGAGTTTGGGTTAATGAATTTAATCTTTAATACAATAAAGCTTTAGCTTAAAGTCTCTAGTCGGCTGATGTGAATCCCCAACTAGTAAAGTACTGATTTACAAAAATTAGTGGCAGAGTATAGCTGCGAAACCTTACCTTGCAATCTTCCCCGCACTATCCGTATTATTATGTCAAATTGCCAACCGCATTGATTTCCAAATAATCTGATGCAAGATGCATATAACAATCATAGCAAAAATATTCATCACCATCCTTCTTCTCCGGGAATGTATCAAGGATCAAAGGGATCCGAGGTAGCCTCCATAAAAAGAATGTCACCCCATTGCTATTCTTTAACATCGCTGAGAAGAAGTCTTCTTTCAGATGATTTATTCACTTTGATCTGAATGATTTCGAAGTTCCTGGTATAGCAAAATCGAAAACGTCATTTCTAATGGTAACAAATAATCAAACACATCTATCTAAAGTGCATAAGGAGGCACAGGTGTTATGATTACAATTAGCATGCAATACGACCTCACGTATATCTTCAGTGGCGCAGTCGCTTCTAGAACCAAAACCAGTTAAAGCAAAAATCTCTGAGACAATATAACAGCAGTTGGGATGAACAATAGTGTCAAAACTTTGAAAGTCTCAGATTTTGTCTATGCATTAGGGTTCTGATACTTGGAGCTACCTGTCTGAGAGGTTATCGGATGGCAGGGTTAACTTTAATGGCACGACTTTGCTTTATGTCTGTGTGCTCTACTATATTCTGTGCTTGGGTGATGTATGGGAAGAATGTATTTATGCGCATTCCAGATTACCTGATTTATGATTATTTGATCTATTCTAGTAGATGACGCGAATTATTCTCAAATAGATTTCTACGACGAAACTACAGCAGTTCCAAAGTCCAATCGAGTAGAGGAACTTGGTCCCCTCCGGTGTCATTACACCCTTTTCTCGTGCCACATGAACGTTAGCAATTATCATACAGATATCAAAATAGAATTTGTAAGTCTTACATGACTCCATGAAACCCAAGTACCATTGCGATCATCTTCTCTTCTTGAACCCTCCCTCTCATGCTTCACTTGTCCGTCATGTCTGGGAAAGTTTCCTTCACATAACGATGCAAGTCCCTTTATTTCGATTATGTGTTTGTCCATTCAGTACAATTCAAATTTTCCTGCTTGCAAGTCTAGGAAATGCAGATTTTACTACCAAGAATTGGAATCCTGTACGAGGAAAAAAGTTTACTTTAGCTTGGAGTGGTACTAGTGATGCGGGTTTAAAAAATCTTACATTGAACGATGCGGATAGTTCTGGAATTGAATTCGCAATTGTTCAGAATATTGCTAGTATGCTATCTTCTTCTCGGCCACATTGTCTCTTCATACTGTATACTGACTATCATATGAGCTGATATCAATGGGGGTTCTTTCATGTGGTTACCATCAACATCCATACCTGATGGTACATACGTAGTAAATCTATACGAAACGCCAAATAAGGTTGATAAGAATGGTTTGACATTCATTGGAAAACCTTTTGTATTTGGGAATCCAAGCGCAAATCAACCTGTTGTTGTGAGCTCACCTACAACTACTGCGGGTGCTGCACAAGTGGTTCACACTATGACGTCTATCACGAGCAGTCAGCAACAGGAAATAACTGTGCTGGATCCAACTACTATTTTTATTATTCCTACTTCGTCTAGTTCCGCGACGACACAGGCAGACAAAAATCCAGAGACTCTATCGACTTCTTCATTTGTTATACCAACTTCTGCAGGGAGTTCTTCAGAAAACTTATCAACCTCTATTCGATCCAGTGTACCATCTACCTTTACAACTATAGTAAGCCACCGCTTGCCATACTTGTTATAATTTCATACCTCAACTCATACTAACATGCACTAGCCCACCTCTTTACCTATATTCACATCCACATCTACCTCCCCATCCTCAACCACATCCCCCACCACAGCCTCAACCTCAACCTCAACCTCAACCTCAACCTCAACCTCAACCTCAACCTCAACCTCAACCCAAATCCCAACCCCTTCACAATCTCCAACACTCACATCCACCCCTCCCCAAATCCATCTCCTCTGTCCTCCACCCCAAAAAACACAGCCATAAACCTCTCCATCACAATAACCTGCATCTGCATCCTCCTCCTCTCCCTAATCTCCATCTATCTACTCCATCGCTACCAAAAAATTAAATTGAAGGAATTGGGTTTGGTGGATAATAGATACAATAGATATAAATGTTGGTATAGATGGGGGAATGGTAGAATTGTGAATGAGGCAGTTGGAAGTCAGGAGATTGGGAATGAGAGGATTGGAAGTGAGAAGATGTATTATGATGCGCAGAAAAGAAATTGGGTTTTTAGGGTTAATAGTAGACCCGTGGAATTGGAGGGGACGGGATGCTTGTGATCTTTATTGGGTGGATGAATGAATGAAAGAGTGGTTTTGGGGTTCGAAGGTGGGAGTTTTCGAGGTGAGAGGGAGGAGTCAAGGGGGAGGAAAGAGGCTTAATGTCTATATGATCAGATTTGGAAATTCTAACGCAAATGCGAATTTCTATAAGGCAGCAAGTAGAGTAGGAGTTATTACTGTTTTAATTATACAATAACTACAAACAATTCATACAGTTCGCCCAGTTGTGGGGAATTTGAAGTAATTATAGACCTCTAGATAGATACCGTATATACACATCAATTATGAGCATTCCTAAACCAGAATCTCAGATAATCTAAAAATAAAAATAAATTTACTCTTGATGAGTAGTTCTATATTTATATATATATATATAATAGTAATACTGAATTCATTTATATATTAGATACATTTCTATTTATATTTGTAATCGGGTGATGAAGTTAAAGTTAAGGCCAATCGGGACAGGACAGGACGGGATGAGACTTTTGATATAGGACTTGGTTGGTTATATATACTTACTAGATAGTTTTAATTACAAGATTACAAGATTACAAGATTTGGGTTAGTGGAGGAAGGATGTTGGATCGGGGGATGATTATAAAAGTCTTAAGTTGGGATTTCTTTTTTGTATAAGATTAATGATTTTATCTTTGGACTTGGATGGTTTATTTTTATAATTAGAACTAGATAAAGTATTGGTGTTTCTGGATACAAAATATAATATGTAGGTAATAAAGTAAGTCTTGTAAAATTTCGACGTTTTGGAGTTTTGTTTATAGTTAGAACTTAGGAATTTATGTGGAGACTTGATATATAGAACCTTCGAGGGGTATCCAGGCGATTATAAGTTTAATTAACCTTACAACACCTCTCCTCTCTACCTACTCTATCCCAAAAACCATCCCATCCCCCTCCATCCCCTTTCACCTTCAAAATGAAACCCACCCGCTCACCCAAACAATACCACACCCCCAACCACCAAGCCCACCAACGCCAACATTTCCCCTCCCCTCTCTCTCTCTCCCCGCCGCCCCCACCGCCCTCCCTACTTCCTTAACCGGCGTCCCCTCCTAACATCCATCCCACATCATACACAGACCACGAAATATTCCCCCACGCTCATCCCCTGATCTCCAATCCCCACTCCACAAACCCCACATATGCGTCACTGGAAATATATACTTCGCGCCAGAGATAATTAAGCAGAGGTGAGATATCCATCGCGGTTAATGTCGTTATGTTCGTATTTGGATACCAGGTGTATAGGGTTTGGGGATGAGGGGAGGGTGGTGGGTTTGTGTGGTTGTATTTGTGTTGGTTGGAGATGAAGATGGTGATGAGTATGAGGGAGAACTTTGAAATGTGTACAATGTATAAGTAATACCCGCCAAATCGATCACAGGACGAGATATCGTTGCACGATTAGAATTATAACCCTCTGGTACCACATCCCCGTAATTCGCTTGCCAGATTGAGATTTTAGTGGCGGCGAGAGAGGGGGTTTGAGAGAGACTGGAATTGACATCGAGATAGATGTTTAGGTAACAAGAGGCGGCTACAGAGGCGTTTTCTAGAGAGGATATAGAAGTGCTGGTTATGCTGGAAACGGGGTTCCCGGGGTATAAGGCCCAGTTGTTGGTTAAAGGGAAGAGAGAGATGTTGGAGATGGGGATGGGGAGGATAGAGGGGAGATTCAGGGATAGGGAGGGGAAGGAGTGTGGGATGGAGGTATTTGGCTTTTTGTTGGACAAGGAGAAGGTGGTGGTGAAGGTGGTGGTGTTGGTGCTGGTGTCGTCGGCGAGAGTGAACTGTAGAGATGTGTGAGCTTAGTTTGATTCTCAATTTGGAGTTTACAGGGAGGGAGAATAAACGTACGTCTGTACATTGATTTATGCTATTATCAGTAGCTACTACATCAGAGAAGAAAGTGTATCGTCCGGAATTGGTTGTTGCGTTTGCGGTGGGATCACATATTTGAGTTGTTTCTGCATGTATTGATGATATGAGGAATGCGAGGATGATTTTACTTTGGAGGTTGAGAAACATTTTGGGAGAGATGCACGAATAGAGAAAGTTTTAGTTATGATGAGAAACTGAGATGTAAGAGGATTAGACGGGTGGGATTTGGAGGGATGAGATCAGAATTTACGCACACAGTGATTATGGGAGTTGTAGTGGTAGAGTTGGAAAGTCATGGAGACATGAATGAGAGGTAGTTGGAGTTGGTGAGATGTTAATGGATGTTGATGCAGAAGACGTAAGGATTGCTTGCGACTGATTGGCTGTTCGCAGTAAGGTGAATATAGAAATGGAAGAAAATCTAAGGAGTGTTGAGGATACAGAAATAAAACTTTTAGACCCGATACTTTTCTTGATACGAAACGACAGGAAATTGTAAAAGAGGATGATCAAAGCAACAGGGTGAAAACTAAACTAGAAATTCCAAAAAGATGATGCTGTTGAACTGAGCGAACAGATAAACCTGCCAACCAAAGGAAAATAGAAAACTTCGCTTTACCTTCAATACACCGGAAATGTTGCTTTTCAAAGAGTTAGATTGTTGGCCAAGAGCTTCAACGATCGGGAATCTACTGCGCCTTGTAGGTTATCCCGAAATGTCCTCAATGAAGGTCTATCCAACAGTGGTCTGTTTTAAAAGACGTATCTTGTTTGTGAACTTTATACTAATGATCTTGCATTGATACATTTCTTTTCAGAAATCATTCTCTTCGCCACGCAAATTAACAAGTATATATAGCAGTAACAGAAGAAGCATCAAGAAGAGATAAAAAAAAGACCAGGCAAATTCCAATGTATTCAAGTTAAATGAACAAGATAATGTTATCGTGCTAATAACACAGGAGAAGTCTAACCTCCACATCTCATAGACGCCCGTCAATCTCCATTCTTAAGCGCCGTCGTCAACATTGTCATTTTGCATTAGTGGGATTCCTCAGCGTTTAAGGCTATAGCATCAGCAAAGGTTCCTGTAGCCTATTAAATAGCGCCTTTCCATTCCTATCTTTCTTAACGAAGCCCTTGCCACATGGTCGAGCTTGGAAGAACGTTGCGGCCACTTGACGTCCACCAGATTGTTTATCAATCTAGCATTGAATTGTAGAGAGCTTGAAATTTTCTTTTTATCAGTTGCTGTCTTTCGGAGGCTTGGGACTGAAATTACAGTCTGTGCTGTTACGGCATGTTTCCGATGTCCTGTTTTGCTGGTTAATGAAATGCTTTCATATGATTGATTGCATGACCTTACATGTTCGTTTTCTTGAAACTCTAGAGAAAATCACTAATAATGGTAAGAAATTGCCTTGAAGATAATAAATGTCCCAAAACATGCCTCATACACAGTGTATTGCATTTGCATTGAGTGTAGAATTAACAGTAGCATCGAGCGTTATGAAAGTTGATGATCAATCAAAGCAAATGAGGTGCAGATATCACCGACAACACAATTCCATACAGGCCAACCCGTGAAGTTTCGGAGGTGGAGCCTTAGCTAAATCCGTACATAGTGCGCAGAAGGACGAATGTAGATTTTCTGTGGAAAATTTAAATGTGAAAAAAAACCCCAAACGATGTTATTAAACTTAACAGCTGAAAGAATATATATGGATGTAAAGACACGCGGAAGCAACCGCTTCATCTGCTCTTCCCCAGCACTTTTTTTGGGCTTCATGCTCTCTCTAAGCTTCCACGCCACGAAAAACCTTTTTCGTCTTATCTCAGACTCTTCTTTCTCAGAAAGAAATTCCTGTGGCCAGATATTTGGACGATGTATCAAGACGTAATGCTTTCCTCTGTTTCCCAGGCTAATTTTCAGTTTTTCCAGATCGCCTTAAACCTTTTCTATAACAGCAGCATGTGTGAACGTAAAAAAGGGTTGTAGCTCTGACATGCTCAAAGACAAACTTATTGAAGTCAACTCATAAAGTGTCGAATACTATTTTCCCTGGACTTGTAGAGCAGACAAATGTATTTGGATGATTAGAAAATAAGACACTGCAGTATAACCCGATCGATCTGTCTCGAATTAGTGGCGACCTCGAGGAAATACTCGAATGGGAAAAGAAGAACGTGCTTCTCCAGGAAAGTAACATCTGGCACGATCATGGAATCAATATGGATGGACTGGCTGGGCCGTTACTCACTTGCCAGGTTTCGAACCACTTGATACGATATTATCAAACTCCTAGGACATTGAAAGAAAATATGAATTGACAGAGGAGAATGGCATCTTCAACTTCGAAAAGGCCTATCGTCTTGCGGGTGGAGATGTTGATACGCCAGAGCGTAGAGGCCGTAGGTATTTGAAATCCTTGGGCCATTGACCTAAAATTACCATGCCCCCTTTTCTCCTCTTCTCCCCTTCTCCCGTATAGCAAATATCTTCTGCAACGGAGGGCAGGGGGATAAGGGTGGAGATGAGGCTACATTTTCAGCCTTGGAATTTAACACGTGCACCTTGATTCTTTCATTCCATTTTACGTCGAGGCCAAGATAATCAGAAAACCGAAGACTTGGTTCGATTTATTATTTCTTCGGGTATCTGCGCAGCGAATTCTTGCCAAGTTGAACTGGTGAACTCTTATTCTTATCAACAAAGCGGACTTTTTAAAATTGCGAAATGGATAAAACCAAATGAGCATACGAGGTTTCTTTAGTCTAGAAAAACTTTCCATTATTTAGCTTGAGCTAGTTATCTTTCTGGTATCTTTTTTCTTCAATTCTATTTTAAGAAGTCTCCCAGGAACAGATCGGTAAGGATATGCCGGGAAGAGGAGCTGGGCGGAAACTTTTTAATCGAGGGGAGCGGAACAAATGAAAGCGGAGTGCTCCATGGATATTGAAGCAGACCAATCATAGTCTTGGGTTATGAGATTATACGGCGTTACGAACGGGAGTGCGAACGGGAGTACGACACGAATCCAACAACTTCCCAATGCCGGTTGCTGATGTACAAAAGCTCCGAGCAAACCGCTGAACTATTTGTAAAGGAAAGAAGCGCCAAGACAATTGGCTGCATCATGTTTACAATGTCAATTGCGGCGCAGCAAATAATTATTAACCTTATGTAATCTGAGGACAGGAAGCGTTGAACCGACGGTTGAAGCCACAACAAACAACAAACAACAAACAACAAACAACAAGCAACAAGCAACAAACAACCGACCAAGATCTTGATCTTTTCTCTCTCCCCAAGGTTTTATCTTACTTTGCTTTAACTTTATTTTACTTCCCTTAAACCTCTGATATCTTCTTGTAGAACCATCAACAGCAAGGTTCAAGGTAAAAGAAAACAATCACCAATCACTAATCACCATATGATTCTTCGTAGTAATCTCAAGATCCACTACACCAACTTTCATAGGAGCCATCTTTTGCGTTTTCCTTGAGCTTCATGCAAAACTGCAAACCACAATTCTTAACTTGTCCAAAAAAAAAGAAAGGAAAATCTCCACTTCAAACCCATGCACCTTCCACGCGTCGCCGCGCTCAGTACCGCATTTGGTTCCTCCACGATAAAAGAAGCTAATGGATCTCTCATGATGAGGCTTGCAAACCTCTCTTGAAGAGTATGAGGTTTTGAAAGAATTTCATCCAGTCTCATTGTTGATGCCGACATCCATTATGGTAATGAGCATTTTCAAAGTTATCAAGGGGTCCTACACCATCTCAAACATCCACTTTGGTTTGGGTGGCAGACATGTCTATCATTGTCCGAGCTTCGGTCAACATTCTCCGTGTTAACTACGGTTCTAATGTGCCCTGGACAAAATCATGGGTTAGTGCCCGAGTATAGCAAGGTTAACAAGGTCAACTAAGTTCGTCGAAGCCTCGGAAATTCTTAGAATTCCGATGTAGCCTCCCTTGATGGGTGGATGCCTTCCAACCGGCTTTCTTGGCTCCGCAAATCGTCATGGCTATGAAAACCTGGCCGTATTATCCTCCCCATGCCTGCCTTGTAGTTTACAAAGACTTCCCTTGACTATCTTCCTTATCTTACCCCTGATGCCCGAAATTCAGAAGAACACACGCACTACTGCAAGCAATTTGCATCGACCCTTATCGCTCATAGGTCCCGGCAGACGAGTTTCGAGCTTTAAATAGTCCCTCGGCAGCTTCTGTCTTAACCACATTGGGCGCTAAGGAAACAAGGTCTCCCTTTCTTCAGGTCGCTTGAGCACTAGTCGCTGAAATGAAACGTCAATGCTCGAAAGATTGGATGAGGAATTCTGCTTACTAAGACGTTGTTCGAAACATCGAGTCTGGATTGAAATTTTAATCGCACTCGATATGCATGAATCCTATTTTACTTTATCGTGGGCTCTTCTTTCAATTCATTCAACCCAGCTGAAGGACTAGAACCTTATTGCGTGGAGGGTCTGCGTGGAGGGTCTGCGTGGAAGGTTTGGTTGAAGTGGATCCAAAGGTGTCGATCTTCCTTGTTGCGTATGTCCTTTTCAACTTTAGTAAGCTTGGTCCCTCTCCCAACTACTTGAGTATCAATTGACATAGTGGGGTAGTTTTCTAGACTTGTCCTTGGATTTTTAAATGGACGCAATGCTGCGGACGTTTTTGTTGTCCCTGGTTCTTGCAGGTGGCGTTTGTCAAGATGACGGCCATATCCATACAAATTAAGTGGTTTCTATCCAGGTCTATACATAGCCTCCGATTTGAGATGAACCATCGAGTATTCCACAACGTCTTGAATGGTTGATTGCATTTTGAATGGTGACTACTTATAATTCGGTTGGCATTGGAATACTGAATTATATTAATTAACACCCAGTCGAGGTTGACCTGATCATTGTAGAATTGGAAAATGACGTGAGAAGCCTTCTGCAATCAATTTTGACGTGCTACTTTAAAGGTATTTAGTGAGGAAATAAACTAGTTATCTCTTTAAAGCCTTTCCTAACACGGTTTTAGAGTGGCTTTTGTGGTCAAAATAGCCTCGTTGAGCTTTCCGGAACCTGCTGTTTTTATCAAAATCGTCAAAGTGGTCCAGTCCATTTTATTCATATTTATACTAAAAATTGCTTACAGTGGATGTCAGGAATAGAATTGTCTTATTATCAAGTCCATTTCTTGCAGAAATGAAGCTAGTTATGTCCAAAAGGGTAAGTGTCTTCAAAAAAGATAAACTTTAGTGTGTTAAGCTAGTCATTTCTCTAAAGACAGACTTTTTCTAGTCTGTCAAAAGATAAACACTTTAGTTCCTTACTAATTACCTCTTTTGTACAAATCTGGCTGGAAAAAGTGCACCTCACTCAAGCCATGCCCAACTCAGTTAATATTTTATGGAAGACTTCCTACATCACTGGAAGTTCAAGGCACTGGCAAGGGTATGCATGTTTTTCGTCCGATATTACTATTTTGGTCTGATAGATTTCGACGCATATGTAATGGCTCTCTCTTTAAGAATACGAAGTGTCTTCAAGTCTTTTCTTCTTTAGGGTTCATTCGTTTTCCTCATCACATTCTCTTGTCTTTCTTGTCTAATCAACACAGTCAATTGAGCTTCTAGCATTTTTTGGACTGCAAGTGCCTTCTTCTTTCCTTTGTTAGCTCGACCATTCGTCGAAGCATAAGCATAATTGAAAATGATTCAGTTTCCTGCCAGAGCAGCTCAGGGTGATAGCGACGACCGTGGAGAATTCGAATTTCTCCCTCCACCATCACCTACAGGAGCACGATGGGGCGAGTTGCATAACAATGAATCTGTCACATCTTTAGATACCATTCGATACAGCCGAAACTCAACAGCGCGATCATCATCAAATTTAAATTTAATCAATAATCAAAGCTCAGCAGCTCTCCTAGGTCAGATTCAAACGCCTGGCACATCAACACCTGGTCCTTCAACACCTAGTCTACCATATGGCCGATCATTAAGTGCCTTTCATAGCCGCTCTTTCTCCGATACTTCATCATACGACGGAGCAACAGCATGCCCATCACCGGGTTTACGAGAGGATGAAAGCATCAGTTATGAAGAATTCAAAAAGGAAGATCCAGGGAATGCTCGAAAAGCCCGACATTTCAATACCTTTAACAAGCAGTTTGATACCTCTGTATATCAAATCGAAACATTACACAAGCATGACGACGAAATTTTCCTCCCTCCTTGGAAACGAAACATGTATCGATTATCTCCGTTGTTCACATTTCTAGCCTGCGGTTCCTACTTCCTCTACTACGCATACCGTATATTGTGTATAATAGATGTTCAAAGGGCGTACGACAAAGTGTATATCATGGCATGGCTATTTATTGCAGCAGAAGGTTGCGTTGCTTGTAAGTATTTGCCATTCACTATGTTCCCATGCCCAAGCGTTTGGCGTCGGGAAATTCCCAGCGTTCATTTATTTTGACGTGAAACCTCCCGTTTTATCACAACCCCGGCCACCTGCCAAGAAAGCCACAAACTGACATCGAAAAGGTCCCGCTCTTCTCCACCAACTGTACCAAATGTTATCGATTCGCGGTCGTTCACGTCCCAAACTTCGTCTTCGTGGTAATGAGGTTCCTACTGTTGATGTTTTTATTACATGCTGTGGTGAAGATGTAGACGTCGTACTTGATACCACTCGAGCTGCAGCTGCTGTTGATGTACGTCACCCACAAATATCACGAATGTAAATTACTAATCATAAATTCAGTATCCTCAAGACCGTTTTCGTGTTGTCGTTCTCGATGATGGGAAAGATGCCGATTTGGAAAAAGCTATCAACAATCTTGCGCTCGAATATCCAAATGTTTATTACCATGCCCGTATCAAGATCAAGGGCGTTCCTCATCATTTCAAAGCGGGAAATCTCGCCGGTGGTACTAACTTCGTGATTGATTTGGAAGGAGGTGAAGCAGAGTTTATTGCTCCCTTGGACGCGGATATGATTCCGGAGTCAGATTGGTTGAGAGCTATTATTGCTCACATGGTTATTGATGATAAGATGGCTCTTGTTTGCCCACCACAGGTATGTGTATTCTTGAATAACCAGAAAGTCAAGGACTAACAGTATACCCAGCTTTTCTACAACGTTCCTGAAAATGATCCTCTGTGTCAATCTCTAGATGCTTTCGTCCATGTAATGGAACCTACCAAAGATGCCAATGGAGTAGCATGGTGTACTGGTTCCGGGTATGCCATCCGCCGCGCAGCTCTCGATGATATTGGAGGCTGGCCCGTCGGTTCCCTCGCAGAAGATACCTTTACCTCTTCCTTACTTCTCGGTGGCGGCTGGAGAACCGCCTTTTGTCACGAAGCCCTACAATTTGGTACTGTCCCAGACACCATCACCGGACATCTGAAACAACGTACACGTTGGACACTCGGAACATTACAAACAGCACTCAAATTGAAATTTTGTCTCTTCGGAAAACTAGTAAAAGGCATGGGATTCTTCGCTCGTCTCTCAGCATTCGTCTTCGCAATCGACGCCTTTTTCAAAATCTTCCTCGTCATTGCTCTCCTCACCATCCCCATCGTCCTCGTCTCCGGCGGTCAACTCGTAGCCTACAACACCGAAACCCAACTCAAATGGCAAGTCCGCCTCTGTTTCATCCAACTAGTCTTAACTCGTCTCAACGAATGGATCACCTACATCCCCTCTGGCTACCGTCTCGCGCAACGCGACGCAGGAGCCCAAATGTGGATGGCTCCCTTCCACGCCAAAACAATCATCATGTCATTCTTGCTACCCTCCTGGCTCGGCGGCCGTGCAATGGCCTTCTCCAGCTCTGGAAGTCAAAAATCCGACATCAACGAACGGGATCCCCTCACCCGCGCAGGTCTCTTCAGAAGACTCTGGACCATCCTCTGGAACTGTCAATGCTACATGCATCTTTTGTATATCCTCTTCGTCATCGCCGCCGTAACCTACTCCAGCATTCTCGGCCTCGTCATCAACTCTGAAACAAACAATACTCTAAAGAAAAAACTCATCTTTCTACTTACTCATGCGTTCTGGCCTCCCATGCTGTGGCTGATGTGTATAACGGCTTGTTTTGAACCGATTCGCTATGCGATTTGGCCCCCGTCTATGCCTGAGAGAGAGGAACTACTAGATAGAGATCAGAAGACTCAGATTGCGCGTCCGAAGGAAGAGTGGAAGAAGGCGAGATATGCGAAGACGAGCTTTTTTCATGAGTTTCAGTATACGCTCCTAACCGGGTTTACGTGCATGGTTTTTGTAGGTGCGTTTTTTATTGAGATTTGAGAGGGGGAAAGGGGGAGTAGAGTGAGGTGGTACATGTAAGGAGAGAGTGAGATGCGATGCGGAATTTTGGAGTTTGTGTTTTTTGGTTTTGGTTTTGGTTTTTGGATGTTGTTTATTCATGTGCATTGTGGATGTGAAAGTGAAAGTGAAAGTGTTCCCGTAATCGATACTTTCGTAATTAAAGAAAGCGTTGACGAATTTGCAATAGGTTAATTAGAAATCAAATCATCACGTCACAGCGCAACACGCATGTAAAGAATTTCAGAATACCTAGGTTATACATTCGTTTTAATACTTATCATATCGTTCATTCTTTCTTTCTTATATATGATCATTATTTATGATTTATGATTTAGACTTCGTGTACCTTTTACACACCTTTTTCTAACCTTTTATCCAAATTGTATATGACTTCAGAGTAGATTGAACTAGATATATCAAAAGTATATCCCTCTCCACTGATGATCCTTTTCCTCTAATATCTATCTATCTAGCGCAAGGTAACCTTAATCATATCAAATTCCTATGCTCAATTAATCCTACAAAAGCACAAGTATACCTTAAGTCTAGTACCCTACTTTTAGACCACCCCTCTTTTGGGCCACCCTTTTATACCAAAAATCACCATTTTCATTTATTAATAATTCAACAATGAATCGATGAAATCGATTGAAAATTTAATTGTAATTTTAATTGTAATATTATTATATAGATATCAATAAATTTTGAAAGTTTCAGATTTTTCATGATTTTGTTCATCGAGATTTTGAAGGTTGAAATTTTTATTTTCAATTTGTATAAGATTTATATATAAATTTGAAAAATATTAAAATTTAAAATAACTTTTCAACAAAAATTATTAAAAATAAACTCTAAATCTTTTCAGAATCTTTAAATCAAATATTATATAATAGATTGAAATTTTGAATTTTAAATTATACAGAAAATCTTTATTTATATTTCTAGATTTTATAAAGATTAAAAATTATAATATTTTGATTAAAAGAATTTATATAATTTATTTTTCAAAACAAATTAATTTATTTAATCAATTATAATATAAATATTCGAAAAAAATTTATAATTTATTTTTAGTAAATTGTATTGAAAAATTATTAAAGACTTTCAAGATTTTTTAAATTTATATATAAATCCTATATAAATAGAAAATAAAAGATTTCAAGGTTATAGATTTTGATGAAATCAATTTCAAAAAATCTAAAATTTCCAGAATTGATTTATAATCATATAATGAATCTATGATTCAACTTATATCAAATTCTATTTATTGGTTGTAAAGTTATTAGTAGTTGAAAATGATGATTTTTGGTGTAAAAGGGTGGCCCAAAAGTAGGGTACTAGACTTATAAGCACACTCTAAAAGCAGTTAAGCAGTTCAGCATCTCAGCACCTCAGCGCTACAGAAGTGCAGGGAAATAATAAGATCTTAACATCATAATCTATAATTATTACTGAGAAGTTAAAAAATTAAAAGGCTAAGGGATTAAATAAATAATCCAAGTTAAGTTAAGTTATTTATTTATTTATATATATATTTATATATATATATATATTCTAAATATATAAGTCTTAAGATCTTAAGATTCTATATAAAAAGATATAATGAAAAGAAAAATGAAAGTAAAAGTAATTTTAATAATAATAAAAGTTGTTTGAAAAAATATATAAAAATGAGGTATATATAACTAGATAGTAAATAGATAATCTTACGATTATTGATGGATTGTGAAGATATATTATATGCAAAGAAAGGTATATGATTTTCAGTATAAATTTCTATGGGTCATTTATTATAAGATTACTGTTTAGGTCCTGCCCTCTTCTATCGTATCGAATCCTATCTTACTACCTAGGTATATTATATCATCTTTCAAAAACCATCACCAGAACCAGAACCGTATCCAAGATTTAAAGAAATAGGGTATTCTGAAAAACAAAGCAAAGTGAAGTAAAACAAATCCCGTGGGAAAAGTGAATGCATATAATCTTAACATTCATCAGATATAACTTTTTTCAACTTATTTTTTCAACTTATTTTTTCAACTTATTCATTCATCCATCCATTCCATCCATTCCATCCATTCCATCCATTCCATCCATTCCATCCATCCATCAACTTTCACTTCAGCATTATAAAACCCTTTCTTAAGTTTTCGGTATGAAATTTTTGATATTCCTAAAGTAAAACTTAATAATTGACTTGGAAAACATATCAAAACTATAGTAGTACTTACAAACTTTTGAATGATAATCTCCTTTTCATCCTATCTCTCAATTTATCTCTTCATTTCTCCTTAGCACTTTCTACTCCACCCATTCCAATCATTTAAGCTCCATCTATAGCCTTCGCCCCTACTTTTTCGGATACTTAACGAAACCCATCATCCTATATTTCGTAATTGGTTCCTCATCTGCCACCATTTCAATCGGTCTAGGATCTCCCGGCAATTCATTTATAGCACCAGACATATACGGATTTGTCCCGGAACTTTGTTCTGATTTGTGGAGAACAGGGGTGGTGGATATGTTTGTGTCGCTCTGTTTGTGGGTTAGTTTTTAACCAAGCACAAATATGGGACTTGATTAGATGATGGAAATGTTAGGAGATTGGTTAGAGGAAAAAGAATCTTATGGTAACTTACAACAGTCAAAGGAATTTTCCTAATCATTCCCTTCTCCGCCTTCGAAGGATCAATCCACGCCATAACAATTGCTGCTTCTTCATCCGGCAATGATACAAATGCCATTGCGAAAGAATCAGATTTAATCGTAAGTTCCCTCGAAACGGCTATTTTTCGAATATCCAATGGACTAGAATTAAGTGCCGAGATTAAATACAAATGTCCCTTTTCATTCACCATAGCTAGTTCTTTTCCTGATGGCGAAAAACTAGCACATTGAATCCGACTTCCTAGTTTTCCGGACCGATTTGGCGCGGTTTTTATATCTGTTTTTTGCCCTGTTTTAGGATGGACGAGAATCGGAACACCAGATTGTGTCCAAGTTGTTATACAGACGAGAACTTCCTCGATACCGGTTCTGGAGCGGAATATTGCAGATGATAATCCTCGATCTTCTGATTCATGCAAGGGAACATGATATCGACAGGATACAAGTTCTTGAGAAGCTTGCATTGGAGTCATCCAGAAGTATATTTTAATGGCCCCGCTTTTGGCACTTCTCGTACTAGCTAGAAGATGCATGCCGTCGTCGGAGTAGGAGAGTGTTTCTACTTCTGGACAGTCTTCGCATTCGTTGTGAATTCGACTATGGAGACGATCTTCCCTTGGTTGAGCTGATTGAGTGGTTTTGAAGAAATGTACGGTTGCGTTGGTAAATCCTACAGCAACGGTAGTTTCATTGGGAGATATGGCTATACTACTAGCCCATAGATTTGGTGGTAAAGGGTATTCCACAACAGGTGCGGAAGTTTGAAGGTTAACTATTCTAAGCTATCTGATCGTTAGAAGATAATGTTGTTGAAGGGCCTTTTTAGTTGAAGCTACTTACAGTGAGTTTTGGATCTCGGGTGCCAATAATATAAGCTAGATACATTTTCGTTACAGCGGCCTTGTAACAACTACCCTCGGTGGGAAACACACGTGTCATAGCAGGAGGAGATGCTCCAACGTCCCATATTTGTATCAAAGATTGGGTCCAGAATAGTGCATTTGTTGAATTTTGCGATAGGGATATGTTGATTGCTTTGGCGCTTTTGCTCTTCGAGGAAGACTTTCTAGGCACCCGAACCAAACTTTCTAAATTTATTTCATCCAGTCTTTGAGCCTCCAATGTTGACGATGATAATGAAGTGGTTTCAACGGATTGCCCCGGAATAGACTCTTTTCTCGTTCCACTGAAAACCGATGTCCATTTGGACCCACCCTTTGACTTTTTTCTATCAGAGTGACTGTGTCCTACTGTCGGTCGATTAACAAAATAGGTTCCAGTGTCGGAGACCATTCCAAAAGGCGACGGGTCATTTGGTGAATTATTTCCTTGACCTGGAACAGATTCTGGCGAGAATGGCGTCTCATCTGTAGCAGTTGAAGTCTTTCGAAGTTCTGGCATTCTAGAGCCTTCACCTGACCTCGAACCATCCAACGAAGTCAAATCAGATGAAGAAGAGGGTAGTGTGCTGGGCGTATCCAGTCTCTGACCGAACAAACCAACAGTTGGCGATACTTGAGACGGCATGGTATGAGGTAGCGATCTAGACCGATCTTGCGCAGCTGCTGATGTGAAGGACGTCTTATTATGAAATGGTGAAGGTGGTTCAGTATCAAATGTGCGCATCTTCACATTACTTGCGCTTGGGTTATTGTACGCTGGATGGAAAGTGATTGCTCCATCCATCTTTGGTGGTGGAAGCTGGAAGTATGTTGGGACATGACGTTCCAAATTCGCAGCATCTGCATGAGACTCAAAAGGTTCAAGAAGGTCCCAAACTTGCCTTGCAAGTGTCATCTCACGCATTAACGTAACTGGCTCTTCGCACTGAACGCACTTTGTCTTTGAAGGTAATCTGACCTCATTTGTTTCTGGATTATCCAACTGAGCATATAGATCATCGTCAGCATGCTATTCCATTCGCGTCAGTCATATTCAGACCATTTCCTTGAATCTTCACCATAACTATGTAACAAGTCAACAAGCTTAGCAAAACACTTGGCGTACCGGAAACTTTAAATTCTCTAGGTATCTCATCTGTGAGGCACCAGCTAAATGACACTTTGAACAATTGAGTGTATATATCCTCGGCCTTGACGGTTTGGCATGTCGACTTGGATCATCAAGGGCAAGAATCCTTTTTGTAATCTCAGATATCGTATGCATCATCTCCCTATCGCTCACACGACTTATCATTTGGCGACCACCAAGTCGCAAACATAATGCATCAATCGCATCCAAATCCTTGTCATCTGCTTCTATTTGCATTGACTGTCTTCTCAAATCTGGTGTATCTGGAAGAATAATTCGATATTGATCGGTAAAAGTACCAATCAAATCCTCCCTTGAAAATCGCGGTGGTATTCGCAGATTGTCAATCACCCGTAAAACCGCATTCCTCGTTCGTTCCGATGCTGCTGGAAGATATGCATCGCGGGTTTCTTCATTTATCGTATATTGAATCGAAGCGGCGACCACGAATTGGGTAATATCTCGAAGGGTAAGGAATTGTGCAAGCCATCCTCCTCCTCCTGAACCATCTGGGAGTATAAGAGTAGATATATATTTCGACGAGAAGCAATCATTTAAAGGGTACTAAACGTCCAAAAGAAGTGTCAGCTCGGATATCAATTAGAGGTTCTAGAAGCTCAGGAAGAAAGCTCAGGTAGAAAAGTAGAAAGGCTAGAAAGCTCAGGCCTTGGTGGGCCCCGTAAGCAATAAGGCTCAATCGTAATTATAGTGGTTCTTACCAGATCTTCCGTCAGATTTGGTAGCTCATCCCTTAATTTAGGGGGTAAAGCTAGTGGATTAGGCTCGGGACCCCGCAATGCTTCAGTAACTTCTTTACAGACCAACAACAAAAATGATTTCGGTCCTGGATAGCTATCGAACATATGCTCGAGCGAACGATGAATACGCGCGAATCTATCTCGACGAATCTTTCTCTGCAGGTCTTCCTTGGATTGCGGTTTTCCATCGGACTGTGGTTGTGGTAAGAGTTGAAGGACACGAAGCGCAGATAACAACAGCTCAGCCAAATATTTGTCCCTCAACTGTCGCGACTCCCATAAACTTTCTCGACCTTCAATAACAATATGCAAGACAAATTCAATCATTCGCAGAGTTACCTCCCAGCTGGCCAAAAATCCGAAATACCATCCATCTTGCTGGCGCTTCGCAGATGGTATGGACAAACGTTGAATATAAAAAATGGCATTCAGTTGTGCAAACAGATTTATTACCAAATGTTGATAGGTTTCCTTATCACCATCAGAATATACCTTTTCGAGAGAGAACTGCCCCACCAATTCCAGTATGATATTATCGACGTCGCTGCGCAGGGACAACAGCTTCCAAATGTTTGCTAGACGTTCAAAATGTGGTGATGCGGCCGAGGCTGGAGTCGGCATGGTGTGTTAGATAGCATGAGCTCTCGATCTATATAGCAGCTCCAACGGTTTGAAGCACTCTGGTCGCCACGTGGGCCGACTCCCTAACTTTGGTGCCGCAGTAATCCAAGCTTTGGGGAGTATATCATAAGTATGGTGCGTGTCAAAATGGACCATGGAGCGCGAAGATCATCAAGTCGATCGGACCGTATTGGGGCTTGACTCCTGGCGACCGCAACCCGCAGCCGTTTACGGTAATGTCTAGGGTACCATGAGGGATGGAACTGGTCGTGGCCCCGCTGTCACCTCAAGAGAATGTTCAAGTACTCCGTAATATCTTTGGATAGGCTTTTTTCGAGAGATATCCTTGTTCATGAAGACTTGTCCGCCTAGGTCTTTCTTACTTGATCCGTTTGGGAAGGTCATCCAATCTTAGCTGTGGATATAGACCGTTTCGTCTATTCGTATCTTCGTTATACTATTGGATGATATACTATCTGGCCATCCGGAGGGCTGAAAATCCCAACCGGTATCAGAGGTTTATCATATGCAATGTAACCCACTTTTAAGGATCAATGGCGAGAGTGCCACAAGGATAGCACAGACTTGGATCTTCTTGTGGAAATTCCAGGCGAAATAGAACCAAGCTTGCATATTAATAAGTCTGATATTAAGGTTAAGTTAGAGTTGCTATTTAATCTATTTATTATTCAAGAAGCCAACTCTCTTTTTTTCGACGATATTATATTATGAGAGTATTATACTTATATTGAAACTATGTTTTGAATATATATTCTCTTTACGTTTCGTGCTCAATGTTCATCTTGTTTGGTAAGATATGTATAATGATTTTGCGAGAGCTATATTTTATCACAAAGGTCAGAAAAGAAAAGTCGTACCCAGAGAAGCGGCAGATGCGGGGGTCCCTGTAAGTAGGCATCAGCTGTGTGCCATATAATTAGTTATCTCTACTATGCGGTTACATTAGACCTCCCGCCCTGTACAGGGAATAAATAATGCGGAGGATTGTCTGCATCAAGGCAGTGCAGAATATATATGCTTCTAAGCTTCCCTAATTCTTTTGATCTCTTTTACGCGAGTCGACATATTATTTTCACCCTCCATATTACGACCTCAATATTGCTAGCAATACATATTATGGATCATGAAAAACCTCAAGCGGTGATTCCACCGCAAATATTTGAATTCGATATTGATCAAAGTCAAAGTCGGACGAGCCCAGATGTAGAGCCCGATTATCCTGAAGACCGTCGGGAACGCCGAGGAGAGAGTTTGTGGTACGCAAACTTGTACTAGTCAATGATTACAACTACTAATTATCATCAGGAGAACACTGAGTGAACGGCACATTAATGTGAGTTGTTAGACTATGGCTGGGCTTGATAAAGGCAGAAACAATGGCTGACGACGTCCATCGCATGCTAGATGATAGCATTTTCTGGGTACGTTTCTCGAATTCAACATTTGGCCGGGCATATGAATAACGGAATATGGTTCTAGGACAATTGGCAATGGTCTCTTTCTTGGAAGTGGTAGATCTCTCGCCGGAGCTGGACCAGGTGGGGCAGTCATGGCATATATTATCATGGGAACGGTTGTTTCGTCTGTTATATCCTGCTTAGGTGAAATGACAGCTCTTATGCCTGTCAATGCTCCAGTCGTGGAATTCCCTCGAAGATTCTTGGATCGTGGTGTTGGGTTCGCTGTTGGATGGATGTATTGGTGAGCAAGTATCAATCATTGTTTTACTCGAGCAGAAATTTTAACATGTCGAAGGTTTGCTTGGGCCGTCACCGCTGCAGAGGAATTAGTAGCTGTTTCTGGAACTCTCGGTTTTCATTACGATGATGGGAAAACTTTTCTAGCTTGGAGAATAGGCGAAAGTGTCGACCCTGCTGTTTGGATTGGATTGTTCTTAATAATTGTCACCGCCATCAATATGTTTCCTGTGAAAGTAAGTTTTCATTAGATCCGGTTGCCCATCATTGTTATTGACGACAACCACAGTACTTTGGAGAATTAGAGTATGCCTTTGGCTGCATCAAAATCATTTTCATCACAATGATCATCGTTTTGATGCTTATTCTTGACACTATGCAGCGTGCGTTCAGTGTTTCAACCAATCTACAACGCTAACTAATCTATAGCTCGTTCCAATGCATATTATGCATCACCTCCGAACTCCAAATGTGACTATCCTCTAGCACATAATACTACGCTGAGTTAATTACTGATCTTCTTGTTCAGATTGGTGTTCTCCATGGGGATTTTTCAACCACGCCTATTCTGTCCGAGATGAGGAAGGGAATGTACAACGAAAAATTGAAGGGTCTACTGGTTCATTTCTTGGGATGTGGTATGTTAACCGCCCACCATACCGGCCTTTAATCACTAATCATTTCCACAGGACAACGATTATCAATGTTATTTTCTCATATACTGGAATGGATATCGTAGCAGCAACAGCTGCAGAATCGAAATCGCTTGCCAATGCTGAGAGTATGAAGATGGCTGCAAGGAAAATCTCAATCCGTATCGTTACTCTTTACACCATGGCCATGATCACTGCATCTTTCGTAGTACCATACACACATCCCTTTATCAATGGAAAAGGTCAATCGGTCGGTGCTCATTCTATCTTTGTTATCGCCGTCGTCGAAGCAGGTTTACCGGCTATGGCTCATTTCTTCAACGCCATCTTCGCTTTTGCATCCTTCACTTGCGCTATCAATTCCATGTATGTGGCATCGAGAGTTTTACATACTCTAGCTCTGCAAGACCAAACTGGACCGGAATTTATCGCGAGGAGATTAAGACAAACTAGATCGGGTGTGCCGGTCAGAGCAGTGTTGGCAACGGCTTCTATGGCTCTAGTGGCTTTTATGGGTAGGACTGGGACAACTGCACTTGTGAGTATCTGGAAAATATACATATCGCAATACTCCAAGACTAAACGAATCAATAGCGTCTGAGTGAATTGGCATCAAACTGCACCTCATCAATTTTGATCGTCTACGCCACTATCTGCGCTACCTATCTCGGATTTTTCCGAACGTATGTCTTAACTTCTTCTTTCCTCTTGCATTTTCCCAGAAGTTTTTGTCTCATCTAGTTCATGCACTAACGCCACAAATGACAGACTGGAAGATACTAAACTCTATGGAAATGCATCGGAGCGTCAAGCAGCGCATTATGATCGTGATCATCCACGATATCCCTACAAATCCCACGGTCAGTGGCTGAAAGGCTTTTACGGTATGTCGGCATGCATTATCCTCGTTACATTCAACGGTGTTGCCGCATTCCTCGAGAGGCCTTTTGATGTTAGGAGATTCATCGCAAGTTATATATCTGTATGTTTCTTCCCACTCGTCTACTCACCGTTACCTCCTTGCCACTAGCAAAATATCTAATAAATTTCCCTTTACCACAGATACCAGTCTTTATCCTCCTAATCATCGGCTACAAAGTCCATAAACATGGATTCAGAATACGAAATTGGGGGCCGGAAAGATCAAATGATTTGAGGAATACGATACAAGCGGCATCGGAGAAGAGAAAGGGAAGATTAGAATTCCCGGATGAGGGATTGAGTGTGGAGAATTTCAAAACTTGGGCGCATTGGTTGTGGGTTTGGACGAGATAGAGATGGAGATTGGGGGCTGGTGTTGGGTTTGCATTTGGGTTATTTGTTATTATTATGGGGGTTTGAAGAGTGGGGTGGGAATGGGATGGATATGAATCTTCAGTGGTTATAGGTAAGGATGGGATAGGCTCGAGGATATTTTGGGCTTGGAAATGAACTAAAGGACTCAAGGAATAGGACACCTGGTAATGGATATTAGATACGGAATTGGCTGGAAAGGGATAACTATGGCGTCAGGGCTTTTAATGGATTATATATGGAGCCTTGCACAGTATCACGCTACATAGGTTACTGACGCAATACAGAAATGAAGGGGTGGATACCTGTGGATACCTAAAAGTGTAATAGTTATAATACCTAGGTATTTATGAATATAGTTCTATATAATTATTAGTAGATAATACTTACCGTATAGTATAACATGTTATAGTACCTACGAAGTATTCATATTTCAATATATTTTATTTTATTTATTTCAACTTTGTTTCTTAAAGTATTAAAAAACTAGCAGTAAACAAAATAAGATATACAGCAAGCGAATATCGGCTCAGCCCTATCGGTATACGAGCGAGAATCCTTGTCTAGCATAGCATGGCATGGCACGGTTTTGCTTATGGTATGTTTATATATTGTAAGTAGCTAGGTAGATATAGATATACTAAATCCAAGCAGGCAACAATTTTAACTTGCATACTTGTGTGCTTGTGTAGCCTGCTGGTGGTACGCATATGTACTTAAAACCTTATTTATATATCTATAGTTTCTATAAAATCCTAACCTATAAGCATGGTAGTCATTTGTGGTTTATAGATCTTTTATCTTTTCTGAGGTAGGGATACAGTATGGATATATAGACGGAAGGGGAAAGGGGAAAGTAGATGGGATGAGATGGAATGGAATAGGATAGAATGAGATGGAAAGAATGATGTGTGTGGGATGTGTAAGCTTAAGATGGGTTGTGCTGGGGTAATTGACTCGAGGGGAGACGTTGTACTTGATTGTATTGGAAGTAAGATTATAATGTTTATATAGAATTCGCAGTGGCGAGTTGGAGAGGAGAGGAGGTTTGTGTGATGTTGTGTGATGGGTGCTTTCTTGATTTCTTAATGAAGTACAATGGATTTTATAGTAATTGTTATATTTCTGCTAGGTTATTTAAAAGGAATTACTGTAATTTCTTATGTTTATTGATATATATATAAAGCAGTTATAGTATCTACTTATTATCTGTATACACCCCACCAACGGACAATTCCCATCTCCTTCCCAAGAAGAAAACTATCTACTTCTTCGTGTATATATACAATCATCCATCTAATCAAGTATCACACGGTGATATCACAGCCTAATCATTAATCAACGAATTCTACAACGTGGAGAATACTCCGTAGATATCATTTAATCCACTTCTTTCTCTTTCCCGGCATTTTTGATAGTTAAGGTTGTGCTGCTTGAAAACCTCTGAAAGAGAATACTACCTAGGTAGGGAATTACAGACAGAGAATTTACATCGCATCTTCGGCTCTCTAATAAAAGTACTACAATTCCACAAAGTCCATTCCTCATTCTTATAGTCCATGTATTGCATTGAACTGAATGCAACGACTAACCTTATATTCCTCCAAGCCACTTTCCCCATCCTTTAATAGATAAGGTCACTTTAAAGTTAACACAGCATATAGGTAATTGAATGAAGGATGGAATTGTGACGCTACCAGGTAACCTTGAGCCATAATGCTATGTAATAATTATCTTTTCCTGCTACATCAGCAGGTAAATAAGCATTTGCTAAGATATTAATAGGATGAAATTATTTTTTTAAGAAATCTTTTATAGACACCGATAACACAACTGTTCGGTAATTTCGAAAGCGATCAAGCGTTTGCCACTAGATAGTTTCACTCGATATGTCTCACTAACCTTACGATATATACGACCGATTGGAGCTAGTATATAAAAAAATGAAGCATTTCGTATGGTTACTATACGAAATATCTGCAGCACTACAAAATCACTAGTCTATACAACACTGCACTCATACCTTACACTACATAATACCACCCAACACCATCACAGCATTAGACACGAGGTCTCGAGGCTCCAAGAATCCTGCATTAACCTTAGTTTATCATGTTCGTTCAATCATGTTGGATATGTATGATATTGCTGACATACTCGGTAAGGCAGATACATGATTATCTCATCTTGGAGATATAGGTGCGCATTTTTGCATTTGTGCGATGGATGTGAGGAGTTATGGAGTGAATGTGTGGTAGGTATTGAGTGGTGCTTGTTACTTGTATTTATCCTTACGAGGTTTGTGGTTTTGTGATTTGATTAGCTGTGGTGGAGGGTTGCAATGGGGGTGGTATCAGTTGGGGATAATTGCAATTGGTTGGTTGGTTTGTGAGGAGAATGAGAATGGTAGGGAGTGATTGGTCGATATACTAAGAATGAAAGGAGAAAAGGGAAAAGCGAAAAGATAAAAAACAATGAGGGAAGTTTATTGGTGTTAAGTAAGATGATGGAAGATATAATACTTAAAAATTTTGTAGAGAATTGGTATTGAGAATGATAACGAGATGAAATAAAATATTTGAGATGAAGGTTACTGGTTCGAAAAGCGAAAGCCGCACATATATATATATCTAGGTATCAATGTTTAACTGAGACGAAAGAAGGAAAATGCCGTTTGGGGTGATATCCGCCTAGTGTTCAGGATAGAGTGATATGTGCAAAGAATATTTATACACATAGTTGAGAATAGGAAGTGGACAGTAACAACTACTTAAGAAGTAAAAAATTTATATATATATTGTAAAAGTGGTAGGTCGAGATACATATATCCCGATAGCATATTGTAAAGAGGGAATTGAAAAAGGAAGCTGAATTAGATTATATTATAATATATTATTTATAAAGAAAACGAAATTTATAATAGTTTTGAGATTGATATCATATAATTCAAATGTATATATATAAAAGATTGATTATTATAAAAAGAAAAAATAAAAGTTTTTCTTTTATATTTAATTATAAAAGATTATATGATTGATTAGTTAAAAACCTTTATATATTTGATCTATAATTCCAACTTTCTTACAATATTTCTTTCGTGATATACATATACTATACGAAGCTATCAAAGTATTTGCCTGTAATAGTACTGGGTATTTTAACAATAGTTGTGAGTTATTTGGCCGGGTGGTCAATTCTTTCTAATATGTTGAATCAGAGATATATGCTATGTCTCCAATGTTCTTACAGGCTGCCACTGTCTTAGTGATGAGTCACGAAGTTTTATTGACTCTATTCTTTCTGACATGCACTATTACTGAATGCATCGGAGTTCTTCAAGATCGTGGAGAAGATATTTGCACACTGTGCATAGATTAATTTTGGATCTTTTCAAGGTGACCAATATGCTTACAAGACCAGCATCTGTTCCATACCACGTCCAACAGAAGGAGGCCAAGACATTAAGAATCTTCAGATTTAAAGGCAATTGTGCAGGTTTTTTCATCTTCAGCAGAACAATTAAGATATTCACTAAGAGATAAGATTAAGGTACCTTTATACCATGCCAGCTTCTGATACACTATGAAACTGGAATGAAGCATGATGGTGGAAAATTTGGGAAAACAAATTCTCTCCTTTTCTCCTTCATATCTCGGCTAGTAAATTTGCCGTTTTAATAATTTTCAAAAGGAAGACCCAAAAGCTTTAAAATGCTAGAAGATCAAATCATTACAAAAATGTATTGTTAGAGGGTAGAATTATTGATCAACGAATACAAATGTCAAATTCCGTTTGCCTTTTGATTGCACAGTAGCCCCAGGAGCTGTAGCCCCAGGAGCTCGAGCCCCTCGGTTAAGATCCCTATACAGGTAAGGCATGAGATGAGTCTTATAAATTTGCCTCTTGTTTGCTCTTTCATAATATTCAAATTACACCGCTCGATCTGTATTCAAAAAAGCAGAATTCAAGAGAAAAATCAGAAAGATCTCAGGGCCAGAGACCTGGCTAAAAATATTTCTTGACGATAATTGAAAACCCCCTTTCAATCATATATGGATTCTCCTCTCGAATTTCGCTCTTTACGAAGCTTGCAACAAACATATACATGATCTTTCGCAGGTCTGCAACTGATTCTTTCTCCCAGACTTTGCATTTTATTTCACCACTCCACCACTCCACCACTGACATTACTGTACTTGTAGCCTATGTCCAAGACTCTCCTCCGCCTCAATTTCGTGCTGAAGCTTGAGGTCCAGTTCCTGTCGAAGGTTTATTCCTTGCTGTGACTCAAAGTCTAGCGCAAAGCGCCGCTCTGATCGGATATGAGCTCGTAGCGACACCGAATATCGACGGCTCTGCGTTCATGACACGTCTAACGAATCAACCCATGACATGAAACCTCATGATATACCCCACCTAGCACAACCTAGAAGTTTCCAAGCCATTCAGCATTGTCGGGAAATTTAGCTCCGGAATGGAAACAATGATTTCCTTCCGAGCCAAGCAGAAAACTGGGAGGCTACAGAGCCTTGCAGCCGTTTCCAGAGCAAAAGAGAAAGGTTCTCCAAGTTTATTATTGTCCATCCCTCAATTAGTACTGGTAATAGAACAAGGGCAGGAGCTTGCTCTGAATGCTTTCATGGAAGGGCAGCGATCGATTGCTCATTCACCCTTCGTATGTGCTACCTTGCTCGTCCGTTCCTCTCACCTTGGGCCTGGTGGGTCGCTAGAAAGATGTAAACATGCTGAATTCTTGGTGTTTTTCGACAGTTTCAGTCGTTTAAGACGGAAGGAAACTTGGAATTACCAAGGGGAAGAAGTAGGCGAGCAGCAATGACTATGAATTCGTTTGCTGGCGGACCGGTTGATCTGATTTCTTACCACTAATCTTGAACTTGATGCCTCTTTCCCATCATCATCACTACACTGTTTTATGTCGCTGGTTTACCGATCTCTGCTCTCTTATACGTTGGTATTTGCTGCCCTGCCTTTTTAGAGTATCGTTAAAGAGTTAGCACAAACGAGACGTTTCTTCGTACTTAGTAGCCACAAAACCATACTCAAGAGTCTATTAGTGTCATTTCAAATGGCTTTGGGTTCCTGGTTGGTGGAATGAAGATGCAAGCTCGTTCAGGACATTTCTGGTGGCTCGAATCGATCTGAGCAATTGTCACCACTAAGATAGTCCTCGGGCCCGCCACGATGGGGATGGTGGGCATGACTGACATGTTCTACCACCAATCTTTGACATGCTGATTAAGGACCCGCCATTCTTTGGATGTACCTCGACCTGAGTTTTGTTAACTCGACTAGTAGCAACAGGTCGATAAAAATGGCAGCACGACTATAAGGACATGTGCTTCGGGATGTGGGGTTTCTTTAGCATTTTTGGTCTCGCCTCGACATCTCTCGTCTTTCACCGTCGCCCGACCTCAGGTCTTGCTGCATCTCATTGGCTTCCCTTTTATCCACCTTCCTCTCGTCTGTCTATCACCAATTTCTTTTGTCAGTCGTTTTCACTGTTTTCGTTCGCTGTCCTCTAATACGCCACCATTGTTAGTTTATCGGGTACCACAGCGGCTTAATTTATGGTACGCCAGTTATAACGTATCATGGTAGAGAGGGAGATGGGAAGAGAGGACTGTATAGATACCTGTGGGCCTTTCAGTAAAAATCTTTGGAGCGCGCAATTGGCGGCCCATCTCACCAGAAATCATAATGCACAAGTTCGTTGCCCTAGTTTATTATTTGATACCTTGCATGAAGGCTTCAAGATTACGTGGCTTCTCACACAATACAAAGAGAATTAAGTGATTGGAAAACTTGTGCCTTGATGTCTGCGTGAATCATATTTGAATTAAAAATGGTGGCTGATGAGAAATAAGAAAAGTGAAGTGAAGTGAAGTGATGAATTAATATGGATGTGGGAAGAAGTGTAGCCACGAAGTGAAATTCAAAGGTTGCTTACTCATTATCATCACCCTCTCCTTATTCATTTCTTAACACACCTCTGTACAGTCAAATTGAATCCAGCATTGAGACTAATTATTATTTTAAATGATCACCAATTAAATATTTATTATTTGTACTAATATACCAATATGTCAATTACTTGAAGACCATCTTGAGGAGAAAAAGTAGGCAATAGATTAATTGATAAAGCAGATGATCAAATGCATGCCTTTTTATCTATTAATGATTTGAGTTGCAAATTAATCCATTTATAACTTTCTCATATATATATTGTCAATTATCACACATTAATTGTAGTATTGTGAGAAAGTTGGAATTATAAACTAAATACATAAAGGTTTTAATTAGTCAATTATATAACCTTTTATAATTAAATATAAAAGAAGAATTTTTTATTTTTTCTTTTTATAATAATCAATTTTCTATATATATATATTTGAATCTATATAATATCAATCTCAAAATCATTGTGAATCTTATTTTACCTATAAATAATATATTACAATATAATCTAATTCAGCTTTCTCTTTCAATTCCCTCTTTACAGTATACTATCGGGATGCACATATCTCGACTTACCACTTTTACAGTATATATTAATACCAACTAATTCTCACAATCACAATCACTATCATTATCACAGAAATTTACCATACAAAGAAATTGATAAAAACATTTGTATGGTATTGGTATATATGCGCCCTATCGCATTATTCCCAAACTCAATTTAAACAACAAACAGCACTGAAGACTCCGACCAGTGTGACTCCTTTCTTTACTCCACAGCCCAACACGCCAAAGCTAGGTTATGCGTACTAGAGTATGCGTTTATCCATGGACCGCCATTTAAGTAATTCAAATCATCCAAAGGTATAGATCGTTCAACCGACCAGTTCATCGTCTATATCTATGTTGGGTATATGATGATTTAAATCATTCTAGACTCCAAACGCAAAACGCAAAACGCAAAAAAACAAACCCCCGGTGCAGTTACATCCTGAGAAGTCAGCAGCTACCCAAGGAGAAACCTCAACTTTCCCAAAAATCCCGAATCAATCTTCTCCCTCATCTTCCCCTCCTCCTGCCGCTCACCCTTACTCCTCTCCTTCCTCCTCTCATCGCCTTTCTCCAATCCTCCCCCCGGGAAGACTCTGAGACAGCAACCCATTCCTCTGCCCCTTAATCCTCGGTCCTCCCCGCCCAGATTCCTTCTTCTTGCAAATATTCCCCGCTTTCACACACTCGCTACAGAAAGCATCTGATTCATGTCATCCCTGTCGTATTTGACCTTCCTGCGATTACAATCTCCACGCAAGCGTTGGGACAAACTTTTGGCTTTTTCGCCGCGCGAGGTGCTGCGGAGCGTAAAGTAGGGCGGAGGAAAGGGCGTTGACAGGGATGTCGAGATAAATTAAGCGAGTGGGGAGAATCCGGGGTTAACATGGACGTCGAGATATAAAGAATTTGGCGTGGGAGAGGGGTTAAGATAGGTCGAGGTATAGGTAAGAGTAATGAGGGTAAAGGGCTAAATATAGAGTGTGTATAATATAAGATATAAGGTGATAATATTTAGGAATCAATTGATGAAAGTCTTTGAATATTGTATGTCACAGTATAGAAAGGAGTAATGTTTTGAAAGTGTGAAAATGATCTGGAGAACGAAGAGAAAGAGAAGGAAGGAGAAAAATTCCCTCTTGGAAGGAGGCATTTCTATTCAAACCAATCTAGACGAGGGTATTTCTATCCAAACTGCTTTAGAAAAAGATATTTAGGTTCAAACTAGAGATTTAGCATTAGTGCTGATCATCTGATTTCGAGGATTTTCCCTGATTCGACAATTGAGAGACGGCTCGACTAGTTGCTCCACCAAGCTTAGATTGAAAGAGCCAAAGGTAGAAGAGAACACACTATTACTATGCCAAATCTATCTAGGTTAAGCAGACCGTTGGAAATCTTACACGTCTTTTCAGACAAGAATGGCTATACTCCATTCTCAAGTATACCGAGAGTTTTTGAGCCACAAGGAGAATAGTGGCCACAAATGAGTAGAGTGGTGTAAATACTCCGCGGTCCATTATAGTGACTAATGAGAGGAGAAGTGATTAAGTTCGTAGTTCAATCTTCTAGTGCCCGACTCTGCACGGGCATTCTATGACTAGTTTTCCTCAGATATCACCGGTGCGAATGGCTAAAGCAACAAGTAGAGCTTTTAGTAATAAACTATAGCTCGAAGATTCTTATCTCTCAGATCTAAGAAAATTCCGAAATACTAAATGTGCCAAAGGCCAGCCTGTCACGATTCATGGTTTAGATTATAGTAGTACTATTGATATCGATGATTTAGATACCGATTACCGGGGGGGTATGATTTAACCGTTATTTCAAGGGGCTTAATCATTTACGAATAGGAACCCAGGATTCCTAGAACAAGTATCCTAAGCAATTATATTAGAATAGGACAAATGTCCTAACTAATTGATTGTAATAGAACAATTACTTTAAAGAATATCATATTCTAAAACAATAATTTTTAAAGGAAAGCTTTTAAAATAAGTGTTTCAGAAAAGGAAAGGCTTTAGGATCAATTATATAATGAAAAGCTATGGGAGCTTTGAAAGCTTTTTGAAGTTTTTGAATTTTACAAAGCTTCTTTTCATTTATTAGTATATAATTAGAATAGTTTTATAATTTAAAAGTTTCATACTCAATTCAATTATCAATTAGTTTATTTATATTCTATTTGATCTAATAATGAATTCATTTTTAAATAAATAATTAATGAATAATAATCTTAACCTACAACTATCAACTATACAAACTTTAGACAGCCGCTGCCTTGATCAGATCGTTATAGTTAATTAAAAAAAGATTAATTTAATATAATATATATTTAATTAAATAAATCAAGTGTTTTATTTTCAGATAATTTTTTTTAAATTAATTTTTTTATATTGAAAATCATCTTTTTCATTTATTAATAACTTTATAATCAATTTATAAAATTTATTAAAATTTAATAAATTTATATTAAGTCTAGTATCTTCTTTCTCAACTATCTTTAATTTCGATTATCTTTTCTTATTAAAAATAATAAATATTATTTTTATAATTTATTTATTTACTAATAAAAGATTTTTAAAATTTTAATTATAGATTCATTATTATATAATAATAAATTTTGAGAATTTTAGATTTTTTACAATCTTATTTATTGAAATATTAAAAATTAAAATTTTGATTTTCAATTTATATAAGATTTATATATAAAACTGAAAATCTTGAAAATCTTCTATAAATTTTCATTAAAAATTATTACAAAAAAACTATAAATTTTTTAGGAAATCTACAAAATAAATATCATATAATAGATTATTATTTCAAATTTTAAATTTTACAAAAAATTCTTTTTTTATACTTTTAAACTTTATAAAAATTAAAAATTATAACATTTTAATTAAAAGAATTTCTGTAAAAAAAATGAAAAAAATTTTAATTTATTTAATTAAACATAATATAGAAATTTAATAAAAATTCATAGTTTATTTTTATTTATTTACTTTTGAAAAGTTATTGAAGATTTTAATAATTTTTCAAATTTTTATATAAATTTTATATATAATAAATCAAAAATCAAAAGATTTAAGTTTGTAGATCTCAACGAAATCAATTTTAAAAAATCTGAAATTTTTACTATTCGTTTATAATTATATCATGAATCTATAATTAAAATTTCAATTGATTTTATTTATTTTTTGTAGAATTATCAATAGGTGAAAATCGTCATCTTTGGTGTAAACGAGTGGCCCAAATTAGGGGTTGCCCGAAAGTAGGGTACTAAACTTAGGGTGATTGACTCGATCTACAATGCCACAACTTCACAAAAGCGCAGAGCACTCAATATTACTAGCGCTAGAGAACTTAGTTCTGCGTAAGCGGCGCTAATGAACGACCGACAACTTGTCACCTGATATTCAGCAGCTTTTCAGAGTGATACTGATCAATACAAACGCATTGATTAAGATTCTACATTAATCATTTCCCACTCCTCAATTCTCAATCTTTTATCATCTTCCTTATCATGACTCTTGAAGGTCGAGCCCTTTTTTCGGCAGTAACATCCTTGACGTGTCTTGGTTTTCTACTCATTGGATATGATAATGGATTGATGGGAGGGTAAATCCAATTCCATCAGTCCCATGCATTTGCATTATTTCTGCGCTGCCTTTCAACTAACAATCCAAAAAAGACTAGTCAATTCACCAGGATTCAAAGATACTTTCGGCGATCCGGACCCCACTATCACTGGTCTCATCGTTGCTATATACGAAATAGGATGTTTTCTCGGAAGCGTTGCTACGTCGGCCTTCGGGGAGAATATCGGAAGAAAGAAATCAATTGCGACAGGAGTGTTAATTATGATACTTGGAGCTTTATTACAAGCAAGTGCATATTCTAGAGCACATCTCATCATTGGACGAGTAATATCAGGAGTGGGAATGGGATTTATCAATAGTACAGTTCCTGTTTTTCAAGCAGAGTTCAGTCCCAAAGCTACAAGAGGGTTGTGTAAGGGCCTTGATAAAGTAATCGAAAACATTTGATAGTATGATACTTACTCTATCACAGATGTCTGCATGCAGCTCTCGACGTTAAACTTTGGAATATTCCTAGCATATTGGGTTGATTACGCCTTCACCCAATCCTACACTGCTTCATTTTCCTGGAGGGTTCCCACAATTCTGCAATGCATATTTTTACTCCCAATGCTAGTTCTTCTGGTTATAGTTCCAGAATCTCCAAGGTGGTTAGCTGCGCACGACAAACCGAATGAGTCCTTAAATATCCTTACCCAGCTGCATTCCCACCGTGACTCTCCAGAAACCATCGTATCCCTCCACGCCGAAATAATGCACACTTGTCAGTATGAAAAAACTCTCGGCACAGGCTCCTGGAGCGATCTCTTTCACAACGACTCAATACAATCTCAGAGACGTTTCATTATTGCATGTGCTATCCAATCATTTCAACAGTTAGGTGGAATTAATGCACTTATATATTATTCGAATACACTTTTTTCAACTTCTCTAGGATTCTCCGATCATCTCAGTGCACTCATGTCAGGATTTTTGCAAACGTGGTTTTTTCTTGCTAGTTTTATTCCTTGGTTTCTTATTGATCGTGTGGGCCGTCGACCTCTTTTGTTATCGATGATTTCGGTTATGTCGGCGGTTATGATTGTTCAGACGGGGTTGATTTATAATGTGCAATATCATACTGAGCTCAGGAAGGCCTGTGGGATCGGAGCAGCGATCATGCTTTTTATTTTCGAAGGGGCTTTTACTATTGGTTTTCAAGCTACTGTAAGTTTTCCACTCATTGATTTCTTTCATTACTTCCAAATCATTACAATTCCCCATATATCTCACCCACACATTCCGCCTCCATATTAAACCCTTTATTCCACTAATCTACCCTGTTTCAAATTATAGGTATGGGTCTACCCCTCTGAAATCCTCCCCCTTCGTCTCCGACAACGCGGCTCCTCAGTCTCCACAGCCTGCAACTGGATCTTTAACTACATGATCGTGCAGATTACTCCCATTGCACTTAATAACATAGGCTATAAAACGTATATAATTTTTGCTGTACTGAATGCATGTTGGGTTCCGATTATTTATTTATGGTTTCCTGAGACGAAGGGACTGGAGTTGGAGGATATGGATGGGGTTTTTGAGAGGGGAGAAGGAGTTGGGGTGGGGTTAGGAAAAAGGGGTGTGGGAAAAAGAAGGGCGGTTGAAAGGGGAGTGTCGGGGAGTGCGTTGAGTGATGAGGAGGTGAGGATTAGGCGTGCGAGTGGGAGTCGAAGCGGAGTTGGTGTGAGTGGAAGTGGGAGTAATAATACAGAGAATGGAAAGGGATCCGATGAAGAGATTGCATTTGGAACTAGAGAACACGCGGAAAGGGTCGGAAGATCTTAAGACTTGAGGTTTACTTTTCTTCATGTGTGTCAGCGGATCTGGGTTAATTGTTTTTGTTTTGACAAGTGTCTTTATGATTTTTTATGGACGGAAGGATAATTTTTGGTGTTGTGTTGGAGGAGTTCAACTTGACTACATGCGGGGTGTTTGTAAGATGATTTTTGTAATGACATCGGTTTTATGATCAGATGAGTTATAATGATTGGAGTTCTATAATAGACTAATCCTTACACATTACGTGATATTAGTTTATTTACAAATAGTTTGATTTTTATATCAACCGGGTATATCGGGCAATTAGATAATTCGTCCAAAAATACAGCTCTTTAGTCAATGCTCTAGAACAAACTAAGACTTTATTAGAGCCTATTCAAATAAAGTCTTTATAGAGTTCCTCACGTCTAGAAATCGAAATCTTATTAGAATATTCTAACTGATCTATTTATTAAGCTTATCTTTTCGATCGCCGCTTAAAATTATTAAACTTTTCGAGATTAAAATAGTGTACATTTATAAATTATAGTGAGGCATTGAATAATCTAGTGAATTCTTAAATGAACTATATAATATTGCATTAGTGGATATGCCCAGCGCAGGTGGGAATATAACTATCTTTGTATAAATTAGTTTATTTATCTTATAAATATTTTTTCAATCAAGTAACTTGTTCTTTATTAGAAATAAAAAATGTATATATTCTAGACGATTATATAATATTTGTATTTCAAAATTGACTTTGTTTATTCTGAGATATATTGTATTAAAAAATAAAATAATTGATACTGAAATAAATAAAAATAAAAAGTTTTTATAAATAGAGTCGGATTAAATTTTTATGAAAATAGTATATTTAATATATTAATTTATTTTTAAAAAAGTAAATTTAATTATAATCTTTATATTTTTAATATAAACTGAATTTTAGATTTTTTTATTTTATTTTTAACAATTAAAAAAGAAATCTTAATAATATTTATATTTATATTTATTATTTATATATTCTACAACCTCATCTTTCCTCCCCGCTTCTCTCAAAAAAACAAAATACATTCACGATCATCCTCACCTCTTTACCTCTTATAAAAATCACATACTTCTATTTCTCCCTTCAATTCTCTGTGTAAAGTTATCTATCTCTCCTATATATTATATATATATAAAGGTCTATGTTATATAATATTGAGTATTAATGTATTATTACTACATGTGGGTCCAATATACTATTCATCTTATACGCTCTGTTTTCATAACACGTTTTCATTCCGCATTTCTCCTGTCCTCACAGGCTCTGTTATTAAAGATCTTCTCTGCTGGACCGTTGGTGAAGGTAATGCGGTGAGATCTGGGGTCTCGGCTTAATGTTCACTTGGGACAAAAGTTCGAACTAGAGGTAACAGGTTTTTCATTTTTATTTCCGAATTCGGAGTTCGGCAGGGAGCTAAAAATTAGGGAAATGTAGGAGGAGAATGACGAGAAGCAGGAGGTAAAGTGTTTGATTTCGCTATATTCGGAACCAAAGGACTTGTGTTATATGCAGTTATTCTAACTTCTTGTGAAGGTCATTGAGGATAGGCTGAAGCATTTGCTACTAGTGGATGAGGCAACGGTGTTATGGGATCGAAACCTTGTGAAGAACGGCGTCGACAGACCGAAAAAGGTAAAGGTTGCGGCTGGATTGCATCTGGACCGAAAGAACGCGTAGAAGATGTTGCCGGATCAAAAAGGGGTGTATTTGATTGGGATCGATTAGGGATTAGAGGGGTCTGTTGAGGTGTTTGGTTAGTAATTATGTCCAATGACGAAAGAATATGAAAGACAAAAAAGTGAAATGGAACGGGAAATTGTTGAAGGATTGAAGAGTGTACCTACGTTGAAGCCCTGGAATAATTGGAAAATGGAAATCAAGGGATGAAAAACCCGAGGGCTGTGATATATTTGTAAGACTGAGGGAAGTGAATACAGGTAGTGCATTATGTTAGGGCTTAGGATGATGACAGGGACGGGAATGAAGGAACATAGGTGAAAGAGAGTTCAGGTAGGGTGAGCTTACTGTAGTGGTATGAGTGGGTTCCGGTTCAGCGATTAGCGACGGCTGTTGATTCTCTATATTGGGGAAGCTGCTAGGATACATTGGAATTTGGGCTGAAAAGCTGTTAGAAATGACTTACAATCAAGGTAGATTATGTGACGTACGATGGGGTTCTGTGTGGGCAGGAATTGGATCTTCTGATGATGAATCTCTTACTTTATCCTGTCCCTCTTTTGAAATATGCGATTCATTTCCTATCTCATTTGGGTTCCTCATGATATTGCTTCCCTCCCCGGAAGTTGCCCGACTTTTGTCATTCATAGACCGCGCAATAGACCCGACTACCTTTTCAACTCCACTTTTATTACCTTGTAAAGATCCTGTCACTCTATCATCAACGTTATCATGTTCGGCCCGCACAGTTGTCGAAGTTGTATTCCCATTGAATATTCTAGATCCTTGTTCCAAAATAGACTGAGGCATCTCCTGATCTCCGTTAAAACTTAGGTTTCCATTCCTTTCACTTTGCTCCCCTCTACCGACAGGAATCTCAGTAGCTGGTCCCTGGACGTCCATTTCAGCTGAAAATGTGTCACTGAGGGAAGTGGAAGTTATATTATTATCTGGCATAGTTCCAGTCATTAGATTGCTTCCAGTCCGAAATTCCGACGCTTGCGCCTGTGAATGTCCAGAACCAGAATCACGTTGAATTGCCATAAGTTTTTTTTTATGTTTTAATTTTTTATTGCGTCTGCGTCTGCGAGCTGCCCGAGATTTCGGAATAGACCCATTATCTGAATGATTAATGGCTAAGGTTTCTTTCGTGGGTTTAGAGTGATGATTTATGTCTCGCGTTACGTCTTGCGTTCCATCTTGCACGAGATCTTCCATGAGATCCTGCCGCTCGCTCAATTGATTTTGTGTAATTTCTCGAGATTTTTTTGCAGACATACGCTGACTGATTGGTCTGATTGCGCTTGTATATTCCTCTGGGTTTTTTGGCTCCCATGTCTGTTCCATTACCTTATTCGGCTCCCCTGTCTCCAACTTGACTCGAAATGGACGACCTCTTTTCTTGAGAGTAGAGGTTGCCTGCGTACTTTGGTTTGATGCTGCGATTAAAATTGGAGATGAGCTTGCCGGCGAAGAGTCTGACACAATCGCTTGATAATTCTTCGAGGGTCTACCACGTCTTCGTTTCGGACCTATGGGAGAGGAGTAAACAGCTTCGCCTTCTATCCTTCGTACCTTACGTTTTCCTAAACTTGATAGAGACTGACCATTTGCTGAAGTCTGACCCGTAGGCACCTGTGGGCCTGTAGGACCGCGCCATGCTGGAATTTCGACAATAATGGTATCTCCACGACCTTCATGTTTGATATTATCTCCTTCGATATGTCCGAAACCCTGCGGCGTTCCACCGGAGTCATTTTCTCCGGCCTCTACTGAAACTAGGGGTTCTTCAGGAACCTCCGGAACAGATTGCGGAAGCGGCTCTGAGAAGGATTCGGATAGTGACCCCAAGTTGTCGGGAACAGTTCTTGGAAGTTGATTCGCTGTCTCTGAATCCTCTGAACTACGATGACCTACTTGATCAAGTGTAGGTTGATTATCCCTTTCGCTAGTGGGCACTTCCATACTAATATTCGATCGAACTCTTGACCCCAACTTCCTACGAATGATTCCTGAAGCTTTTCGAGTCTTGCAATGGAGACATGTGGTCGGTCCTGGATTTTCTAGACTAACAATGAAAACCTCAGGTAACACAATCGGTTTTCGACAGCTATCACAGTTGTAGTGGCTGCTTATTATGTTGGCAACGTCGACATGTTCATCTTCCTCGCTATCTGTTGATTCAGCGCTGACTATCGCTTCTTGAATTGCCGAATTTATGCCATCCTTACAGACGGGGTTTCTTGCCAATTCCTGTCCGCTTGCATCCATGGGAATAGGACTGCCAAGGTCACTGGAAACTTCCCGAACTGATTGTGTCATGCTTTCTAGTGCCACATTGTTGGCATTAGCTCCCTGCATTGTCTCGATATTCTTCCGAACACTATCAACAATATTTTTGAATGATTCAAAAGAAAATTCTTTTGCGGATTCATTGCGTGAAGTTTCAGCCGCGATACTTGCAAGTTTGTCGAAAGGAAAATTTCCAGAACCAAAAGCCCGAGCCAAATTCACATATCTAGCTGAAATATCCTTCACTACTTGTATGATATCGGTGGTAAGTACCTCACTAGGGCCAGTATCTATCACATTCTCGCTGACTTCCGGGAGTGAAATCTGAGGGGTTCCCCTAGAGGGGGTGTGAAAGGCACTAGTTTCGCGTGATTCGGTTATGTTACTTGGAAGGGCAACAAGTGCGTTTATAATCTCTGTGTCCGAAACATTTCCTAAAAGAGCATCGTTCATCGGATTACTCGATGTTTTTTCGGCGGTCTCTGATGCCAATGCTGTTTCTGACTCTCCCTGAGCGGTTGCCGTGTCGTCTTTTTGTGAATTTTCATCAATGTTTGTGGGGGCTTGATTATCGACGATTTCTTCTATTTGCATGGAGTCCGATTGGTTATCTTGTTGCTGGAGATCCAGTTGCCTATGTGCATCACTGTTGCGGAAAATCGAGTTGTGCTTGGGATGACTGGCTAAATATAAAGCTGATGGATTATCTTCTTGCGCTGTGTTCAGGCCATCAGTTGGCTGATCTGGAACATGCGTCTGACCATTAGGATTTGATTGAGCCCCTAATGTATCTCCTCGCATTCTGCCCTCATTTAATTCAGTACCCACGGCGCCTTCAACAGTGTATGTCACGTGATTGGCATTATGCCCCTCTCCATTCTCTCGTCTTGCTGCGTGGATTATCCCTCTATTAACGACTTCCTCATCATCGCTTTGAGCTTCATTGGATAAAAAAAAGGATTCCGCCATTTCTTTTGCTCCTGGACAGCATAATATCATTTTCGTGATCAATTCATGGAGCTCAGAGTTCCTTGCGGCAACGATCTTCTTCGATAGTTCTTTGATTGAATTGGTCCGCTCCACGCGTTCGACCTCTGTGGTCGGCGAGCGAAGGAGGGCATTTGATTCTGGTGCATAACTGGAAATGGATTGTGCAGAGGGTCTGATAAAGGGCGATGCGGGAAGTGGTGATGGAGAAGGAGTAGTGGCGGCTTCTGCATGTCTTGCAGCAATTTCAAGAGCTCTTTTCTCAGCCACTCTGAGTTTCGCCTGTGCAATACGTTGTTTAGTACCAAGTTTAGCCTGTATAAATGTGTCTTTATCGAAATCGTCGTCCATGTTGGAATTCGACGTGATCTCTGACTAAAAGTCGTGTGTATCGCGTTGTGGTTGAGTTCATGAGGTCGTTCGTTCGTTCGTCCATGCATTTATTTTTGTTTTGGGAGAAGTTTCAGGAATAAATTTCCCTGATCTGGTAATGCTAACGTTATCTCAACATCGCAAATTTAAAGGAGAATATTAATTTAGTGAGAAGTGTAAACAATGAAAAAATACTTCGACATTTACATAACATCACCCTCCAGATAAGACTTTTTCCATGGATCAGTGCACTGGTGAATGTTTTAATCTTATTGTGAATTTCGATCGCATTGCATGGGATTGTTGATTGTTTGTCATCTTGTTAATTATCCCCTCAATGGAAGTCACGCGGCAACATGCAGCTTATATAATCACTGTAAAGAAAAAAGAATAGAGACCAATGCACCAAACATGTTACATCGAAAATTAATTAATTGATTGATTTGTAACGGCTTTACTATATTACGAAATTCATAATGAAGACTCGATCGGAAATCACTACAAGATCCACCTGCTTCTTTCATCCGACAAGGAGCCATGCACCCCAAAGGAATCCAGCACGGAATTTTCTCCATCTGCCAAGTACCCAGTTTCCCAACATGACCATCATAATTCATCGTCGTCACAATTCACCAATATCCCAAAATACAAGATTGATGTTTTCTCCGATGCAATACCCAAAAACCATTTCGTCGTCCGAGCTCATTAAACCATCACCGCAATCACTGCTTAACCCTCTTGGCCGTCGGTTCCTCGATATCTTCCCAATTCTCGGACAGGTCCCCAGATGAATCTAAATCCTCGTCGAGCTTTTTAGATTCATCGGATAGATCTCCAGAGGCGACATCAGATGAGCTATTGAACTCTTCGAATCCCTCCAATACCTTGTGTCTGGTGATCTTGCATCCCCAATCACTTCCCATCTCTCCACAGCAAGACCAAATCCAGCGATCCTCCAAGTCATGGTGATCTATACGGTCTTCAATTGCTCCATGCTTTTCGTAGTTATGGTCAGCCCAGATGACATCATCGAGATCCGTGGTTCGTTGGCCTAGTATTGTCAGCTAGATTGGCATGGGCTGGTGAATTTGAAACATACCTGTATGCCATAGACAATCGTTGGATGGATTATTGTAGATGCAAAACTCATTGTGACAAATCTCGCACATGAACATGTTGGAGCTATAGCCGGGATATTTTCTCTTGTTGGATCTGACAAGCTTCTGGATCTCGATCTTGGATTTACTTGGAACATCTTCAACTTCAATTCCATCCTCCTCATCTCCTTCCTCATAATTCTCGCAATCCCTGAAGTTAGACTCTTTAAATTTGCCATCATGAAAACCTGCGGGCATGATGAAAACCTTTCCTGGTTTGACGGTGATTTTTCCACGATGGTGCTTCAGGGTGAAACTCTTCTCATCACACACCAATTTAAGAAGGTGCCGGAGCTGTTTAGCATCCATCTTCTCGAATTCTTCCTCTAATCTTGGGTCAAGCATTTTTCTGTGCCGGATCAATGAACCTGTGGATAATGAGGTCAAAAGAAGATGGGGGTGATAAGATGTTAAAAAAAGAACCTGGGGGTCACAAGATGAACAACTTGTACGTGAGGAGGATGTGTCTTTTTGAAAGAGCTTGCAGCAGGTACCGATCACTTTTTTTAGTTTAAATATATACAGCACAGCCGGGTAGATCTTCAATAGATGATGGATTCAGAAGAGACTAGTTTGGCTTTTTGGTCGAACTATTTACAAGGCAAAGCAGGCAACAAAACAAAATTTAGAGATTCACATTATACTCTGGTGAATGAAAATCGTCTTTTGCATTCATTAGAACCAATTCACCTGATTGTATCCAGATCCATATCATGATTAATAAGGAGGTACTTTGTGAGTTTGTTGACTCAATTCGTTTGATTGTATCATGGCTGAAATATTTGCCTTTGCTGTTTGGTAAGATCAATCAGAGGCATGGCCTTCCCTCGAATTATCAATCTGACTTCTCTTTCAGGTTTCTATTTTCTCATGCTTCTAGTTGCGTCGCTGCACAATTAAACAAAGCTATCAGCAAAGTTTGATTCATGCATACACTGCCATTACACCACTAATATAACCACAATATACTAGCAAACCCTAGTATTTGACTCTCTTTTCCATTGCTTCCTCCATCACTTCATGCCTGGTATTCTTGCAACCCTTGTCATTTCCTGGTTTATCGCAGCAATCCCATTTAAATCCATCAGCATAATCTGGATCATCTTCATAAGCCTCAGCAGATCCGTGTACTCTTTCATCATGATCACCCCAAAAATCGGCCTCAACATCCAACTCTTTCCATCCTACAGTTTCAATCATTAATTACCCCGTGTTAAAAGAAGGCAGAAACGCAAATATATACCTGGATGATACCAACAATCTCCTTTCCTATTACTCTTGACATCACAGTCCTCCTCGCAATTCTCGCACCTAAATTTGTGTCTCTTTTCCTCTTCGACGAAATAAATTCTCGGATTTGCTGTTTTGACAACTTCGGCACGTGATACTCATCCTCTTCATTCGATGCGCCGCTTTCCGATTCCTCTTCGCTGCCTTCTTTCTCGTCTTCAACATCGCGCTCATCGCTCTTAAGATCGACAAGGGCACTCGTTATGATGGTATCGCGGCCATCAACCTCGATTTTGCCTGTTGCGTCATCTACAGAAAACTTTCCATGATTGCACAACTTCTTTAAAAGCTCTCGGAGTTTTGGGCATCCATCTGGTCGAACATTGCTTCAATTCTTGAATCGGCCATTTTCCATGCGTTTTTCGATGCTTAATATAAAGTCTACTGAAGTTGGATCAAGTGGAGTGGTGCTCTTGACGCATCGAGCATAGAAAGACGTGTTCCCGTTCTCGTCTGACGCAGGGTCACGTGCCTTGTATCCAATTGGGAAACCGACTTTGATATTTTCTATACGATTTCCCTGGGCATTCTATTGATGGCTGTTCATGAGATCAATGACAAAGATATAAAGTTGTTATTTCTGTTTCATTCTCATATTAATAATGGTCACTAAACTATACCAACGCGATTGTACACCTCCTCGTTTCCACGTTTCCCTCAGACCTTAGTCCTCTTGTTTGACGAATCCTCTAACTTAGGCCGATGAGATGATACCACACATCCAACTGCCATTCCCGTCTTCCTGCAACATGTCCAGCTAAATCCTTGTCCGAACGCCGGATCATCCACATACCTCCGCTTCTTAATTTTAGTCCAGTCTCTATATAAATGTTCCCTCCAAATTTCTGCTCTAGGAACCAAAACCTTATTGCCTGCGTTGAGAATAACAAGTGAGCATTCTATTACATTGATAGAGTGGGAAAATATACCTGGATGATTGTAACAGTTGTTTTGATCATCCGTGGAGTCATATTCCTCCTTGCAAATTTCGCATGTGGATAATTGTTCTTTTCTTTTCAAGGCCAGCGCTTTTCTTGAAAGGAAATACCGAGTGGGCGATTCGTCTCCCAAATATTCTCCTCTTGCCTCTTGGCATCCTTCACTTCCTTCTTCACTTTCTTCATCAGACGCTCCGTACGGACTTTCATATGCGGCCTCCGCTTTCTCGGCTTCGCTATCCATATCGTCACGTTCTAACTCGCTCCACCCTTCGACTTGCAGAGTGATTGTGCTACCGTCTATAAAAATTGGCTTCTTTTTGACCAATTGGGAAACAATATTGCCTGAACATAAACTCTTAAGAATGGTTAAAAGTTTCGGAGCAGACAACTCTTCCAATGCCTCGCAAGCTTCGGCTTCGTTCATCAGGCGTACTTGAGTGCCATCTATGCAAAGTGTTTCGAGGTCATCATCCTCATTCTGTATTTTTTTGTTATTGATATTATCATTCTTCGCAGAGAAATCCAATTTGTATGTCCCACCGCATATTACGTTGATGATTCTTCGAAGTTGTGGAGCCTTCATTTTTTTGAAAATCGGCATGACGGCTCGAAGTGCGTCGTCTCTGTATTTTTTCGCCTTATCTTCCTCCTCTTCTTCTCCCGAACTGTTGTTGAGTGAGTCACCACATTGCCATGCTTTGATCTCAAAAACCACTTTCCCTTTTTTTAGACGAAGGTCCACACGAATCCTGTGAGGGCGGGTTTCAAGCTTGATACAGCAGAAATAACATAATTCCCTTAAGAAACGTCGAAGTCCGTCGTCATCTTCAGAGTCTATTGCGCTCCAAGCTTTGTCCCGGTTATGCCATGATATCCGAGGCCCTCTCATGTCGTACTCCTGAGGTCCAACGGATGATACAACGGTAAATACGTAGGTATACTCTAAAAGCTTGGTGAGCGCTCTTCGAATTCCTTGTCCGTTCATATCTGAGAAATATTTGGCAACTAGTTCTCGCGCAGTGCCTACACTGATGTTGTCCGTTACCATATAAGGGTTATTATAGCCACGTATCAACCTCGCGTTATACATATTTCTTTCCATTTTCGATATTGTTGTGATATTTTTGTTGTGCAAGCAGGGAAGTTGTTGCATCAAGATTCAGCCCGACAGATAATGGTTTGTACACATACGCCGGTTTCCTCGTCACGTTTGCTCCTGCATTTGTATGGATTATTGTTCTTGCATTTACACAAGTAATTTTTATTCTAAGATTGCCATCTGACCCGATACATGATTCAATATTAACCACTAGCGGCGTACCAGTTCAACCAGCAGGAGCTTTCCAAACACACTTTCCACCACTTCACAAATTCCGGCCTCTGCGGATGTTCTTACAAATATACACAACAAATATCCCCGCATCACTCATCCGACTACTACACCACTCAAAACAAAACTCCTCAAGAGCACTTCGAAGTTCCAAAGCACTCTCAAATGTAATCATTTTCCAAGCTCTTACCCCATGGCACCACATTATCTTAGGTACAAATTTGACGAATTCCAGATTGGGTGGCTCTGCGCGGATCGTAAATTTGTAGAAATCCTCATGGTGTATTTTTCGAGGCGGTTCGTCAGATATCGGTCCGTTCATTTTTGTGAAATATCCATCGATTACTCCGTCGAGGGCTTTTCGTAATTGGGAATAATCGACCTTGGTATCGTCCTGGCTATCGTTTGATTGTGAGTCGTCCATGTCGTCGTTTTCTTCTTTTCGTCTTTTCGAGAAAAGTAAGAATTCTGATTGGGAAGATTTTAAAAAACCATTTCATGTTCGTTTATCACTAAATCAGCGAAGCGAACTTGCTAGTAGGTAGCTTCTTTACTAGGAGGGACTAACATTTTAATACCCTAATCGTCCAACATCAAGTGGATAGGTTGGAAAATGCAATTGAGCAAAATGATATATCAAAAGCCGCACTTATCTTCCTAACCTTACCGTAAGCTTTATGGATGGAGGAAGGTTTAGAAAGCGCGTATTTGTTCCTAAATCGGCAGTAGCTACGGTGAATTCTAGTTATTACCTCTTTCGCCACGAAAATGAAGCTATGTCCGAAGAGTAATTGCAACGTAAGTGAACTTCTCACCTCTTTCTTTATTCTTGGATAGAAGAGTTGATGTTTATATCAAATAGCTGAGCTTAGAGCAATAAATAATAACACACATCTACTCAATCTCCTACGATCCATAGCCAGTTCCCTTCCTCACTTACTTGAATCCAAATCGCTAAACCCCATATCCTCAAACCGAGGCCTTAAGTACAGCGTATTGCTCCCTGCAAACGAGATAAGATGGAAAGTAATACTATCTTTGTCGGTAACAGATACTCAGTTCCCTTAACCCGTTACACCGATTCCTTGACTTTGATATTGGGGCAATGCTCGGAATATTAATGTATCGGAATATGGTAGTTAGTACACAGCAGTAGATGACCGATAAGCAATGCAATCTTATGAGTTACAGTAGTAATACTTACCCCCCCTCGCACGCTTCATCATCTCAACCTCAGCCCATACACTCACAACGAATTCAAAATGTTGAAAACGGATTTCGTCAATAGCATGCTGTGCTGCATAGTATCTAGGTCCTAGCATATTTCATCATCTACACCGACAGCTTCAAAAGCTTGCGTGTAAGAAAGTTCTTTCATGCGAGCGATGGTGGATGGATATGAGTATATTTTTGTTTCGACATCGGGGTAGTTTTTGAATGCGATTTGGGCGGGAAGTTTGGGTATTATGCGGGGCTTTGCGGGGCTTGGGATTGTGGGGTTGCGGGGGAGTAAATTCCAATTTTTTGCAAATCATAGTCACCTTTTCACTGGGTTGATCTTTGGTTTTGGGAAGGAAACATATTTGGTTGAGATGGTGATACAGTTCTCACTAGGTCATATCTGAACGTTTTCATGGTGAAAATTGATAGTTAGGTGTTTGAGAATCCCACTGTGCAACGCGCTACTCTGCTCCTATCCAACGCCAAAAGGCTCTTTTAAAAGTTTTAACATAACCACAGGCATAGACAGCCTGCCCATACCTAGAATATTTGGCTTCTTAGCATATATTATAAAGTCATTGGAGGTACCAGAATTATAAAATACAGGTATAGGCATTGATAAGGAATCTAGGAACGATATTCGGTAGGATGGCAGTCTGAACATCAGCAGTGGTGGATTTCAAGGAAGGAGCGGAGGGGCGAGGGAAACATTCGTTCTATAACACTTTCATCTCTCAAATAATTTGCATCTAAATTCACATCTCCAAACTCCGCTTGGTAGCCCTCAACACACTCCTACAATAAGCATACCTCACTCTATCCTCCTCCAGCCCCACCAAGCCTTCAATAGTTGTTCCCCTTGGACTGCTAAACTCTTCCCTAATCTCATCGCCCGTTCTTCCCTTGCCATTCGCATTCCCCTCTTTCTCATCACCTCCCTTTCCCTCCAACAACCCCACCAACCCCTTCAAACTTCTCACTAGAATATCCCTACCCTCCGCTCTCTTAATCCCCTCCTTAACACCCCCATCCAAAATCCCATCAATAGCCACCGTCAAAAATGCCATACTAGCTGCTGCCAAAACACTCGCCGCATCATATTGTCCAGGTCCAACCTCCACTATCGAGCCCACACACCCAAATATGTACCGTACGATACTTTTGTTTTGGCTGGTCAGCGGCATAGAGGGAGAAATTTCAACTACCGTGTTGGACTCCCCAAAACTTGCTGCTAGATTTGGCATTGCGCGGACGAAGGTTATTTCTTTGGTTTCCTTTTCTTTCCCCTTTCCCGGGGAAGACTCCGCAAATCCAAGCGCTGTTGCCATTTTAATCACCGGGGTCCCGACTGCTACGCTGATGACCAGCTTTCCCCCCAATGCTTCTTTTACACCCTGTATTGAAAGTACTCCCTCTATCATATAGGGTTTGCAAGCCAGCAGAACAATATCCGCTTTTTGCATTGCCTGCAAAACTCCGTCATTTCCAACAAGGATATTAACACGTGACTCTCTTGAGTAAAATTGTTTGCGCAAGCGTTCCATGGATGCCATTGTGTGCACTGTAGCAATGAAAGTATTTATATTCGAATCTGTAGCAGCGCCTTTGGATTTGGCATTAAGAATACCAGTCAAGATCGAGGTGCCCATTGTGCCTAGAGAAGATGAATGTCAGGTGACTTATTTGTTCAAGGGATGGATGAGTCATCTGTTAGCTGTGGCAGCATTTACCTCGAGGAGAGAAGACCGAATGAAAATGAAACGGTGATACTTACCACAACCGATAATGGCAAGCGTAAGCCCTGCATTTTCTTTTCCTTTGGATGAGATAACGCGATCTGGAGATGTGGGAGTAGAAGACATGATTGTGGATGCTTGGCAGGGATTCAGCGAATTATGTTTAGGAAGCTTCACGTTAATTCGCGGTATTCGAAATTCATGTAACAGTATATACTCGAACTTCGCTGTGTTGAATCGTTTCTCAAATGCTGTGCATAGGTATTTTGCAGAGTGTGGAAAGATCTGAATGGTTGTCGGTTGGGTAGGTGACCGCAGAAATTCAAAGACGCTAACCCCGTATAGGAGATCCTGCTTATGGACCTTTTTTAATTCGCGGAATAATGAGTGAAGTTCGATTTGTTGATTTTCGGTGTATTAAAAAAGGGTTTGTACATAGTTTTGCATCTAGAAAAAATGTGAATAACTTCTCGTAGTCTTACATGAGAATTTAAGGGGTTCGGTTGATGGTTATTTTACGGAAGCCAATTCAAATTTTTGTTGTGCTCCTAAGGAAGTTCTTGACAAAGATCGATTCCCTAAATAGATTGAGTAATTGGAATTCTGTTCTTTTTTCCACATTGAGGGGTTTTCAGCTTGTGCAGTCGGTAGCACAACTCAGAAAATGTGGCTGCCTTCGATTTCAATAGATTATTGATGTATGAGAAACCTCTCGCCTTGTCATATCGTCTTACACAACACAACTGCTTTCAGATACCTCAAGGAACCTCAATTCAAAAAGAAACCTCAATTCAATCGCGCGACTTTCTTAAAATGGCAGAGCAAGGTGTGCAAACTGCATTTGAGCGCAACGGCACCGCCTCCGAATTCCGCCATCAAGCACTACCGGATCCCAAAACATACATACGGTTGTCGAAATTAGACCCTGTCGCAATTGGAGATACAACGACTAAGTTAAACTGTGAGGTCACGACATGGCATGTCGACCGTGCACCATCTTACCATGCCATATCTTACGTATGGGGCGATCCTACTGTTACTACCAAACTAAAGGTTAATGGCAAAGACCTACAAATAACCACAAATGGTGAATACGCGTTGAGGCAATCACGGTGGTTTGGTGCCCTTTATGTGTGGATGGATTCAATTTCTATCGATCAATCTGACGACAAAGAGAAAGGACATCAAGTGGGCATGATGGGCAACATTTATCGCAGGGCGTCTTTTGTTTTGTCTTGTGTGGGGCCACATAGCGAAAATAGTGAGGTGTTGATGACGATTCCTTGCAAATCGTTCATTCCTACAGATGAACCAGATCAATTTGATGACTTTACCACCAGAATTTCTTGTCGCTATCGAAGATCCTTGCAAATGCTGAATGTCTTTGCTTGGTCAGTTCAAACTCAAAATGTCGAAAAAGAAACAATGTTTAATTCACTCTACTCTTTCATGCAGAGACCCTACTTCAGGCGTTTATGGGTCCTGCAAGAAGTTTCTGTTGGCAAGGATGTAATTGTCTGCTGCGGGATTGATCATCGTCCGATTACCGACTTGTTTGGGCTACGCAATTTGCTACATCAGGCCGTGTCGCTGAATAGCTCTTGGTTTCGTTTGTCACGGATACGTAGGCTGGTTGATGCTGTGTTTTTCCCCCACGCCACTTTGTTACAAGTGTTGGGAGATAAACGGGAATATTCAAAACTTTGCATGCATATGGGATCTGACGGCTGTAAGAATGTATGTCACCGCTACTTAGAACATGGGGCCACTGATCGCCTTGCGACGTTCTCCTTACGTTACTTATGGAATGTAAGCATAGGTTTAAAATGCCAAGATCCGCGGGACAAGATTTATGGGCTTCTTTCTGTTGTTGAATGGAAAGATATTCCACCTATAGAGCCAGACTATGAAATAGGTGCCTTCGATGTTGCATTAAAAGCAATGGAGACGTTCCAGAAACAAAGCACCGCACTTCTAGATGCCGAAGCTTTACGACTTGCCGACTCGCTTAACCGGCTGATGTTGCTACATCTCGCTCATGAAACCCCAAAGAACACTACTCTAGAAGATCATACGGTGCGCGAGGCCAAAATTGAAGATTTGAACTCACAGTGTTTTACTGACGATCATTGGTTTTCTTGTGAGATTACTAAAGACCACAGAAATATCTGGAAACTGGGCATAGAGTTCGACTCCATGTCTCATCTGGATCAGGAGAGACTCGGACATATATGCGGGGTCCATCCAAGTAAGACTCACTGTCAACAAAGATTTTCGTTTGGGAACCTGGAAGATAGAATCTCAAACAAATATGTTCAAATCAAGGATCACGAAGGAAATCTCATGGCATTACTACCTCAGGGTGCAAAATCAGGAGACTTGCTCGTGGGAGTTTGGGTCAGGTTCAGATACGGAGTGCAAAGGAGAACAAAAACACCCCGTTATCTAGTGTTGCGCAAAAGAGAATCCGGATATCACACCATCTTTGGCCAGGCTATAGTTGCGGGAGCATGTGCACAGGGCTATGACAATACTTACCCATGGTTTCGTGGATATTATGATAACCGAGACGTACTCAACTTGATTATCTCTTGGGCTCAATGTCTAGCTTATAAGGAGGAAGACCTTTCACTAATGACCTGGGATATGGCAAAAGACCTGCTTGATCTCAAATTATGCAATCAGCCCTTCTCATCGTACGCACTCAAGCAGACCGATCTGAGTTGGAGCCCACTTCCCTAGACAAAGGATACAATATGGCTGTTGAAGTTTAATATAAAGTTCCTCGGATAATAAATCATTTATTTAAGTTATTTAATTTAGTGTATGTTAATATATTTTCAAAGGTTTTTTTAAAATTATATATTAAAAAATATAAATTACTTTATTCAAATTTAAAATAAATATAAGTTTTTTTATATTCTAATCACTCTCTTATTCCGATTATTTATTTATATCAAAATTGTAATTTTATTTATGAAAAATTTTATACTAAATAAATAAAATTAATTGAAATTTGAATTATAAATAATCTATATATATATAAATAAAGTTAAAAGATTTTGAATTTATTTATAATAAGAATTTTTAAAGTATAAATCTTTAATTAATAAAATATTAATTTTAAATTCTTTTTTAAAATAATTAATTTATTATATATAAAATTTATTTAAATTTTATTAAATAATTATATTTAAAATCTCTATTATATATTATATAATATAATGTTAAAGACTGTCCTTGCCCGCTTTTATAATAAAAATATTTTGATTTCTTACCCCGCCCGCCTTGTGATTTGCGAGCTCTTCTCCATAAACAAAATCAACAATCTAACGAATGTAAGCTTAAATCATGTTTGCTTCTCCTTGGCAATGTCAAAATGAATGGTCTCAATGCTTTCGCCATTTGCGTCATGCGCGACAGCACTGATGTGGTTCTTTCGGATCACTGCTGTAATCAGATGAGGCTGCAGCAGTATTGTCGAGTTGAATTTCAAGGAATTCCTCAGATTGTGGCTAATCGGCTTGGCTTGAAAATATCAGGTTTGGCCATCATACTCTCCCATCAGTTACTTCGAGCGACGCTGAATCGAGGAAGGAAATCTAGAATGTTTACATCACATTGCTTTTTCGTCACCGATTAGAAATATACTGCCTCTCCCAAATTGTGGCAGTTCGCGGAGAGTGCATATGCAGCCTCTTTTCAAAGGAAAACTACCGTAAAAGAGGTAGGTCGAGATACATACATCGCGATAGCACATTGTGAGGGGTATTAAAAGATAAAAGCTGATTAGATGATATTATAAAACTTTATTTATAAAAATAATTGAATTTCATAACAGATTTGAATTGAAATAATATTGTAAAAGTGGTAGGTCGAGATATGTGCATCCCGATAGCATATTGTGAGGAGGGAATTGGAAGAGGAAACTGAATTAGATTACATTGTAATATGTCATTTATGGAGGAAACGAGATTAACAATAGTTTTGGGATTGATGTTATGTAGGTTCAAATGTATATATATAGAAAATTGATTATTCTCAAAAGAAGAAACAAAAGTTCTCTTTTTATATCTAATTACAAAAGGTTATATAATTGATTAATTAAAAACCTTTATATATTTGGCTTATAATTCCAACTTTCTCATAATATAAAATACAAAAATATATATATAAAATGATTGGCTTTTATAAAAGATAAAAATTGGAAACCTTTACTCATATCTAATTACAAAGGATCATGTAATAGAATGATTCGAAACCATTACATATATGGCTTTATAATCCCAATTTTCTCACACTACTACGCGTCAACACATACCATTTGTTGTCGCTTCCGTGTCGATCTTTCATTCAAGAACTACGCCGGCAGACTCGTGATGATAAGATAGCATCCTATTCCTGCAGCGTCCACACTTTCAAATTCCATAAAATTAAACTCAAATCCTTATCTATTATCGAGCATTTGGAAGTATGTAGGCTATGTCCTGCAGCTGCTCTCAACCATACTGATGGCTTAAATACAGAAATTAAAATGCCCAACAAAAACGACGCAAAACTTTCTGCCAAGAAAAAGGCAGCTGCTTCAGCAGCTGCTAAAGCCGCCGCGGAAGAAAGGAGAAAGCGCAAGGCTCGGGAGGATGTTACCAAAGATCTCCTTGACGAAACAACGGCAAAACAACTGTCAGTTTCGGGAAATGAAGCAAGAACGAGGCAAGGAAGATAGAGCGGGGGATGATGCCAGGAGGAGAGGATAGGGCCGTAGCTTAGTAAAAGATAGGTAGGGTCCGTAAGGAAGAGCAGAATCATGAACTTAGCGAATACAATTTGACAACGTCAAACTTTAAACTACATAAAATCATTAAATCTCAATGATGCTCAATAACATACTTTCAAGTATTGCCGGGGACATTCTCGAATTTCTGGCGTAGCATTCTTTCGTACGCTTCCTTGTCTTGAAGCTTGGCACTTATAATATCGTTGACTCCCACAGCCCAATATTCTGATACAATCCGAGGGAAATCCGAGTCAGTATTATGAGAGGGTGCAAATATTGACTGAATGTGATCGCGAAAAATATTATACAATCCTTTTGGACTATCTAGGGCTTGGAAATACCAAAAGTTTCCGATCTTCCAACCTTTACTCATGATCTTTGTACGGTATGAAGCAACACCATCTCCCGAAGGGAGGGATTTCTCCTCTTCCTCAAAAATCTCCGTAAATTCACCATGTGCCTTGCTGAAGCTATCAAGGTGTTGACCAACAAGATCATCTACTGGACGGCTAGTCAGCCAATATGGAGGGCGCATTGTCTCCACAGGCAGTGAGCATGCCCACTCAAGGTCTATTAGGCATTTGATATTCCAATCATCATCCACGAAGATGTTACTCTGATGGAGGTCTGTGAGCGTCAAAAGGAAAGGTCCATGGCGGAAGTCTCGGTTCGTGAAATGTGAAAGGAGGGCCCGCATGATTATCAAATTTGCCATCTGGGCACGGCCGTCGCTTTCATCATTCAAGGAGTTTGGTTGATGGCGAATGCGACTGTCATGGCATGATAGAAGATCGAGATAATAAGCATCAGTTGCCGAGTAAGTCAAGCTTCTATCTATGTTGGTCGAAACCCCCTCATTCTCTAATTGTTGAAGCCGAAGGGTCAAAGGACGGTTGCTAAGCTGTAGGATTCCGTTTGAGTCTAATGTCCATGATCCAATACGCGGCAGTGGCGATTGACTCAACAAGAGCATGATACGGGATAAGTCTCTATAGAGGTTTTTCCTTCGAACTGCGCAATGTCGAAATTCGTCCCATGTCTCTGAGAGCATCTTTACGCCTGTGCCCTCGATATAGTCTATGATTAGATATCCATGCTCTAAAAGAGAGTGACGTCGGTGTCTTATATAACGCTAAGGTAGGGTAGATCCGAAGAGGGATGATATGTGCCGTCGAAGCTACCAAACCAGTCTGGTTTTCAAAGATACGCTATGAGGTTTTGTGAACTATACGGGTCAGAATCAACTTCAGAGTAAAGATTGTAGGGCTTTTAGACTCCATACACTCTAGCCACCGACAAATCCAAATCCCCATAGGTAAGGTATAGGAATATGTGCACAATGCTCTTGTATCCAAATGAATGTAGCGACCTCACAGCGGAGTTTCTCGTCGGCGTTGCCAGGATATGTGGATTCTCCTATCTTGTAAGGCAAGGGGAATCTGATCATGACTCGCCTCCCAGGATGCTTGTGCCAGTTGTCAACATAAACTGGTATGCAAACATTGAAACTGCCATTTATCCACTCTCTCACTTCTCCGAGCCGGCATATCTCCGACCTCGTCAAGCCTAAATGATACGAAACTGTATCCTCGATGTCTGCACGGTGAATGCTGAGCCAGACAAAGAAATCTAGTCGTAGCTCAGGGTAAGCTAAGTCGAGAAGCATGTTTTCCTCTTGTTCAAGGGCAGCTTCTAATGTAGTAGTGCCACGGAGAAGTGGAAGAGTGAGTGCTTGAGAAGTCATCGTGACATGTAGAATCAAAACTTGATGGATATTTGCGGGCTCAAAGCATGTGAATGCTATCGGAGAGCGAAAGCCGTGGCGGCCCTCGTTTAGATGATGTTCCTAAATTGAATTGATTATATCAGTATCATCAAAGAGTTATTAGGAGGATATAAAATCGGCGCAATTGAGATACTCGTAGCGGAGGAGCTATGGCCAAGGCCGACAGCGTGCGTTTCGAAATTCAGGCAAAAGGTTTCACGCCTGAGGCTCAACAAATAAATGGGCGAGTTATATTATTTGATGATCTAGCGCAAAAATATGTCAGAATCTGAATAGACAATTTTCTGTAAACTTCTGTGATCCAAATTTGGTCTGAAACGCTGCACTTACGGTCCGTTCGGTCAATAGTAATCCATCGGAGTGCGGAACGAATCACGTGATATTAAGCCCTCTCACTATCCAAGGTTTTTTCTGTGCGACCGCGATAATGTGTTTTTTATAATATAAACAAGTTATCTCCTGAAGTATGTTTGACTTTGGTCTCTTCATGGTTAAAAATAACAATGAATTTATTATACTTTTAATAATTACTTTTTATACTCTTTAAGATTTATTGTCGGCTTGCCGACACCAAAACCTTGCTATATATATAACATACTGTAATTTACTTAGTGTAAATCGTAGAAAATGAAAAACTCGCTTAAGTGAATCGCGATCCTAACAATCTGATTAATCTAAAATACCTCGATAGAAAATCTAACAAAAAACTTAGTATAAGCTTTACAATCTCAGACAAATCTGATTTAAAGCTTTTTTCAATTCAATTGAAATATAAAGAAACGGGGTGCCGGAGACCCGGCACGGGTTAATAGATTACCCGGCAGGTGACCTGCAGTCACCTTATCAACCCGAATAGGGTTAGCGGTAACCCTACAGTGTATTGTTACAGGTAGCTATTCAACGATAGCAACAGCGTCTAAACGCAGCTATCACAGTTCAAAGTTAACCGATACAACTGCTTTCAGTCTTTTCATAAGCGCTTGCACAGAACCGAATACTAAGAAATCTGTGATATTGATCCATTAGCTTCCGAATACTAAGAAATCTGTGATATTGATCCATTAGCTTCCGACTAGCTAAATAGGGAAGAGTGGAGTAGCTTTTGTGAGCAATCACGAGAAGAGTTCCCAAAAAGGGGTTTAGTCTTTCAATCGCTTAGAACTCATCAATGGGGGAAAGGTTCCACTAGAAAACACGTCTAGATTACGAGAGTTCCTGTTCCTCGAATCATCGGAAGGGTTCTGATGATAGAGCCATGGGTTAAGATTACCTTCTCTACATCGATATGAAATTTCTACAAGATCGCTAGCTATTCACACATCGTTTGAGTGACGGCGGTTATGAACTCATTGTACTTTACCCCAAGGGAGACATTTTATTATCAGACGGCGGTAAAATTCTTCCAGGCCGTGTCTGCTATCAGCTATCATTTTAAACCTGAGGAGCATGGTCCACTCCAACGTTGATTTAACCTTAAAGATTTGTGGTTGAAATCGAACTGACTTGTTACGATGTTCTCAAGATACGAAGAAATTGCGCCCAGCCATGGTGGCGCATTTGGTAATATTCCTATGTCGTCTACTCCTTTCTGGGCGCAGCGTTAAGAGAGATTGAAAAGATAAGCTCGTCTGATGTCTTGTGTCTTGTCTGACGGGTAAAGATTCCATAGCTGCTTTAGTGATCCGGTCTACTCCTTAAAACAGCCAGATAAATGACTAATCATCACATCATACCCACCAGCCATCTTGTCCGTGCAATTTTCGAGAGCTTGGAACATCAACCTCGATGTTCATCTACTCGAAAAGAAACATTTGAAACAAACTAACCTCCATCTGAACAATTTGGTACTACGACCAGGAATCATCTGAGAAGGATCCTCCCATGGGAAATTCAGGTACATACCTTCATCTGAACAGAACGGACAGTTCGTCCGAATTGAGAACTTGAGACGATTCAGCCGCCATTTTCAGGTTAGTGGTCAAGGCTATGAAACGGAAGAAGGCATGTTAACTTGCCCCTTTGGTAGCCCCTTTTGGGTAAATTGAATAAGCTCTCGAATCCAAAACTTCAAGCTCTGTCCAGATTTGTTTCATCGCTTAGCTTTGACAAGGTCAAGCTTTTTCTTTTTCTTTTTCTTTTTCTTTTCACAATGTGGCTTGGTTCGATGTTGGATGAGCGCATCTTTGGTCTTCGCGCCTGGCCAAGGCATAAATTAGGATGCTAGCAGATATTGACCTGCTATAGGACCAAATTATATTTTGTTTTTTGTGTCTCTACACTATTATACCGCAAACAATATTGGGACTTCAGCTTGTCTATGGACTATGTATTGGAAACCAGTTTGGTGGTCTAGAATTTCGATATCCTTGAACTACATCTTCTCGAGATTTTCTAGGGATTTTCTCATAAGCTTGTCCGATATAAATTAAGGACGCCATATGATGAGTAAATACACTCATATCATCCAATAACATGGAGACGAGACATGGAAAAAGCGGGAGCAAGGCTCGAACGCTTTACAATTTACTCTCGCCAATATGGGATCACCTTGTCTGTACTTTTTGGTGGGCCGTTAAGCCCCTGACTTGTTGGAAGAAAATCCCCGAGATGATCCATTTTTAGGACCACAAACGCTCGAGCCACATCGCCCACAATTCCATCCTTCATAGTATTGTCGCCTCTATATCATGTCAAAGAGATGAATAAACCAATTTCCCGACCTATTTTCAGTAATGCGAAAGGATTTGGGTTTGGGCTTCTTGAGGACTCGGTTGGTAATAATGGGATTGTATTTAACTCTGCCACTCTCCGCTCCTCGTCTGAGCTTGGAGGTCCGAAAGAGCGTCCAATTCCTTCCCTCCTTCATCTCCTCAAATTAGTACACGTTCTTCTACTGTTCTATTAACTCTATGCTTGGCCACGAGGAAAATTAGGATTATCAGGTCATTTACAGAAAGTAAAATAATGTTAATAATTTATCATTGATTTACTACAATATCCTGCAACTCTTTCAAAATCAACATACAACTAGTTTTCTAGAGTGCTAGCGAAAAATATGCATATCTCCCTTCGCCATACTCTGGCTTCGCTTTTTGCAGTAGCCTTCACTTCTTCGCTTGTGGATGCTTTTCCCATAAAGATTCAACGAGATGACAACTTACTAGTCAAGAGGGTAACAGATTCAACCATGACACGCATTGACTACCAAAATTATGCCGCATCCTCCATCAACGCACTACAAAAGACCTACTGGAACAGTACAGCAGGACTCTGGGGTCAAAAAGACAGCACTGGAAAATTTGCCGGAGACTGGTGGCCTAGTGCTAACGTCCTTACAATGATGGCCTACTACTACAAGGTATTTCCGAGCACAGCACCATGGATGCCCGATCTCTTTGCGACAGTCTTAACTCGCGCTCCCGAAACCGCTTATCATAATTTTCTGAACGGGTTTTATGATGATGAGCTTTGGTGGGTTTTGGCTTGGATTCAAGTCTATGATGCTACGAAAAATGTTACGTATCTCAATACCGCTGCTGCTATCTATGAGGATGCGAAGTCAGTCTATGGTAATACTCCCTGTGGAGGTTTATGGTATGTCACTTCTTTTCTATTCACTCGTTCAAATAATATTAAATTTCCCATTTTAAAAATGATACCATAATCTCTTGGCAAACCATCATTTGACCCCAAATAATCATACTAACACCAAACCAGGTGGGACAAAGCACACAGCGGCGTAAACAGCGTAGAGAACGAACTCTACCTAACCGCCAGCGCCAAACTCGCCAACCGGATTCCCTCCAAGAAAACCTCATCAGGCCAAGGTTACTATCTCGAACAAGCACTTGCGGCCTACGCCTTCCTAATAACCAACCCAACCACGACCATGAATCCCACCACCCACCTCTTCAACGACGGAATCTCGCTAAGCACCTGCAAAAATAACGGCAACAAAATCTTCACCTATAACCAAGGCATCATCCTCTCCGGCCTCACAGAACTCACCTGGTCAACCAATAACCACGCCTACACTACTCTCGCCGTGCAAATAGCCAACTCAGTCATAGCAAACATGACCACTTCAGATGGTATTCTACAGGAAAAAGCCTGTGAGCCTAATTCCTGCGATGGAGATGAACAGGTTTTTAAGGGGGTTTTTACGAGAAATTTAGCTTTTATGACGAATAGAGCCATGGGACTGGATACGGAGACGAAAGAGCATTTTAGAACGTTTTTGGGGAGGAATGCGGAGAGTATTACGGATAGTGCGAGGGGCAAGAATGATGTTTTGGGGTTGGTGTGGAGTGGGACGTCGAAACCGACGTTTAGTTTGGAAACGGATGGGAGTGCGTTGGATACGGTTGTTGGGGCGGCGGTTACGGCTTTGGGGTAGGGGGTTTGATGGGGTGGAGGCGTGGGAGGGGTGGTGCCTGCTCGAGGGGAATCAAGGGATGAATCCCTATTCATCGCAGGGAAATCATGGAGAAAAAGTAATGTATAAATAACCTCTACGTCTTTTCATTTCACTTTTCGCATTTCAAATTTCACTTTTTTACTCCTTACTTTTTACATTTTAAACTTCACATTTCACTTCTTATCATTTCCCATAAAACTTTATCAATCTCTCTTGGCAGATAAGTCAGTCTATTCGATTTATTTGAAAGTTATTTCCACGCATGTTAGAAAGATACCATTTTCATATTACATTCAATAGTGTTTAAGAATATTTAGCGTTTTTAAATTAGAAATTTTTAGAATTGAGAATTAAGATTATATTTAGATTTGGATTTGGATTTCGATTTGAATTGAAATTACGATTTGGATTTAAAGATATTAGAAAAGAATTCGTAGAGAGGTTTGAGATTTGAGAGATGAATAGTGAGATGTGAAAGATAAAAAATAAAAGATAAAATATATAATGACTGATAATGGTGATTTGATACTGAGATTTAAATTATCTCATGGTAAGATTTATTTTTTATTGAAAGAAAACTTTTTAAGAGAGGGAATATCTTTTTCTTAGCTGGAATTTCTATCCAGCGATGATGATTTGGTTGATTTTTAATTGTTATAATAATTACTGAATTCATATATTTATCTATCTTCGCACATCTTCGATTAAATATCTAGAATATGAATCTTACAGATCTTTAAACTTTCTTGATAGATAAACTAAACAACCTACACCTCATAACTTTAATCCATTATAAAGAAGATACAAGAACGCCAGACATTCAAGTATATACGAACTATACAATTCCCCATCAATTTCTCTCAAATATCAAACACCACACCAAGCAAAACCAACCTCACTCACCACCTTCCTTTCACATCCTTTCACTCAGAAACGCTCTCCAAAATATCATCAAACTCAGCATAATTCTTCATACAATTATGCGAACCATGCTCTTGCCGCTGTAACTGTAAAATATTCAGAATATCAGCTCTAAGACCTCTTCCAAGATTCCTAGAAGAATCTCCAGGAAAATCCAAGAGTCCAATATCCTCAACTGCACGATCCAAGGCCCTTCGAAAGCGCAATTGTGTCTCATCTATAGCATGTATGCGCTTTTCATCCGATAGCGAAAAGAAAGCTATATCACGTTCAAAGGGATGTATAAAGCCGGACCAATATTTTAGCGTCCTGCAGGTCGATCTAATATGAGGAATTTTCATAGCTTGATGGGCTGTTCGCGCCCGGGAAAATGACGATTGAATGATTGTGTATAGTTGGTATGGAGATTCAACGAGGGTTTCTGCATCGGGTATGGGCCATAGACCGTAGGCATTGAGATTTCTGGCAAGGAGCCCAAAAATAACTGAACGACATGTCTCTTCGCACAATAATTTGCAAGTGGACGCAGCTGAATGTGATAATAATCCATCCATGATGAAATGTAAGGACTGCAAAAGCCTGTTAATCATAGGTGCGCGAAGAGCAAGAATTTCTTCTATGAACGATCAGCGAGTAGAAACTTCAATTGTGAAGTGATATTTACCGGCCATGCCAGGAGGCAAAGGACACCCTTCCTCCTCCAACGGATACGAATTGACCTCAACCACCGTTCTTGATATACGTAGAGAGTTCTCCTCGACGATAAAGCATTCATTATCATCATTTAAACATGCCGACAATACAAGAACGTTCATCAAATCATAGAAAAGTTTCCTCCTTCCAAAGCAATAAGCAATCCACAGCCATCCCTCCTGACGTGGTAAATATGCTTCATATTGCTCATCCTTCAACCAGTCTTTCAACCAAGGTTTGACTAACAATATGCAATTGTACTTATCACAAAGAATAGCAATGTTATCCAAGATAACGTATGGCAGGCTCGAGGGAATAGCCGAGAATTGCAAATACGCAATTCGAAGAAGTACCAGTAGAGCTTCCGGATTATCTTCTGTGAAGTCCAACTCAATATCAGAAAATGGCTCGTTAGCTACGCAAGATTTCTTCGAATTAGATTCCTCTCCTTCTGCTCGTGATGTTAAAAGGGGAAATGGAGGAAAGATAAGTTTCTTCCAGACAGGGCTAGCGAAACTCAAAGCATGAGAGGATAGTTTAAAAGAGACTTCGCAGCCTTCATATAACACTTTGGCACCAACATCACCGTCGCCATTATCAAATACGAAAGGATGATTCATTTCGTGATCGTTGAATAATTGGAGGATGGAAATATGTAGGAGGGTTCGCGTCAGTCATAGCTTCAAACGCGTCTTAGCCTTAGCGTGTTTCGGCATAACTTCGGTAATGGTCCAAAATCGTATCCGTGCACTGGTGCTTCCCGCATGCCCAGAATAACATGAAAAACAAACATTTCTCTGCGGAATGAAGTGTAAATAGATGACCAGAATTCAATCTGAAGACACCTCCACTTTGTTTGTATGCTCATGATCATTGGGATATATCTTTCATCTCTTGTTGGTACGTCTTTTCATCCACTTTCTCAATTCAGCACCAAATGGCCCGTCTCTCTTCTCTTCATTTTGATCTGTATTCAACATGGCTGTTCGTAAAGAATTTATCCCGTTTGCTCCGGCCCTCGACATCATTCCGACTTCACCCAATGGTACCATACTCACTCGCCCATGTGCACACATGAAAGGAAATTTGCAATTCGCCAACCTCTTGACTAATTCCTTACACTCATCGACACCAAGCTCATCATTGAACATGATCGCACTTCTACAAGCTCTACTATTCAATAACTCCAATATACCCTTAGGGATGTGAGAAATCCTCTCGATCCAAGTAGATGCAAGGCTCACCGTAGGATGCGATGTTGGATGCTCATGATATGAGTAAAGCTCTGTACGAAGAACATGGATGAGTAAGTTTGGGTTTGCGACAAGCCTGGCGGTTATGAGAGGTGGAAGGTATCGAATAGTGATGGTGGTAGCCGTTGGAGAAAGGGAATAAATGATACCCCAGTAAGAAAAGTGGCTTATGTAAGTACGGAAGAGTTGAGAATCTTTTGTTGAAATATCAAAATCAACAGGTTTGGCGAGGGGGGAAGTTGATACAGATGTTGAGGCTGGAATAGTTGAGGCTGTGGCTGGTGTAAGAAATTCTGACAAAAGAGCTTCTATTCGAATTCGTTCGTCTGCTGCGTGCTGATCTATGATTACAAGGAGAGTACCAACCACAGGTATCGTTGGAAGATTAGCTAGAATGAACTTTTTGTCAACTTGTGATACAATTTCGGCATTCCGCAGAACATCTTTTGAAATGCGTCCATGAAGCCCTGATGAAGTTTCCTTGAATGCCTTTTCGATTTCAGTCTGTGAACAGTGATGATGACGGCCATGTATGATTTCTTGTGTTTCCAGGTCCAAACCATCGATCGATACTTGAGGTATTGAAGGCTCAGCAGGAGCGAAAACGGGGTTTTTCCATATATTCAAGATGTCATCGATCCATTCGTTTGGTTTCTTTTCCCCTGTATGGAGATTTCCGGGGGTGGTTAAACGACGAGGTGGATTCGTGATGAGCTGTTTTCCATCGTTTCTGTGGCCTTTCTTTTCAGATACGACAAGGCCAGTTCTCCTGTTTACTAGAGATTTGACTTTGTTGATAGGATTGATCCATATCACCAGTTCATCTGCATTCATGTCTGGTTCTTTTTCCTTCTCCATAGATGTTTGGGATCTGGAAATTGCTGCCTGAATATCTTCAAAAGGACATCGAATCAGTTTTCCCGCCTTTGAAATCAGAGGTGTCATGGATTGAGACTCTGCGGTTGAGCTAGTTTGCGCGAGCAAAGTATTATTTGAATTTTTTGTGGTGTCTGTAAACGTTTCATGTGCATGTTTAGTACCGGCTTTGACTTTTGACCAGGAATCAAATGGAGAGTCAAATCCCGGACGCGACTGATGAAAAGAAGGAAGTTTTACATTCGTCCCCAGCATGTCAACTTTAGCTCTTTTTTGACTGTGTTTCCGGTGATCATGACTCAAAGGCTCTAACGTGGTGGAGCATGGTCTAGTAGCTCCGTAGGATTGGTGGGTATTGCAAGAACCATTTTGCGCTTCATTTTCTAGATTACTCAATGAAGCAGTGGCCGCGTTTTGTTTGGTACGATCTCCGCGTGCCAATTTAGGTCGGAAATTATTCCTGGTCAAGAACTCTATAACAATAGCCCGCAAAAGTTCCAGGATTTTATCAAGAGTATTCCTCTTCTCGTCTAACACATCATCAACCTGCAACCTCGAATGCTTCGTTTGATCAATTTGGTGGATATTGATGTAGAACATTGGCCATCGATCAACACTCTTCCTCCCTCCTTTGAGCTCTTTGTTGGTATACCCATTACTTTTATACCTTCGGTCTTTAGATCTTTTTTCCAGTTCAGCTTCATTAAGTTCATTTGTCTCCTCCTGATTGCCAAACGACGAATTAAGGAACCAACGATTGATATCTTCGTACAGAACATTGCAATTGTCTTGAGAAATCAGGGGTTCTATGCCAAATGCTAGAAATTGGATGTTTTTAGTTGCATTTGGGATCAGAGAAATCGCTCCATTGACAGCTAAGCTTGAAGTTGAGCCATTGACAGGGATCCAAGACGACTTTTCATCACTTGCGATATATGAAGCCTTGAAAAGTATACTGCAAGTGTTGAACAAATCAACACAACCAATTCGACGCCATCTGGGTGTTTTATGAGACCTTCGAATTGATATTTGCTGGTTTGTACCATCTTCTTTTATAGATACCGAGACATCTTTGGGCCATGCGAGTAACAATGAGACGATATCTTTGCGTAAACCATCCCAAAGTTTAGCATTAGCCTGACGTCGCTCGGATACTATTGCTCGCTGCTTGACACGCACTGGCATACTACCGAATAAATTTCGGACAGTCACACGTGTACCATATTCGAAAGAAGTAAGGTGATGTTGGACAGGAGCCGGAGTTTGACGTGACACAACCTCGGATCTGTGCATACTTATTGAATTGTGCGAGCGATGCGAGTGATGATGCGAAGTAATTGAGAGTAAAGATAAAGCAGATAATGAGGCAATGAAGATTCCATGTGCTCCATGAGTTGGATTCGAAGTATTTAACTTTGAGGAATCTAGGTTCTATGAGTTACACTTCTAACCCCATCAGAAAGCGTGTGGCAACATACAATAGAGCTTTCCTAAACCTCCATTTTCACCAAATTCTGATGGCAAGATCCCAAGTCCATTGTCCTCTACTGTACAATCTCCACGACTGAAGTTCACCACAATATCAATCTTGGAGCAACTAGCATCCAAACAATTCTTAACGAGCTCAAAGATAACACCATTGAGGCTGGTAATTGTGGAAGAAGATTTGATTTGTGCTATTACATCCGGAGGTAATGGCTGTATGGACATGATGGAAGCAGTACGAAGATGACTAGAAACGCAGAACTGAGCAGATTTGATTATACCTTTATTGCGGTTCAAACATATTGCTCTGTAGGAAAGAGCAAAATGAGCAAGAGCTTTCCAGCAAATTCATGAATGATGAATCTAGAACCCGGGAAATGCATTCATCGTAAAAAAGGAAAAAAGATTGACGACAATGGTACCTTGATAATAACAATTACGATGAAGCTATCATGACCACAAAGGATCAGATATACCAGTGGAATGCACAACTTTATATAATTAGGTATTGATGTTCATGCATAAGTTCAAGTAGAACATCACGCCGGTGCACCAGAAAATCCGATCAGAAATCACATGATTTCACACACAAGACACTAGATCAAAAGTTAATTAGCTGGATTACCTAATCGGTACAAAGTAATGATGATCGGAGGTTTAGACGTGAATCATCCGAAGGGTAAGCTGCGGCTTATGAAGGTTAGAGGTTGGGTTTTAGGTACCCAGGTAGGTATGTACCTAGTAAGCTTATAATCTATAATCTGATTCAATCATCAGTCAGTCGAGCAAATCACATCAAGGATCCAAAAAGCATCAAGGGTTTTCACTAGATTAGACTGGCAGAGTGGCAGAGTGGCAGAGTGGCAGTCTCAATGAATCAATACCAAGTCATTTTCTATCAAGATCAATTCATCATCATCATCATCTGAACGTTTTCTTTTTCTTATTCTTTTGTTATTATAATACGAAATAAAAGATAAAAATATATTTGTTCCATTGATCCGTTCTTTTTCTCTTGAAAAGAGGATTCTGATCTTTCATTGCATATACTTCTATTTCTCCTTCTTTCTTCTTCCTTTTCTTATCTATCTGCTTAGAAAAAGACGAAGCAGGCAAGCAAGCAAACAGCAAGCAAAGAGAAATACCGAGATACATCACAACCGACCATTTGGAATCTTTGACAATCAAATACTCAAATACCTCCCTTTCATTCCCCAAATTTCAACCTTTTACCTTTTCCTCTCTATCTCTCTCTTGTCCGCATAACACCGCCTCAAGCTAGTAAGCCAACCACCCAATAGCTTCCTCACAATGGCAGCAACGGAATTAGCACAGCAACAACAATCTCCTCCAAGTTCACAACCACATGGTATGAGCCACACTCCAATTCCTTTTCCCTTCTTCAACCGAGTAATTCATTTTTCACAATCATACGTTTAGTCGGTCGTGAATCATTATATCCTCTCCCTCTTTCCTGATCTCATTTCTAAACCGTGATCAAATACTAATCGATATGCCAGATCGTTCAGATCGAGTCGGAGGACGTCGCAGACCATTTTCAACATGGATGAAGAAATTCACCAATTTCAAAAGTGGCTCTTCAACTGCAGATACCAATCAAGCCATTAATCCGAAACGAAATCAAAATGCAAAATCGAGTTTCAAGAAACCATCTCCCTCAAAGAATAACAACCCATATCCCGAATCTGGTCGCATCAATGGTAATGCTACTGCTCCTACTTCTGGTTCTGGCAATCGACATTTGTCATTTTCAACCGGCCCAACCGGAAACTCGCTCAGCACGTCATCATTAGAGAGAAGTCGAAGATCAACTCAATATTCCGAAGATGGACATCCACCACCAACAATTGGAAATAAATCGGTAGCCCCTACGACCGGCGAGGAGCATGATATTGCACGATCTGATATAGCAGCCTCTCATGCGCCATCTTCCGGGGAAGCTACAAATGCCACGATTGGATGCGGGGTCAGTACTCGTAGAGGTGCTGGTAGTACATTTTCTTCTCCAGCACCATCTGTTAGATCCTTAACTACAACTCTTACGACGATTCATTCTGCTGGAGCTCCTGGTGTCACTGTTTCGCATAATCATGCCTCGAATAATACACAAGGCATTCAATTCACGCATCAATTTCCCACGTCCCCACCTGCGACAGCCTTACCTGCACATTTGGCCCCACAGGGTAGTGGTGGACACCCTGCAACGTACAACACAGCAACAGCGAACAATCTTCTCACAGATAACGCATCTATCTTAACCCTGGCTTCATCTTCTAAGCGGAGACGTAGAAGATCCATGGATACTGATGCATCTGTTCGTGCTTTGGCCCCATCTTCGGTATTTGGTGGTAGTCGGGAAAGTCTTCCATTGAGTGTTTTGAGTGCTACAATTGATGGTGCTCCAATTACATCTCCAACTGGTCTATATCAACCACGTCCTATTGCCAATGAAAGAGCTAGCATTTATTCTTCGACTGGTGTAGCTCCAGCGTTACCAAGCGAAAGAAATAGTTATTACGCCAATAAACAATCTTTGGCAAATGATGGTGGAAGTGTGAAGAGTGGACTATTAGGACATGGTAGGAATGATAGTATCTCTGGGAGTATTGGTGGTATTATTGTTCCCGGAAGCCCTTTGGCTGGTCCACGAGATCCTACAAGTTCCACGGGAAGGTTAAGTCGAAGCAATTCAGGTTGGGGAGAAAATGGTGAACTTGTGGTAATGGATAGGATAGATGCTTTGGAGCGTGAAGATACGAAAGACAAAATTGTGAAAGAAGAAAAGGAAGAAGAGGATGAAAAGTGAAATTTTGGAGGGCCGGAGCGCATATGACATGAGGACGAGCAATGTTTCGGAATATGGCGGGCGAATTTAAGGAAGGGGGGAGATAAGTTGAATGGTCATTAAGGTCAGATGTGGGTTGGCGTTTGGTTGTGTGTTTCCGGTTTATGCACCAAAGATACCCGATAATATTTCATCGAACTTCTAGCTTCTAAATTCTTAAAATAAAGTGTTGTTTTCAGAGCAGTATTCATTTTGATAGTATAGGAGTTTTATTTGATTGTCGTATATAAATGAGTTGAAGAATAAATGATTTTATAATGAGATATTATTTCAATATAATCTTTTTATTTAATTTTTTGTAAATAAATAAACAAATGAGATATATTTATTTGATTAAAATTATATAATATTTATAGATTTCTTTTTATTATTTTATAAGAAATATAAAGTTATATGCTTTGAATATATATTTTAAAAAAATATTTTTATAAAAGAAAAAGACAGGAAAGGAATTATTATTTGTAAGAGGTGGAGTGGGACGAAATTAATAAAAAAGAAGTTTCTTATTGAAAAATAATTTATTTTTATAATCTAGTGAGATGGGTGGATGGATGGGGTGAGCAGGTTTGAGATCGATCGGTTGAAAGGCTGGAGAGTGAGAGTGGAGAGTGGGAGTGAGAGTGAGTATTTAGTATTTGGTTTTTGGTTTTTGGGGATAAGAATAAGAATAAGAATAAGAATAAGAATAAAGATGAGAATAAGCATATTAAAAAAGGGAAAGAAGAGAGAGTGTTCGAGTTTGTATATTTGACGAGTTTAATGTGTAGTATTGTAAGAAAGTTGGAATTATAAATCAGATATATAAAGATTTTTAATTAATCAATATAATCTTTTGTAATTAAATATAAAAAGAAAGTTTTTATTTTTTCTTTTCAAAAAAACAAAGTTTTTATATATATATATTTGAATTTATATAATTTTAATCTTAAAATTATTGTTAATTTTGTTTTCTTTATAAATAATATATTACGATATGATCTAATCAGCTTTCTCTTTCAATTCCCCTTTACAATATATTATCGGGATATATATATCAACCTACCACTTTTACAGTATTTTGAAAACGGGGGAAAGGAAAGTGACTTGATTATTATACTTGTTCAAGAGCTGTCAAATAATAAATCGAGAAAAATCAAATTTTCACCACGGTGTGTTTTTATATGCGGGATTGGTGGATGGAATTCTCGGTGGATTTATTTATAAGTAGATAGCTAATAAATAATTACTCAATATAATAGTATATCAGGAAAGAAGAATTTGAGATATAAGTACAATTGTATCTCATATCGAGTTGTATTAACTAATATATATATATATAAGAAATGAAGCACTCACTCCTACTAACTCGCTCTTGCTTTTCTGGCTTAAATACCCAAAAAAATATCCCTCAAAATCACCCATCTAAATCAGCGACTCCGATCACATACTCAATCATCTAAACCATACCACAATCCATCTAAACCGGATTCTGAAAAGAAAAATACTCAGTAATAGTCTTAACCTGCTCCACACTCCCAATAGGAACCCCGGCAAATCCATCCCCTACCTCCAGCGTCAGCATATCCGTCTCGGAATTCACATTCCACACTGGCAACGTTCCATCCCCCTTGTAAGAATCCCCCATATTAGGATTACCCGTCTTAGCAAAATTAGCCCAATATCCATTCATCTTCAAGGCGATTTCATAATCAATCACTTCCCATGGTTTATCGGTTCCGTAGAGATTATTAAGAACATAGTTAATTTCCGATTCGTGATATGCGCCTTGAGTTTGTCCTGGAGGAGCATGATTCCAGTAATATGTCCAGATAGGCGATTTAGATTTTACGGACCAGCGGTTTGCGAAAGACCAGCTGGAGATTCGGGATGTGTCGCGCCAGTGTGCATTATAAGCCATGGAAGCTTGGGAAGAATTCACAGCTGGATAGAGTTTGAGCATGGTGGAGGAGAGATTGTAAGGGCCGTATTGGGATACAATTGCAGCTTCATATTGGGCAACGGTTAGGTTGGTGCTGGCAGCTGCTCCGGATTCATCTCTAGTATTTCCGGTAATGTAGGGAACATCGTTTGCGGGGCCGGTGGCAAGTGTTTCGATATATTTAGCGGGAATAGCGTAGCCGTCGAGAACATTTCCAAAGTTATCGGAGAAAGTGGATCCAAAGACAGGTTCTTCAAGATCAGCGAGAGGAAGAGCTCGCATTTCGGCTATGGTGCTAACGTTCTTGGAAGCCATGTATTTTAAGCCGGATTCGAGAGCATAAGATTGATTGCGGTAGTTCTCCGCGAGGGTAAGAGCTTCAGGATCGTATGGATCACGAGTTCCTGATTCAGCGATGGCTCCAACGATGAGTCCTTTTGTCAAAGGGCTGTTGACGAAATGATAGACGGCAGCTGAACCGGCGGATTGACCCATGACGGTAATATGGTCAGGATCACCACCAAACGCGGCAATGTTTGCATGTACCCACTTCAAAGCGTGGAATTGATCAAGTTGACCCCAGTTTCCAGAGCTGTTAGATCCAGTAGCTTTGTACATTTCTTCCGAAAGTTCTGGAGTTGAAAGCCAACCAAGTGCACTGATACGATAATTGTAATTGACGAAAACAATGCCTTGAGATGCCATCCCAGCACCATCAAATAAAGGTTGATCAGCAGCACCACCTGCAGGGAAAGACCAGAGAACAACTGGTAACTTAGCATTTGTAGATTTGCCATTTGTCCAGATGTTGAGGTTCAAGCAGTCTTCACTAACAGTACCGCCGGGTGTAGATGGATTAGCTGGTCCACAAAGGGGTCCCATCTTGTTCGCTTGAAAGGTAGTCTTCCATGAAGTTGCATTTTTTGGAGCTGTCCAGCGGTTTTCGCCAGATGTATCGGCACCGTATGGAATACCCTTCCATACAGTAATATCCTTCCAATTCGAAATGTTGCCATTGGGAGATGAATTAAAGGCTGGAATCCCTTGAACAGGTCCATAGCTAGTGTGAATTACTTTGTTGTAAAGCTGGGCTGAGGCGCTATGAGCGAGGGCAGCAGCGCAGAGAAGTTGAGGTGTATACTGCTTCATGTTGAAAAGAATGTGAATTGTAGGAGAGTTATTTGTGAGTGAGGAGGAAACTTCTGAAGGGAATGAAGCATGTTGCTTTATATTCACTCGAATGAGGCCAAACAATTCCACTTACCTATTCCCTTCAAGATACTCGGCGCCGAAAGTATTGTATTAAGCTCACTGCCGCAAAGAAATCATCAGATCTACGGGTAGGGTAGCATCTGATCCATTATACGCGCGTCAAACTAAAAGGAAACCATAAATATCTATGACCTTGAAGAGGCATTTCGACACTTCTCAAGCTGTCGACGCATAAGGCATCAAATATACGGGTAAGGCAGTACAGGAGCCACAATAAGGGGACCAAAATGTCTCCATAAATGTCTATGCCGCTGAAGATGCATTTGGTACTTGTCTACCGCCACTCTATGCCCCATACTTTTAGAACACGGCATGCAGTTAGATGTAGTATTGAGCTGGGAACACTGTTCATCTAGTCAAATGCCCAACACAGATCGAGACAACACATTGAGATGGCTAGGTAGTTTCGCACATACAAATTCCAGAACGCATGTAGAACGATTCAAGCATGATCCACTCGAACCACAGATCGAATGAGCCTACCATTTAAGATCGAGTATTCAATTCAAACATTCAGTATTTTCCTGGAGAAAGTCAAGTCTATCTCCGAAGCTGTTTGCTTATCGACAATTGTGTGTGAAGTGAAAGCAGATGTTCCTTGAAAATTGGGAGCTATCGGTCAATTTCTTGCTGCTCTAAGTGTGACTACTTCATTCGTGTGTGAATGCATAGTCCGAAATTGGAAGGATCAATGGTTCCTTCCTCCTTTAGGGCAAGTTATTGTACGCGTGTACAAACGCATAATTCAATGTTCTTGACATCCAAGCTCCTGGCTGGTACTAGTAAGAACGAAACATTTCGGTCCCGAAACATCATATGTACTCCCGAATCCGTGCTTATCACAGATATCCCTGTATTTGTCACGAATCTATATTATGGTAGTAGTATAGATGTCGGAGATTTAGCTGCCGATTACAGGGGATCCTTATTATATTCAATTAGGATTCTAAAGGCTTTAAGGTAAGTGCTTTGGGCAATTATTGTTGGCTTGCCGATACCAAAACCTTGCTGTACGTGTAGCGTATCGCAATTTACCTGGTGTAGGTGATAGAAAATGAGAAACTCGCTTAAGTGAATCGCGATCCTGATAATCTGATTGGTCTAAAATACCCCAGTAAATACCCCAACAAAAAGCTTGGCATAAGCAAGCCTCACAACCTCAGGCAAATCTGACTTAGAACTTTTTTCAATTTTATTAAAATTATTCAATTTTAAAATCATTCAATTTTATTTATTCAATTTATCTTATTCAATTTAAAATAATAATAATAATAATAATAAATATAATATATAAAAGCCTTATAAGAATTAAATAAACAAAATCAATTATATTTTTTAAAATTTATAATTGAAGAATTATAACTTATAAAAAGTATTTATATATATATACTAAAGGCCTACACTCTCTGAACCCCTGGCTTTTCAAGAAAGTCTAATAAAAATTTAGATTTTAAAAAGTTTATAATAAATTTAAATATTAAATATATATATTAAAATATAAATAGAATATCGATTTGTTTTTAATAATTAAAAATATAATATTATTATTTTTATTATAATAAATTAAATAAAATAAAATAAATAAATAAAGTTAAATTAAATGAATAGAATTGAATTGAATGAGTAGAATTGAATTGAATGATTTCAAAGTTAATATTATAAATTATTTATATCTAAGATTATAATGATATTATAAGTATTAATAATTTAACTATTGATTATAAAGAGGTTTTTTATTATTATAATTAAGAATCTAAAAATCCTAGAACAAATGTTTTAATTCTATAAAATAGATTAAAATAATAATTATTCTAGGATATTTATCTGTAACGATCTGGTCGAGGCAGCGGCTGCCTGAGGTTTCGTATGGTTGGTAGTTGTGGGTTAAGGTTATTAATCATTAATTATTTACTTGAAAATGAATTCGTTATTAGATCAATTAGAATATAAATAAACTAATTGATGATTAAATTGAATATAAAGCTTCTAAATTATGAAATTATTCTGATTATATATTAATAAATGAAAAGGAGCTTTGTGAAACTCAAGAACTTCAAAAAGCTTTTAGAGTTTTAAAAACTTTCTAAACTTCTAAAGCTTTTTATTATATGATTGATTCTAAAACCTTTCTTTTCTTAGAATATTTATCCCAAAAGCTTTCCTTTAAAAACTATAGTTTTAGGATACGATATCCTTTAAAGTGATTGTTCTATTATAATCAATTAATTAGAATATTTGTTTTATTTCAATATAATTATTTAGGATATTTATTCTAGGAATCCTGAGGTCCTATTTGTAGATGATTAGGCCCTCTGAAAACAATGGTTAAATCACACTCCCCTTGTAATCGGTATGTAAATCATCGACATCAATAATACTACTATTATCCGGATGTAGGTGATTCGTGATATATGAATTGATTTGATTCCAAATGTATAAAATTTGAAATTTGCAATCAATTAATTATCGAGTAATTAATTGTTGAAGTTTTTGTGATTTCCGTTGAAGGTGTTTAAGGTTATTCACAATCGATAATCATTTGACGAATCAGAGCTTTGAAACTGGACATAATTGTATCAAAGGGTCGATAATGCTTGCCTCCCACATTCCACCTTCCTCGTTGGAACCCGGCTGCAGCACATATAAGCCCCTTCAATCCTGCGATTTTAATCAACATGGCCAGCAATTCAGCACCTACAGCCCTTCAGAAGAAGCACTTAGCTCAGGTGCAGGAAGGTATATTATCATATCTCTTACCATATCCGAAGTTGTGCTGATCACCACTTCCAGGTCTCATCAGCAAAACCACCACGTTACGACGAAGATCGCAGGCCACACCAACAGTTCAAGACTCGTCGCAGCAACAGGAGAGTGAAAACTCACGATTGCAAACCGGGGCCCGGAAAACACACGATCCTGTTCAGCAGACGAGAGCACTAAAGAGACCCCGAGAAGAGCAGGTTTGTGTATTTCTGTTAAAAGTCGAAATCAGCTCTAACCTTCATAGCCAGTTTGAGCCCACCTTGCTAAAAGAGCAGAAGAGAGCCCGAAACACATCAGTGCGAAACCTTTCTCCAACCCAACGCTATCAAGAAAATCCGCCCCTTGTTCAGACTACCAATCCTACACCCTCTGATCCCTCTCAGACTTCAGATATCACACGCTGGTTATTGGGTGTCGCGAAGGATACGGCAGATCCGCGCAATCAGCCCGAAGACCAACTGGAATATCTCCACAAAATACATCGTTTTCTAGCAGAGAACAGGACTGTTCAACGCAAGCGATCATCCCCCAGTATTGCATCAAGCTCGCAAGATAATTTAGGATACAATGACTCTAAATATACCGAAAAACTTGAAGCAAATGGAGTTTTCATGAGGAAATATCGAGGTGAGCTTCCAGAAGAAGCCAAAACATTCAATGAAGAGATCCTGCGAATGCTTGAGAGAGAGCAGTCTCTGCCAAAAGATTCCATCTTCGATGATGACTGCTTTGACCAAACCATGGAATTGATTCAAGACCGCAACGAGGCTTTCGTATTCAACACAATCTCCGAGGTAATGATTCCAAATATCGGACGAATGACTGTCAAAGGTGCAAGCCATCTTGATCCCCTCATCCAAAGCTTTGATGAGGCATGGAACAACTGTAAAAAAATCACTCAAACCTATCCGAAACCAGATTCTGCGATAGGATTCAAGAAGACAGCACTCTCGGCTTCGCAGACCGAAAAGATTCTGCCTTATCTTGGAAACGTAGACTCCAAGTCTGATTTCAGAACTACATTTTATATGCTCTTCGCGTTCCTCACATTTGAAGTGAAGCGTGGTAACGTTGCACTCCATATTGCGGATCGACAGAATGCCCATAGCATGGCCGTCTCTGTACGAGGCCTTGTTGCACTCTTCAGGCTCATGGGAAGAGAGCAAGAACTTCATGGCAAAATCCTGACCATATCTTTTTCCTTTGATGACCGTTATATCAGAGTATACGGCTACCTTCCTATAATCGAAGGTGAAAACACAGAGGTCTGGAGAGAAAACATTGATTCATTCGACTTAACAGCTCGCAGAGGCCAGGACAAATGGAAATGCTATCAATAATCCATGAATACCTTAAATATTGGCCTTCAGCTTCTACATCGCATTCGATCAGCAATTGATGATTGGAAGCCCGACCCCAAGAGCTTGACAGCCTTGCAACACTATCAAGCACCTTCTTCACCTTCGAGCGTTTCGGGACTTTCGCAAGTGTTCGACGACCAAAATCTGTCAGAAGAGAATGATTCAACTTCTGCCCTGATGGCGAATACTGAGTTGGAAGAGACTACACCGGAACCTGCCAGGAAGAAACGACATGTAGCGGATGTCTGAGGTTGAGCTGGCATTATCAGATTCATACAAATGTGTTTTTGGAACGGCGATTCAGTTTGACATCCATTAGCATCGAATTGCATGGTTCAAAGTATAGAGTGCTTGTACATTATAGTTATACTGGAATCTCTCGGAAAGAAGAGGCGACCGATAAGAGGTGTTTGAGATTAAGTCGGTATCATTACATTAGACTTATATATACAAAGTGTAACTATTAAAATTGCAAGTTGCTTTTTCTCAATTCAGTTCAAGTATTAAGTCTAGTACCTCCTTTTCAGAGCACTTCTAATTCAGATTATCTTTTTATTTTACTTGATTGTCGGCTTGCCGACACCAAAACCTTGCTCTACAAGTAGCGTACCGCAATTTACTCAGTGTAGGTCATGGAAAATGAGAAACTCGCTTAAGTGAGTGTCACGATTCACGGTTTTCTTTATAGTAGTATTATTGACGACAGTGAAATATATGCCGACTACAGGGGGGGTATGATTTAACCGTTGCTTTCGGGGGTCTTGATTATCTAAGCCTAGGACTCCAGAACTCCTAGGATAAGTATTCTAGGTAATCATAATAGAATAGGACAAGTATTCTATTTAATTGGTTGTAATGGGATTATTATTCTAGAGGATATTGTATTTTAAAATTATAGTTTCTAGAGGGAAAACTTTTGGGATAAATGTTTTAGGAAAGGAAAGGTTTTGGGATATGAGAGGTTTTAGGATTAGTTATATGATGTATTAGCTTTGTTAATCAGTTAGCAGAGTTAGTATTATAGGAATGTTAATTGTGTTAACTAGTTAGTATAGTTAGTATAGGAAAAGAGATTAGTATATAGTTAGAATAGTTTCATAATTTAGAAGTTTCGTGTTCAATTTAGTTATCAATTAGTTTATTTATATTTCAATTGATTTAGTAATGTATTTATTTTCAAGTGGATAATCAATGATTATTAATCTTAATCTATAATTATTAATCAAATGAAACTTCGAGGTAGTTACTGTTTCAATCAGATTGTTATATTTTGAGTATTGTTATGGTTAAGTTATATATAGTATAATAGTTTCCAATTAGTAATCTATCGAATTGTCTTTATTCAATTCAATTGGAATTTTTGTTTAGATCGTTGTTATTATGGAATATAGATGAACGATTCAAATATCTATCTTTGATTTATTTTATAAAGATTGTAGTAAACATCGAATTTTTGTTGTATAAATTGATCTCTATTATATTTTTAATAAATAATTTTTTTTGATTTTTATGTAAAGGATCTTGTAATTGATCTTCTTTTTTTGTGGAATTGTGTTCAATTGGATTGAATTATTTTTCAATGATTTAATGATCAAGATTATCGATAATTAATTGAATAAGAATATGAAATCTGAGATTTATTGTTTTTTCTTTAATTATGAATTGTTTAGATAAGGATTCGATAGGGTATTCGGGGAAGTAGATCTCGATTATATAACTGAAAAAGTATTGTAACAATTTAGATAGATTGGATTAGTTATAATTTATATTGTTAAGTTTCAATAATATATTAAATATATTATATAGAATGATAATTATCTAAAATCATAATTCTATAAAGAATTGAAAAATATCATCAAAAACGAATTAATAAAAACTTCGAAATTATTTAATCTTTCCGAATTAATTGAAATCTTTATTTTTATTAATAATTGATTCTATGAATAACGAATAGAGAAGAAAGGAATTATCCAGGAAAATAGGAAGTTCTAAAAACCTTATTATCAAAATAAGTATTACAATATTGGTGATTCAATGAAATTGGATAGTATCGAATGATATTATATAAAGCTAAATAATCTAAATGTTGACAAAAAGAAAAGGTGTAAAAAGAACAATTTATGTTTTATTTGTAGGAAAAACGGATATATATTCTAAGATTGTTTTCAAAAGAAGAAACTATTTATTATAAGGGGTGGGAAAAAGGTAAGATTTGGGAATAGAAAACAAGATTTTCAAAAAATGAGGATTTTAGAAGGAAGTTCAAAGGAAATAGGATTATTGGAAAGAGATTTATTTCAATTTAATTTCGAGCAATTAAAGAAATTGAATATCAACAATCAAAACTTTAGAATTAGTATTGAGAATAGTATCGATTACAAAGAAGAATCTTTAAAAGATTTCGAATTGAGAGATAAGAAATCAATTAAGGAATTCGAAGAGAATTAATAATCAATTGAATTTTATCAATTGTTTTAGGAAAATGAATTATAATATCTAATTAGTTATTTAAATAAGAAACGGATATAATACTATTACAAAGAAAAGAAATCTGATTTTATCAAGAAATATAGAATTTATAATTATTTTATCTTGTTAGTATTTTATATAATAATATATGATAATATTTATTATATAATATTTGAGGAAAATATTGAGGCAAATAATGTCAAAAGATATATTGTAAATATAAATTCTTTATTCTTCAATGAAGTATAAGAATATAACAAATATAATCTAGAAATTGAAGAGGTATAGAAAATCCTATTACAAATTGGGACTTATTGTATTTGACAAAGGATTGATAAGGATAACAAAGAAACATCAAATCAAGATTATTATTGAGATTTCTAAATAGAACTAATAGAATTATTGTTTATTATATCTTATCGATTATTGAGTATAAACGAATATTAGTATGAATAAATAAATCTTTTTATTAGAAAACAAATTGTTGAATTTTTATTGTTAGAATTCAATAGTATTATAAGAATCAGATAATTGATTATAGAAGTCAAATTAAAGAAATAATAAATTAATGTTTTAATTGATTTTGAAATTATAAATATATTTATAAATCCCAATTTCGTAAAAGAGAATAATATTTTTATAGAATTAAAACAGAATCTTTATTAGTTGATGTTATTAAAAGGAAAGAAAACTGAAATTGATAATTGAGTATATAGGGAAACTAATATTGTCAAAATGATTATATCAGATAGATATATCGAACAAATCAAAATGGATTTAGTATTATTAGGCAAATATATAATTGTTCTTGATACTTTATGGATTAAGAAATATAATCTAAATATTGATTAGATAAGAGATATCTTAATATTCGATTATTGTAGTTACAATAACGAATGATTATATAATCCGAAAGAATAGATTTCCTGGGAGATCAAATACTATATTATAATAGTAACAAATCCTTTATTAATTGATAGAATCGATGAAAAAGAAATTCCAATATAATACAGTAGATTTGCTAAACTTTTCGAGAATCTTTAAGATTTGAGGGTTTTACTAGAATATAAGTTTTAGAATTATAAGATCAATTTCAAAAAGGGATTTGTATTTCTTATCGAAAAGTTGAGACTATACAATTCTAATATTATACAAGTATAAGAAAAATACAGAATTAAAATTGAAAAGAAAAAATGAATTAGGAAATCCAAATCTTTTTGTATATTCAATATATTATTGATATTCAAGAAAGACAATCTAGATGATCGATTTTGTAAAGATTATTGCTGGGTTAATAATAGAACAATCAAAGATGTATATTTAATATTAAAAGTTTAAAAATTAAAGGATAAATTGAATAAAGCAATAATCTATACAAAATTGGATCAAAGGAATATTTTCAATTTGATATAAATAAAAGAAGGTTATAAATGGAAAACAGCCTTTATATTATCATCAGATTTATAGGAATATATAATTATATTATTCGGTTTAATTAATACATCAGCTATATATCAACAACAGAATAATAAGATATTCAAAGAATTCAACTCATTTGTAATCTGTTATCTAAATAATATTCTAATCTTCTTTCAAAAAGAGGAGGAATATAAAGAACATATATTGAAAATATTCGAAGCATTTAGAAGAATAGATTCAAGATTCAAATTATCGAAATACGAATTTGGAATACAAAAGATAATATTCCTAAGATATATTATTCAATTAAAACAAATGAGTATAGATCTTAAGAAAACAAAGAAAATAAGGAATTGGAAAAGACCCAGGAATATCAAAGATATATAATCTATATTAGAATTCGTCAATTTCTATCGAATATTTATAAAAGATTTCTCAAAAATAATGGAATCCTTTACCGAAATGATCAAAAAAGGAATAACTTTTGTATAGAATGAAAAAGCGGAGCAGGTTTTTCAAGAAATCAAGGATAGATTTATAAAGGAATTTATTTTCTACAATTATTATAATAATCGAGAAAGTATTATCGAAATAGATATCTTTGATATTTATATAGTAGGAATCCATCTACAAAGAAACAATTATAGGAAACTATACTTTATCGTTTATTACTCAAACAAGATAAACAAAACAAAACAGAATTATAATATTTATAAAAAAGAATTTATAATTATTATAAAAATATTAAAACATTGAAGGATCTATCTTCAAAAAACTAAATTCCCAATAATCATCTATACTGATTATATAAATCTTCGAATTTTTATTACCATTAAGATCTTGAACAATCGTAGATTAGCTAGATAGGCTAAAAAACTAACAGGGTTTGATTTGATAATCAAACACATCAAAAGAAAAGATAATACAAAAACAGATACTTTAAACAGATTATCAGATTACAAAAATGATAAAACCTATTAGAAAATAACAATCTTGAAATCCTTATCAAATAAAGATTTTATCCTTAATCTAACAGAAATTGTTATTATAGAAAATAAACTAATAAAGGTTTAGAAAAATAAATTTATAAAAGTACAATAGAATAAAGAAAACATCAAATAATTGGAACTATCAATAATAATCGACGAATTGTTTCAGATAGAAAACAAGATTTGATTATTAAGAAATATCGTTCTTGAATATATTACAGAATAATATATATTATTAATTTACAAACATCAAGAAATACAAAGAATATATTTAAAAATCAAAAGATAATATTGGAGTTCAAGATTTTGTAATATAATCAATAAAATGATCATCGAATATAATACTTGTATTAAAAATAAAGCTTCCTATTATATTCTTTATAAACAAATAAACATTACCGAAATACTATCTACATTATAGAACTCAATATTATAGAATTTTATAAATCCATTACCAAAATCCAAGGATTCAATAATAAAAGTAATATACAATTATCTCTTTATTATAATAGATAAATTAACGAAATATCTAATACTCATACTATATCAAACAATATTAATTACGGAAATACTAACCTTTATATTCCTGAAAAAGATTATTACAATATATAGATTACCAAAAGAAATACTTTTTGATAGAAATAAACTTTTTATTTCGAAATTTTGAATCGTTTTAATAATATTATTAAAAATAAAGAGAAAAATGTTCATTATATTTTATCTACAAACCAATAAAGGAAACAAAAAAATGAATCAAATTATTGAAACTTATCTTTGATATTATATAAATTATTAACAAAATAATTGAATAGAACTTTTATTTTTAATACAATTTATATATAATAGTTTAGTATCAGAAATAATACAAATCACTCCGAATTACATCAATTATAAATATAAATTGATTGTATATTACAAATCAGAAATTATAGAAATAGAAAACCAATCTATAATAATATAAACAAAAAGATTCAAAGAAATTTATAAAGAAATAACAATAGAATTGAAATTCGTTATCGAAAGAAATATATACTATTATAATCGGAAATATAATTAAAAATTAATATTAAAAGAGAAAAATAAAGTCTATTTACTTTAAAAAAATATCGAAACAAAAAGATTTAATACAAAATTGGATTACAAGAAATTCAGATTATTCAAAATCAAGAAAATTAAAAGATCATTAAATTATAAATTGATATTATTAAAAAGTATAAATATACATCCAATATTCTATATATCCTTATTCAAATTAACATTCTCAAAAGCATTTAAAGCTTCTGAAATAGAAATCATATCTATAAACTAAAATATCGAATACAAAATGAAGAGAATATTAGATTATAAATATATTAAAAGCAAAATCAAATATTTAATAAAATAGAAAGATTATCCCGATTTCGAAAATATATAGGAATTCGAAAAAGAGATTAAATATTTGAAATGATTCTAGGAATTTCGTCGATAGAATCCAGATTTATTCAAAAGAAAAAAGAATTCATTATTTCTTACAAAAAAGAATCGAAAGAATCGAAATCGTTTATAGGATTTTTGTTAGGATTGATAGAATCAATTAATAATTAATTAAATCGATTAAATTAACCAAATTAACCAAATTGATCAAATTGATTAGAAGAATCGAAAAAAACGATAAACACAAAAAATACAACAATTTCCTGTTCTTTTTCTTTTCTTTCTTTTTCTTCTAAAACATCAAACTCATCCATAGAATTCAAACCAACCATAATTATCTTCTACTTTCGTTTATAAAAAAACTTTTGTTGTTTATTAAAACAAAGAATTCATAATATCATTTCATTCTTCTTCATATCTATATATTCGATCTAAACATCAATAACTTCCTAATCAAAAACAAAAGGTATTTTGTTCAATTCATAAATATTATATGATTTATTAAAAATAATATAACAACTACAACAACAATACTTAACATTACAAAAAGAAATATATTCGATATCAACACTTTCATATCGAATACAAAAAACCATCTTCTTTCTAATCAAATTAATTTCTCGCTTAAAAGCTTTATAATCGATACAAAATTGGAAACAAACAAATAATATAATGAAAAAGAAATATTCGAAATAAACTATACAAAAAATAACATTTCTTTTCAAACCTTATAAACAATTAAGGATAACATTTAATCAAAAAAAGGATAATATTACAATTCACAATTTTCTTTATAATAATATTATTAACGATAATAAAATATATATTGACTACAAAAAGGATATAATTTAATTATTGTTTTCAAAAGTTTTGATTATCTAAGCTTAAAACCCTAGAACTCTTAGAATAAATATTCTAAACAACTATAATAGAATAAAACAAATATTCTATCTAATTGATTATAATAAAACTATCATTCTAAAGGATATTGTATCCTAAAGTTATAATTTCTAAAAGGAAAACTTCTAAAATAAGTATTTCAAGAAAGAAAAGATCTTAAGATATAAAAGGCTTTAGGATCAATCATATGATATACTAGCTCTACTAATCAACTAGCAAAGCTAGTATCACAGGAATGTTAGTTATGTTAATCAGTTAGCATAATTAGCATAGGAAAAGAGATTAGTATATAATCAGAATAGTTTCATAGTTTAAGAGCTTTGTATTCAATTTAATTATCAATTAGTTTATCTATATTCCAATTAATCTAATAATATATTCATTTTCGAATGAATAACTAATGATTATTAGCTTTAATCTACAACTACCAACCAGACGAAACCCCGAGGCAGCCGCTGCCTCAACCAGATCGTTACAGTGAGTTGCGATCCTGATAATCTGATTGATCTAAAATACCCCGGTAAATACCCCGGTAAATAATCTAACAAAAAGCTTGACATAAGCAATCTTACAACCTCAGACAAATCTGACTTGGAACTTTTTTCAACTCTATTGAAATTATTTAAGTTTGAAATCATTCAATTCAACTCTATTCATTTAATTTAACTCATTCAATTAATAATAATAATAATAATATAAAATATTATTGTTATTATTATTATAAATACAATAAATATTATTATTATTATTATTATTTTGAATTAATAAAGTTGAATTGAATGAATAGAATTGAATTGAATAAATTGAATAATTTCAGAGTTGAATAAATAAAGTTAAATTGAATGAGTTGAATGATTTCAATTGAGTTGAGTTAAAAAAAGCTCTAAGTCAGATTTGTCTAAGGTTAAAAGGCTTATACCAAGCTTTTTGTTAGATTATTTACCGGGGTATTTACCGGGGTATTTTAGACCAATCAGATTGTCAGGATTACAATTCATTTAAGCGAGTTTCTTATTTTCTATCACTTATTGAGTAAACCTTGTGTATAGTAAGATTATAATATCAACAAGCTAACAAAAAAAAAAAAATTTAATTTTCAATTATCAAAAACAAACCGATATTCTATCTGTACTCTGATATATATTCAATATTTAAATTTATTATAAATTTTTTAAAACTCAAATTTTCATTAGACTTTCTCGAAAAGCCAGGGGCCCGGGGGGGCGTAGGCTCTTGGTATAAATCTAATCAAATTCTAATTTATCAAACTTCAAATATCTTTAATAAAAATTATAATAACTTTAATAATTGATTGTTTAATAATTAATCAAATATAAATTCAAAATTTGATATATTTAAAATTATATCAATTTATATTATAATTATAATATTCGAAGAAAATTTTTCATTTTAAAACTGAATTTATTTATTCAAATTTTTTTGAAATTTTTAATTTTTTAATAATCTTTAAGTTTTTAAATTTTTTGATTATATAATAATCTTAATTATAAATAATCTCAATAAGATTTATTTCATTTATTAATTTATATAAATTAAATTTTTAAATATAATATTCAAATTATTCAAAGGATAAATAAAGATAATTTAGTGTCGAGATCTTATAAAAGAAGTTATAATTCCGAAAATCCAATACAAGTTAATTTACCTTTTAAAATGTAATAATTTTATAGTCCTCTTATAGTTTTAATTTAGGCCCCTTCACAGTCCTATGAACTACCCGAGAATCGTGCTCCAATTCTATTTTCTTATTTGGAACTAAAGTTTTGTTGCATAATCTTCGCGGTATGGCCACCGAAGTTATGATCATGGAAGTTGCGATGTGGAACAAAATTTGTATTTTCGCTTTGTGTGCTTTCTTCTACTTTTCTCCTATACGTTGCTCCTCGTCAACCGGAGCTTTGTTGTATGCTGTACCGCCGAAATTAGATTTCTGGCCGTAAAAATTGGAAAATGCGATATGCAACATAATAATGGCAATTTTCCTATGCCTTCGCATGACGTTCCCTTGACCCCCTCCGAAAGATCCTCATCTAAACCCTTGCTACCATACGCACACAATTTTCGGCTATCCCGCCAAGGTTCCAACAGAGTTTGTGCGTCGTGTCATTCAAAGTGCTGCAGCAAAGACGAATATTCATACAGTAAATACTGTGAGGGTGAAGGAGAAGGAAGGAGGAAGAGAAAGTATTTGAGTGGAACGGAGACAAGCTGGAAGGCGGAGAGCCAGAATACGGCGTAGAAATATGGGCTCCTGAACTCATGAACTCCGATGAGGTGTACAATAATGGCATTACTTCATGAAATATTCACAGTTATACAAGGAATTGATTGCGTCATATCGAATGGAACAGTGGAAAATGACAAGCTGGAAGAGAGATTTGTGGTTGGCAGCAAAGTGGTTGATCGGGATGAGGCTGATAGTGAAATATCAAATTACGGTCTTCGGGGGCGAAGTCTCGTATGCCAGTTTAGGACAAATTGATGTATACAATGTATTCTGTGAAGAGGTTGAAGAATGAAAATTAGCTGCTTGAAATGCTCTGACGGTCTTTACTTTATTGATGATACTATATATGTTGTTGCTTCTTGATTTCTGCGTTGCGTTCGACGTTCATGGTGAAAGGTACCTCGCGATCCTGCCCCCAGATGTCCGCGGTCCTGCCTCAAACATTCGATCCTTAGAATGACCACGGCGTGTTTGGCATTGAAAATTGTGCTTCGATATCCTCTAGTCCAGGTATATCCGCGATTAGTGATTCAAGCCAGGGATCATTATAAATTATATCATGACGTCCTTCGCCATTGGTTCTATTCGTTATGGGATCAACAGAAAGCAAAGGATCAGCCTGAAATATTTCTTTCAGCGTCTTCGCATCATCCTCTTTCCGTTTTTGATAGAGTAAAACTAGTAATCTGGCAGTTTTGTATGCTTCCCTCATGACACTCGTGTCGTATGCAGCTGCCACGTCGCCAAGAGTTTTAATCGCATCTCCAAGTCTTGATAATGAACTTCGGTTGTCGATGGCGAGGAGTGTGCAAATAATTTGAAATGGTACATTTGCCATGTGGTGCCAAGGACAATTTGTCAGGTACATGTCTCTTGCACATCGTAATCCCTTACTCATCAAGGCTAGTGCTCTATCCAGAAGCTCCGGTGAAATGGCCCAATTTAGAGCTCGAAGACGACGGTAGATGCAGAGCATGAGATTGCACTGGGCCATTACTGAAGGTGGTTGTATATGACTGCTCTCTAGAACTTGTAGAAACGTAGACTCAAGGTTTGACGCATTCTGTTGATTACTCGGATCCAAGGCTTCGGACATAGGCAAAAGGCTCAGAAGCTCTTTCGTTGAGTCTTGGTGTTTTATATATTGGAGAACTGACGGGACACCTCCTTGGAGCACTACCCTAGATCGGCCAAGATCGAAGGATATCCATGTATTCAAATGCTGTGCTACGCCTACTAACCTCCATCGTAGCTCTGAATTAGAATCTACTGCTGTTTGTGCTGAAGGATCATCCGTGATTGGTGGTAGATGGAGACCTGCCGCTTCAATCATATGCATCAAAGTACAACTAGACATCCACGTGACATGTGGTGATGCCGTAATTCTCAAATAAACAACTCTTAGAAGTTGCCCCGTAATTATCTCTGTAGTCGGTGTATCTCCGGAATATTCATCAAGTATTGACCGCGCAGACTCAACAAGCTGCAATTCTAACAAAGGTGCGACTCGATTAGAAAAGAGACTACCAAGTGCTGTTACTCCAAATAGAATCGCATCAAATGCCTTCTTATCATTCATGACAAGTTGTCGTACTCTCCATCGCTGAAAAAATCTCGATCGATCGATGAAATTGTAGCAGATGTCGACCTTTTCAAAATAGAAAGAAGATAATTCATCCACGATGTCAAATTTCAATACGTCTTCAATGGACAATGTCAAAGGTCTGTCGGAACCAGCCGTACGGGACCTGTCCCCAATATTCCAAGAGAATAAATGCAATCTTGGCGCATTGTTGGGATCAATTTTCATCGCTAATTGTCTCGCAAAAGTTGCACCAGAATTTGCTTCTAATGAAGGAGGAGGCAAATATTCCGGTTGCGCTAGAGCTGGAAGGGGCGAGTTTTCGTTATCATGTCTAGCTTTCTTGTTTGATCCAGAGTAACTGTTATACTGGCACACGTATTGGAATCGAAGACAAGAATCACATGGTTGACCGCCATCGCATTTTCTTTTGCGGTCACGACAGGGTTCACAGGCTATTCGGGCGCGTTTCCGTTTCAATGGTTCTGAGTCGGCCATGAGGACTAAGAGGCTTTTTCTTTTGATGTAAAACGGATGATTGAGTTAGATCTAAGAGGACGGTTGTTTACATCTCGACTGATCACGTTTTAATGCTCTGGCTTCACTGTTTGATGGAGAAAGAATTCCTATTACGTAATATCGTTGCGGAGCACATGGCTAATTCTCGGTGGTCACCAAGTTCGGCTTCCTTCACCTCACTTCTCCGCCGCTTGTCATGAGTTGAGTACTTGAGTAATGACTAACTTTAATCGACCCAATCAAACTAAAGGTGTTGTTATGCCTACTCTTGAGGTTTATGGACTGCTAATCTAGTTCCAATTATCCCAAATATGTTCTCGGTCCTCGTAATCTGTAATGGACCTCCATTTACTTGTCGTTGGATGGTAAATCTTGCCATCTCAATTTACGCTTTCGTCCATTTCCATCCAGTCTTCGAGACCCTCGATGCCATAAGGAATAGCGCCCCAACTACGATTGACATGGCCGCAAAAGCTTGTGCATAGATATAACTTTCCCCCTCCGACCTGAAACAATGCACCAGCTATATGGGGTCCCGTCAAGCATGCAAAGCCAACAACACTCAAGATCATGCCTAACCTCAGTCACGTCTTCTAGATATCTGCCTTCAAGCTTGTAGCTATTGCAGGGAAAAGAGCATGCAATGCAGCAGCAATAAATCCATGTATGATGGCAAATATATACATGCCAGCTACTGTTTCAACAGCCGCCCAGCCATAGACTAAATGCATGCTCCGATACTAAAAGGTATAAGGATGTTGAAAGGTCTCGTAGTACGATCTTCGATGAGGTTGGGGATAATTCGATCGAATACTCCAACTCCATTCAGGGCCATCAAGAGATCAATGGAAGTCTGACTTATGGCGCCCAAGCGGTCGCGCGCGAATGTTTCAAGATAGAAGAAAGCGAAGTACAATCCTCAAAAATTGAAGAACATGGCCAGCGTAGAGAAAGTATATGCTGGTTCTTTGAAAGCGGTCCATTTCCCCGAAGCTCCAGCTTTACATGGAGGTAATCTAGGCTTGAAGAAGAGGATCGAGGGAATGTGAGCACATATAACATGATTAACGTCCATGGAAATCCAACATCCCCCAACAGAACATGTAAATCAACCGGAGAGACCAACCGTCCACGGGCGCCACCCGCAGCAGCAATCCCACCAGACAGAGCTCTATTCCTCGCGAAATAAGTCGACAACATTAACAAAGCAGGACAAAAAGTCATCTATTCCCTAACCCAACACATTTCATGGGCAAGAGAGACGTGCCAATGACTTCCACTCAGAAATGTCATAAAACACCAAATAATTGTAAGAATACCCAGACCTCAAAACAAAACGTAAATATCCAGCATGAGATGCACGACCACCTATCATACCAACGAAGGATACGAGAAATATTTGAACAGTTCCTATCAATGCAATATCGGATTTCGAACGGTTCAAGGAGATGGTATAAAATTGATGGAGATTCCATAGCTGTTTGCGAAGTCCCAGCTACCCAGGAAGAGATTTGTAAAGAAGGCGTCTAGCCATGTTGTGGTTTCGCCGTTTGGAGGAGGTCTGCAAGTAACTTTCTTGGTTGTTTTTGATTGCTGAGGAGTTTGCTTCAAATTCGAAGCTACTGTTTGAGGACTGAGCACCCCGTTGACTTTTCTCCAGATTTTTGATTGTTGTGGCTTTCAATGTATAGGTGGTTATAGGTAACGGAATTTGAACTTCGTGGATATTGATGTTGTTTTCCATCCCTAATTGCTGTTCAGGACATTCTTATATATATAGTATTAATTGGCCCATGAATCAGTCCATGTCTTAATGTAACATTTCATTACAACATACAGGAAAATCAAAAAATGAGATAACCCACCTAAAAATAATTTCTTCCAGACGAGGTCGACGCACCTTCAGCTACGGGGAAAGTAGCACGGAGCTCAGGGGTTTGCTCTTCCAGGAATATTTAGGCTGCACAAAAATAACCCGCGGATTGCGGAGTTAACCATCAGACCTACAATCCGCCCCGCAGAACCCCATTGGGGTTTTTTAATAACCTGCATTGTATAGGTTATTTGTGGATTATTCACAAAGAATCTATCGATTCATAAATAGATATAATTTATGAAAATTAATATAAAAACTAGTATAAAAAATATGAGAATAGCTTCAAAATTTAAGCGAATATCCATTCTATAGATAATTTGTAGATAATCCGCAAATAACCTGCAAATAATCTACCTACCTGTGAATTGATATGAATTAGTGATATCTGCAAATAATCCGCAAATTATTCGCGGGTTATTTATTCGGATTTCCAATAATCCACCCCGCAAATGGATTATCCGCAGGTTACCCATCAGAAGCAATAATCCGCCCCGCAAACCTCTGTTGTACAGCCTACGCCTTTCGGTTAGGGTTGGGCGCTTTATGTAAAGCAGAACTGGATTACAATAAAGCATAATGTAAGGCCTTTTACTAGGTTATACATTACGATTACACACATGATTACTATCTCCCTGCTAATATATCTTTTGATGATTAATCAATAAACGCTCATTAATCATGGAAAATAATTTATTCAAAGCATTGTATAAACTCAAAACTTCCGATCACTGATCTTTAAAATTAAGGTTAAGATCGAAATTTGTCGAGCAAAGGTCAATTGCTGATTTCTTGCTCCTCGAGTTACTTCAAAGTTTTCAATAAAAAATAAAAAATAGCCTATTTTAAGCGTTCTCTTTGAATCCGTCGTTTTGAATCCATACCTAACTATAGAGTAAATTCATTAAAATGCCGAATTATCTAATTGCCCTGCACCCCCCACGAAGATTTTTGGTCGGATTCCGCTTTTGTTTGTGATTTGGACGGGGGATTTCTTTCGCTTAAGTAGAGGTTGGATGTGTGTGTTGTGCATGAGCGGAGGCAAGTGGTGGAGATGTCTATAAATCTGGCACCTCCGAGGATTAGTGTGATAGAATAAATTCATGGTTAAGTTCAAGATTCTGGTTAATGTGGATTGTATGGTCGGTGGGTGGTATCATGTGTCATTTTAGTGGAGTTTAAACTTCTATCAATCCTTTTTGTACACTTCTCATACTTTGTACGGCATCAGATTCTGACCCGATATGCCTCACTGAGCTCCCCTGTCCCAAAAACCTCCAACTTAATACGCTCCTCACTCACACCAAATGTTTGTAAACTTTCACTCATGTCATTCATGAAACCCGCTGGTCCACAAATAAAATAAGTTGTCGAAGAACCATCCAGATGCAATGCATCATCCTTGACTTTTGATAAATCCATTCGTCCAGCAAGATCAACAATCGGGTGTCCATACTCATCAGCTGGTAGATTCTTGACGAAAACCCAAGAATTGATGTTCGAGTGCGTCGTCGCAATTTCCTGAACATGTCCATGGAATGCGTCCACTTCCTTGCTGCGTGCTGCGTGGACATATGATATTGGTCTGGTGCTTCCACTTTCTACTAGGGTGTTTAGTATCGAGACCATGGGTGTAACGCCGACTCCGGCGGAGATCAAAACTACAGGAGAATCGGTGTTCGTGTGTAGATCGAGGAAGAATTCACCCTGTGGTGGAGAAACTTGTATTATATCACCCTCGTGTTTCGTATCGTGAAGTGCATTCGAAATAACACCTGCTTCCACGGATGTGTTGACTTCCGGTAAGACAAGGGCATCTTCGCGCTTTACACTAATGCGATAGTAATTCTCATTTGGGCGATCGCTCAACGAGTATTGTCTGGACTGCATGTATCCAAATTGTGGTATTTGGATCTGGACCGAGATATACTGCCCAGGTTTAAAAAGAGGAAGAAGTTTTCCATCCACGGGTTCCAGGTAGAAAGAGGTGATAATGCTGGATTCCTTGACTTTCTTTGCGATCCTGAAGTCTCTCCATTCTTTCCACTCACCAGCTTCTTGATACAATTGCGCTTCTCTATTGATCATGATATTGGCCAATTGTTCATACGCGGCTGTCCATGCGTCTAGGATTTCTGGCGTTAATGCTGCACCAAGTACTTCGCCCATTGCTTCTAAGAGGTATTTTCCAACGATGGGATAGTGTTCCGGTCGTATGAATAATGAGGCATGCTTTTGACATATCCTTTCCACTGCATTCGAAAGTACAGCGAGGTTGTCGATATTCGCTGCATAAGCAGCAAGAGCGCCTGCCAAGGCACGTGGCTGATCTCCATTCTTTTGGTTGGTTTGGTTGAAGATATTATTCAACGCTGGGTTGGCAGCGAGGACATTTTTGTAGAAGGTGGTAGTGATTTTGGTGCCATGCTCTTGTACGACAGGTACTGTGGCCTTGATAATGTCGATTTGCTGAGGCGTGAGTGACATCTTCAAATTTTGTTATCTTGTGCTAGATGCTTTTGTGTCTTGCGATACTGATGATTCCAGACATCCAATGCAGACAGACTAGACATAGCGGGCAGACGCTTTATAAATGAATCCGACATTGTATTATCATTGAAGACTGCGGCCATTAGAACTTTCCGTTATAATGACTATGAAAATTTTCTGACCTGATTTGTTCGTGTTGTATTGTAATTACACAAATACCTCAATTATTATTGGATTATTAAAAAAGGAGTGGCATGTTTCTAGAGCGAGTGAGGGATACTGCTTACATGAAGAGGCCATATTCCTGGTTTTTATATACAATATCCACCAAGAATTGAGCATCTCCGGGGAGAAAGATGTTTGAACTTTATCAATACGCCGGGAAACTTCGGAAAATTGTATTGAAAGTTTCGGGATGAACCGCCGGGTAACTGCGGGTAACTATGGCCCGCAACTTCCCCGCTCCCTGTTTCCACGACCACATTAGTAAGCACAATTGAATATCAAATAACGTTAACCACTTGGCCATTAGAAATCACAACAATCAAGCTGGTAGTAAAGGCTTCTTGAATCGGACTTTTTAATATATTTGATCCAGTTGGTGATACAGGTGGAACAGAAGAAAGAAAAGTTCGGAAGATTGTTAGTTTTTAATTTACTTAAGAGGCTTGTTGGAAGTTGTGATTGAACAATGATCATCTCGAGCTCCTGAGTTATCGATATCTCCAAAACTTCATCACAAATAGTTCTACAATCATCATTGATGTTATTGCCGAGAGTCAAACTCCAAAGCAACAAGCGCCTACACGGTAAAAATTTCAACGACTATCATGGCATCGTCGGTGTTCGTCGCGAGGCGGTATATGCAAAAAACTTTCCCATGGATTCAGTATCCGCTTATCGTGTCGGCGCCGATGTTGGGAGCTGCCACCCCTGCTCTTGCGAGAAATGTAAGTAGGGCAGGAGGTATAGGATTTATTGCAGGAGGTAATAGCGGGCCGGACCTTGATCGAAACCTTACCATCATAAGTTCATTGTTCGCAGCTGACGCCCATCAACTCCCGGGCCTTCAAAACTTTGATAGCCTTCCTATTGGCATTGGTTTTCAGAATTGGAACTGTAAAATCGATGTTGCCCTTGAAGCTACCAAGAAACATAAACCGTCCGCAATATGGCTTTATGCACCGAAAAGAATTGAAGATTTGAAAGAATGGGTCGTAGAACTCAGATCTATCAGTGATGGCAAAATTTCAATCTGGGTACAAGTCGGAACAGTCAGAGAGGCATTGGATGTTATGGAAATAGCAAGTCCCGACGTTCTGGTCATTCAAGGAACGGATGCTGGCGGTCATGGACTGGCTCGATCAGCCAGTATTATTTCGTTACTTCCAGAAGTTGCGGACGCACTTGAAGATAGGGACCCGGCACTCAAAGGTGTACCGCTACTCGCAGCTGGAGGGATCATGGATGGCCGAGGAGTTGCTGCTGCATTATGTCTAGGCGCGACAGGAGCAGTTATGGGTACCAGATTTCTTGCGGCTGAAGAAGCAGGCATCCCTCGAGGTTGGCAAAGAGAGCTTGTGAGAGCTTCCGATGGAGGTGTTAGCACCGTACGGTCTACCTTGTGTGATCGATTGAAGACAACGGTCGGATGGCCACCACAATATGACGGCCGTGCGTTACTCAATAAGGGTCACGAGGATGAGAAGGCTGGAATGACAGATGAGGAGAATGTTCGCTTATATAGAGAGGAGTTAACGAAAGGTGACGAGGCTTGGGGTGCTAATAGTAGATTGATCGCATATTCCGGAACTGGCGTCGGACTGATAAAGAACGTAATGTCAGCTGGGAAGATTGTTGAAGACACAGCGGAAGGAGTATTAAAAATTATGTCGACAGAGAACGAAGACTATGTTAGGGGTACTGTGCGTCGCGTTACCTAGTAACATACTAATAATCTACACGTGCAATGACTCGGAATGGACGAGGGGGCCTTATAGCTAGGAGTTTCAATTCATATTGACACTGCCTCTCCCTCATTTGGGACAATCAATCACAAAGAGTGGTGTCTAGTTACGGATTGCAATTTCCTAATTTGACATTTTTTCTATTTTCTAGTGGTTTACTGGGCTCTGGGGCTGTACCTGAGTATGATTTAGGGTACAAATTCATGGTTAAATATCATCTGAACACACGAATCATGGATATCATTCGCTCGTGCTTCATTTTGCTCCAATTACAAGGTTCGCAATTGAACCTCGATACGAAAAATAGTCCGCAGTGTAAACTTCCCATCGGACCAATCGTTGACACTATTTAAGGATGGAGATATCTGCAACAAGATTGATTCGGAAGGAGACTTGGGGGAATTAATGATATGCAGATCGCGCTTCGCCTGAGCTGGACCATTCGTTGAAGGATCCTCAACCTTGTTGCTGCAACCTTCTTATTTGGGAAATTTTCATGTGTTACCTTAAAGAAATCATCACTGCCCTGAATCACAGATTCGCCTAGAAAAGGCTCTCGGATTAGACGCTTATGATTTTGTCTTTCCTTCAGGCTATCAAATTTCAATGCTTTACGTTTGTAGACTGTCACCCCAAATTCTTTTTGTCCTTTCCCTAAACCAGATAATTGACTGATTTATGAATTTCTTGATAGAAGTGCACTGTACTAATTCTTCGCCGTAGCACGGTAATTCTTATTGTTCATTTCAATCGTCGCGATAGGAGATCTCACATGTTTTCTTACAAAAGCTTGTTCACCGCCCTGGTATGTCTGACATCTCTCGATGGCGTTCTATCCGCCACGCCAGATGAATGGAGGACCCGTTCTATCTATCAAGTATTCACAGATCGATTCGCCAGAACCGATGCTTCAAATACTACTGATTGCCCATCTCAAACTTACGGGTACTGTGGCGGGACATGGCAAGGCATAATCAACAGGCTTGATTATATCCAGGTATGGGCAGAATTTCACAGATTTTTTGATCATTTGTTTTAGATGTTAATGCAAGATTAGGATATGGGATTCACTGCGATCTGGATATCTCCAGTTGTGGAACAAGTCGCTGATCCCAATCGCGGCTTTCATGGATATTCAGCTCAAAATTTGTATGGATTGAATAGTCACTTTGGAACTGCATCGGATTTGACTGCTTTGGCTAATGCGCTCCATGATCGAGGAATGGTAATGTGATCTATCAAAAAACTAAGAAGAAAAAAGCTAATTTCGGCAGTACTTGATGGTTGATGTCGTGGCAAACCATATGGGATCTGATGATACTGCCCACACTGTCGACTATAGCATCATGAATCCATTCAATGAGAGCAAATACTTTCATGAAGTCTGTTTTATCACTGATTATAATAACCAGACCAATGTCGAGCTATGCCAACTTGGAACGGAGAAATATCCATTGCCGGATCTGAACACTACCCAGCCAGCCGTTCGGAATTTCCACACTACTTGGATTAAGTCTCTAGTGGCCAATTACACAATCGATGGTTTAAGAGTAGATACAGTGAGGCATGTGGAAAAAGACTTTTGGCCTTTGTTCAACGAAGCCGCGGGTGTCTATTGCGTCGGTGAAGTTGCAGATGGAGATGTAGATTATCTTTGTGATTACCAGAACTATATGGATGGTCTCCTCTCATACGCCTCATATTACCAGCTAATAACATTCTTTTCTAACACTTCAGCAACTTCTGAAAATCTGATAGGACAAATACAACACCAGAACACGGAATGCACAGACACAACACTTCTTGCTACCTTTACCGAAAATCACGATCAGCCGCGTTTCGGAAATTACACAAGCGATTTGACACTCGCCAAGAATATCATCACATGCACGTTGCTTGCGGATGGTATACCGATCATCTATCAAGGTCAAGAACAACATTTTCATGGTGCAACGGATCCCTATGATCGGGAGCCTCTTTGGCCTACGAACTATAATACTAGCTCCCCACTCTATGTTCTCGTCAAACAATTGAATGCCATACGTTCTCTGGCAATTGCACGATCGTCCACTTATCCTATCGATCAAACTCAAGTCGCTTACTCCGATCCACATAACCTCGCTTTTCGGAAGGGTGACTCGACTCATATGGTTCTAATGGTATTGAATAATATCGGTGCGACCGCAGATGATTACACTATAGAAATGAATAATGTAGGATTTGAAGCTGGATTAATTGTGACGGATGTGTTGAGCTGTAGAAATGTGGCGGTGGATATGGATGGTGGTATGAACATACCGTTTGAGAGTGGTTTGCCTAGTGTAAGTTCAATCTTTGTTTCTATAATGTTACTTCGGATGCTGATTGTAGGTATAGGTTTATTATCCTTTCAATCTACTTGCTGGTACGGGTTGGTGTGGTCAGTATTGAGACAGCGCGGTGTTAAGTTGATGGGTTGTTGCGGAAATCGAATTTGAGGTACACACTTTCGTCACTAGCATTTACGCGGTAGATTATCTTACAAATTAGCTGGAATTACGGGCTGAACGGAAATTTAAACCTGAAATTCTCACTTTGGAATTATGATCGTTCACATGGATCTTAGATGAAATATCTTGTCTTACAAGGAATAAACTTTTTGCCGCACTTTAATACAAAGAACCTTGGTGCATTATCCTGCGTTTTAACTAGGAACGAAAAGAATATCATTTGCTCATGCATTTTTGGAGAGTATCACGTATTGATTCAATTCGTTAGACTTCAATATATTGATTTATTGTAAAGTTATTAGTTAATAAAAACTGAGGTTTCTGATATAAATATTAGACGATGCAAAACAAAGAGGGATGTGAAAGTAGAGTACTTGATTTACGTGGTTATTTTTAGAACTAAATGAAAAAGAAAGAATAGATTTTTAAGAAGTAGATGAAAGGAAAGAGCAATCTAAGATCTGAATAGTTGTAGTAATAGATCTTAGATTTTAATCTAAAAATAGAGTGTGTAAATAACCTCAAAAATGACCAAAATCTCTTAAACTATCGAGCCAAAATACCTAATGAAGTTTTTTTTCCCAAGATCTTGAAGCTACCAGTAGTTTCTAATATCCTATCGAGGCTAATTGCCTTTGATAATATGATGACCTATCTAAAAGTATATAGAAGAAATGTGCTAAAGGCACAAAATAATGGTCCATACACCTTCTCAATCATCATAATCCACATTATCATCCTCATTCTACGCCTCATCAATCCACTCCATACTCCCATCTTGCTCCTCAATCTCCTCATTAGCAGCTCCAGCCACATTACTTCCAACATCTCCCCCGTCCTCAATAACACTAAACTCACTCAATGGAACCCCAGCCTCCAACTCCCTCGCCCAAACCGGTCTCATTCTCTCAAGCTCGCTCCTAATCCCCTCACAATACTCATCCGTCAACTCAGGCGGATGCGGAATCGCATTCCAATAAAGCAAAAATCTGCGATTTTCCATCGCCGATATAATATTCTCGTCCAAATACCCCTGCACTACCAATTCAGCAGTTGGATTAGCGATAGGTGGGTCATCTAGACCGGTACCATTGTTGAGAGTGCTATTTTGCAGGTCGGGAAGATCGCCGCTGAGACGGCCGGTGAGAACAGGGGAAGGGGGGTTGAAGTAAGTGGGCTGTTGGTATTCTGGTTGGAAAGGGGCAATGGAAGGAGGAAATCCTTCGGTAGGAGAAGCAAGCTGTGGATAATCAGAGGGGGCATAGAGTGGACCATTGATGTCATATGTATTCATATAATAGGCCTCATTGTCCATCAGAATTGGATTTTCAGGATCAGGCGCAAGATATCCAATCCAATGCATACCCTCCTCGGCTGAATAAGGGACAACGGGATGATCGTTGGGGAGGGGAAATGGGCCGAAATTAGGGTGGATGGGCATGATATAGCCGCTATAGATATCTACTTGGGTGAGAGTAGCGTATTGGGGAACCTGGATGCCGTTGTAGTAGATGGGGTGGACTGGCAAAGGTGCTGCTTGGATAGTTATGCCGTCTGGGAGTTGGTAAAGTTGTTCATTTGCGCCAATCCCGGATTGGTAGTTGTGGTGGTTCATTTTGGCGTTGAATTGGGTCTAGGAAAAGAGATAGTTAAGGTACTTGAAGGTCTTAAAAAGTATGCTTACTGGTGGAGTACGGTCAATCTAGATGATAAAACGTGTGAATTCAGGCTTGAAAATGCTATCCCTATTAATGTATTTTATACGGATTCAAATTAGCTATCTGAGCTTCAATACACTAGTTTATGACAATAGACTACTGTTGTGTTCATTAAATACGATATTGTGGTTCTATTGGTATAATAAGTAGAAGACACAATAGAGTTGTTCTATTGTTGTTCAATCCTCACAGATGCCAAGACAATGAAAGCAGAACTAAGCAAACTAAATCAAACACTTGTCGAGTCTAGGAACATGGATATGACAGCTTGGGAACTAATGAGTAGCAAAGAAAGATTAATTAATCGTACAGAGCTTTATCGGTGTAATATAATTAGGGATATGCCAAAGGAGGTTTTCTAAATATGATGATGGGAGCTATCGATCATTTCTCGGCTCCCCTACTTTAGCGATGTTCGAGGTGAGTTGGAACATCTAAACCTTACTATTACTTTAGAATTAACTCACTGTACTAGAAACTTCTAACAATAGAATTGGATTGAAATGATAGGGTTTGTAAATTGTTTGAATCAATTTCAATGGTGAAAACATATTCATTTCACAAAGGTGTTAGCTCATTTCATCACATGAAGTCATTCTTAGTATCTAATCCACTTTATAAACAAAAATTGTTGCGGATAAAATATTTGATTTTGACAATGATTAAATACCTAATTATATATTCCAAGATTCTGGATGATTTCATTCAATATTTAAATTTTATATGGGAAGTTATAGTTTTTGCAGGGATTTTGTCACGAATTCGAATGATGTGCGGTAAGTGAATTCCAGAAATCTTACCATGAAGTCATTTACTTTCATGCCACACAACCACTTGAATAATTTAACTTCTCACACCCATCCTACATCTCCCTCACCTGCCTAATAATATTCAAAGCAGTCCCCGCCACCTCATCCCAAACCCTAAACATATCAACCCATGGCTCCGGACACCTAAATTTCAGCCTTTCATAAATGGCGATCAAATCCTGCAACTTAGCACCACTAGCAATTCTATCCTTATTGACTTCACTCCCCTCATATATCAAAATCCTAATAAACTGTGCGCACAACGACGCAAAGAGTGAACATCCATCAATATTTCCCAATTGATTACAATAATCATCACAAGCATCTACCTGATCTCTTAGATACGAATCTCTGAGTCGAAGTAGAAGTCTCAATTCTTCGAAATCGGGTCCAGACCTTATGGTTTCGCTAATGAGATCGGGTCTAAAGAGTCGCATGCGACATCTTTCTAATGAGATCATTTCTTCCGTAAGCTGTTGTTTTTGTTGTGGAGTAGCGTATTCTTGCTGTGCGCATTCGGTGATGAATTTTCCTGTACCTCTGTTCCAGGAAAGTAAAGTTTTCCTTCTCTGTTCCGTCGGTATCTCTATACCTCGTAGCACAGCCAGACCACTCCCAAACAGAGCATCGATTGTTTGTTCGTGATTTCGCAAAATAGTTGATATGAAATCAATCAAATGTCCAAATCTTGCGACTGTCTCTTCAATCGATGTGCTCTCCTGTCTAAGATGATCAAAAATTATATCGACACTCTGCCGTTGAATTTGAGACTTTGTCCAGAAGGAACTGTCGATCAATGAGCTATCTAGAAGAGCTTGTCCGAAATTCATAGCTAGCTTGGATGTCCCGGGTGCGGTTCCCATACCATGAATACGACGTACGCTCAACCATCTATCGGCTAAAACCTTAGGAGCACCACCAAAATCGTTATTGGCTGGTCCAATACCGCCGATGTCTGTCATGGCGAATTTTATAGGTGTTTGTTTGTTATTACGGTGTATTTTAAAGTCGATACGCGTCCCGTGGCTGAGTGATCGATAGTGAAATAACTTGTGTCCGAATCTATGTACTACACATTCCCAGAAGTTCTTTTGCTGAATATCTTCGTAGAAAGACACTGGTATGGGAAATTCTTCTTGGTAGGTGAAAGGATCAGGTTGTGTTAATGTCAAACTTTTAGAACCACATAGGCGTTGCCCTTCCACTGTTGGCCATACAGTCTGAAACCAATGACCATATGGCATTCCCGGTTTATCTATAAAAGCGCGAACCGTTCCCCCGTTTAACTATAGGACGTATTATTAGGGCCAAAACTCAATTATCAGAAGGAGATAAAGGACTCACAGCGGCCTCAAAACTATATCCAACCTCTGCCAATGCTTCCTGATCATAGAACCAAGGTGGATTTTCATCATCTGGATTTTGTACCTGAGAACCATCTATTCTAGGACAAACAAAATTAATCGCATGAATAATTTCATGCACAAGTGTAACTGCTGATGCCCATTCGACAGTTTTCCTTTCCGTGGTTGTTAAATCATTTCTAAACAATGAATCTAGCTGTGTGTAATTGAGAAATATATAAAGCTTCCATGACCTCTCCACATCTGTATCGTACATCATGTATGCATAATTCGTTACGGTAAGGCCATACACATCATCCTCGATTTTATCGTCCGGGTCAAGGGGGTATTCCGGGCCTCGAGGATCTTCTCCGGGTGCCATGAAACCGAATTTGAGACTCCAGATATGTTCTAAGTCGTGGAATACCTGTGTCATTTTTGCTCGAACGATGTCGTAGTTGCTTGCGTCATACGGGAGAAAGGAAACGGCACTGTCCGGAAGTTCATCATGTGGACGAACCCTTGCTGGATTTATAGGAGCTCTTTTACCGAAGATTAGGGCTGCAAACTAATATAGTTAGCTACAGAGAAAGAGTTTTAGGTGCTTTGTAGCAGATCAGTTCCTACCCACGGTAATGTATACATGCTCATAATAGTTCTAGTAGCCAATTGTAAAACGGGTTTCATCTTCTCATACACCAGAGGATTGTGCATTGACCAATCACCATGCTGTTGACCATCGATCATGAGCGGATACATAGAATTTCTCGTCAAATCCGGTTGATGAGGTCGTAGTTCCCATCTCTGTATTCGAATAAGTGGCATAATTGGGTTATCTAGTGTCGAATCCTTCAGCTTCCTGTCGGTTATTACGTCCATGTCCGCCAATTCTCTTGAAGTAAATCCCTCGAATTTCTCCCGTTGGAAATCCTCAATTTGATTTCTGAGAGCAAGTTCTTCTGGATCAATTCTCGACCTTGGAAAAAGGGGAGCGAGTGGAGTAAGACCCGATATCCGGGGATCTTTTGACCATGGTCCATATTTGAGAGCATTTAGACTTTGCCAGGGTATACTTAGAGCCATGATTTGCGAGTTGCTACTCCAATGATGTATAGTCAAGGCTATACTGTAGCTTTTTCTTTTGCTTGCCGTAGTTGTACCTTTGGTAAATCATGGCATTTCCTTTGTCTATATTACATGATTATAGAATGGAGAGAAACATCTTGCGGCTTTGTTGAAAAGATTACTTAATCTTACTATAAAACCTATGTCTAATAGAAACAAAGGGTTTCTAGGGACCCTTTGGGGTAATCAATGGTCAAATGTCAAGCCTTTGTCTACTTCCTTAATCAACGCCAGATGGGCTTAAAGAAAAATCGCAAATCGCCAGATCCGGAAAAGAAAGAAACATGGGTGTCCTCTTGCTTTCATAAGAGCAAACATAACCCTTTTTTTACAGGCAATCCAACTATCATTAATGCATCGCAATTAATGGATAGTTAATCGGATCCCCAAACAAGATGTCTACAATCGGGAATTTGAGCCCTTCCTTTCGCCGACGCCACGAGAAATCTAACATATCCAAATTATCCTCAAATTATTCAAAAGCAAGTACAGGAGGAACTCCCGGCCCAAGATATCCAAGAATAGTCGCCTCCAGGCCGCCAAGAACCCCCTCCCCACCCTTGGATAAAGATACTGAATTACATATGCGGAAGACGACATGGCTGGAGAAGGTGGACGAAATCCAATCCCTTTGGAACTACTGGATAGCAACATTGCGCAGCCCTAGAGTGATGAGACTAGTTCGAAATGGACTTATAATTTCAGTACTTTTTCTAATGGCTGTCTCTTTAGTTCCCTGGAACAGAATCGTATGGTACAAATTTAGTATCGTGACACACTCGTCAAGTTTCAATGAAACAGAAGCTCGGGAAAACTTAGTCGGAAAGAAAAGGGAAAAGGAAGGAATGATGCGTAAGAGCAATCATTCTGAATTGGATGACCTTCAACGAGACCCAATGTACGAGTTGATTCTCCCACTTAATGTTCTCACGAGGTTGAATATCGGTCCCGAACTCGAAGCTTTACAAGGAGCATACGCGGATAATCGATATATCATCATGAATCTCACACAGGGTATACCAGATTTGTCGGTAGATTCTCAGAACCTTACTGCCAGCCTCAAAGACTTTCGAAAATCTATGTGGAACTTTTCGGAAGCTATTGGAGATTACGTAGGGTTTTTGGAAATGATCTTAAACAATTTACAGGAAGAAAGCAAGAATCTCCAGATAGCACTTAGCAAGATTCAACCTGAAGATACGTGGCACAATCGCCCAGATTTGGAACAAGGCAGAAAAATTGCAGCACTTTGGATCACTCACTACGAATGGTTGACGAGTGAAATAGATAACCTTTGGGAGGAAACACTCAGATTTCAAGATGAAGCCAAAGATGCCGTAAAACAGAGGATAGATCTTGAAGAGGCGTTCGAGATAACCCAATCCCGTATGACTAAGGAAGCGAAACAGCGAGACCTCAAAAATTTCGATTTTCCCGCAGCCTACAAATTCATCCGTAGATTCAGTTATGTTGATAGTCTGGATTTGGAAGACGAAACTCAAGATGGCTATGAGACACGACTTGAATATATTATGCTACCCTTCAGCAGAACACTCGAGCTTGCCAATGGTGAGGCAAAATATGTGATGGAGAAACTGCAAAGATCTTATATCCAGAGTTCAACCACAGGGAGCCAGGATGAGACCGAGGGGAATGGAAATAAAACAAATAATGCAACACCACTGGCACCATTTGAAATTCCAGACCTTGGACAACAAATCGAGGTGCTTAGAGCTACATATGAAAGCTATGTACAAGTCAAAATATACCTGAATGACATGAAACATGACTTGGCACGAAGGTTGAAAGGAACAGTTCTCATGCCACTCCTGCCAGGAGAGAGGATACAAGTCTATGATTATGTGCTTAGTGGACAGCAGGATAATGCTTACATGGAGAGGCAATCGGATAAGGTGAAGGAGGTGATAAATGAAAAGAACGAGGAGAGGAAGAGACTGAGGTACAAGCGGTACATGGAACAGGAGGAAAAGCGCAAGAAAAAGAACTGGAAACCATGGAATTTCTGATATATATGGTGATGTTTACGAGGGCAATCATTCTGTCATCGACTGCTTCAATATTCAAAACAAATATAAAAGTTACAATGAAAGGACATCACTTACACACTCACTCGTTCACTGATTCCTTCCACAAGCTAATCAAACACTGAAGAACCAACCAACAAAACCTACTGAACTAGTACCTAATACATATATCATGCTGTAAAGTAAAAACTTAGCCAGCCAATCGGTCACAGTAATGGGTGATAAATTGTTAGAGCAATATCAAGAATCAAATCTTCGATCCCCGAGATCCATGGACTTTCGGATACCGTTGAAGAACTACCCATCAATCAGCAAAACCATATTCATATTCACACTGCTCTGCACTTCACCTCATGTCACTCACGAAAGCTCGCTCAAAAGAATTCATGCTATTTCCTAGATTTAAGTGGGTAGTAGTAGTTTTGAGTCTATTCCTGCATGCATTTATTTCCTTACACACGATACGCTGGGTATACCACCATTCATTCCATTACATTCCAGTCATGCAATTCATACAATTCATTTTCGTCGCCGAAATCCGCTTTCAAAGCTAAATTCTTAGTAGTAATAATACACGCTGAAAATTTCGTAAAAGCGGACGTTTTCTCATTTCTATAATATTTCAGAGTTTAGGCTTCACATTATTTGCGCTCGCGCTTGCTTCTTTGTTGACAATGAGATCACCGGATTGCGGACCGTTACCGAAGAAGATAACTTCTACTGTAAGATCATCTCTGTTGGGAAGTGTTGTTAGTAGGATTTGTGAAAAATGTTGAGAAAGGGGTGGTATACCGATATCTTCTGGAATAAGGAGCAGGTAATGACAATAAAGCGCAAACCATATCCTTATCTTTTCCACCTAACGCATTACGGACCAAATGTGTGGCAACATTTTTGTCCTCAACAACAAATCTATCACTCTCCTTGACGCCCCATTGACGCTGTCGGATTGGGGCTTTCTGACCACTGTTATTGTTATCTTTACTTGCTTCTACTGGCAACCCCTTTTGCGAGGCTGTAAACATTTTTGTCCATGAGCTTGCGGAGTTCCCATTTGAATCCGCAGAATGCTTATCGATCCATTGGCCAACTAAGCCAACCACCTCTTCATTAGAGAGCATCTCCCAAAGTCCATCCGTTGCCATCACAACAAAGTCTCCTCTTTCGGGTTGAATCCTGGTAGTCGTGACGACAGGTTCCGCGGTGACGTATGGGGGAGTTTTAAGAAGAGCAGATGGAGTTCTTCCAAAGAAAGATTCCTTCAAACGCTCGGAGACTTGACGACTCCATTTGTAAGTTGCATCACCGAATGCGCGAGTAGGCTCCAGACCACCTAGAACTCGGCCATTCCTAATGACATGATCTTCTCCAGGATGTAGCTTTCTCATTCTAGCTTCTTCATCTTGATTGCTACCAGTTTGATCGATTGATAACGCCGTAGCAGCCCATTTTCCATTATCATTTCGTCGTCCCAAGATTGCGCGAGAATCTCCTGTACATGCAACACGCAAGAGACCTGTGTTCGTATCGTAGAAGGAAAGGAGTGCGCACGATCCGGATAGTGCTGGGGCTAGCAATTCCGCCGCGACCAGTTTTGAATTACCCTTCATTACTTTCTGCGCACTTTCATGGACAATCTCATTGTCGAGTCGCGTGAACCCAGTCTTCATTGCGGTTTCAATGGCCTCGTTGGACGGATTGGGGGAGGCTTGGTAAGTAGAATTGAGTTCTCTAGCGACATAATTGATCAATACTTGTCGTAATTTAGCAGAAGTGGTCCAGCCTCTTTTTGGATGTCAGTAAGAGTGGCCCTGTAGAAGGATTTAAAGGAAACGTACGAATGCCCATCAAATACACCCCAAAACATCCAATCGGAAGGTGAATTGGGAGACCCAGAAATTGTTTCATTCGTCTCAATAATCTTTTCGGAATGATCGTCTTCGATTGGGTCATTACTTGGAATTTGAACTACATCATATCGCACAACTCCTTTACCACGACCAACAAAATAAGACTCCTCATTTCTGCGCAATTTTGACGTCGCTTGATCCGGTGTTAACATCTCCAACACCTTCCTGCCAGAATCGTCGGTATCCTTTGAAATTGGACCTTCAATCGTGTCAGTATAAAGACCATCTGTACCGACAATTACAGCTTTTCTGGCATCAGCGGTCTCTTCCGGCCCCATCGGTGTTGAATAGACAGTACTACCTGCAAAGGCGTGGGATTGTTGTGCTGTGGAAATTGGACTGGCTTCTTTGGTGAGAATTCCGTCTCCGTTGTATGTGTACCATGCGCCATATCCAACAAACCCTGAAACAAGAGCCAGGGAGAACCTTCGCCAATACATCGATGCTGGGATGACTGAACTTTGAAGTGGTAACGTTGTTGATGATGATGATTTGGGAAAAGGAGCTCTACCGGAAGAAAATCGAGCGCTTAAAACATGGTTTGACGGTTGAAATATGCTACCACGAGTGCTACGGAGAGGAGGTAATTGTCGCGCAATGCGAATGGCTTTTAATGCTACTCGACGCATTTAAAATGAGAAGATTCGTGATATGATATTTAGAAATCGATTTATGTTTTGAGATCCAAGGGTAGGGCGTTTAACTAAGCTGATTTTCCCGAGATGGGTGGTAGTACCCCGGATAAGCACGAAGTATGATTGTCAGGACCTAAAGAGGGCCGGACTATGTATGTATGCACTAAGGTTATGCTATGGTGCACTATGGAAGCTGGAGGCTGATGAAAGAAGGACTGGTGGATGAGATTCAAATTCGAAAGGTCGTTGAAATGAATGAAAAATCATAAAAGTTATCTATATCATTATCAGAATTAATGTAACGTGATTATTCTTTGATTTTTGAAAAAGTATATGAGTGAATGATGATGAATAAGAGAGACTGAGATGGGTGAACGGACCCGGGCCCGTAAGTAAACTACAAATCACATGAAAAATTAATTATTTCAAAATTAAATAAAAATAAAAATAAAAATTTAAAATATGATTAATCAAAAAAAAAAACCAACAATGATTAAGTATCAAAATAATATATATTATAAATATATTTAAAAATGATTGATTTTAAAATCGAGAAATATAATCCGATTATCAATATTTTTTACTTGAAAAAATTACGTCATCAACTCACCGCTTTCTAGATTCTGCCGTCGCAAGCTCCATTAGTGCGCACACATCCCACATTTCAATCTTCTTCCTTCCATCCATTCTTATTATTCCATTGATTCTTCATTCATATTATCTAAGGATAATTATCTTCATCATGTCGAGTAGACAACTTCGAAAACTACAGCAACAACGCGAATTAGAGCAACAAGTCAAACTCCAAGCTCAAGCAGAAGAAGAGGAAGAATCCGAATATGAGTCGCAACCGATACAATCAAAACCCAGCTTGTTTGCGAACTTTGCAGCTCTAGAAGATGATGACGGATCTAAGGAAACCGATGAAGATGAAGAGCCGGAAGAAGAATTATTGAGTGAACCCACTCCAGTCGCGACCACGAAGAAACCTAAAAAGTCGAAGAAGAAGAAGAAGGCAAAGAATAACGGAAAGACAAAAGACTCCACGAAAGAAGTTGAGGATAAACTTAAGAATGGTCTGGATGAAATTGATCAAGCTATCAAAGAGTTAAATTTGAAGCAACCAAATGCTACAGATACAACAAGGGCAAGAGAAGTAGATGAAGAATATGAGAGAGTTTGTTTCCTATTAGGTATCAATACACAACATCTTAAAGTTGCAAATGAAATGCGAAGTTTATTTGGACGGGCTGCTACGGAAAATAATGAAGATCCTGGAGGACCTACAGGCCGTGGGCCAAGAAGAAGACAACGTATGCAACAGATGGATTTGGAGACAGCCTTGAAGGGACACCATAAACCAGGCAAAGGCCTTTCCGAGCTTACCTTGCGACGCAACTTTTTGATACAGGGGAAGGATGAATGGCCGAAATCTACTTCGGGCGGATTGACGATGGTGGTTATTGATAACCAAGAGGTAGTTGATGGTACTATCGAATACAAATTTGTACACGATAAAGAATATCAAATTGTGCAGCACACATTCCAAACTCTGGTTGAAATGGGGGATCCTCAAAACCTTATTGGATATATTCAAAGAAATCGTGAGTACAATCTGTGCTGCAAATCTCTACCACTGCTAACCCATATAGCCTATCATATTTCTCTTCTTCTTCAAGTCAGCAAGATAGCAAAAGACCAAGGCGACCATTCCTTGTCATCTGATCTTGTTGAGAGGGCCCTCTTTACATTTGGTCGAGTTTCATTATCATCCTTCAGTACTAAATTGGCCCAAGGTAAAGCTCGATTAGACTTCGCTAGACCAGAGAATCGCGAATTTTGGTTAGCTGGGTATCACTACATAAAATCTCTCATGATGAAGGGAACTTATCGAACTGCCTTCGAGTGGGCAAAGTTACTCTTAAGTTTGGATCCTGAGGATGATCCATATTGCATGCGATGGATGATACATCATCTTGCCTTACGTGCACATGAATTTCAATGGCTTTTGGATTTCTCTGCCAGTCGAAATATACCAGAATGGGCCAACACAATCAATTATGCAAAGCCATCTTTTGCTCTGGCCGCCCAACAACTCAAGGATGGTGTCAAATGTAGGAGCATACTATCGGACTGCATGAGTCAGGTACCTTGGCTTTTCTGCCGACTATTCAGAGAACTTGATCTTGACGCACCTCCATCAATATGGGGTACAGAGCCACCAACTGCTTCCGACACTTTATTTACGGAATTATATGTTCTTCAAGCAAAGGATCTTTGGAACACCACCGAGTCTACTGCATTGCTTATGGAAATTGCACATACGATTGAGAAGCCAGACTTGTCACAAACGCCTTTACTGTCAGACACCAAAGAGATGAGTCTAGATATTGTCAGATTTGTCTATTTGGATAATCGACGAGAATTAATGTCTCTTGTTCCATCGAATATTCTTCATAGGAGCAATAACTCTGATTCAGATCCACTACCACCCTACTCGAGCACCATCTCTTATCCGGGTCAACAAAGAAATTTAGGGAATGAAGAAGAACCCGAAGCGAACAGATTCAATGATCCACTTGCGGCTCTCGCACGACTTCTGCCAGGTTTTCCAGGTTTACAAGCATTACAAGATCGTGGAGCAGGTGATGACAATATCGATAGTGATAATAATGCTGAGACCGAAGCCGAAGCATTTGAACGACTAAGAAATCATATTGCAGGAGGAAACCAGATTGAAGGGTTAGAAGAAGAGGGCGATGAGAGTGCAGAAGGACCAGCACGCGGACCGTCATTATCCGCTGCAACTAGAATATTGGAAAGTCTCATGTTCTGGAGATCAACACCAGCATATGCTGACCCTTCTTCATCAGGTGCATCGGCTAATGAAACGGATGATGATGATTCAATGCATGAGCTGATAAATGATGGAGATGAATATCAAGGTGGAAATAGACAAGCACATGTTGAAGATGCTGATGAGGATGATGAAATGCCTGCTTCACATCAGGGGAACTAGATTTTTCAAATCTATACCTTATAGGGAATGAGATAATATATGTTGATTCTACCTTAATTTTGTTAGAGCGAATATATTATAGATACACAGCTGAAACTCTTTAAATAATTTAATCAAATTGAAGGTTAATTCTAGATTGAATGAATATATAATTGAATCCGATACAGGACAAGAACAATACAGAAATACAATTGATATTTATGTAGGCCCTGCTTCCTCTCAGGTAATTATAGCAAGAAGTGTATATTTGGGATTTGAAATATGATCTCCTACTTTGAATTTGTATACAGAGTATGATATCAATGCGCACAAGTAATGATGGTACCTGCATCAGTCCCCATAATTTGTATATTCAGATAATCAGATGAGAATATTGTGTAACCTTACTCGAGTAATCATCCTCTTCTAAAACAGACTCAGCTCAAAGCAGCCTCAATAACCTTCTCACAAGCCCTGCGTTCATTATCTACCCATCCATCGAATTAGAAAGCTTTCTAGTATTAGCTATTTAGGTACTATAATATTACAAATCCCATCCCATCCCGTCCCATCTTATCTTATTCTATCCCTTGGAAAACATGCTCATAATAAATAATAAATTACCCCTTCTGAAACATATTATATGCCGATATCCAACCATCCATTCGTTCGTTCCTTGTGATCATACTCGAAATGAAAAGGAAAGCAATACGGTGCTAAGTACTAGGTATATACCCGAGAACATGATTCATCATTCCATGCTATCTGTTCTGAGCACGTTTCATGTTTCCATCTTTGTATAATGGGGGTTTGTGCTGGGGGTTTGGAGTCGCGTTTCATTGAAGTCGCGCGGTAGTATGGATGGATGGATACGGTGTATGATGGATGGATGATGTGATTGATGTGATTGATAAGCGAGGAGGAGTGATTATTGCGTTATCGCTAAGGCTAGCTAGCTAGGTAATGGACAATGTCAGTGCCCCTCAGCTCATCGTCAGCCTTTCCTTCCGTCTACAAATACGGAATACAAATAGATATCCAATATCTCCGCCTTTCTTCATTATCCTACACTGCTACTGTTCTCTGTTTAAAGAAATCAAACATCCATTCTATATTTTGACACAGCATTACGATACACACAAACGATCAATACAGAAAACAAACAACAACTAAGATATAAAGAAAGAACGAAGAAATGGCAGACACAGAAGTGAACACACCGGCTCCCTTGATCGCGGAAGAGGGCGAACATACGTATAAATTTGGGATTACGATGACTTGTGGTGGATGCTCGGGGGCCGTGGATAGAGTGCTTAAGAAACTGGATGGTGAGTTTATTTCCTGCGCGAGTGTTTAGACACTTCTTCCTTTTGTTTGTTACTGCTGCTTTATTCTTACTGGGTTTTCTACATCCTCTCATCTTCTTTCTTTTTCACCATCTCTTCCTGGGCCGTTCTGGTCAGCGACATCATCCTATCCAGCTGGCAGGATGTGCGCACACTCATACACCGCCGCACAATCACACTTTAGTGGTTGATTACAATCCTTCTCTCCAGCGACAAAGAATCAGTAATCCAATAATCCAATTACTAATAATCCAAAAACAGGAGTCCGCGCTTATGAAGTGGATCTTACCGGTCAAACGGCAACAGTAATCGCAAAACCAGAATTGGGTTATGAAACTGTGTTGAATAAGATTGCGAAGACGGGGAAGAAAATTAATACGGCGGAGGCGGATGGAGAGGTAAAGAGTGTTGAGATTAAGGAATAGATGTTTGGTGAGAGGAGAAGAGGAGCGGATGATGGAGTAATAGTGGGAAGAGTACGGCAGAAAGGGGAAAGGATTACAGGACTGGATGATGCAGATGATGTGAGGAATTGATGGGCGTTGAGTGAGGTGGATATACATACTTATGGGTAGAGATACACATACAGACAGAGATGGAGGTAGTATGCAGTGCGAGTGGGGAGGATAATAAATCATGAAATCATAACCTACACATGTTTCATTCTGTTGATATTGGTTATGTATGGTATGTATGAATATGCCTCTTCGTGCTTTGCATGAACAAAGAATAAACTCGGAACACGAATTCCTATCCATGGAAATATACTTATAAGAATACACTGGTAGTCCCAGCAAATCTGTCTATATCCTACCTCTCCTGAAACACCAAAAAGAAGTCTTTATAGTTCATTCCTCCTCAAGTCCAAAGATCCCACTCACCTCCCTTCGCAGCAAAAGCTACGAATAAGAGACTAGTTCATGTATCTAGTGCAAACGCAATCACAGTCGTCATGAGGTGGAGAGGTGGAGAGGTAGGAGTTGGAGAGGTAGGAGGTGAAAGGGTGGTTGTATTGTTGTATCTTTGAATTGGATTGGAGGTTATAGGTTGGATGTTGTTAGAGTGTGGAGTTGAGTATTGTGATGTCGGTGCTGTTATTTTTATTAATATTTTCATGGTCCCTATTCACCTCTTATACAAGTATTTATTTCTCTCATCCACCAGATCTTTTAATTTTAATATAATATAAAAATGAAAATTATCGTTTTATATCTATAGCTGGGATTGAGGAATATATCCGATTACCTTATTTGTAGTAATCTTACCTATATAATTAAGGTTAATCATCTACCGACTTCGAAATCGGATGTCTATTTCGTTATCTAGGTTGAGGTAAAGAAAGGTTGAGGTTACTGTTTAAGATTACAATTACAACACCTATTGAGAATTTGAGAATATATTATAAGAATCATCTTTTTGTCTATGGTCTCTTTTTTTGATAGCAAGGATGTTTGTCTGTGTTGTTGTTAGTACATTCAATTTAGATATTGAGATATTAAGATATTAAGATATAGACCTCGGGAAGAGCAGTTAGTGAAATGAATAGGTGCGCATCTATATGAGATCTTTTTTGAAGTGCTAAAAACTCATAGTTGGTAGTACATTTGTGTTAATCTTACCGTGTGGAATGAGTACCGGTAAGGTTAAAATACAGATATAACGAGCGATTCCCCATCTGTCTAGCCGTCTTTTCACAAGAGCATATTCTATTTATCTTTATCTGCTATATTCACTAGGAAAAAGGTACCGGAAGGATATTTAAGAACGATGGGAATCGTTCTCTTTGGTGTTTACGTATCTGGAAAAAGAGGACACGGAACGCGCTCATGACCGGTTGCATTAATCTGTGGAAGTTGGGTTGGATGCTGGAGTTACTAATCACCCGATTTTGGGGGAGGGTGGCTTTTGATTTCGGAAGGAGGACAGTAGAGATATTAAGCTCGTATTCGGAGAGTTGTGCGTGTAGTTAGTTGTTTTATTCTTTTATATTTATTTTTGCTGTTTTTTTAGCATATTTGTTGGCATCCCCGACTTTGAAGATTGGATGATATAGCGAGGATTCCTCACGGATTTCGTGAGGAATTCGCTATTGAGGTCGAGGTTTGTAATACCTAAGTGTGCTGTATAGATGCTGGTTGGAAATACTGAAATCACATGTCGTTTCTGAGCTTGTAATTAATCTTTAGTACAGTTTGATCCAGTCTCAGATAGATGTTTTTACACTCGTGTATTGATTACTCTGAACTGTGTTATGCGGTTGTGGATCCTTTAGATCCTTTTAAGTAATATAAATTATACTAAAGTTAGACTTCGACTACCAATTGCGAAGGGAGGTCAAATCCTAATGAGATTCCTGATCATGAGTATATAATCTACAAGCAACTCATATTTTAGATTTTCGACTATCATCCATAGCTCTCAATGATATCGATCTCGCACTCAGGTATGAGAGTGTGGGTGAAGAATTTAATAACGGCTTCAGGATTGATCAGGCTATTTATTCTGTGGGTATTGGTCGTCGAGTACTTGAAGCTTTTGGTATTACTGTTAATATTATATTATTGGAAACCGTGGTTTTTTTTGGTTTGTTATTGTTTTTACAGACTCTCATCGCGAAACTCGAAACATATTATGATATTCCAATCAAAAATCAAAATAATATAACATCTCAAGCTGTCAAATTCCATCTGGTCTACAGAGATAATCTGTCTGTGCAGCGATTTCTTCTCTACATTCTCGTCTCCTGAAAATTGACCACATTTTTGCTACTGGATAGCTTTTTGAAAGAGCCCAAGATGGTTATTTATACTCGGAGGCTTCTTTGATACTGAGGATTTCTCCGATGAAAATATCTCTTGCAACTTTGACTGACTAGTACGGATCAGGAAATTATGATTGGGCACAGAATTTCAATGGTAGATAAGTATTGCAAATTACCAACCAGTATGTCTATCACTCCTCTGACACGTGCTAATAACTTCAAAATCACATTTTACGCTCTCACATAGAGGTATATAAGTATAAGAAGCTCGACTTTATTTTCTCGGCTCGTTGTAAGGTAATCTTTGCGTGAACCCTGTAGATGGATTAGTTTTATTTTGTATTGGTTCAATTCATATTCTCACTGAATCGTCTTGGGTAATTAATGATTGCTAACTAGTTAAATCAGGCCTGTTTCTATTGTAGAAATCATTGGTATCGTTCGTTTGTTTGTTTTTATTGTTGTTTGATATCAATTTTTATAGTTTTAAATTGTTTAAATTTATATAATGAAAATTAATTGTTGTTGGGATACAAGCTTGTTGTTATTTTTAAATTTTGTATCGATATGAAGTAACATTTTATTTTTGGGATACTTTTTCAGTTAGTAGACTATTCACTACACGGTTGATGGTGTTCTTGAAATAGATTTTAGACGTCTTTACATTAGGCTCTTCACATCCCATTTTTGATTCCCATAGCTAATAAGGTATCTCACGGTTCAGGATGACGCAAAAGTTAAAAGTCCTGGTAGTACCCGCAGAGAAACCAATAATCAACCCTCCATTCCGAATTCACAGAATCACAAAGCACAAGTATATCAGGTAGCACTCTGCAAAGCAAATATCCTTATGACTTAAGCTTGATGTTGAGAGGATTGGGGTTAAATCATGAGAATAAATGTAGTCCCAACTAGATGGGAGAGGCAAGAAGAAGGTCAAGTCATTGCAGATAAAGTCAGGGTATGAGAATAATATTATTGTTGCGATTTTAAAAGATGCCTCCAAGCGTTTAATGAGTGGTTACAATAATGGAACTTCAAAACAAACATGACTCTCCTACTCTCTCCGAGTCAAAAAGACAACAAAGTCATAACTAGTTAGCATGGTATTGAACCTAGTAGCCAAAATCCATCAATTTAAAGCTCATCCTTTCCATTCAAAACCTTGACATCAATCCAAGCTTTTTTGACTTTCTCCCGAGTATCCTCATCAAAATCCCCTGCATGCTTGATCGTCAAATCGGCAAACACTTTGAACGCCTCATTACTATCAACGGACCGAAGAGCCCGATCAGTAAGAGCCGCATACCAGATCTTGCCAGCTTTCTCCCAACTATACCCTCCCAACGCCACACTTGCGAGGTAGAAAGCATGGTTAGGAATACCCGAGTTGATATGGACTCCACCGCCATCATTCTCTTCCTCTAGGTCCTGATAGCCATCCATTGTTGCGGGTTGTGGATCCTTGCCAATTTTCTTGTGGTCATAAGCAGAACCCGGATTCTTCAAACTGCGAAGAGCCCAGACATTTTCCATGAAGGGATCAAAAATCTTTTCGCCGATGAGCCAGTCTGCATCTTTTGCAAGGGTTTCCGAATCGTATTGTTTAGCCATGCTAGCAAAGACATCAGAGATAGACTCATTGAGAGCTCCGGATTGAAAGTGGTATTTGAGATCGGCTGTTAATTGGATGACGCCATGTGTGAGTTCATGTGCTATGATATCAATTTTATCTGTAAAGTTGGTAAACAAATCGCCGTCTCCATCGCCAAAGCTTATTTCCTACTAGATGTGTCAGATGCCGTTAAATCAGAAGTATATAACGGTGAGGTCAAGTCACAAAGATAGACAAATCTCTGAACATCTTTCATTTCTGCAACAAACTATGGCACTCGGTAACTCACCCTTCCATTCCAAAAAGCGTTATTAAAGCCAGGCGGGCCGGGCTGATCGTCATAGTGAGTATTTCCAATTATGTGAAGGCCTTTATTATCAATTGAGTTGCGGTTGAATACCTCGTATGTGAGTCAGTTATTTGTCGAGGTTGAGTACAAATAGGGAGAAAGCCATCCCACGACCTTAATATACCTTGTCGTAAAATTCATATATCTTCCCGAAGTATTCATGTACATTTCGAGCATCCCAATCCATAGTTCTTAATGGTATCATATAGCGTTCCTCAAAGAGTAATTTTTTCCCCATTTCATTGGTTCCTTCAGAAGTGTAGATTTTTCGATAGACTTTACGAGTGGTTGACCTGGTTTCTGCGGTACGGTTAGCCAGGGCAGCATGATATTAATCAATATGTGCCAAGTTATGCTTCGCATGTTAGTCTTCCGCGGATGCCTCCTCAGAATCAAGTACTGATTGAAATATGTGGGGAGGTATTATACCGGTAGCGAGATCATCAGGTTCATCATCATGCATATAGGCTCCCAGAACACGGCTTTCATGAATGCGACAGACATGGTCGTACGTTTTTTGAGCTGCGAGAAGAGTGCGTGGACTTGTCAAAGGACTATCAATAATATGTTTGAGAACATGAGGAGGTACAATAGAGCAGAAGCGCGCCATTGCGAAGGTTTTGCTGATGATAAAATCGGATTAATACGTATGATAGCAAAGGAATTACGACTAGAGTCGAGGACGGTTCAAGGACGAAGGTAGCTTGAGGTAAACATGGTGACTTCTTTATGCCCCGCGTTCTTGGCAACTGGACAAAGATACATCGCGGTATCAGCCATGTCAATGATTGTTTTCAGGTTCAACAGGAGGGGGCCTTTGTGGTTGGGATTATTTCCCGAAGTTGTCAGTGTTAACCTACGTAGCTCGGCTCAAAGCCTCATTCCACGGAACGTGATTATTGAGCTAGGAAGCTTCACTGAATCCCATTATTTACAGCGGAATTGAGACTTGTAGGTGTATACTGAGTTTTTCGCAGTATAGTATTACTATGCGTGAGCTGGAGAGCGGATTGTGATAAAGAATGGAATGCCACGGCATTTACCATTTCCTACGTAAACAAAGCGTACAAGTTGCATTCAGCATCAAAACTATTTGATTAAATGAACGATAAACTCCACCAACAGAAGTTTTCCACTACTGTATGGGATAATGTGGAGGAAAGTAGATACAGATTTTTGATATAAAACATTGTGCTTGATGGATTTGTGAATTTGGCTTTCATTTGGTCTAGACACAAGCCATCTTATAAGAATCGAGTATCTGTGAAAGTCTCATACGGCAGATTTCTTCCTTCATCTCTCAAAGAATATCCCGTACCTATACTAAAAGGCGAGAGACACAGCTGAAATATATACGTTGAGGATTGAGACACACCAGTCTTTACTTGACATCAACATGTTTTGTCGTTGGGCCGCATATCATCAAGCTCCATCACAGGATGACTAATCACCGACTGCCCTACACCATTTCGAGACTTAGCTCTCTTAGCTCGCTTACGAGTAGCTTTAGCTCCGGATGTGACGGCAATGATCCACTTCCGAGCCTCGGTAGTTTCCCCGCAAAGTTTAAGGATGCCAGCCATTTACCCCAGATATGAGAGTGATAAGGCGCAGAACAGCACTTTTAATTTTCTCTCAACTGATCTGTATCACAACTTCAAGAACTTTCCTCACACAAATAAGAATACATTAGCGACGACCGCGATACCTCACTCATCATAACTCCTCACAATGGTTATTAAGCGTAGTGAGCCATGTTATGTCCTCGGTGTTGGTATGACCAAGTTCATCAAACCCAGGGGTAAAGTCGACTACACTGAACTTGGATTCGAAGCAGGCATTAAGGCTATGCTTGATGCGCAAATAAACTACGATGATGTTGATCAAGGTGTTGCATGTTATTGCTATGGCGATTCGACCTGCGGACAACGTGTCTTCTATCAATTTGGAATGACCAAAATCCCAATCTACAATGTAAATAACAACTGTTCCACTGGCTCCACAGGACTGGCTTTGGCTAGGAATGTCATTAGTCATGGAGGTGCAGATTGTATATTGGTTGTTGGATTCGAGAAGATGAATCCTGGTTCGCTCCAAAGTTTCTGGAATGATCGCAGTAACCCGACTGGAACAACTGGAGAAATGATGCGAGTTACTAGAGGTGTCACCAATGCCCCTGGAGCTGCACAAATGTTTGGTAATGCAGGTCGAGAATACATGGAGAAGTACAAACCCTTCATGCTTTGGAACGGCATAACAGCAGGCTGACCCATCGCAAACAGGTATGGTGCTAAGAATGAAGATTTTGCGGAAATCGCCCGAGTCAACCACGAGCATTCGCAACGAAACCCATACTCCCAGTTCCAAGATGTCTATACTCTCGAACAAATTATGAAAGCTCCAATGATCCACGAACCTCTGACCAAGTTACAGTGCTGTCCTACATCAGATGGAGGAGCTGCAGCAGTTTTGGTCTCTCAAGACTTCCTCGACGCGCGTCCACATCTCAAAGAACAAGCAATTTTGATCGCAGGTCAATGCATGGCCACCGATGCCCCATCTCTATTTTCAAAATCCGCGATTGATCTTATGGGTTTCGAGATGACAAAACATGCAGCGAAGACTGCCATGGAGGAAGCCAAAGTTACACCGGCAGATTTCAAAGTCTGTGAGCTGCATGATTGTTTCTCGGCTAACGAGATGATTGTAATTGATGCCCTGGGTCTTTCACCACCAGGAAAAGCCCACGAGATGGTTAGAGCTGGAGATATCACATATGGAGGCAAGATGGTCATCAACCCCTCTGGCGGATTGATTTCAAAGGGTCATCCATTAGGAGCATCAGGAATAGCACAATGTGCTGAACTTGTTTGGCATCTTCGTGGATGGGCAAATAACAGATTGATCGATGATACAAGAGTAGCTCTGCAGCACAACCTAGGATTAGGTGGTGCAGTTGTGGTTACTGTGTACAAGCGCGCTGATGGAAAACCAAATACTCCTGTTGATTCAGCTGAAGTTGGAAAGAAAAATAAGCTGGGTTACAATCCCGCTGTGGAGGCGAAAGGATTCACAGAGCAACAAGCTACAAGTGTGAGGAGTAAGACGAGTTCTAGTGCTTGGGCTTTGGGCGATGTGGAGAAGAAAGTGGAAGCTAGATTCTGATTATTTAATACCCTTAATATGAATTAGTCTCCCTGTTTTCCCCACTTTTCGCCATTCAAGCTGAGGCCCATCTCGTAATTACATGCTATCGACTCTAGTTTCACACCGTCAATGTTTTCTTTTATTTACCGCTGAACTAGTATTGAAATTAATTCGGATTTGACATAATCTGCTCATTACTGTTAATTCATTCTTTTACCCCTTATAATCCGTACTATTACTTTCCTACCACTACATATACCTCTTATTAATTCGGTTCCTAAAATTTATAAAGTTGTATCATCATCATCGAAAAAGTAATAGGAAGTTATTCATTTCATCTATTATATCTTGCTGTCGAATATTGCGCTGTCTGTTTCACTATTTTATCTTTTCAATGGTTAATGACTCTTTTTTATTCACTGAAAAAGGTAAAATTTACTCGGGCAGGATCGTCAACGCTCTTTTTTTTTCCTTTGAAAATAAGGCTATATTGCTATTTTTTGTTATGGAAGATACTTTTAGGGAAGCGCGGGGTTTGAGTTTATTGTGGACTTGTTGTTGGGTGTGGATGAAATTACTGATAGCACCAGCTTTCCTAGTTATGAAACTCCCCAACATAAATTCCGTATGTACCGCAGGATTGACTGTTAGGTAAGCCACATGGATATCCAAGTGAGTGATTATGGATATACGATTTGTTGATATGAGCGGGAAGGGAAGCGTTTTGAGCTACTATTGCGCTTGTTATTGTTTCTAGTGAGGGAAATTGCCTTTTCTACAAAATAATATACTTACTCCATTATATTATTGAAGCCGAAAAGTAGCAAATCGAGATCAAAATTTGATTACTAAATTTTACAGATTATTTAGATTATCAGTTGTACAAGAAATAGGATTGTTACCTTACAGCAGACAAACACAAAGTTTTGAGCCAAGCATTGTAGTTAATGAATCCCGTATGTAGTCCGATTCATTTTCTATCAGCTTTCAACTCTCCGAAAGTTTTTTGTTGTTGTTCTTATTTACTAGTGCGCATCTAATGATCAGGTCGCCCCTGCATTAGTAGATCGAGATTTGGGCTATAAAAGTATACGATGTAAAAGGCTCGAACGATTATAAAATAGTTCTTGAAGTTAGGGTTGAATAAAATCTAATCATCGAATTGGAAATTGGAGACAGGGCAAGAGTTTAGTTTGATGAGTTTGTACAATTCGAGGCTTCCAAGTATCACCACTGATCGCGTAGCAAACGGTCGGTCCCCATAGCGGAAGAAATGAAGATGTTTTTATTTTGCTCTATTATCGTGCGATCTTATCGCTATAACTTCTATTAAACTTATACCACCGCCTTCCATTCTCCCTTCTGGATCTTCATTAGCCATCGCTGCAATCTAATGATTTAGCGCGGCTAGATTGAACGCATCATGTGCATGATAGTGTGTGATTTATGGGAACTATAGATATGCTTCTACTCAAGACCCTTCAAAGTATCTATTAGTGCTTCATGAGTTGTAGCAATTTCCTTATTCTCTAAATAGGTTCTTAATTTGTACCTGAGCCCCCGATAGAGACCGAGGATAAAGATTGCTACGGTCGGTAAGCGAGAGATTTTCGCTTGGGGACCACAAAATTCTTCGGCTTTTTGCTCCTTCTAGGACTCCACATATAGTGCAGAATTGAATTTTTCATAGTGTTTTCAATGAAGATATACTAGGAAATAATAATCAGCGCTCTCGGTGATCTTATCGTGGTAAAACCTTAACATCATTAACAATGAAGTTTAATTGTCGACTTCGGAGAGTCAGAATAACGCTTTTCATGTATGCTTTAAAACAAGCTCAACAAACATCTCAAAAAGTTTGAAAATCAACACCATTCTCGCAACGATGCTCAAGTCTCCAGTCCCTTACTTGCTTGATAGCTCCTCGGTTACATTTCTAAGACTGACAACATTGCCCTGAACATCATAGAGCTTTGCATCACACAATTGTGCTTCTTTTCCGAGCTCCTCATAAGCTTCAAGCGGGATATTTTCCGAAGAGAGAAATTTCGACACACTGAGCGGTTCATCTACACTTGGGACCCTATTCTGTACCCACGATGTATTTCCATCTTTTTGGATTACAATACACTTGCAAACCATTGCTGTTCAGAAAGTAATAGTGACCGGCTAATATGAGTCAGTGCTTTTACAAGGTTACTTTAGGACGGTCTTACGGGAATAGTCATAGCGCTTGTCCCCCTATCGGATTTATTAGCTTGGTTCATTATTATTGGATCGGTAATGTGAAGGTAGTTACCGAGAGATACGTACCAAGCCGTTGATCACCAAATCATCTTCACAGATACCAAGGATGTGCATTAGAGACATGTTTGCTATTGGGTCTAAGATCTCTCTTCTGGAAGGGCGAAGGGCAAGTCTTAGAATATGAAATTTTCGCAGCATGAATATTGGAGGAATGTCAATGAATGTGGGAGCAATTAAGAATTAAGAATTTAAATCTTATTGCAGCTTTTGTGGATAGAATGAAAGAATACAACTAAAGGAGATAAGAGAATTGATATCTTTTCCCAGGTTCGTTGCATCCACATGTGAGTGGAAATGCACATGCTCCTCCACTTGCATATGCTCAAACATTATTGGTCCTTTGTTATTGACAATAGGGTCTAATTCTTCCATTGCTACAAAGATTTTGCGGGAAGTATGTAGGGAGGGACATCGTGTTGGGAGCGACAAAAAAGTGCCATCTTTATTTCCGCAGTTGCTCTGAACATTCCAAAGGCCATATTCATTGACCTTTCAATCCTTCAACTAAAGGCTTTGAGAGCTATTACTCTTGAAACCTCGTTTGTCTAGTTATAAGTCAGAGGCTTTCCATCATACTAGAAAGGAGTTATTGTCTTGGTTAAAGCAGGTCAAACAATTGTTCAGAGAGAAGTCATTTGCCCAAAGTTTGCTGCACAACCTTGGAGGCTATTGATTGACGCTCGTATTTAGTTACGAAAAGCTTACAGGAAAGTCGTTTCGTCGGAACTATATCTTCAGACTCCAAGACGGGAAGAGCTGTAGCCATTGAAGAAGCCTGACTTTCATATGTTTCAGGTTCCAAAATTAAGCCAGGCTCTTGCTTCCACTGAAAATTAGTGCTTTTTATTTCCAATCAAAAAAACATTATCGCTATGACGGGGTAACGACGAGTTTGTGAAAACATGTCTCGGAAACTTTAGGTTAAAAAGGCTCTAGTCGCTTTAAGGTGGAACCTTCTTTTCTTTTATATCTTTAAAAAAAACAAATTTGATAATGCTGGCGCTAAAAGTTAATGTATTTGAAAATACAAAAATATATATCTTAACTTAGTAGCATATAAGACACGGTCATCACTAATCTTTACTTTTATCAAAATTAGATTCTTTTGATGTAAGTAATAAAACTAAATCATAGCGATTGGTATTACGCAATGTAAATAATACAGAAAACAAAAGATAATATCGTTGGGAAATAGAATATGATATCCAAAACATTGCCTTTATTTCGCCTCATGTAGAAAATCGTCCCAAATAACAACTCCCGATAGTATATTCTAAATGCATCATACCATAACTCATGATTACCAGAGTCAGCACCCAAATTCAATAACAAAAAGTAAATTCACATCACTCATTTCTTCCTTCCCTCAGCCTCTCCAAAACTCTACGACTCCAGACCGCATGCGGATGTTCTTTTCCCAACACCCTCTCTTGCAATTCCAAGGCCCTTTCATGCCACAAAATAGCCTTTTTCCTCCCCTCCACACTTCCAATATGGATACCCAACTCCTCCCACACAGCCCCTATATCATTCATCGTCCACAAAGTATCCGGATTATCCTTACCCAACACCTTAACTCTCCTCTCATAAATATCTTCCATAATTTCCAAGGCTTCTTTGTATTTTCCTTCTGCTTTGAGTATTTTTGCGATATCAGATCTCGTGCGTAATGGATGTGGATGGTCTTCTCCCATAAGTGTGATTTGGCCTTTTAGCGCAAGTTGATGGAGATTGAGTGCTTCTGGATAGCGACCTTGGAATCGATAGCAGCGTGCAAGAGTGTTGAGGGTCCAGATTATCTGTAAGTCTGTTTCGGGAAGAGATTGTCGTAAAATATCTAGAGCACGGAGATGATATTGTTCGGACTCTGAGTACCTCTCAAGATGTCTTGTTTCTCGACCCATTTCATTCAGAGTTAATGCTAGGTCTAGATGATTAGACGGAAGAGACTTTTCTTGGATTGACAGAGCTTTCATTTGAGTCTTCAAAGCAAGATCAGTCAGATTCTTCTGATCGTACATTATCCCAAGGCTATTCAGAAGCCAGGTTGTGCGGACTGATTCTGGTAAAGGAGATCCTTGGAGTCCCTCAGTAAGAGCCTTTTCGAATAAATCGATGGCTTGATCTACCTTTCCAGCCATCGTGAAAGCTCGTGCCAAGTCCCGGACAATTAAATCGCGTTCAAAATTTGAGACAGATTCTGCCTGGCCCAAATCTAGTTGATCCAGTCCAATCAACGCCCTTTGTATATCAGCTAGATCTTCTGCCGCAAAAGTGGTCTTTGTTCTTTCTTTTTGAAGCTTCCAGTCACTAACTTGTTTCTGATATTTGGCTATTCGCTGTAGGGGATATGATTGTTTGTTTGAAACAAGAAAACGAAGAATCCATGTTGATCTAGCGAGTGGTGAAGCTACAAAGCTGTCGTGTTTCTGACCCAGTCGTTCGTCAAATGATGCTGAGGATAGATGATGGCACCAATTCTCGGTTGAATATCTCACCAATGGATATTGAAGATTATCAACGCTTGTTTTATGTACCACATCTGGTAGTGCAAGACTGGCTAATGTCACCTCAGCAATAGTTTGATGAGCTTGAGACTCTGTCATCAGGAATTGGGTGGCTTTCGCAGACATGGAGTTGAAGCTGTTGGGTGTATATAAGAATTCGCGTACAGAAAGATGAACCGGGTGAAAAGTATCTTTTTCTGGTCGGTACTCGATCAACGGAGCGCATAGATCAAGAACAACATCTTTAAAAGGGAGTTGATCTTCCATAAACTCTTCATTGATCTCATCCCAAGATAGAGCATATTGGAGTTCTTTCCACGACAATGGTCGTGTTGTGCAGCAGACCCACAAGAGAATTCTTCGAGCAAGGTTACGTCGTCGAATACTTTGCAAATCTAGCCTCTCGAGTATTTGTCCATAAACGCCATTGAGTCCCTCTGGAATTTTATCAATAGCATCCACAATACTCTTGGAATCGATGGCTTCAGCTAGATTTTGGACTCCCAAAGAAGCGTAAAGAAACATGCCACAGGAGGCATTGGATAATTTGCAAAAAGCTTGATCTGGTGCATCGGTACCTTTGTCTTGTAACTTTTTTAACGACTTGGTGAGAAATTTGTCGATGTCAGGCTGTGTCAAAGTAGGCTCCAGCTCTATCATTTCGTAGGGAGCTCTCTCAAGCCCATGAGCTATAGTAGGAAGATTCCTAGAAAATAAAATGAGTTTAACGTTTGAGTTGTTTTTTGCTATATCCGAAAATGATTCTGTAATGCTGGTGGGGTCGCTACATTCGTCTATTCCATCTAAAACAATGTAAGATAATGGGATATCCGCCACGGCGTGCTTAATGACCGAGAGGATGTCATCCGCAGTAGAAAAGTGCTGTCTTCCATACTTTTTCGCTCGGTGGTAAGCTTCGTAAACCTCGATCGGAAATTGCTGCATCGACATGATTAATTGTGCCAAGATCGAGCCCAAGATATTTACGGTCGTTCGTTTTCGAGTATCTCCAAAATCGCAATAAAAATAAGCGACTTTACAGTTTTTCTTCTCTTCCGATATCTTTTCAAGATGTTCGATGGTAACGGCGCTCAGCACGGTCTTGCCAAATCCTGGTCGTCCATGGACCCATAAAGTTGAATAGCCGTGAGATAACTTGGAGCAGTCTCTCCAGTTCTTGAACCTTGGGTCATCTCGTATCCATACTCCAGTTCCTGGTGAGTGTATACTAAGAGCTCGGTAATAGTCCTCTCTTGTATCAACCTGAGTTAACCATTTTAATATTGCATCCTTTGTGTCTATTTTCTATCCGTCAATATGGCAATGTATAAGGTTTGCATTGGTATAGCATATGGAAATACTCACCATATGAATCTCTATTATCTGCTCTGTTTACCATATCTGCATTGTCTAATGCAATAACTCCCACCATTTCTTGAATTTGCTTAGTTGAAGAATCAATCCGAGCTCGATGTGCCAGAGTAATTTCATCATTGAAAACTCGAGTATATCTTTCAATATGTTCTAAGTTATCTCTGAACTCCATATCGAAGGATTTCTTCACATTTTTAATAAATATCTTGAACGCTAGAACTTTGTCAGAACAATATAGATGGAGTAAGGAGACTTCACCAACAGCTAGCAGAAACCGCCTTTCTAATTTTTTCCAGAAAGAGATAAATCTCATCATATAAATTTAACAACGCAGTTCTCACACGCCTTTCAGTCGCGAACATTTTTTCATACTGACTGGAAATCGAAAGTGTGTCATTAAGCTTCAGCATCGCATTATCGATGTAACGAAAATAGCTTGCCGACGTCTGAGCAACCATCAAAACAGCTTTCAACGAACCCCATATCAGAGAAGCACTGCTACTTCCCTGAACCATCATGTCGACCACAGGTGCAAACCTAGTTAAAAAATCTATGACAGGCTCAATTGTCTTCCCGACTTTGCGGTACCGTGACGATGCAAATTTGGGGTGTTCAAGTGCTCGCACTTCTAGCCATACTTCATCAATGCTAATTGATGGCTGGATTGCCACCATGGACAAATCAGGGTGTTTCTTTTTATCCAGCAATCGGGTATTCGGGTAGTCAGCTGACGTGTAACACGGAACCTGGTCTGAAATCACGTTTTCCACAGGAGACTTTCGAAAACAAGACATCTTTGTAGGATTCAATTTAAAATTAAGTTTAGAAATGAATGCAGCAGTCGTTCCAGATAACCAAGTCGCATCTCCTCTTTTATGAACCCCTCACCGAGTTCTTGGGCGAAGCGATAAGAAAAGAAGGCTCACAGAACGCCAAGGTTACATAGTCAAATGAGGCTGCATGCATGGGATGCCTAAAGTAGACACAGCCCCGAGACACTGGGGTAGCAAGGTCAGTCCGAGTATTTTCCTCATCGAGCCTCAATATGATGATATCCATTGCAGCCTTGTCGAGGCGTATATCAGGGCTCTGCGTAAGATAAAGCACAACTAAACAATTTTTTTTTACATAATTTAAAATTCCTTGAGCAAGTATTCTACATGGGTTCAAACTCAAGAGAAGTTTCGCATTTTATATGCACTGTCCCTGAGGACCGGAAAGAATATACATTGGAGATCAGAAGAATCGTGAATAGATTCTTCGGTGAAGACGCAAAGATAATTCAAACAAAATGTCCTGTTAGTGTATTTGTCAAAAGAACTTCCAATCGATGATAAATTTAACATTTTATAATTAGTCCGGAGCCCAGAAGTTTGAAGTTCAACTGCCAGTTCAGGATGACCCCGAGGCTTTGGAATTAAGAGTGAAGGTACCTTTTGCAGACAGAATTATTTGACATAAACTGACAGTTATAGAAACTGCACAATCTCTGCCGTATCAAAGTCCATGCTTTGGGCTGGAAACTTGGCCCTTCGCCAAAGTCAGGCCTACCTGTAAAAGACCGCCCAGATACTATTCGTATAGAAAATATACCCAAAGCCTACACAATCGAACAAGTCCAAGATATTGTTGAAAAGGACTTTGGCAGCAAGCCCAGAATCCATAGCCTTGCACTAAGTACGGAAGATTATCTATGTGCCACAGTCACATTTCCAGATGAAGAGTGTGGGTTTCCGTTGGAGAAGCTGCAAAAATTAAAACACCTATCCCATCCAGATGCACCGAAGATAGCGTATGATGCAGACTTTTTGCACTTCACAACACTATACAATGCCAGTCCTAAAAGTTCGGAAGTTCATGTAGAGTATGTGTGTCTTTAATTGATCCGACGTCAACTGACCTGAATTGTAGTATTGTAGCTGTGGTGGGTCTAGGGACACATGCATTCGGGACTTTCCGCTCCATGGTTCCTGGCAGCTATAAAATGTGGTTACGGGATTTCCTGCCGAAAGACATTCCGGAGAGTCGAATTTTGTTATACGGATATCCATCGCCTGTTTCTGGAGCCAAATCCGTGGAAATTATCGAGGATATCGCGCGTGTTTTCTTAGACCGTTTGGCTTTTCTGCGCAAAAATACCTCGGTAGATGGCATCATTATTCTGATGAAGAAGCTATGTGATCTTACAGTTGCTAATACCAGTTGCAGACACTGGATCGTCCCATAATTTTCATCGGACAAAGTCTGGGGGGACTAATTGTCCAGCAAGCAAGTTGAATCTCAAGTAGCGAGAAATACATACTAATCGTAGAACTTTTAGGCTCTCCTCCAAGCCGGAAATAGTTGTGATCAAAATGAACTAGGGATATTGAGATACTGGCACGGGCTTGTAGGCTTCGGTATTCCAATTGCTGGTCTGGACAATCCCTCACTTATGAAAACCGTCAAGGCACAGCCGAACAAAGATTTGATCCGCCAAATATGCCTTGACGAGGATGGTACCCCTTCGCATTATCTCAGAAATCTAAAGAAGCAATTCGAGGAATGCTGCAAGGAAAAGGGCAGATATACTTATGCGCCGGAACTGACATACTTTTGGGAAACGTTTTATTCGCGGCCCCGACATGTAAGTTTCGATTCAACAAAAAATCTCTGGTTGAGTAGGCTAAGACTAAACAGGGTAACGGCATTGACCTTCAAGATCGTGTCATGGTACCTAGTATGGGGATACAAGGTGCCAAGAGCCTAGTAGTTCACGCAGACCATTCCGGCATGGTAAAATATGATGAAGAATCCAACGTAATTTATAAAGATGTTAAGAATAAAATTAGAGTAATGGTCGATAATCTGGGAGAGCGAGAACGGGACGTGAGCAAAGCGGGCACGAGCGAGGCATCTTTAAACATTTCTTTGTAAAGATAAATTTGAGGCGGTAATATTTAAGTATATGTGAGGAGAAACTATAATACACACGGACGAGACGCGATGCAGGAATCTCCAATATTGAAAGTTATAGTAGGCATGGTGTGCAGCATGATTTTGAGCCAGAAAATTGACACATGAAGCACCAACTGTTAGATGGTTTGTCACAGTTTTCCGTCGGTCGTGAGAATTATGCATTGTTAGAACTATTAATCGACGCCGTACTATTTGGTATTGTGGTGCTATTGGTGGAAGAATTGCACCTCACTATTATGCTCTGCTATACGGCTATAGTATATCCTTCTGGCCAATTCAAGCTCTTCGGTAAAAACATTTAGCTCTATACGCTATTTAGCATTTGACATATAAATTATCATTGAAGAGAAATTCACCTTCAGGCTTTGTAAAAGATATCTCAATCCAACAGATACGTTTCCTCTCTTGTGGAAGTTTCAAAGGTCGTCCAATTTCGAGATCGCAAAGAATAACATTATGCAAGAAACAGCGAAGATTTTCGTTGTCAGACGTGCAATTCTCCTTTCCAAGCCTAGAATTCGCTTTTACTACGACAGTTTCAGTTATGCCTGAAAATGTGGATTTGTTCCCTTACACTTGAAGGTCAAGATCTGTCCTGGTTTGATCTCCTTACCTTCTGACACTGACTCTACAAACATAACGACGAGTGGAGCGACTGGCTTTTCTATTCTGAAACAAATGCCTTCGTCAATAGGAATAAGATGTGAACGACTAATAACTTCCTTAGCCTTCAACATGAACATGGAAGCAAAGGTAGTTCTGCTCGTAGCCGAGGATGATATCGATATCGATGCCCCTTGAAGAGGAGGTTTGCTCTCAATTCGAATGAATTCTTTATCCTTGTCAGAGCCTTTGAGCCAAATCTGTAACCCGCCGAGGATATTATCCTTTCTTATCGATCCAAAATTTCGAAGTATGCGGAGCCTGATGCCATGTTTGCTAAAGAACAATTAGTAAGTATCAAAGACTGTCGGAGGTTGCTGCAACAAACAATTCTACGAAGACATTGTATCCTGTTAAAGCGTTTTGAAATTGCATCCAATGGGTGGAGCTCTGGAAAATTAAATGACCATCAGTGGCATCAGTCCCCCGCGAGTGTCCTCTTTTTATGATCAAATCGCACCTATAAAATTTCTCAAGAGGATATTTTGGGCGAATTGAAGCTTTTCTGAGATCTCTATCAAGAATTATTAGATTTCATAGCGTCAGCCATGTTGTTGTGTAGACTTACAATCCTCGGAATTTCTGAAGGCTCTCAGGCCAATCAGGCGGTCCATCAAAGTCTAAAGTCAACTCACCTTTCGCATCTATTCGGAGTTTAAGTGCGTACTCTTTTTGCAGATCAGCAAGTTTACTGCAAGATGTTAGTGCTGATCTTTGAACTGAATTAAAATTGTTGTTTTTGTTATACCATTCAAAAAGGACCCCATACTCATTTTCTTCCAAGGACACAGTTGGCGCGGTTGAGATACTTTCATGATGGTCTTGTAGAATGGGTGGAGATTGCGGGATTCGTGGCATTGACAGAAGCAAAGCGTTTATTTTTGTTCTTTCCTCGACAAAATTAGGGTCGAGGTACTGCGTTTCTAGTACTGTGAGGTTGTGAAACAGAAGCTATGAGTGGTCAATCAAGGCCGATGAGAAATAACGGGCTCCCACTCACAATTTCCAGCTGTGTTACATAATGATCTAGAGTAAAGCCTGTCTCTCTGATATCTGAGTCTTGCGGGTCTTCGAAAGAAGTGCTATACTCTTGAGAGTCTCGAGCGGACATCAAATAATACGAGCAAATCACAAGATGTATCCATCGGCCGGGAGGTTCACGATGCTCTCGTGCAATTTGTAAATTCAGAGTAAAACAATGAATATAAGTTTCCCAGGATCCGGAAAGAGCATTGCAAAGTGTATTTTGAAAAATGCGGTTCAAATAATCTTTGTCATTCAGTTGATTCCATTTAAATTTATTGTCGTGGCGGCCGGGTTGACTTACTCCCAGGCCCCATCTCTGTAATTCTGCTTCGAAATATTGGTCAATCTTTTGGGATCTCTGGTTTCTCGTTTCCAAAAGGATTGAATTTTCATCATCTGCATCTCTAAGGAAACAATTAGTCTGTGACAAACTTCTTTAGCCAGTAGCATAGAAACTTACGGGTCAAAGGTATCGATCAACACCTTCAGTTTCTGGTTCTCGATATCTATAGATTTTAAAACAGGACCCAAAATTTCTGATCTCCAGATATAGACAATGTCACCAGACGGACAATTTCTCCTAAATTGCTCATCTATTTCGTTTAATACAGCTTCCAGCTTGCTGTGAATACTAATCAAAATGCGAGATAGGCCTTCGGATGAAATATTATTGCTATCCTGGCTCGGGCTATTATGAACACCACCAAAACGCACACAGATTATCGACAAGTATGAATTGAGTTCTTTGAGTTTCTTGCTCAAATCGTCACTGGAGCTCGAACCATGAGGATCTATTGACCATTAGACGGGCAGTGATGGATTGCAATTCGGGGTAACCTACGAGATGTAGTGCATTCGCGAAGCTTATTAGCAAGGTCCCGCATGCAGTTAAAGAATTCCATCATAACCTTGTACTATAACCTTACCCTCTCAAGAGGTTTTACTCGAGATAGTAAACACCAGTGACCTTATAATGTTAAAAAAACGAGGGCGATAGTGTTGAAAACTATAACAACAGCCAGAACTGTGATTGAATGCAAGAAGAAAAGGCGCATAGAGCAGAAAAACTTATCTCAAGATGCCATTTTCACTTGCAGTGCCTGTTTGCATATGACTATCTACTATTTCCCCACCATCCGCTTATCGTACTGCTGCACTCCATAGCTCAATAGGATAACAACCCGAGCACGTTTATTGTGGCGCAACTGGTACTCCTAGGCACGGGATTACAAATCCATTTTGATAATTTTGATCATGGATAAGTGCTAAGCCTGGTGCGCTATTGATTTCTTGCATTACAAGAACGAGAAAATGGCGCGCAGTCAACAGTCTTACTTGGATAAACTCCTGTCACACTCAAAGGATGACTCCGATCCCACCTAACTTCTTCTTCTGGTCTAAATCCAAAGGAATGAGCCTGTCGCCCAGGTTATCTCATTGAAGCCCCTGCTGGTGGGGGCCAGGCATGATTTAAATACTCCAGGGCAGCCATGGTCTATGGCAGCCCTTATTTGCGTTTGAAGCGGCTTTCATATCAAGATATTCGATTTCTCTCAATCCCAAGCAAAGTAGGCATCCTCGAGGATCCAGAATCTGCATCCATCTAGGCACGTTTGTCGCAAAGCGGTTCACAAATCATGGACGTAACTTCGGGAAATTTGCCTGAAGACGAAGTCAACTTCATTGTGAATAATAACACTGCTAAAGAGTTCGAGCGTGCTAAACTTGATCGTAACAAAGAAGTGACGCACTCTCCCAAAGGCGATCATTTGTTAAGTCGATTTCAAGTTGCTTGTATAATAATAAATCGAATGATGGGTATGCCATTTCCTTCAAATTAGGTTACTTTTGCCATACTTACGACTTCAAGGGACGGGAATCTTCGAGTCACCAACGATTATTATACAACAAGATAGGAATGTCGGGGCTAGTCTCATTTTGTGGGTGCTAGGATTTATAGCTAGCATGGCTGGCACCTTGATGTATGTCGAGTATGGCCTTACCATTCCATGGCGCACAATTCATGGAAAATTTTATTTTGTCCCAAAAAGGTATCCCCTTGTTAAGATCCAGTTTGTTACAGGATGCTAACCAGTCCAGTGGTGGTGAACTGAACTATCTCGGATTCCTGGTTAAAAATCCCATATACATGGCGATCTGCATGTTTAGCTTTATATTCATAGTGGTTGGGAACTCCGCTGCCAATTGCGTTTCGTTTGCGGTCCATTGCCTGGCAGCAGCAGGAATCGATGATTCACGAAAGGGTGCAGTGCAAGGAATCGCGATTGGTACCGCTTGGCTGGTTACTTCCTTACATTCACTAGGCAGAATGTTTGGCATTCACTTGAACAGTGTATTCGCTGTTACTAAGGTGTCAATCCTAATCATGGTAATAATTATGGGATTTATGGTTTTAAACAATCATATTGAACACTTCCATCGCGACACATCATCATACAAAAATCTTGACCCGAAAACCAGTTTCGAACAACTCAGCAAAGGAGACCATGCTCGTGGATTTGCTGCTGCGTATTTGAATGTTATATTTACATGCGGGGGTTGGAACCAAGCAAACTACGTAGGTACCGTGTTGAAAAACCTTCAAGCTTTCACTAACTCAGCCTAGGTTCTGGGGGAAATTAGAAAGCCAATGAGAACGTTTAGAGGCATTTCATTATGGACTGTCGGGATCATGTGTACGCTGTACTTGTTGACGAATATATCATATGTTTGTGTGAACTATCGCTGCAACAGAAATAGGCTGACATCGGTTTCAGATGATAGTAGTGACAATCCCACAGGATGGAATCTTTATCGACGGCGAAACGGTAATCGAACAATTCTTTCAGCGGACAATTGGCCAAGCTTGGAATGAAAGACGTGCAAGTCAGGTCATGGATGTATGTCTAGCAATCTCGAGCTTGGGTAACGTCATTGTCACTACTTTTACTGCCGCTCGTGTCAAGCAAGAAATCGCGAAAGAAGGAATACTTCCCTTCTCTTTAGTGTTTGCTGGAAACCGCAACATCATCGAATGGGCACTCAAGAAACTCGGGCGGCCAGCTCAGAATCAGCAAGTAGCCCCAGGCATCCCAGCTCAGAATCAGCAACGAGCCTCTGGCATCCCAGCTCAGAATCAGCAAGGAGCCGCCGGCGCTCCAGTACAACCCAAATCCGACCCAATTCCCCTCCCTGCTCTTGTGCTTCATGGTGTTTTCTCCACAATCTTGATTCTCGCCTCACTTCGGATTCCTCATTCAAAGGACGCTTATTCATTACTTGTCGGTGAGTGATCCAGCAAAATTGCTTTCACTTTCCATTTCCAAAGACATATGTTGACAACTTTGTACAGAGATTTACACGTACCCCATTGATGCGATGGTCGCAATATGTCTCAGCTTAGGAATGATATTGATGCGGTCAACAAAGTCTTCTGAATGGAACACGCACTCTACCTCAAATCGGTGGTTTAGCCTCGCCACAGCCGTTGTTGTTTTCGTTGCCAACGCATTCCCAGTGGCTGCATTATGGATTCCAGAATCAAACCCTGGTAGCTCAATACCTTGGTATGTCGTACCTACCATAGGATGGACATTAGTCTTAGGTGGCTTCATATATTATCTGGTTTTCCGTTTCGCGGTCCCTCGTTTGCTGCGTGGTCAGATGTTGGAAGTGCAAAGAAAGCATTTCTATATCAGGGATGATGAAGGATATTATGTCCAAAAATCCGAGATCGTCGAACATAAATGGTCAGTGCCTAGATATAGCGACCGAACGCAATTCGATAGGCAGAATAATAGCTTCGGACTTCCTGTCATTGAAGCAAGGAGTCCATCGTCTTTGTGAGACGAGTTATCGGATAGGTTCCCACATTAATATATCTGTAGACTAGTTTAGTGATATTGATAAGTATACTTCGCAGCTTGATACAATTTGGCAGGTAAAACACAACAATAATAATTTACTTTCACTTTTGTATCGTTCCAGACATGTCGAGATTGGAAAAATCGGCAGATATAGCGTAGTGCTATGAAGCACTAAATACTTAACCTCATTAGTGAATATATAAGCTCTTACTAAATCTAGCGATGCCAGATCACTCGCTTAAAAAAAGGGTTGACCTCACTTTCTCCATCCTGGTGAACCAAGGTAAATCATAGATTTCTCAAAAGGAACTTAACAATCATACTCCCAGCTCGAATCTCCAATGAATTACCTCGATAATTAATTAGAAAGGATGCAGCAAAGCAGAAATATACACAAGGTACTTTCATAACTCCATTTTAGCATCGCGCTATACTACCATTGTCTCCCGCACAGGAATGGCATTCTGTTTGACTGAACTCAGAGGTCTTCCTTGTTCTTTTTAAATCTCTAATGACTTCAATCATACTCCATACATCATGGCCAACGATCATCGAGGACTTGCCCTTTAGTTTCGCAGGGTACCAAGGCACAAGTGTGGGGTTTAGCTACCTAAGATCTACTAGTACATGAAGATCACCAGATCTTCAGAACGAAGGATATTTTGTTGGCAGCATTGGCAGCATTGGCAACATCATTGAAGTTTACATAAGAAAGGAATAGTAAGTAAGGAATCTTATATATTGATTATAGAAGAACCCCCATTCCATTCATATCTTAAAAGTTGAAAACGAGTATCAATCTTCAGCGCTCAACACTCAACGCTCAACGCTCAATACACCTGAGCTAGCTCAACATCATAACCACCTATCTACCTGCATCAAGAAACATCCTATTCATTCTACTTACCCACTTCACAAAACAAAACGTGAACAAAAACCATGGTATCCCTCAAAGTACTCTTCACCTACCTTACCACAATCTCAATCTCAACCACCACCTCAGCAACCCCACTCACCAACCACAACCACAACCTCATCACACCCAACACCCTCATATCGGATATAAACACCATAAGCCAAGCCATCCAATCCCTAACTTACACCCTCAGCACCCTCAGCGCCCTCAGCACTCACAACAACCTAACCCTCTCCACAATCCACCTAACCCTCAAATTCGCCTCCATCCACACCTCCACCACCGAAGCATACCTCGACGCCAAACTGATCTCAGCAATCCCCTCCTTCGACTCAAACCGCATCGTAGAATATACATATTCGAACGTGGGAGTTGAAATACCCGAAGCTATCCGAGTATTGAAAAGTAAGAAAGAGGATTTTTCTACTAAATTTGATCTTTCGAGGATTGTTTTGCGGGGATTAAAGGTCCTGAGATATGATTATGAGAGATTTAGTAAGGCTTTGTGTGCGAAGTTGACGCCGGATGTTATGGATAGGGCGAATGTGATGATTGGGGTGATTGATACGGCTTTACAAGATGGGATTGATTATTTTTCTTCATGAGTCGCTGGTTGTTTTCTGGGCTCAAACGTCACCCTTCTGCAGAAAGAGATGGTTGGGATGAAATGTTTTTATAAAAGTTCAGTTGAAAGCGATAAGTGAAGGCTAAAACTTTGATAATTCACTCTTATTTTGATTAACCCTATATGCATCCAAACAGAAGTCAACAAATCACTTTTACATTTATAAATTAACATCTATATCTATATATAAATTACATAAATACACCAATATAAAACACACGCTCAGCTCAAATTATAACCATCTGCGACTTTGCTCTAATGAGCAAGTCATCAACTATCAAGCTAGGATATCATATCAAAAATGTATCAAGTCTAGAAGTTTGAACTTCAAATATTGCAATCGCTATCTGTGTTTCCACTTCAAGTTTCAATCCATTTTAAGATTTCCCATCCAATCCATCATTCACCATGTATCCACAAGCATATGCCAAATTCATTCGCCCCCTTATCATCAACCATACAACAAAATTCGATAAAAAAATCTCAAGCACCCTGGTATAACATTGTGATCCTTTATAACCTTCAATCGCAATTTGCTTCCCTCTTTCAAAAACTCGCAGTCATCCACATCCATCAACATCCATAAACATAAAAAGCTGCAAATTTTCGAATTGTCGGATATTATTCCCACCGTTTTGAAATATCAGAAAACAAGAGACATCTCCATCAACTTCATCTCAGCATACACTTGGCACTTGTGCACCATCAATTTGTCGTAAAAACTTGTGTCTCGAGCAAAAAGAAAGATCGACTCCCCTTCCACCCGTCCACCCGTCCACCCGTCCTACAAATCATAAAATAATCGAAATCGTAAAGGAAAATAAGCCATGTGGTGTGAGCGACTCTGCTAGTGGTAAAAGCCACTCTCGAAGTCCGCTGTTTGATTTAAACGAGATCTTCGGAATTCTTTTCGCGACGAAGATGAGGAAGTTCCATTTCATCCGAGGTAGAATGATATCGATGACGGGTATCTGTTGAACTGTTATGACCGTTAAGATAATGCTTATCTTGATCAAGAAGAATAGCTTGAGGCATAATATCAGCGTAATTGAGATCAGTGTCAACAATATCATCATCAATGGAGGTTACTTCCTTGATGTTCAAGAAGATGACTGGTGCTGCAACAACGAGAGAACCAGCAAGTAGACTCCATGTAATGGCAAATTGAGTCAAGTAAGGGTAATCCATTGCATCAATGCGCCAAGCAATAGCAGCACCAGCAGATTGAATACCCTTATAGAAACCAGCGAAGTTTGCTGTCTTTCTACCGGAGTTTGAGAGCGCACCCATGAACCTGTTAGTTGTTAGTCATAATGAAGAATCTTGTGATGGAAACAATAACACTTACCAGTAAACGGACAATTGCCAAACGGCATCATAAAATCCATAGGCGACATACAAAGCCAAACCTTCAGCATACCCTTCACTCGTCCAATCCATCTTGCCCTGATAGTCAACTTTGCCGGTGACATCGCGATCAGGGACACTAGACTGGAAACCATAACCTGCACCCCAAACAGCGGCAGTCAAGATGATCAATGCGATCAAACCAGCTCTAGCTCTAGTAGTTCTCTTAAATCTTTGAATATCCAGGGCATAACCAGATATGAAAGCACCGATGATCTGTGCGAACCAATATAAAATGTTATTAAGAGCTCGGGTTCGTGTATTGAAATGTGAACCATTAACACCATTAAATTGATACGTGTAAAACCAATTGGAGGCAAAGAACATTGGGAACAGGAGGAAGACGTAGACGTTGTTTCTCAGTGTGTACCAAAGGCCCCAGATTTCTGTGTTCCACGTAGGATTTTTCATGAGAATGACGTGAGATCCGTCGGCTCTTCGAACTTTATTTGCGTCGCATAAGCACAGAGCGCTGAGTGCTCCAATGAACATGAGAATGATGAATCCAATGTATGTACCGTCGCTGACAACATGATTTGCGGTATCTTCGATGTTCAAGGCAAGGGGGATCTGCAAGTAATTAGTAGATGTTTTTATTTTTGTGCTGTTGAACTCACAAGAGCGCCGAATACACCTCCAAGGTTAAATATTGACCAGAACCATGAGATATATTTTCCTTTAGACTCTTCAGGTGGATAAGACATCATGATGCCACCTTGAGCTGTCCAGAGAAGACCGGCACAGACACCAAGTAATGCCCCTGCAAAGATGACAAAACCAGTATTCTGGGTATGGCTGTAGCATAGATAACTGGAAGCGTAGATACAATAACCCAAACCACCCAAACTCAAAGTGAGTTTAATTCCGAGGCGATTTGCGAAAGTACCTGCGAAGAAACCCACGACAGAGAAGGTTGAGTAGAGCGCCGAGTTTGCGTTATCTGCTGGTTTTGCAGTAATTTGACCACCGCCACCAAGACCGCTGAGTGCATTGTACATACCAACACAGAGGAAACAAACAAGTGCGACCAAGACAAGTTGAACTTGAGGCGACGCGTAACAAGGGAGAGTAAATCTACCAATGCGAATATGCTTGTAAATCCATCCCGATGGAGCACTGGCAACTGATGGGGGTGCTGGAGTTTGTTTGGTCGTAGTAGCCGTGCTGTAGTAGGAGGAATTGGAAATAGCTGACTCTGGCTGTAAATGATCTGCCATGGCGAAGAACTAAAGGTTGCGATGATTCTTAAGGGTTGTAAAGTTATTTGAAGAAGTAGAGGAGTGTAAAAGTTATTTTTGGTTGTTATCTTGAAAAGAGGGTTGAAGTTCGAACTTGAAATTGGAAGGCTGCAGTCAGAAAAATTGGAGTAGGAAGGAAGGAGAGAAGGTGATTTTGATTTTGATTTTGATTTTGTTCTTGTTCTTGTTCTTGTTTTTGTTTTTGTTTTTATTTTTGATGTTTTATTTTAGAGGTTAGTCACATTGGTAGAGTGAAGGCGACCAAAACAAATTCTTGAAGTTGAAGTCAAGGCTGTACTAAGGTGATAAAGTGAAGGGTTTTTTTTTTAATGAAAAGAAGTAATTCAACACTTTCCAGATTCTTTTGTATTTTGAGGCGATTGAGGGAAAAGTAAGTAAGATTGAGAGATACGGCAGAGAATTGGTATCCAATATGCAATCAATACCAAGAAGTAAATTCTGGAAACTATTAGCAGTTGTTTTCGGTCCTACGGCCTTATTACAATTGAGTGAGTATTAAGGTGGTCAGGTCGGATACCAAATGAAGAAGGGACGATAATGTTAATGGTCCTTGCTGCTGCACACTTTTTACTCCTGCTCTCAATCAATAACCAATCAGGAAAATGGTATTATGGAAAGACCGTGCAAAGATCGATGATTCACCTCCCACCCTACATACCTAGGTCCGGTACTTGACAACATCATACGATAAACTTTTAAATCTTGGCTCGTAATTGAATTGATAACTTCGGTATTCTGTAGCTTCATAATTACACACCGAGGCCAATCAATGCCAAGATATGTTTTTGATTTGATATCTGTGAAATGTCTTGACATGTCTTGATATACCTTGATGGGATTTCTCCATCTCATCTGGTCTCCATCTTGAAAGTGGCATATGAGCAACTAATACCTTTTTACACTGCCACAATACAGCCAAGATTGCGCAGGATTCAATTTTATAGTTCGACGGATTCTTTGAGGAGAGTCCAGGGAGTAGGTATTGACATGGCATCCAGTCTATCGGTACATCAATGTTCATGATATTGGATGGACCCCATAAAGGAAGTTGGATGGATCGGACCACAACATTGAACCTGTGCCAGCACTTGCTTAAGAATCTTTGTAGGCTACACAAGCCCAGAGATAACTTCCATCATTCTCCAATCCCTTGCTGTTGCCAATCTGCATCTCGTTTTAACTCACGCGTTTATAGCGGGTAATTTCACCGAATAAACGCGAGATCCATATGCGCTAAGCAGGTATGTGTACCCGATTTTGATATGCAGCTCAGCTTACTCGGTAGAGATGATAACCCTCGATTTTTTGGAAGCATGAAGTGAAAATGCTTCACTGCCATTGTTAAGTCTGTGTGCTGTTGGCTTCAAAGGTATGGATGAACTACTTCACCCGTCCTTGATGTACACAGTATGCCTACTCGACAGTTTATCGGGCAATCTGTGCCGTCCAGTGATGATCCCCAGAGAGTTGTTGCTCGGTGAGCTAACATCATTTCGTCTCCAGCAATTTTCAGGAATCCTGCAACCTCGAATCATCCCAACATAAACGGGCACCACAGATATCAGTAGTATTTCGCCTCATCTTCCGCTGCTTCCTGGAGCTGATATACCTAAATTTCGGATGGGCAGAACTTGCGAACTCTCTGCCGATTATCTTCCCACGGATACTTTTCGGACATAAGATACGAGTGTATATTCTTTGATAAGTTCAAGAACCAGGTCAAACCCAAGCCGATCGAAGGTCTTGGTGACCCGTGAGTTCCTTTATACCTTCGCCAAGTCACTGGTATCCGACAGGAGTATATAATGTACATGAGTCGATGGACCCACAAGATGGCGATCTGTTACTCCCGGACATGCAAATCCAAGCTACTTGGCGATCTCCATTGAGCTCACTAATGGATCCAAAGATACCCGCGCATTTTACTCACCGATATCAAAGACGAGTATGAAAAGAAAGCGGCAGAAGGATCACGTAGACGTTCCTGGAACCATACCCTTGTGTGAATAGCCAGGAACCAAGGTAAGATTACAGTCCAATCAACATCACCGGTCTTCAGAACCCTTTAACCTCATGAATCTTTGACTATCATTTTTCAACCATCATTTTCAACGGCATCTTGCTACAAACCAGACTTATATTATAATCTCAGGGTCGGTGGCTACTCTGGATATCTCGACAACAATTGCGACTTCTGGTAATGATCAACACAGATACTTCTCAGCCCCAGAGAAAATCGTCCCATGGGACATGAAAAGGTGGGGTAATTCCCAACTCGTTCGGTGGCACAGTACTGGTGTACCCAGCTACTCCATACATACCCAGCAGCTATCAAAAATCCAAGGCAAAAAGTGGAATGACTTTTCCGGATTACTCGAAATAAATTCTGAATTCATCGAGTATCAATGTACCCTGCACCTCTTTCCGTTTATTCCGCGTCTATCTGTGTTATCCATGCCCGCAAGACTTGTACTTGGGCGTCAACATTTTGAAATGATAGCAATTCATGCAAACTCCAACTCTTTTTCCATTGGCGGAAGAATTCATGGAAAGGATGGAAAATTTATGAGATGGGGTAGGTAACGGAAGTCTTGATTTGTATATCCGGTTGTGTAAGGACTTGGAAGTCAGATATCTCGGCGCACGTTCCTTGTTGAATGGTGGGAGAGGAGAGGTAAGGTTACAACAACCAGAGCTTCAAACAAAAGACAAAACCTTAGTATTTCCCCTCAATTTGGGACTCTTTAACCTTTCTATCAATTCTTCTTTCTATTGTACATTCAATTGTTCAATACTAAGTTAAAACATTCATTGCTATAGAATTATTTATTAAAATCAATCTCAATCAATTAATCGTTTTAAGTTTCCCTGCCCAAATACCCAAATACCCAAAGTACCACTTGACATACGGATCCAAGGTCCTCTCATAATCCCTTGGTTTCATCAATAAAGCGGGCTGATCTGCATTCGATTGATATTTACCAAGCTTAGCACCTGTTGCACTTTCATCATCTAACACAACCAACACGAATAAAATCTCCACCTAATCTTTGCCCGAGATCCTAACAACTTTTGCCCCGATTCTCCAACCTCTCCAACTTCTCCGACTTCCAATTCTCCATCCTCTTTCCCCTCTTACTCCTCATCTCCATCTCCATCTCCATCTCCATCTCCCTACGAATATACCCCCCATCGATAATGGCATTCCGACAGAGACTCGCGAAACCTTTGTTATACACAATAGGAGCTACAACAGTTGGTGGTGGCGTCCTCTATTACACATACCGACCACGAAATATTCCGGGTTTCGATTCTGCCGTCGTTCCTCCTTTTGGCGCAGATGGTCATTTTCGTCCTCCTCGTTTCCCAGGGATCAAATCGAGAGCAGAACAAATCGCAGATTTAAAAAGAAGTGGAGGTTCTCAAGGTGCCTCAGCGAATACGACTCCGCAAAATGAGGATGATGTATATGATTTGTTGGTCATTGGTGCTGGAGCGACAGGAGCAGGTGTAGCTCTTGATGCTGCTACCAGAGGATTAAAGGTTGCCGTGGTCGAAAGAGATGATTTTAGCAGTGGAACAAGTAGTAAGAGTACAAAATTGGTTCATGGTGGTGTACGATATTTGGAAAAGGCGGTTTGGGAACTGGATTATAATCAATATGCCTTGGTGAAGGAGGCATTGAGGGAACGAAAATATTTCTTGGACACGGCACCGCATTTATCGAGTTGGTTACCTATTATGCTGCCTTTGGATAAATGGTGGAAAGCTCCTTATTATTGGGCAGGTACGAAAGCATATGATTTCTTGGCTGGTTCCGAGGGTATCGAAACTTCGTACTTCTTAACTAGGAGTAAGGCTTTGGATGCTTTCCCTATGTTGAAGAAGGATAATTTGGTGGGTGCTTTGGTTTATTATGATGGTGCTCATAACGATTCGAGAATGAACGTTTCTTTGGCCATGACTGCTGCATTATATGGAGGTACCGTGGTTAACCATCTCGAGGTTACTGGGTTGGAAAAGGATGCTAATGGTAAATTATGCGGTGCAACGGTCAGGGATTTGATAGACGAAAAGGACGGGAAGACATCAAAGGAATTCAAAATCAGAGCAAAAGGCGTAATCAACGCTACCGGACCATTCTGCGATTCCATTAGAAAGATGGACGATGAGGGAGTCAAGGAAATTGTTGCACCAAGTTCTGGTGTTCACGTTATTCTTCCTGGTTATTACAGTCCTCAAAAGATGGGTCTCATTGATCCTAAAACTTCTGATGGCAGAGTTATTTTCTTCCTTCCATGGCAAGGAAATACAATTGCTGGTACCACCGATTCTCCTACCAAAATTTCATACAACCCAGTCGCAAGCGAAGAAGAAATTGATTGGATTCTTTCGGAAATTCGTCGCTACCTCGCTCCAGATATCAATGTTCGTCGAGGTGATGTTTTAGCAGCTTGGTCTGGAATTCGTCCTTTGGTTAAAGATCCAAATGCAAAGAATACCGAATCCCTCGTGCGCAACCATCTCATCAATATTTCACCTTCTGGCCTTCTCACTTGTGCAGGTGGTAAATGGACTACTTATCGTCAAATGGCTGAGGAATGTGTTGATGAAGCTATCTCGGAATTCAAACTTCAACCTAAACCAGTAAGAAACGCACCAGATGTTTCTGGTACACAACTGCATGATGATGGAGCACATCTAAATGGAACATGTCAAACTCATCAAGTCAAACTTGTTGGTGCACACGGTTTCTCCAAAACTCTCTTTATTAACCTCATTCAACATTTTGGTCTCGAAACAGATGTCGCCAAACACCTTACTGAGAATTACGGCGACAGAGCTTGGACAGTAGCATCTCTCAGTTCTCCAACTGAACAAAGATTCCCTGTTAGAGGACAGAAAATTTCTCCTCTTTATCCATTTGTGGATGGTGAGATTAGATATGCAGTTAGACATGAATATGCTCAAACTGCTGTAGATGTTTTGGCTAGAAGAACTAGATTGGCATTTTTGAATGCTCAGGCTGCCTTGGAAGCGGCTCCTAAGGTTATTGATATTATGGCTGGAGAGTTGGGCTGGAGTAGTAAGAGGAAGGAGACTGAATGGACAGATAGTAGGTTTTCCTATTATTTTTAATTATCCCGCACCTTTCACCCCCAATTTTCTATTCATCTTTCACGGTTCCTCTTTCTCTTACAGTACCATCATAAACTCATACTAACATAACATCTTTACAGCCGTCAAATTCCTCGAATCAATGGGTCTACCAAAATCCAAATTATCAGCAACGAGAAAACAGGTCGAGAGTGGAACATTAAATTTTAAGGATTCAGTCGAATATAAAATGTATAGTAGAAATGATCAACCTGGTGATGAATTGGAGAGTGATCTTAGATTTGGAAATAAGGGGGGTTTGAAGCCTGGTAGTCCAGCGGAGAAATAAAGGGGGGAATGAATTTGAAGAAGAGGGATGTGGTCGAGTGATAATGGTGGTAAGGGGAAATAAATTTGGGGAGAGAGGCAAAAGACTAGAGGAGAGAGGGAGGTCATCGTATCCAATATGATGGACGGGACCGTTGAATTGTCGTTGGGGAAGTGACATGATGGATTGGAGGTTGGATTTTGGAGATGATACTAAGAGGTCAAAATGAATGAATGGATGCATATATGGGTTTGCGATGGTTCATTCATTACTTGTTGGCTCAACGGCGACTGAATGATGGGACCAAATTCATCGTCATGGGTTGATTGGGTTGGATAGATAAGATAGGACTATAAAAAATAAAGGAGAGAGAAAAGTAAAGAGAGGAGAGAAGAGAAGATAGAGGAAAATTAATATATTCATACTCACTCTGACTGTATATCAAGATCGATTTAAGTCCCCTGCTTTATATTCAGGTTGTTTTTAACTCTGATAATTATTTAAATAATTTATTTTTAATTGTTTTTATTAAAAAGTTAATTAAGATTTTTATAACGACACTCGTTATAAAATAATAATAATATAAATGTATATAAAATTTATAATATAATAATTATTATAAATATTTATTAATTATAAAAGACTTTTATTTAAAAATAAAATATAAGATAACTTTTATAAATTATATATTTTTATCTTTATAATTTTTAAGTTTTTAATTGATTTTATTTATTTGTTATAGAATTACACTTAAGCGAGCTTTTTATTTTCTACAATCTACACCGGGTAAATTGTGATATATTATATATATAATAAAGTTTTGATATCGATAAATCAATAATAATAATAATAAAACTTTTATTTTAAAAATAAAAACTAAAAAAATGAGATTTAAATATACGACTTTGATTTTGATATTAGAGATCTGAGAGAGGTGACTAAAAGTTAAAAGTATAAATATAAAAACTAAAACACTTAATAGAGATGGTAAAGAAGTGGCAATGAAAGTGATATTTATATCAAAGCAACGACGATATGATGACGCATACTTAATTAAAATGACAATAATGTAGAAAATACAATCGCAATTACTCTAGCTCAATGATCTGAGCTTAGAATTCTAGCAATGCTTTACTGCCACCTCAAAAAGACTGAGGGTTTCACAATTCCATAGAAGTCTCCAACTAGTGACATTGATATGTGCACAGCTATATAAATCACAATTCAATCAAAAATATAAATTTATATCGGAAAATGTATACAAAAAGTAAGAAACACGTCAGATACGGACTCATAGTGGAGATAGAGAATATGCTCCACAATCGGGATTTATTTACACTATGCTACGGAGTAGACGAAATATCATCAAATGTGAGTATATAAGGATCGTAATTAGCCTAAAGTTATCAGCATGGAGACGAAGCCAGAATGAAAACATTTCCAGGCTGTGAAAAAAATCATGTTCCCGGTTTAAGCTTGCCTCTAGGGGCTTGAATAAGATTGTAATTTGTAGACGTGTTGTAAGATTACCTCGATAGAACGGGTGAACTTGAGGGTCAATAAGAGAATTGGTTGTTGACAGTAAGATTAGAGATGATATATCAAAATCGCTACGATGAAATATAATGATATCCTAGCACCTGCAGCGGTGGGTGTATTAATTACCAATGAAAAGGAGAACGAGATGACGAGTAACTGACAAACTAATTGATTCACGCAAGAATATTCAAGGTCATCCATAAGTATTGTGGCCCGCACACATTCCGCTTTTTCCTAGCGATTATTCAGAGCCAATGAATCTCAATTGGAAGTCACAGGAAGAATAATGGTTCAACTTTTCCACACTGATCAACGAGACAAATCAATAGGCCGATTTACCTCGTTGTCAGAGGTAAGTACTAATCTGTCTATTGATGCGGGAGGGGAAAGGCGGGGTAGTTTTGGAACAAGGGGCAGATTGGAAAGTTAATGGCTCTCTCTGACTTGAGCTACCGAAGATCTAGCAAGAAAAAGATTACAAGATGATATATTCGTGTACGATTTTAAGGATGATGAGGGTATGTGAGAAGTTGAGACGAAGGGGTGAAGCGTAGATGGACTGCTCGCTAAATAGTTACATTTATCCTTCTAGGTGTTAAAAGAGTTACATCATATATTGGCAAGATTTAATCTTACATCATAAATTAAAGGATGGAGATACATGACCCAGGGAAAGTTGCGGCACATAATTACCTACTCACATCTCCTTAATTCATACTTGAACAAATTCTACCCTACAGTAATATTGAATTTTGTCATTAAAGGAGTATTTACAGTTAATTAAAAGTCAATAACATGCCCATTTTTTCGCATCATCAATCAATCATCCCATGCATCATCAATATGTATATAAGTCCCAACTCCGTCCGTTCTTTAACCCATTAAAGCAGATGCATTGCAAATCTCCCTTCGTTACTTCTCTGACGATCATTAATTATTGCTTTTCCGCTGTCTGCATCAGTCCCTGTCACCTTGTTCATGATTTTCAAGACCCAAAAGATAACTCAAACCTTACGACCAAACCATCACGAGGCTGCTCAAACATCCTTTGTGACCACGCCAGCAAGGACTTTTTCATCATAACTTTTCACCACACTCGTATTATCCACACTGACATCATCATCAAAAACGTCCACTTTTGTACTTGAAAACTTTCTCGCACTAACGCCTCTCTCGAAAAGAAGATCAAGTTCGGCGAAGGATCGGCCTCTGGGCTCTGGAAGACGGAAATAAGTGTAGATGATGCAAAGGAAACAAATTCCGCCCTGCTATGCATCAGTATATGAAAATCAATGGAAGTATATTATGGGGCAAGCTATCAACATACCCAAAAGAACCCTGCATAATTTTTCCAATTCCAAGCGCCGGGATTAAGCATATAGGGCGTAATGACACTGCAAACGATACCCACGACATTGTATAAGTTTCTACCCAAGACCACTGTCTTGATCTGAAGTCTCCTTGTAGACAGCTCCGAAACCAAAGAATAACAGACCGTTCCGACGGAAAGTTGATAAGCTAATGCCCACACCAACATGATAGAGCCAGTAGCTAGTGATGCCTCGGATTTATGCGATGCAGGAACGAGACCAAGAAAGCCAAGGATGAAAAGCATAGCGCATAATATACAGAGGCCGTAGAGGTAGAGAGATCGTCGGCCAATTCCCATACTCATCAAGAACCAGGCTCCGAACACTCCGGCCATGTTGATACCATATTGACCTAGAGCGAAATCGTAGGATGTTGAGGTGGGTAGACCAGCTTGCTGGAGGAAATAAGAAGAGTAGCCCGAGAAGGAGTTTCCACTCAGATTTTGCATTGCCCATACCATGCAAACGATCTATTTGGTGTCAGTTACTATTGGCTGAAACGTGATAACACGAAAAATAATTACCTCAGTTCGACGTCTATCCACTCCCCTAAAGCAATCCATATAGCTAGCTCCTTTAGTAATTTTCTCCTCAATTGCCGTAGTATGAACCATCATCGCAATAGTTTCATCAGCGTCGAAGTCCGTCTCCTTGTTCAAGCTCGTCAATCGAAGAAGTGATTTCTTAGCCTCTTCGACTCTTCCCTTTCGAACAAGCCACCACGGAGATTCCGGGGCGAGTGAGATACCAATTAAAAGCGGGACTGGCCACATCCATTGAAGAGCGTAAGGAATCCGGTATGCCCATTCGTCCGTGCGTGGTAACATTGCTTTGATAACACCGATTCCAATGACTTGACCCAGTCCCCAACAGAAGTTAACATAGGTAGTGAGGTATCCACGAAGTCCAAGAGGACAAACTTCTGAAGCATAAGTGACTGTAAGTGTTTGGAAAACTCCCCATGGCTATCGAAAATATTAGCAAAAATCTTGGGGAGGGCGCTTGAGGCGAATTTACAATACCGCAGAGAATCTCAGCAATTTCCAGTGCAATGACATCTTTAGCTGTGAAGAAAATGGCCGTGAATGCAATAATGAGACTCAAACACGTCATAACCGTGTATCGATATCCAAATTTCTCCGAAACCCAACCATTAATGAAGAGACCAATAATTTCACCAACATTGGCACCCTGGTAAAAGAAACACGTGAGTAAGTGAATTCCATATGTTAGTGATGCAATTCTTGACTTACATTACTCAATCCGGCTTGCCATTTAGCTGGCACCTGCCATGTTCCATCGGGTAATTGCTCACCGTATTTCTCATTGAATTGAGGAAATGCATCTAAAGGATGATAAGTATCGCAACCATTTCTGAATTATACTGAACTTACAAAAGTTACTGAGTAAACACAAATCGTATCCTTCCATAGCAATACATGTCGAGATCAGAAGGGACCATGCAATAGCTTTAGGATACAATTTGATTCCCTGAAGCAATGTCATGTTGTGCTCTTTTTCCGTAGAAGCCCTCGCATCCTTAATCATCTGTTTCGTCGACGACGTGACATTGAGATGGTCATCCTCCGGAAAGTGCAGAGGCTTCTCATTGTTCTCAATGCGATCGTGATTATGAATGCTGCCCATGGTGTTATCGGAATGCGAGTGATGTACGGCCAGATCGTCAGATGCTGAGGATAAAACCATCTTTTAAACTTGGGGTCCCCGCGATTCTTATGCTGTCTCTCGCACCGTTCCAATTCCAACTTTTAGCTGCCCTCGTGCAGGACTAGAAGAATGCGGGGTAGAGATTTCCAGGTCTTTGGGTGTTTCGTCACACTTTGACCTGGGGCTTGGAGGGGAAAGAAATCCTCAAATTGAAAGTTCGATGTTGCTGTTTTCAAAGATTTTCAGAGTTAGTCAGTAATTGCGGGGTCTGACAGACTGCACGGTAACACTAAATCCCTGATGTATGGTTGAGCGATAGTGTACCTAGGTAGGCGTAACGGATAGTTTGCATAAAAATGACCACGACCCCTTTTATAACCAATCATGAAGGATATGATTCAGGAAGTAACTCCACCAGTTGCTCTCGTTCGGTAAGAATAATATGAGATTGATCACATGTGGCAATTCACTGGGACACCACGAGCATCTTCGGCGTCAACGGTTGATAACGTTTGGATAACGTTTGGACAACGTTTGGACAATGCTTGGACGCCTGAAGTTGATGGGAATTGGCAATTTGTACAAAATATCTGTCTTCGCCACAATACAGTGGTGTCAAGATAATGCGTTGGCCATTGACATTTATATTAGCTGATAATTGAAGTTAAGCAGCGGTATCCTTCCTAGTGAAAATGTATCCCACCAATTGATGAGTGGAGTGCCCGCGTATCCTTAGATAGCGGTCTGAAAAGGACCGGACTGTTAGAAAATAGTTATCGGTGACTTTGAGTTCCGATGGCGAATTGCTTGAGATTGGGATACTCCACTTGGTAAGATCTAACCTATCATGGGCTTCAATCATTAAACTCGGCCTCAAGTTTCTTGCATCTTGCCCTTGGAGGCTGGATTATAAAAGAAGGGTACATATGAAGCGAGGCACAATGAAGGAGCATCGTCCCTCAACAGATAAACAAGACCACCACCAGTGCCACACGTGATAAGCCTTAGGAACCAAGCCTCGGAGAGAATTTTGGAGCCCTGAAATGCAGTACGACCTGTCCTGTACGACATTATATCAAATGCTGTACTCGGTACAGAGTACATGGCTTCAGGGCTGAGTTTGAGGACAAAAATATTCCACAATCACATGACCACAAAAAGGAACTTCTGATTCGGCGCTAGAAACTTGCTCTTCTCGAATTGTCTTATTAATACTTAAAAATGATAACCGATATAACAAGTATACTCAGTTCCCTATGGATTCTCTACATTCGGGCTTGACCCAACCAAGTGCGGCTAATTCTTAAATAAGAGACACGGGTGGCCACCAACATCACCGTCGCTAAATACGGCCCACGATACATGTACAAAACCATTGTTCATCCATTGTAATCATCAGATATATTGTTGCACTGTTGATCATGCGATCAAAGGTATCGTAGCAGGTCAACCGTACACGCTGCTGCGTCCGCGCACTCTTAGATACGGTTCAGACTATTTCAAATATATCTCAGTCATCAATAATGATGATAACTACTCAAACAGCTATATAGTATTACAAAATATCACTCAAAGTGATATCAATAATCGCCGATAACCATAGTCAACAATGAAGAAAAATTTCAACAAACTTCGATCGAAGATAGCAAAATTCAATGCTAAGGAGGTACAATCACTCCCCTCCAATTCTGTACCGATAGCTCCCCAAGATCCATCATCCATCGGTCTTAAAACCATCTATGATTCATTCGATGCAACTATCGAGTATGTCTTCTCATTCTTGTGTATCATCTGAACTAAATGTTCTCAGCATCATAGCCATTCATGGTCAAAACGGCCATCCCATCGAGTCCTGGACAAATAGGGACAATGGAGTACTTTGGCTACGAGATCTGCTACCGGGAGTTTTAGAAACAAATCCAGGCGTAAAGGTCCGAGTTCTTAGTTATGGATACGCGCGGAGTGATCCAGTTGAGAGTATTGGCGCTAGATTAGTGGATAGCATTAATGAGCTACGAAATCAGACGAACAGTGAAGGAAGAAAAATAATTTGGTGTGCGCATAGTTTTGGGGGTCCTTTGCTACGGGCTGTAAGTATCATTCTATCGCTGGGTCACCGACTTTGATTTGCCTTTCTTTAGTATGCTAAGGAAGAGCTCATGCTAACAAGCTCAGGCAATGACCATTCTTCCCGCCTCCAGCGATATCCAAGTATCAACTCACGCCATTTTATTTTTCGGGGTAGCAAAAAATATGGGATTAGAAAATTTGGATATGATGCTTGCATTGCCAGAAACTTCTTTGAGCAAGGAGATGGGAGGTTTGAGGAAAGAGATGTTGTGGTTGAAGATGGGAAGTGAAGGATTTGATAGCTTGAATGAGCAAATGGGTTGGAGGATTGTGTGGTTTAGGGAGGTGGCGAGTAAGGGAGAGAAGGTTAAAATTCTGGACAGGGTGGATGGTGGGGAGGAAAACAAAGGAGACGGGTACTGTGAGAGGGAGATGGTGGTTAGATTGGGTAAGACGCATAGTGCTATGGTAGGATTTGGGGATGCTGAAGATGAAGATTTCAAGGCTGTGGTTGAGAAGGTAAGGGAGATGGTTGAAGGAGCGCTCATATAGTCACTCTTCCTAACTTTACCATTCATAACCTCCTAAGTCTTAGAACAAACCCCTTCGGACAAATATCCTAGGTGTTGACTGTACCACCAGTGTACCTTGACGCAATTAACCTAAACTTTTACCATCGAATATCTGTCCTCGATTGAACTTGAGCATTACGCTTTGTTCATGTTTGCAAATCTTGCAAGAGAACTGTCATAGTCTCACATGTAATTTTCCAATGTACCGCAAGGGTACGCAGCGCTGATTGAGCCACATGCTGTGAGTTCTTCATAATTTCCAGCTAATCATGGTGCAAGGAGTGTTGGACTAGGCGTAAGCCCATAATTTGATCTGTTGTTTTCGATCATATTCCAGAGCCAATGGTGTTACAGCATAGAAAGTGTACGGGACAGATCACAGGGCTTTCACAGCGGGCATATTGAGCGGCAAGACGGTATTCTTTTCTCTTCTTTCAATTACCAAGTGAGCTGGAAATCAATCTGTCAGCACTCAGGTTCTGCGCCGTAGTAGATTGGTCGCTCGAAAGAGCTTTGATGGGTGCAAGTGTTACCAGCGCATCGATTAGGTTATACACCTGCGGCCAGTCTCACGACTTATATTGACCTGCCAATCACTTTGCCAAGTGAGTTTTCCATTCCCGATGCGCAAGTCTATGCATAACTCCGCCTCTTGCACATGTGCACAATTTTAACATCAATGGAGAGCCTCCTAATACCATGCAGGTATACTCATTGCTAATTCCTGAGCCTCGTCGAAGACGCTTCCATTGATCTTAAGTGAAGACAAATTCTGCCGAAGAAATCGACATGGCGGTGTGTCAATGATGGCTTCTTTTGGTAAACGATATTCTAATGGACCCAGTCACAATATTGGGAGCTGCAAGCTCAGCAGTCGGCATCGCTAGCTTTGGTCTTCAATTAGTACAGGTTCTGACGAAGTACGCGACTGATGCTGGTGCGGCTGCTCAAAATCTGAAAGCAGCTTTGACCAATATTCGTGTTGCGAGCATCCCCATTGAACACATTAACCATTTCTTGGAGGAAGAAAGTGAACGTTCGAAGTTGAGACAAAAGGCGACGCTCAATACAGCTGGTATTCGACAAATTCAATATATTATTGATGGGTGTTTGAAAGTGTTTTGGAGAGTGGAAGCATGGGTTCTGGATAAAGACGAATCCAACGAACTAGAACTCAGGATTGCAAATCGATTGAACGAATACAAAGAAGATGTGAAATTCGGTTCTGGGAAGCCCTCACAATTCGTAAAAGTCGACGAGGCTCTAGCGAAAGTCCGTAAACTCGGAGAATCGCGGTTTGCAAGATACATTTCCCCTTTACAAACACACAAGCTTGATTAATATTCAAGGGAACTTCATCGGCTCCAAGCAAGCTTGAGTTTGCTTTTTATAATAATCAATAAACCAACCGAACTTCGATCGTAAGCTTAGATTAACTACCGATGTAAAATCGAGCTTATACATGTGCAGAGGATCAGCTGTAAAGAATACTATGGATACTCAAGTGTACGATACGACTCCGCAAAACATCGAGCGACTCCTGTTAGACCTACATCCAGGGTCAAGGAGAATTGACGAAATGAACCATGGATCTCATTGGGGAGTAAACGAGTATGATACACAGTATATGAACATCCGGTTCATCCAAGCAATTGCCAGAACGCAATTCATTCCTGTGACGAGCGGCATAGGGTACATTGGTAATCCTTATACCCAAATTCCACAAAGTTATGTCCAACAACCGGATGTATACCGACGAGAAAATCCCCGGCTTCGGAGATCCATACCTCCAGCCGTTCCCGATGACCCATTGAAATCTTCTACATCAGAAGCAAGCCATAGCTATATCAAGAATCAGGAGCTCAATTACAAGAACACCGACAGCCCGCGGCGTAACAATACAGTATCTGAAAATGTTATACCTTCTGGTGACGCAACTATTGACGCTGCTCAGAGTCATATGGCACATTTCCAAGCAACACAAAAAGCAGGAATTTTCAATGATTTGGATGCAGGTGACACGAGTATATATCCAGATTATTTAAGAATGGTTGAAAAGCCTGGAGAAGTGGATAATTTATCAGTTATTGCCCAGCAAATTCAGAAGAATTTTGTCGATTTTGAGCACGTGGATTCGGACGGAAAGCTGCACAGGAATCTTGATGGAAAAGCACAATATCTGAGAACAAGAGAGCGTGGGAACACTAAGCCTGGAAGAATCACTCCAGTTATGGCTCCCAAGGTGCCTTCCAGTGGCAGCGCCCGAATCGTGCCAGCCTCAGTATCTTAGGCATCATCAACCGAGTGCAACCCCAATTGGCCTAGGATTAGCAGGGTTTCGAGGCCGGATATGCACATGAATAACCTCACTAAGAGACGCAAGACCTCTGATCTGCGCGATGAATTGAGTACCGCTGCCCCGTCCTGTACTAGCTTGCAGGCCGAAAAGCCCAAGTCGGAAGCACCACTGGATCCAAAACTAGAGGTATCATCCTCAGGCTATCCAAAAAAAAAAATTTAGTACCGCTTCAAATTCTAATATCTCAGGCAATTCTGATGATTCTACTGATAGCAACGATGATTTCGCGACATTACAAAAACCAACCAGCAGGTTTATTGTTGATAGGGAGAACCAATTCCGAAACTCGGATCCGCAAGCTGTTCGGTTTGATTTGCCATTAGAAGATCTAGAAGAACCGCAAACGAGAGTCGTGGAGGAACCAGAGAGTCCTATTATCCCGCAAGTGATCATGTACGATGAAACACCACAAGGAACTCCTGAGGAAAGAACACAGATAGTCACAGATACACTACTTGTTGCGTTGTCAGCCATTATACCAAGTCAGTCACGACTTGGAGTCGTCTCCAATACGCCCGAGCACAATATACAAGAAAATTGTGCTGTAAAAAAGGACGACACGCCTGAGGAGATGAAGAAGTTTTTGAAATCGGTGGTTGAAAAGTTTTCAGAGAACATAAATCCTGAGCACCAAATTGACACAATCCGCCGAAGCCGCCCGCCGTCCAATTTACCAGTGAGCCCGACAGTTTCATCACTTACCAATCGTCACTCTCAAACAACTCAAAACGGATATTTCATCAAACCATCCAGCATGGGAGGGGAATTGAATCATGGTATTTTCAAGCGGACAAGTTCCACACTATTAAATTCAAACCAGCCCCCAATAAATCATTTCTCCTCCATCCGACGATTCGAATCCCGGCAACTATAAAACTTTGGATTTCCAGAGTAATCAATCATCGATAGCTAGTTATTAAAAGCACCAGTCTAGTAAGAGTGGTGGTCTTAAGAGGATTTTCAGACGCAGTCATTTCACAGACGATGACATGGACAGAATGGTTCCAGCCGGTTCCTTTATGACTGCATTATTTATCAAAGGGCACAATTATCAACAGATCCCAACAGTTGAGAACTTCAAATTACGCAAGACAGAGATTGAGAGGACGCTATCACAAAAGCCCCAGCAGAATTGGTGGAAAGAATTTTGCTTCCTCGAACCTGCCGAGACCGATAGTCCAACGCAAATTCTAAAACCTCAATATAATTATAGAAGAGAACTATTAAGTCTCAGAGAAATGAAGAAGTCCTCTAGTCGACTGTGGTGGCGGAGTGAGAAGGGCCACATTGCGATAATCATCACTAAACCTCTGGCTAATCTTGACACGGCGCCGAACTCTACACTCGACTTTAGATATACACCAACTCGAGCAGCTACTAGCAGTAGCGCTAATGGTGTTACATTTGGCACCCATGTCTTTGGAGATATCATTGAAGGAGCTACGAGGTTGAAGATAGTCTGTATTGCGTATGCGTCACAACATGGAATCATGGAGAAAACTATGCACCTGGCAATGGCAAATATGACGGTAGACGACTCCCGGACTTTGTGGATCATGGCAGATCACCTCTACGCGTTGGATCCAGCGCCTCGGAAGCGATTGAATCGGATGTAAGCTCGAGCTTGCACTATCAATTTTCACCATGGCGAACCCACGAGGTAGGAAGACACTCCTACCGGACATTTCCCCAACGGCCAATCAATCCATTCCTTCCCCGAAGCAGAATTTCATCATATGATGAGCTACCAAAACTCGCAAGGCCTAGGAGACACTCATCATGCAATAGACATAGATCTCCGTCGCTTGAAAGTGACTCATCATTTGATGATTACGGACCAACATCATCCAGGAGAACCTCGGTATACGATGAAATTCCCATGGAATTACATATTAAGAGAACCCGGAAATATCATCCCACCATACACTCATTCGATAGACGGATTCACCATCGCCCAGAAGAGAATCATTATCTGATGATCTGAAGCAGCCATCGCCCCGGAGAACTTCGGTACACGGCGTTCTCTCCGCACATTCATCTGGTGGAAGCGTCTCGATACATGATGGCCGGACAAGCAACCCTTCACCTAAAAAAACGTTCCCAGTGGCCACACCGTCACGGAAAATCTAAATTGGCAACAAAGATATGTATCAAACAATCCAGGAGTTCGATCGAGCCGTTATGGTGAAGACTATAATGATTGGAGCAAGAGATGCAAGACAATTTAACCTTCACCACCATCACCAGAGCCTCGCCCGACCTCCTATTTTCTCCCATCCCACATATTCGGGCGAGAGCCTGTTATCCCTTTCGATCGGAGACCTGAATATTATCCTGACCATTACGACGGTAGATCATCTAACACCCATGAATTATTAGGGAGCGAACATGCCGGCGACGATATTTTGCAACAGCTCTTGTTAAAATGGACGCCAACGGGGGAGGAGGCAGAGGCTGCCTCCAAGCAAAGCGAAGATGAAAGCTTTACTTCAGGTGCAAATATGGCTCTGAATGAGACACTTGCTCAAGATTCTCAAAGCGAAAATGGAAATAAGCAACCAGTTGAGAAACAGAATAAAGAAAAAGCTCCTCAACAACAGTCTTGTAATGAGGTATTTGAGGGCTCCACGGAACTCAAAAGCATGTTTGATGGCGATCAGAATGGACGTTATTATTTGCCGAAACATAGGATACCACTGTTTCACTAATACACTTCAGGCCCCTATCCGTAGCTCAATTGACAAAGTAACGACGCCGCCGAGCCATGTTTCATCGTCAGAGAACACAGCTGTGGAGGTAGAGGTGCATTCCTTGATCGTTTAAACCCTGTGCAACGGCCTTTTCAAAAGAGGAGAGAATCGACATGTCTGAAGCGGTAAAGGCTGATGGACGACGTCCAATGGCAACTGTGGAGGATGAAGTTGTGATTCAGCAGATTTCAGAAAACCTTCAATGTTCCCCCGAAGTGCGATAACTACCATGTTTTGAGTTGTGTAATATTTCGTATTGAAGAATCCACGTATTTGTTTAGTAATGTAGTAATTTCGTACCTACTCATGATCAGTATCCAATAGTGCGAATGATGTCAAGGAATCAGTCATGTGATATGGGAGATGGACTGGGACCAAAATTATAGCTAAATGTACAGACTAGGAAGCGTTATATATGTACCATATGTAGCTTTGTGTAAATTAAGTTCTGGATACATATAGCGCGCAATGATTTAGAAATTCAGGGGTTGTCCTGAATTGGCAGTGGAAGCGAAGGGACCCAATTCGGAGTCAGCGATTAGCTTGGCCATGCAATATATCCCATTCTGGTATTTGACGCAATTATGTCTAAGCATACTTGAGCAATTAAAGATTTTACTTCGCAACCTGAAGGATTATCTACATCCCATCGTAAAGAAGTCGATAACTGGTACCATGAACATGAATGACTTCTTTAGTATCGCTTACGAGCTAAGTTACAACAAAAAAACAATGATTCCGTTTGCGGCACGTTCACGAGGCGAATTGCAACGATTCAGATTGACCCTGATTGGCATAATTTTGCTGCCCAACTTATTCACAAAAAAAGCCGACGAACTCAAGTCAATGATGCAGGTTTTCACGTTGCCAGCTCTGCGCACTTTCACGATGAAGTGCCTTCGTGTTTTGAACAACATTAGCTGACCGAAATATCCAACGAAGTCGACGCTCTTGCAAAATAGCCAGTTTCACATTCCTTGCTGGTAATTAACTCATCGATTTTCTAAAAAGTTTAGATCTCCTGGAAACATTCGCTTATGAAGAACCATGGAGTGCTATGGTGTTCAGCGACAGTAACCTAGTTTGCTTTTCGAATCTTTTCTAGGGTCTCTCTCATCTCAAACATCGTCTAAAATGGTTGAGAGTATTCTTAGGCAACCATGTAACAGTGAAGCACAGATTTCTCCGAGTTACACGATTTCACGGTTCTCCAAGAATTCGAAATCGGTGTTCGACATTGATCCTAGGCACAAAAGACGCCATGCCACCATATTTAGAACTCCACTTGGGACGAATAGTCCCGTTCGCACTGGTATTGTTAAGACTCAGCTGCAGCAGTATAGATGTAAAAGTTGTAGAGGATATGCTGCAACCAATACAAAGCGTAGTGAGGGAGATGAAGGAGCATGCACCAAACTTGAAGGTTGTTCATTTGAGAGATTTTCCTGGACACAATTCATTCCCCCACAAGCCCTTCAACATATAGGGTATACTAGATTGAAGCCACCCCGGTTAGCAAAGCTCTTGGTTGAGTGCCAGGCGAACGCGATCACTGTGGCAGTTGTGCGAGGGCCAATGTGTTGTTGCCATTAGCACAAAATATAAAGGCAGAAGAGGTCAGGTTGTCCTTCACAGATTAGACATGACTCAAGCTGATCTTTGAAGCTGAGCTAGCAGAATTCAATATCATTCACTTTGACGCCCCCTGAGTATCATCTTCGTTTGTGTTTTGCTTTGGAAGGCCATTGCTGCTAGATGATAGAGTATGTCGCAATTCTCCATCATTTGAGCCTCATATCTTTGTCCGAAACTTCAACTTGGGAAGTAATTTTTACTCCTTCATATTCTGTCCGCCAAGATAGAATGCAGCAAACTGGTTGTGTTCTAAAAGGGGCTCATTAATAGTTCAGTCTTGAGGGAAAGATCCTTACGAAGGTCAAAAGCTCCTTAGATGAGCACCATTGTGCTACTGAAGACCAGCGAGCCATTTCCATCACTAACTCCCTTGAATCCACGTCAGGCTGTCAACCTGTCAGTGATAAATCACAATTACCGACAATAATTGATCATGGACTAAAATTTGAAGTTGGGGAGGACGTATAGTACCGTCAGAATAAACTCGACAAAGTGACATCCTACTTAACCCGATTAGTCCAAAGACGGGGAAGCTAAATAATCATATAATTGCAAGGTTTTGTTATCCGCCTTTAGCTTACATTCATTGATATTTCTAAGCAGAGCGGATGCCAATTTGTCGATTTTATACCGTAGAACCTTGCTATGACAGCCATTTTGACGCCGAAACCCCGTGTTTTCGGACGAAACTCTTTAAACCCGAATTTTTTACGAGTATCGGGATTCCGGTATCTAAATATTTACCGACCAAAATTTTACAGTTTCAATGCAAAAGTGTACACGCAAAGAAAGAGTTGGTGCATTTTTCCCACGGATGCATCAAATGATGAGGTTAAATCCCCCAAATTTTGCAGGAGGGGCTTGAATTGCCCAAAATATTTTGGGGCGGGTATAGTGGGATTCTACTGTGCTCCCCCGCATAGTGAAGCAAGAAGCGCGTCTGCAGATGTAGAACTTGTGAAACCAGAACTAAAAGGCATAAATTTCTGTTCTGAGACTTTTCAGGGATCAAGTCAAAGTAGATGGCAGCGGTACCAATACTGTTCTCTGCTCACTTCTAGTGTTGGCATTCATACAATTCTCAGTTACGGAAAACACATGCCAATGGTACCCACTATATCCACTATAACCACCCTATAATTCAATGTGACGTGCATGATTACCAGTGAGCTCCACATTCAGCTTTCTCCTTTTAGCATTCTCTACATCTGCAACCACTTGGAAACTTACAAGTATGCAAGTGGCTGACAAAGACTTCATTCTTAGATTGTTGAAATTGCTTGGTTCCCCCTAAACCTCGTTGATGAATTGACATTATATAACAGAAACTAAAAAAATACTCGGCTCATATAACTAGCCTGATTTAACCTTACCCACCTGCTTAGCACCGTCATCTTCGTAATCATAAGTTCGTGCGGGGCTTGTGTGGGGTTGTGATCGGGCCTTATTGGGGCTCTTGACAGGAGGAGCCACTAATATGCATGCACTAAGACCCTGGATCATTATCATCTCACTGTTGTCACCACATCACCACCAAACCCACCTCACCATAACAGAATCGACATCATTGTCGTCGCTAATAGGACTGCCTGATCGGAGGTTGTCTAACCCTGGATGTACATCCGACGCTTGTTGGTGGGGTAGAGGCTTGAAATGGAGTTAGGAGATATGGGATGAACGAGGGGAGATGTATAAAGAGAACAGAAGGGTCCGTCTTGAAGCTTCCCTTCCACATCGACCGACACATCATTCACTTTAAAAAAACATCAAACAAACATCAAACAAACATCAAACAAACATCAAAACAACACATCCACATACAACTTTCGAAAATGCCTCGTCTTCCAACTCGCAAATTGGGCAAGTACGGCCCCGAAGTTGTCGCTCAAGGCTTTGGAACCATGGGTTTAAGTACCTTTTAGTGAGTTCCCCAGTTCCTAGTTCCATAACGAATATTTCACACATTACACCCTCATCCCAAGTGAACTTACTGACTCTCCGCTAGCGGCAAAGTCGACTCCGAGGAAGAGCGTTTCAAGGTGCTCGACCAAGCCGTTGAGCTTGGGCAAACCAACTGGGACACAGCAGATATGTATGGGGATTCCGAAGACCTACTTGGCAAATGGTTCAAACGAACTGGGAAACGTGATCAGATTTTCTTGGCAACGAAATTTGCAAATAAAATAGATGCAGCTGGAAACTTTTCAACTGATTCCAGTCCGGGGTATGTGAAAGAAGCGTGTGCGAAGAGTTTACAAAGATTGGGGGTTAAAACCATCGATTTGTATTATTGTCATCGGGTAGATGGGAAGACACCTATTGAGAAGACAGTGGAGGCCATGGCTGAGTTGAAGAGGTGAGTTTGTGCAGGGTACCATCGAGATACGGCATGTTGAAGCCATGCTAATATATGTGTCAACAGAGACGGAAAGGTCAAATATCTAGGACTCTCAGAAGTTAGCGCTAAGACGATCCGACGTGCAGAGAAGGTCCATCATATTGATGCTGTCCAAATTGAATACTCTCCATTTGCATTGGATATTGAACAGAATGATGTTTTGAAGACTTGCCGCCAGCTGGGCATCGCTATCGTTGCTTATTCACCCCTCGGCCGGTATGTCCTCAACAAATGTCCTCCCATATAAGTATCAACTCCATGCTGACCTATCTGCAGTGGTTTTCTCACAGGTCAATACAAATCCCCAGCCGACTTCGAGCCCACCGACTTCCGTCGCATCCTCCCTCGTTTCTCCGCAGAGAACTTCCCCAAGAATCTTGTTCTGGTAAACGATTTGGCGAAAATCGCCTCTGCGAAAGGTGTCACATCAGGACAATTGACATTAGCGTGGCTGGCTGCTCAGGGAGACGATGTTATCTCGATCCCTGGAACAAAGAAGATCAAGTACTTGGATGAAAACGTGGGTGCATTGCATGTGCAGCTCAGTAGAGAAGAGGAGAGGGAAATAAGAACAGCTATTGAAAAGGTAGTGGTTAGTGGTACGAGATACCCAGCGGGCATGAGTGACTCTTGTTTTGCCGATACTCCCGAGTTGTGATGCTCTGATAATTATACCTCTTAAGGGATCTTCAGCTAGTTCAAAGAAGTCGTAAATTATCCTATGTTTCACCATCCATATTTGAGTTCTATGTGACTTCGGGCCCGTGAGGTTAGCTATGTTCCAATGGATCACATGAACTGGGCGTATAGAACATGGAAAAAGTGTGACAAACCCTCTTCAAGAGAGTGGCGATGATGTTTACCATTGAGGCTGGCTTTTCAATCCCTCATTGATGAATAAATCCTCAAAAGCAGCATCCCAAAATTGATGTGACCATGAATTCTGCAAACTAACTCATGTATTGACATGTGCGCTCTTCCTAGGGAATGTAGTCTGGGCCGTCGTGGCCATTAACACGTTCCTTTCAAAGTTGCCTGGTTGTCATGCACGTGGCAGGATTTGTGTGGAGGTGCTGTGGGCACTTGGCGGCTACTGCATTAGTCGCATATCTCAATGCATCAACTAATGTATGCACGGATTAGTTTTTGATCACTTTTATGCGTTCGCAGTTTTGATTGCTTTGCTAGTTCTTTTTTTTTGACTTTTGACTTTGTTGTGGAGAGGAAGAAATGTGGATTTTGATCTGCAAGTCTTCATGGGTTTCCCGCGAATTGGCTGTGCGGAGGTGGACTCGCGGTAAAAAGGTGAGTTTGCTCGACGGATGAGATTGAAGGGGGAAGACGTAATGTGGCGGAAGAAAACAAAAGAAATGGATGTAAAAAAGAAAGGAAAGATGATGAGCTAGGGAAACTCGAGATGACGTTGAATAATCAGGTGTGTCGAGTCTTATTATCTGCCTGTGTGTAGTCGTTCTAGCTATCAACATGCAAATGTAGGAAACCTCGACGATGACTCGCAACATGTTTTCTGGCAAGGTGGAATGAAGCGAAAGCATTCGTATGTTGACTTGGGTGTCTATTTGCAAGATAAGATTCACCCTTCGTTATCTCGTCCAGATTCCGGAATCCCGTCATTCCCCATCTACGAATCAGATTTTTTGCCATGCTTGCCATTTATCTTATATCATCTTCCAGACTCCTCTGCTTCGGACTCCGAAAGGTGAATATGAGCATTGCTACTCTATCTGTCTACCAGCGTTCTTTGGTCAAAATTCCCCTCACTCGCCACCTCAACTGACGTCAAGGTAACTGAACTCCCCCAATTAACATTTATGTGCGTAATAGTATCGTATCTGTATGCAAAGGTTGTTCCCTGGGTTCCGCAAATGGAATGCAGAAAAACTTCATGATTTCCAAGTTTATTTAAGTTATAAGTACCTTACAGGTCCTCATAACCCTTTACGTCACCCGCAGCCACGTCGGTCGGCGACTTCTGTTGACTGATGGCCAAGCTTTGCTGTTCAGCAGCTTCCTGTTGGAGGCACAGGCGATCGGTAACTCGAACAGCATTCAACCGAGCCATTCCTGCGTCCCGAAGATCCCGAAGGCGCTGTGGGGCAGATGCGACGCTTTTCTCAACGCTAGTCTCCCAAGAATCCGGTACTAAATTCAAGCTTTCCATCACCCTTCTATAGCTGGGTTCATCTAAGCGAACCATATGTGCAAGCTTTGCGTATCGACTGCAAGCTTGCAATTGCTTAATCGGAACAGCGTAAATATGATGAACTCGCATGTACGTTCGTCTTTGCATGGTTCCCCGCGATAGAGACAACAAGGTGTTCCCGCGCTCATTGAGCTCCGCATGATGCTTACTCTCCAAGCGCTTTTCGTGTTCTCTTACCTCCTCAAGTTTGGAGCCTTTCAGGTCGGAAGTTTGCTGTGGTATCCACGACAATGGCATGGTTTCTTGGAGGTACCATTGCTTTGATGTATCGGGACCGAGGGCGCGCAGCCTCCGCACATATCCCTGAAGGCTGAGGCCACATAGGGTTGTCATCTATTATGATAACTTTCAGCATTAGCCTCGGAGCAAACGGGTGTGAGGGTGTGGAGCCTATGCACACGGAGATGAAAAGGCAATGATACGATGAAATAGCAGTAGTGAACGGCAGTATCTACACGAACTGTCACAGAACGATATTTGAGATCAATGATGAGGCTGCAGAAGGATTAGGACTTACGATTGCGATGTCTAGCACAATATCTCCAATGATATCCGAACCATGGCGTTGATTGATTCTCAAAATCGTAACTGGGTGGTTATGACCATCAATTTCTTTGATCTTGTCATTGCACTCATGGTTCTGAACGCATATGATGGGCTCATGCCAATCTTGATGGTTGGATAACCATACAATGGATCCATGCATTACATCCTCGGCATTAATTGGGTCGTTCTTGGACCTCATTGCCGGTTTTCGCTTGATGGCGATATAGTTATCATCAGGAGTGGTATTTTGAATTCTGTCCAACAGCCCTGCCGGCGTTGACTGTGGTGTGCGTGGGACTGGGGTGCTCGCCAACATCTGGTCAACTCCATTATTGACTTGACCTCCGGATAGATATTGATTGGAAGGTGTCATAAGATACCCTCTATGTGAATGAGATCCGCTAGGTGTGACCAAATGTGGAGGTGTTTTGTACTCATTTCGCGTCGAATTGGCAGAAGCCGATGCAGTTGAATTGACAATTGGGCTAGCTGCATTGTTGAATGAAGCGCCGCTCTGCGGGGTGGCAGAGAATGCGTACAGAGGATTGTAGTAACGTACATATCCCTGCTGAGTTGGACTGAACTGGCATCTTGGATGGTTGTTGTTTTCCTGCGGCATAAAAGCAGAATGATAGATAGGGTTAACTACTTGACCGGATACATTCGGTGGAAAATTTGCCGGGCACTGGTAATAAGGAACATTGCCCATAAAACTGCCATGGTTGTATTGGGGGTGGAAAGGGAGGATCGTTTGGCCAATGCCATGAGGCGGAGGAAATGCCGTGCCTTGGCTGTATGGAGTGTCAGGAGAATAACCACCATTTCGGTACAGGTTGCCTCTTTGACCATTTTGTTGGTATACATTGGCTGTCTGGCCATATCCACTACAGGAAGTAGCCGACTCCCCTTCGGCGTATTGCATGTTGTATCCTTGGGTGCCACTCTGAGATTGATAGTTCAGATATTGAGAGGTCGCAGGTGATGGATATGATGTGAAATCCACGGGCAAAGAGCTGGAAAGATCGTCGTATTGACCAGCCATTTTGATACTTTCCAGAAGCAAAACTGTACGGAAGCAATGAAGAATTAATTCATATCCAATGAAGAGTAGAATTAATGGAGGAGCTTGATAGTTTTAAGAAAAGCTGCAAGCTTTCCAAAGTGATTCCGTTGGTTCAAAGATATCCAAAGTGTTGCAATGGTTGTTGTACAAATATTTTGTGAGACTCAATGACTTAGAAGATGAGAGACTTCGTAGCCTTGCCGAAAAGATCTTAAAGTGAATACAACCCTTCAATTCACTACTGTGGCTGGCTACTATAGAAAACAAATTGATTGGAAATTGATTGTTGATATCCATTGTTATTTTAATGAATTAGCGATGGAAACCTTCACTGCAAATGCACCTCCAGACTTTTCATCTCTAGACATAAGCGAGTGAAGTCGGCTATGAAACAAGGAGTCTAGGCTTTTAATGAAAGAGCAGGCTGTTTGCTATGCACAAGGGCCAAACAGAGGACACATCTTCTCCCAATTCTTTATCAGCAGGAAGGCTTTTTGCCTATCCAAACCTTTTATCTAACCTTAAGATCCCTTATTCCTAATGGTATATTATGTATCAAAGCTTGGAAAGAATTGATCTACTGTTCTACGTCCGGCATTGAAACCCGTCGCATTTCGCCTACATTCAACATTATCATTTCATCTGTCTTTCCTTATTGTGGGACTCTAGGTTGTGGTATGGAAAGTTCTACTATGTTTTAAGGATGAGAGTTAGCCTTTTCGATGAGGGGGAATGTAGGATAGTATATTGGTTTGTAGAATATATGCCATGAGTGGTATATTAGACTCTTAGTTACTCATTAAGATTACTTTGAGCTAAAGAGGACACTCGTTATACTATCCCACCACGCTGAGGATGTGAGCCAGTGACGATATGAGGATGAAGAATATGGTAAGTAGAGGACAAGGAAGAATAGACGAATATCAATGAGATTTAAAACGACAAGGTATAAATTCCTTTCTAGATATGGTACTATTCAATATTGGCAAGTGAATGGTGATGACCCAAGATTTAAAACTTTTATTCTCCGACGAGAATAACTCAATCCTTCAATCATCAAGAGTCAAAGAATTCTTGCCGCCAGTATCCGAAAATGGTAAGTAGATGCATGGATTCCATAAGCGTTTTTTGATCCCTTTCAAAAACCTTGCCAAAATCATATTGATAAATCTAGTACCCTACTTCCAGGCCACCCCCTCTTTTGAACCATCTTTTATATCAAAAATAACAATTTTCATTTATTAATGTCTCAACAATTATTGAATTAAATCAATTAAAATTTTAATTATAGATTTATTATAAAATTATTGATTGATTCTGCAAATTTTATTGATTAAAATATAAATAATTGAAATCATGATTTTTAATTTATATAAAGATTTATATATAAATTTGAAGAATTAGAAAATCTTGAATAACTTTTCAAGAAAAACTATTAAAAATAAACTATAATTCTTTTTTTGATTATTTATATTATAATTAATAAATTAATTTAATTTATTTGAAAAAATAATTTACAATTATTGTTTTATTGATTTTTATATTTTATTTTATATTTTATTTTATTTTATATAGATAAATATTCAATTGATAATAAAAAAAATAATCACAAATCATTTTTTTAAGTAAACTAATATATTTAATCAATTATAGTATAAATTTTTTAAAAAAAATGTATAATTTATTTTTAATAATTTTTTTGGAAATATTATCGAAATTTTTCAAGTTTTTAAACTTGTATATGAATCTTATATAAATTAAAAATTGTAATTTTAATTTTTAATTTCTCAATTAATGAAATCACAAAAAATTTAAAATTTTCAGAATCCATTGATAATTATATAATGAATCTATAATTCAAATCTTATCAAATTTTATTGATTAGTTGTAAAGTTATTAATAATTGAAAATCATGATTTTTGATATAAAAGAGTGATCCAAAAGAGGGGTGGTTCAAAAGTAGAGTATTAAACTTACTGATTATTTCCGAAGAAGAAACCCTTATTTCAAATCAATATTTTGATGGCCCTCTTTTAAAGATTAAAAGATTTTTTAATAAGTTATTAAATCACTTAATAATATTAGCGGAATCAATGATTGAATGATTATATAATATATTAATAATATTTATTTATATTATTAAATTTCATTATTATATGAAAATTTAATTATAATTTATATGAGATTGATTTACAAGAGAATAGAATGAAATGAAAGTATATAGAATTTCTGATTTATTAAATTGAATATTATTGATTATTATTTCTTTTTATTATATAAAATGATTTTATAAAATTTGATTCAAATTGATCTTATTATTAATTATAGAATATACTAGAATTTTATTAAATATTATAAATATAAAGGTTTTCTTTAAAGAATCCTTTGAAAAAAGCAAGACAAAAAAAATAATAATAATAAAAATCTCTATTATTCTAACTTCAATTTATGATTATATTCGATTTTACTCTATTGAGCTTAAATGCGACTAAGTCTTCTACTATTAGTATAAATAATATTATTATTTATTATCAATTAATCTCCTTTAAGAATTATTATAATAATATTACTATTATTTATAGTGATAGTAGAAGACTTGATTATATTTAAGTTCAATAGGGTAAAGTTGAATATAATCATAAATTAAAGTCAGAATAATAAAATAGAGATTTTTATTGTTTATTTTATCTTGATAATCAAAGGATTCTTTAAAGAAAAACCTTTATATTTATAATATTTAATAAAATTCTAGTATATTGTCACGATTCACGGTTTAGATTATAGTAGTAATATTGATGTCGGTGATTTAGATGCCGATTACCGGGGGGGTGTGATTTAACTATTGCTTTCAGGGGTCCTGATCGTTTACGAATAGGAACCCGGGATTCCTAGGATAAGTATCCTAGGCAATCATAGTAGAATAGAACAAATGTTCTAGTTAATCGGTTGTAATGGGACAATTACCCTAAGGTATATTAATAATAAGATCAATTTGAATCAAATTTTATAAAATCATTTTATATAATAAAAAGAAATAATAATCAATAATATTCAATTTAATAAATCAGAAATTCTATATACTTTCATTTCATTCTATTCTCTTGTAAATCAATCTCATATAAATTATAATTAAATTTTCATATAATAATGAAATTTAATAATATAAATAAATATTATTAATATATTATATAATCATTCAATCATTGATTCCGCTAATATTATTAAGTGATTTAATAATTTATTAGAGAATTGTTACGACCACAGATCTTACGAATTGCAACCATTGATATTACCTTAAGCCCCTGCTTGACGCCTAGTTATAAACCATTCGAGGATCCAGGCCGCTTCCACGTGATCTAGACCGCAACCCTCGTAACAAGAATCTCATAATAATTATTATTTAATATTGTTTAACCTCCTTCAAGAAAGATATAACAGCAACTTATAAGATGTAGAGAAAATTATAAATATTTTTTCAAATTGAAATTATCATTCTAACATGTTTCACAATTAAAAAGTTGAAAGATCATGAGTTTAAAACGTTTTTTATTTTTCGCTAATTAATTACGTAGTGCTCTCGCTAAGAAAACACCTCGAGCATGTTTGACTTCGTTATCGCAAACAGGCACATGTCGTTATCGGAAAGACGGTGGGTGGCAGTGTGAAGATTGGCTCGCGGGATGACTCCATAGCATAGAATCTCCGGGAAGAGAAAATATGAATGGAGGTAGGTCGGCTTCAAACCCAGGACCAGAGTGAAGAACGTCGCCCAACTTCGTACACCGGAGGTGATGGCACGAACTTGCAGGCGACAGGATTAAAAACAATCGGTTGTTCCAGAGAAGCTTCATCCCGTTCTAGTGTTATTGATCGCTCTAACAGTCTTCGATTGAACCCAACAAGATTGAACTCTGCTCGTTTCAGAAATGGCTCCTCGCTCATTTTTGGTGTCGGTCGTGAGGTGCTTGGGCATGTCTCAATTCGTTTGTCAAAGATTTCCCCATCGGTTGGCAATCCAAACCTGCTGCGCACCTCGTTGTAGCCTTGCTTATTCAAGCGGACATATCTGCTTGCGTCTGGTTTCTGCGGGCTATAAGCATGCAGCTGCTTTACCGACACGCGGTAAATATGATTGATTTCGACAAAGAGCTGTCTAGAAGTTGAGCTATTTTCCAGGCCCAACAGCGGTTTCTGCAATCTGTTGAGCAATTCAATCTCTTTCGGTCTGTCCTGCTTCCTATGAGAGTTGAACTCGATCGGCAGACTGTTCATACGCTTGCAATAGTTGAAGTCGCTATACGTTTGCAGAATTGATTTTCCCGTGAAGCTAGTAAGTGGTACGATCTCCAAGATCATATCACCCTCTTCTCTCGACTCCGGATTTTGACAATGGTCCAATACTAAGAATGGATGATTATATCCCCCGTAGTTCAATTCTCTCTGCGTGCATAAATGACCTCCCGAGCTTCGACAGCAGGCGAAGGGTTTCGCCGGAAGCCCCCATTCATCTGTTGTCGGTTCGTATGCCCAGATAATTACTCCGTTGAGGATCAGTGTATGATCCAGTGGTTTTTTAATCACCGACTTCCAAGGTCGATCGTCTTTGTTCCCGCGTTGTATATGTGGAGGAGCGAGCTGTAGCCCTTGTAGATTGTTTGAGAATTGCTGATAATTGTGGTTCTGCATGTTGTAATTGGCCAGGGGATAAGAATAATACCCCTTTTGTTGTATATATTCTTGAGGAAACTGTCCAAATTGAACCGCGGCCCAATATTGCTGATAATTCTGGCTTTGTGTGTTGTAGGCGGCCGTTTGGCCATAATAATGTGAATAATCCATTGGTTTGGATTTAAATTGAGTCAAGAAAAGCGGTATATATACCTTTTGAGCAAGGTCTTCATAATTTGATCATTATATAAATGAAGGTTGTTCGAGTTGGAAGAGTAAATGAACTCAGGTATTCGCTGCCCTGCGCGGACGCGAAGCCTGGAAAGAGTCCTGAAATGAGAAGATGAGGATATTATGTAGTTTAAGAAGAGTGATTAATAAATTTAAAAAAGAATTTGAAGAGAATAGGACAACTTCGCTTATTTATCGAATAGTCAATTCTAGGCCCCGCGCGATTAGTTTCAATCCCTGTTTTTTCCTGTCTAAATGGCTTGTCTAATGATGTCACAAACACCGGACTTGAGCTATCCCTTATTTGGTCATCATTTTCAGTCCAATTAGTTGTTAGCGACCTACTAGTACCTAGTTGCCGAGCTTTTGATCGACATCACTGATTCTGTTCCAAGGAATATGATATAGGGAAAGCGAGCTCATGGGAATAATGTAAGAGAATCTTGGGATCTCCCAGGCCCTTGAGGACCGAATAATTCTATTTAAATGCTGACTATTACATGCAGTCTGCTCTGGGGCATTCGCCAGTCAACTACGTATATTCGTAAAGATCCTAACTTATTGGTCAATGGCTTAGGATATTGACCGTTGAGCTGCATATTTGGATAAACTGGCTCATTGCGCAATACACCTAGTTCAGATAAAAATGAGGCTACGCACAAATAAGCTAAATTCACACAAAAATAATATATTCAATGCCCTATTTTGTTGACAAATGAACTAATATATATAGTAATACAACCCCTTGATATATCAACTCACTACCACTAACTCCCTCTATACAAGGATGAAATCACAACCTTATTACCAGTCTCATTTTCAACCTCATTACCGACCTTATTACGCCACTCATTTTCAACTTCATTGTCATCCTCATTTTCAAATTCATGATCAACTTTATCTCTATTTTCAATTTTATTTTCCTTCTTTCTTTTTATAATAATCTGATAATTATTTAAAACTTATCTTTACAAATTTTAAACTTTTATATAAGTCTAGTACTCTACTTTTAGACCACCCCTAATATAGACCACCTTTTTACACTAAAAATCGTAATTTACACCTATTAATAACTTTACAATTAATCAATAAAATTTGATGAAACTTGAATCGTAGGTTCATTATATAGTTACAACTCAATTCTGAAAATTTGAGATTTCTTGGAATCAATTTTATTGAGATCTGTAATCTTAAATTTTATGATTTTTAATTTGTATAGAATTTATATACAAATTTACAAAATCTTTAAAATCTTGAATAACTTTTCAACAAAAATAATTAAAAATAAATGATAAATTTTTTTCGAATACTTATATCATAATCAATCAAATAGATTAATTTATTTTGAAAAATATTTTACAAAAATGCTTTTAATCAAAATGTTATGATTTTTAATTCTTGTAAAATCTAAAAATATCAATAGAGATTCATTTATATTATTTAAAATTCAAAATATTAATCTATTATATAATATTTGATCTAAAAATCTTAAAAAGTTTATAGTTTATTTTTAGCAATTTTTATTGAAAAGTTATTCAAGATTTTCAATATTTTCAAATTTATATGTAAATTTAATACAAATTGAAAGTTGTAATTTCAACTTTCAATTTCTCAATCAATAAAATTAAGAAAAATCTGAAAATTTCAGAATCCATCAATAATTATATAATAAATCTATAATTAAAATTTCAATTTATTTAATTTATTTGTCATTGAATTATTAATAGTTGAAAATAACGATTTTTGATGTAAAAAGGTGGTCCATATTAGGGGTGGTCCAAAAGTAGAGTACTAGACTTATACTAAATTCCGAAGGTCTTGAATTTCTATAACCCTTGAACCTTTATTGGCATTTTAAGCTTCAACTCCTTATAAACCTTAATTATTGTTGAATTATGATGATGACGTTACAGAAAGTATTTGTGGATGAGTTTAGTTTATTTGTAAATAGCCTCATTTTTACCTAGGCCGGGGTGCATTGAGAAGTAAGCTAGTTCGTTCAAAAATGCTGCTCATTGGTTAATAACCCGAAAGAAGTCTTTCACTCTTATCTAACTGTAAAATTTCTGCACATCTGCATGCACCAATCTCAATTTTGCCCCCTCACCCCAAGAATACACATGTCAAAATAGGTATCAGATCACGCTACGCGATCGTGATGTTGGGATTGGCGTGTGACTAAGCCTCCCACTACACCTAGTTGGGTAGAGCTTGACTAACGTCAGACAGGCTTCGACTAGTGCAATTTTTTCTAATGAGAACATAAGGTTAAGCACTTCTTGGAAAAGTGCGTTGATTGATTTACATATGTCGAAATCATATGACTGCAACTCCCGCGATAGGATATTTCGAGAATTATATAATTTGGTAATATGGGACAAATTTACTGCCGCCGTTGTGATCCCTGACAGTTACAAAAGTGGTCGGCCGATATGATCTGAGGGTGTATATCAATTTGACAAACATTTCCCGATTTTAGGATTAAAGGTGCCCTCCTAGTTTAACCAAAGGCCAAGACCCTAAATGGTGAGCGTAGAATACACTGTTACTCTGGTATATATCTTCAAAGTACAGAGACATGTCTAAAAGTAACCATGAAAGAAACTCCCTTCTAATTTTGCATCTAAATAGCACATAGTCTTTAAAAATGATAGATTATCGTCATTTAACAATCTTTACTCTGGTAATGAGAGCCTGTAACATTAACTTTGCTAACAGGAATCCACAAGTACAATCACCACTTTGCTCGTTGAAAACTATAGTTACTTGAACCCAGCTTTAGCTCAGGACTGCCGTATCCAGTTTTCTAGTCGTGATTTTCTCAGGATACGCTCTCCATATAGAAGTAAAAGAAATAGCAGAGGAGCGAATGATAGGGCAATAAAGGCGAAAACAGAGGTTTCCCATCCTAAACCAAATGAACGATAAAACGGTGGTCCGGCGAGCGGCAAGACCGTAGACATGACATTGCGAGACATGGTCATTGCAGACATTGCAGAACCGCGAAAAACCCCAGATATATCAACCAGGTATGTAATAACAGGGACTATTACAGTATAGCTTGCAAAACCACATAGTGCAGTTTCAATAATTGGAACAATATAGTGTATGTGGTAGTAAGCGGTCCAGCCATAAATGAGAAGCCACACAGGAGCAATGACAAATCCGAGAGTCATCGGAGGAGGGCGCCATTCTGGTTTGATATCGCCGCCATGGAGAAACTTCGTCCGCTTTGTGTACCAATCTAAAACTGCGGAGCAAAAGACTGCACTAATGCCATGCCAGTAGCGAGTCCAAGAAACGTGAGGCCCGCCTCACCTTTTGAAAATCCATAATTCGTCTGAAATACTTCGGTAATGGTTGATGCTAATAGATATACATATAAGGAAAGTAAGCAAATCGAGGATACCAATATTGTGAATATTAGAGCAGCGAACATCTGGAGTGGTCTCACAAGTGCGTTCACCGTCGTAATTGTCTTCGAGCCTCATTGATCGAACCGAGAATGAAAACTTTCATCATTAGACTCCTTGCGCATCCGCGCTGCTTTATTTTGGAGGATTGTTTCATCGAAGCTTTCACGATACACTAGAAAGAACAGAATGCTAAATGTCCCAGAAGTAATGCCAGCTAGACCAAATGTCCATCGTCAGCCCTTTGTCTGTGCTATATAGCCTCCAAATATAGGCCCAATGGCTGGTCCAATCAGACGCATAAGGGAAAGAAGTGATTGAGCACGGCCTCTCTCCTCACACTGAACATATCCCCCACAATAGTTGGATTCAAGGCTGTTGTAGCTGCACTTACTCCGCCCAGACATCGAAAAACGATAACCATAGCAACATTCTTACATTGCGTCTCTACTATAATGCAGAGGTGGAACAATAGGTTTGCAATATTTTAGACGGGTCTACGCCCGTAAATTTCACTTAGGGTCCCATAAACAGACAACCAATAGCGGCCCCCAAGTTCCATATCGTAACGATGAGAGTTGAGTACACTAAAGGAATGAAACTCCTCCAGAATCTGTGGTATGGGAGGAGTGCAGATTAGTACGGTAATATTCCTACAGTAAGCCGTCAGTAGCACTAATATTACGATATCGTTGATTCTGGTTCCATTACGTTGTCATAGAGAGCCCACTAATTATAACCATTAAAGTCCATTTATAGACTTTCGACCAATTTCTAGGATTCGAAACATCGTTAGGTCCATCTTAGGCTATAGCAGCGCCAGAGGTGCTGGAGAGCGGTGTGCTGGTAGGGCCTAGCACTGTTGGTAAAATTGAGATGGTAGTGCCGTGATTCGCGTCATTGAGATCATCTGGTTTTCCCTTTCCTTCCTTCACGATGCAGAAGCTGGACTAAAACTCTTGGCACATTTGAATTGAAAGAGAAGCGAGAAGTAAGATCTTATCTCCAATTTTGGATTACTCACGATACACAACCGACTGTAACCTTATGGCCCCATATCTGTCTGCATTTCTGCTGCATAGACACCAATCAATTTGAGTGTCTTGCAAGAACCTGTACGGCCTACTACATTCTGGATTTCGGACATAAAATTCCCCGTGGGATTTGCCTGATTTCTGATTGCCGAATCACTCATATTCTGTCTCAATACTAAGGATCCACCAACCAATCCCCAAATCTCTCAGGATTCACAACTATCTTGACTACATTTCCCTAGCTACTTCAGATTTAACAGAATATTCTACACGATATGGTTCTCCTGCTATACTACTTTATCCACCCAGATGCCGTCTTTTCCACCTCTTCTCCCGTGATCAATCTTTGGTACATCACCCATAGCGTATGTCTCGATCTCGGCAGAATCAGCAGACTCGGGTACTAGGGCTTTTCGTGAATCCAATGATTGGTCTTCAGCTTTGAATTGAGAATTATCATTTCCCTGGCTCATTTTATAATTTTCAGATGAAGACCGGATACTAGTAATGTTTCGAAAATTGACAATCATTGAACGGAATGGAGGCAGCCCAGCTAAATATTCAAAGCAGGCAAGCAACATGCTACAAGTGCAAGTCCCGACTCTAACATGGAGCAAAATAGAGAACGTAGGGTAAGTACTACATTTTCATGTTAGTTTTATCAACTACAGAGAGAAGGAGCAAGGGCTTTGGAACACACAATCGTTATTGACATTAGGATCTTTAATCTTTCCAGATGCAACTGTTATGTCCAATGTCAGTAGAGTACCTGGACTTTCCGCATGGTCGATATTGAATCTCTGACTCACTTCCAGTGATGTTGACAAACAAAGCCAGCCGAATGATGTATGCTACGAGAGCACTAAAAAAAATAGTCAGTGGTTGTCTTTTATTTTGGTCAATAGAAGTCGATGCTTTATGGATACTTACACAGCACCTAATCCAAACACAGCCAGCACCGCGACCTTTCTACTGGTCGACATCTTCAGCCTCAAAACCTAAACTCAGCAGCGCATCAAATATGGAGAGGGAATGCTCGATGTGGAAACAAACCAATAATCAAGACGAATGAACAACCAATGACCATCAACTACTCACATAAAATGATAAGTATTACGCTTTGAGGTGCGAAAAATAGATAGAAGTGGGGCAAACCAACAAGAGCCGGAATAGTCAACCAATCAACTATACCCAACCTAGCCTTCTGTAAATATCGTGTCAAGATTCTTAGACACAGATATAATGCATAGGACCAGAGATACTGAACCTGCCGCAAGTACATAGCCTGATCATGAGCCATGATCAACAATTCCCAAGTTGTGGTGTGGGAAAACGTTGGAGAATTTGGAATGGATTTTACTAGTACGAAGCACACGGATATAGCATACAAGATATTCATCTGAGCCCCTAATAAAAGCATATTATTACTGCGCCACATAGTGGTAGTTCTGGTGTGAAGTAATAATGTGGGGAGTCTGTTGAACGATTGTTGATTAGTTTTCTGTCGGATCTACAGCGTAAGAGTTCTGGACTTTCCTCACCGCACAGTGTAACACTTTTCATCTAAAACCTTGATTTATTCACTTTTTCAAATCCCTTTTGGATCTTTATATAAAATGAAAAAAAAATGAAAGAAAATTAAATTAATCAATTGAAATTTATTAAAAATTTTTGGATTTATTTTTAAATTTTTTTTTTCAAAAGTTATATAAAATTGAAAATAAAAATTCTAAAAATTCTAAAACTTTTGTTTATTTTATATGAAAAAAGTATTATATCAATAAAATTTTGAAGCTTTTCAAATTCAAATAATATAATTTTTAAACAAATAATTAAAAATAAGCTATAAATTTTCTTAAAATAATCTTATAATTAATTATATATTTTAAAATTTTGATTGATTTTATTCTATATTAAAAAAGTTATTCGATATTTAATTTTATATAAAAAATCATAATTTTTGTAGAGATTTTGTTACAAAACATTATAATATATAATAAGAAAAGTCTAGAACTCTTACATTTAGTGAATCACCTCATAATATTCGTATAAAGATATGTGGTAGTAATATTAGAATAATCTGAAAATGAATTGAAACGAGATCGCAGATAGATACATGACAGGGCTGGAGATATCATTTCAAACAGACATTAGCCACGCTATCAAGCCTGCAGGGAGTAGACAAGAGGCACGGATAACCGCTTAACTTGAAAAAATCAAGGTACCCGCCTCTACTTAGGAGAAAATATAGGCCGAAATTGACCAGGCGAAATAGTACGTGCACCTCACCAAATTTGTTGTTGTTGTGCATTGGCCAATTCCGGCCTGTTTTTCTCCTACGAATAGCTTGCATCTACAACTATCTCACCTCCAAAACTGGAAGGTTACTTTTACCCGGAGTTGAAGTTTGAATCCAGACATTATATGGCAGTAGTGACCAGTCAGAGTGTTCCACAAATGATGATGTCGTACGACTTCAATAGTTTGTACAGGATCAATTGTTACAATGTGATTAGCTGGCTGTGTGTGTGCCGTTATTTGACAAGCTAGATCCGACATGATGCACGATAGATTCAGGGATTAACATTACTCGCGGTAGTTGTTAGTGATATAAAGCTTAATAGTATAGCCGTTTTCTTCCTATATGAAACTCTTTTTCAATGCGGGGGTGGGGTGGCACAGACGCTGACCGGCACAAATGCTGGCTGGAAAATATACAATCCCCGGAAGTCTTTCAGCCCATCACAGTAATGAACACGAAACCGATAGATTTATATTCTTCTCTATAGAATTCATTTTATTTTAGGTGCAACGGACACCTCTAATTTCAAATTACTCTTCCATACTTTTTACATCAATTCCAATCCTAGACCATGTCACGTTACACGCTAAAGGAGCTTCAAACGAGGGAGGAACTCGACGCGGTAGTAGATGTTATCTTCAAAGCTCAATATTCTCCTTATATTCCATCGAGCTCTATCTTTTTTCCAGTTTCTAGCTACTCATTGGAGGACCGGGCTGCAGGGGGTCGATGCGTCCCAAGAACGGTTGTGGAAAGAGCATTTGGCCGCAGATCCTGCAACTAATCATTGGATAATTGTTGAGGAAAATGCAATATCAAAAATTGTCGGTGGTTGTTTGTGGAAATGGCATGAAGGAAATCCGTTCCCAGACGGTATTTCGAAGCCAAACGTTTACTGGTGGCCAGAAGGGGAGGCCAAGGAGTTTTGTAAGACAATCCATGACGCCAAGGATCCTATGGATGCATGGTAAGAATTCTGGTAAGTTTGCAACCCTACCCTAGCATCCGACTCGTCATCCGCTTAGCAGCCTAATCTTTAGGATTGTGCATGATGGTCGTGGACCCTGATCACAGGTCTCGTGGTGTTGGTAGGTTGATGGAATGGGAGAATACTAGAATTGACGAAATGGGAATAGAAGGTTTCATTGAGGCCAATGAGCTTTGCAGGCGCTTTTATGAGAAGTGAGGATACCGAGTTTTGATGAAACTCGATTTATTCATTCCTTCCAATAAGTCAGACTTGTGGAACAAGCTCGCGCATGAACTCAAGATGCCTCCGTGGTACGCCTTAAGTTCCATCAATCTGGGTTTAGATCCGACCGAGCCCGTATCTAGACATGTTCCATCACCTCAATTTTCTCTTCACATGCATTCTTGATCCTTCATTCTGATAAGCAATCGCTGATGAGCCTATGTTTTAGTGTGGCGACTCCTTGGTGGTGTCACGAAAGAGGGCCAACGGAATCGACCATGGCAGCCTCTCTGATATATCAGATCAGATTTGATCGATTCTCTAGAGCGGTGATGGGCTTGCTTGGTAGCCATTTTACATCCATGTGTTGATATCTAACTAGACATAAATCGAAACTTCAAAACTAGGACTCAAGCAATCATTCCGGTCTACTAGCCTGTACTGCCCCAATTATAAGGTAGCTCCCTATGATGGTATTGGGAAGAATCTGCTATTCCCCGTACTTGGACAACACAAAGGAAATATAACGGTTTGATGCATTCATCATCTGAAGAAGGTTAAAACTAGAATATCACGATTATGAACGTTCAGCCGACAGAGTAATTGGTATTGCTTCTAATTTGACACAATAAGAAGAAAGAATCTTGAATTCTTGAATCCCTGAAGAATTCGTCTATTTACCAGGAGTGTGGCAGAATATTGCTGTCGGCAGTTTATTCAAACGTTGATAATCGACACATATTGTCAGCTGTCCAATTATAATCCATTTGCAGATGCATGCACAATGCCACGTTGGTACTAACTCTTCGTTCACTACAACTTTCCTTTTTGAATGCGATATCTTTGAGGGGTCAGAAATCTCCTGAGATATGTTCTCGATCATAATAAGAATCGGAAAGGCCTCCAGCTTAACATAAACTGAATCAAAATATCTGGAACGCAATCTCACAGAGCAAAACAATCAGCAACAAAAATACGCTGTGTACGTTATTCCTCTACCTAGGGTAAAATTCTTTCATGTCTAAACCCCAAGTTTGGCAATTTTCTATGGCAATCAAAATTTAGCTCTACCAATCCGGCATCATACGATGCTTCACCTCCATTCAGCTCGTTGCTATGGTGTTTTGCCATCGGCTCTTCTTGTTTGGCAGTTAGCACTAAGGACATGACAAGGGGCACTGCATCTGACATCGAGATCATCAAAGATAGTGAGTTAGGGAACATTGAATGATAAACTTTCTTAAACTCTTTCCAAGAAAGGTATGGATATGGAAAATCTAGTTTGAACTTTCTGGGCTGACAGATCCGAATTGTCTCCTTGGGGAAAGGTCAGGGTATTGCTATTGAATCGCAGTACTCGCATTTCTAGTCCAGTCGTCTAGTTTCTACTGTGCTGGCTTCTCGGCAATTCTTATCTTTCAGACTGCCAAGAACTCTAGCCTCGTTGATGAAAACAAATGTCGTGAAACCGACCTAATTTCACGGAGAATAACATCCCGGCATCTTTATTTAGAAATCTAGTAATCTTAAAATTTTCGGAAGACCAAGAAAAGCCCAAGAGCTTCTTGAGATTCTTCAATTGAGGAACCGAATTTATTTGCGAGATTGAGGTGGAAGGCCACGAGTGGGTGCACGGACTCACGGTCCGGCTTGTAAGTAAACCACAAAATTACACCAAATTCAATATTTTCAAAAAAGAATAATTCAAATTAGAAATATAAAATCAAAAGCATAAGGATATTTCCTATCGCAAAAACAATATTACCGTTATCAAACTTGAAAGTTTTATAGGTTAATTTATCTTTCCTCATCAAAATAATATTCTTTTTGGGTCATTTTTTAATGTGTTATATTTTGATGCTTGATCATTCTTATTTTCAAATTTCAATCAAAATACCAGGGCCTGCGCCCCGGACCCCTAGCTTTTCGAGATAGTCTAATGAAAATTTAAGTTTTAAAAAGTTTATAGTAAATTTAAATATTGAATATATATCAGGGTGCAGGCAGAATATCAGTTTGTTTTTGATAATTGAAAATTAAAATTTTTATTTAAAATAATATTTATAATAATAATAATATTATATATTATTATTATTATTATTATTTTAAGTTGAATGAGATAAATTGAATGAATAAAATTGAATGATTTCGATAGAGTTGAAAAAAGCTCCAAGTCAGATTTGTCTGGGGTTGTAAGGCTTATGTCAAGCTTTTTGTTAGATTATTTACCGGGGTATTTATCGGGGTATTTTAGACCAATCAGATTGTCAGGATCGCGATTCATTTAAGCGAGTTTCTTATTTTCCATCACCCACTGTGTAAACCTCGCATACAGCAAGGTTATAGAGTCGGCAAGCCGACAATTATAAATAATATAAAATATTATTATTATAAATATTATTTTTAAATAAACAAATTGATATTTTGCCTGCACTCTAATATATATATTCAATATTTAAATTTATTATAAACTTTTTAAAACTTAAATTTTTACTAAACTTTCTCGAAAAGCCAGGGGTCCGGGGGGCGCAGGCCCCTGGTAAATTTAAAATATTTTCTATATATATTATTCTTCAAATATTTATAATCAGAGCTTTAATATTTGTTTAATAAATATATAAATATATAAATAGTATCTTTTTCATATAATTTGAAAATCCTTTTAAGAAATATTTATACATATATAATATATTTTGTGCTTCCTTTGGGCGGTGCTGATGACCAAATATCGGAAATTTAAAATCGATCTGAAATATTCAAAGTAGTTTAAGTAACTAAATACCAAGCTCGATCAACAGGAAAAGCGATAGATAAAAAGCTGCAGTGAAAGGGAATACAGGCAAAAGAAGGCATATATCCATCCTTTTCAATGTCAATCCATAATAAGTACGCAAGTACTGATTTGACGTTTGAAATACTACCGTTTTCCTGGGACATCGCCACATTGCCAAATATACGATAGATCCGATAAATCCAGAAGATTGGGAAGGCTAGTACAATGCTAGTCCTCTGCAAACTGTGCAGGAGATAGCATTATATTGAAGGTAAATGGGAGGTGTAAGGGTAGATGTCACGGTGCAGTTCGTGAAGATACTGTGAAGTGGATTGTTTTCCACAGTACGGGAGTTTTGGATGTGAGAAATTAAGGATAAAGCAGTAGGAGGCTTTTAGTAGAAGTGCGGCATATAGTGCGATTGTAGGCCGTGTTAGCCTAACCTCATGATATACTTTTCCGCGGAAGATGGCGGGCTTTTTTTTAGGTCGTCGTCCTGCAGTTAGAGCGAAGAATAGCATTTCCTCTCATTTGATCATCACACATAACAGTTCCACATATAAATTTGTAACATGGTTCAAATACAATTCGCAAAAAGCCTATACAATGGCCAACAGTAATTCGAGTACCTTTTCCAATCCACGCCAGATCCAGCTTTCCTGTAAATACTTACCACTAGACAAAAATAGATATCCGAACACCAATCCCACTCATAAACACACTATATGCCATCACAAACCAGCAGGGAATAACTTCCCTGACCACATCATCTTGAACGCACCAAAAACTGTCCCTAAACTGAAACATCCAACTAAGAATCTCAAAGCGACATGTCTCCAACCATGATCCACAAATGGTCTGAAAGAATGATAGCGTGCCGTGAGTGGGGTGGGGGGCGCAGTGGGGTAAGGAGTAAGCAGTTGTTGATTATTGATCGTGCCATAATTGCCTACCTGCGGCACGTTGAGAAAGCTTTTTGATTTTGGTATTTCGTTCAGAGTGAACCGGACGTTTCTTCGTTGTCCTAATGGGAGAGGGGAAGATGTAGGAGCAGTTTTCGGATGAGGACAATCGGGCTCGGCGACCGGGAATGGTGTAGTGGGATATCTCTTCTTTTCAAGATCTATTTCTTCTTGGATTGTGAATGTTACTTTTGCTGTTTTTGGTATCGTGGTCGGAATTTGTCGATTTTGGGAAGCAAGTGCTTCTAGACGAGCCCGTGCAGTCTTGTAGAGCGACGCTGTCTCTACGTAAGGTTCATTCCGTAGGCCCATTTCCGCCATTAATATGTTATAACTCGTAGCTGACAGACGGAGTTTGTAAGCTCGGTGATTGCGGAAACCAAAGGTAGATAGGCTGCCGGCAGGAACTTTAAAGACGTGAGCAAGATTCACATAGGATTGTTTCTTGAGGGCACCCTTTTGCAGGCGAAGAAGCCATGACGGTGTGCTTTCGACGCAGCTATCCTGATCAACAGGGCTAATGGGTAAAGATTTTTGAAACTCAGAATTGTGTGGACATTTTGCTAAATAGTTCTCCAAATTCGTGTCACCGAACGTGGTAATCTGTCGCTGATCAGTATAATATTAATGAACAGGACAAAGATAACGTACAGTAGCAACATAACAAATAGTATCTCCTCGTATACTTGAGCCTTTTCTTTGCCGAATTTTGAGAACGGCAACGGCATTGTTGTATCCATCTTCTGCAAGACCTTTTCCACAGCATTTCCTCTTACAGCATGTGATATTCTTATCATACCCGTCCAAGGGCAACCAAACAATACAACCGACACATAAATCTCCCGACCTCACTCGTGGTCGAGGATAATGTTCGTCATTTGGTGGAGCGAGAAGTGGTTTGGTAGTCTTTAAATCGCGAGAACCCCCGATTGCCATCGCGGAGAATGAAGGGAAAATGAAGAGAAAATAGAGCCACTCACTGGTGTGCAAATACCTTTCGGCGGACCGATATGCAAGAATATGGTACGATATATGATGAAACTTTTGATTGGTAGGGACACAAGTCAAACCAGTATTTGAGGAGGATAATCACCATTTATTTCTTCAATGCCTGCTGTTGCGCACTGACGACTCCAACAAAGAGTAAATAGATCCTTCCGCTCAGCCTCTTGCTTGAAGGTATGATGAATGTTTACTCCCAGGTCTCACGAAAGACCTCAACCAACATAGCTGATTCTGTATCACGCATACAAAAAATTGTCTTGAAGTTGAATGATTGGTAGGAGCTGGCGCTTATGGTCTCCTAAGGTCACAGCAGTGGCGAGGCTGAGATGTGGCCACAAAATTCTGACTGTAGAAATAAGGCTTGCCGCAAGGCCAGTAGACCCTATGAAAATAGAAGCAAAATAATTCCATCAATCTAGGGCATTATTTTCTGAAACCCTTTTAGAGGAATCTGGAAATTTTGCCACATGGTGCCTATAAATCGCTTGATTTTAGGCGACGAAATAGGTCGATAAGCTAGCTATATGGCTTCTCGAATAGTCATGAAATATTCATAATGCGGATGATGAAACGCTTTGGCGTCATCCGGATAGACACTTTTATTCTAGGTGTTGCCACTTGGCCGATGAATTGATGCGAAGAAAACTAACCTACTTATCAGACAAAATCCAGCAGATGAATACTGGATCTAAAATTGTGGTTATCTAGCATATCTGTGGTTTTCAAGTCAGCAATTACTAAGGGTTCGGTCAGCCTCCAAAGATTATTTAAATCAAACTGTCGCCGATTAAATAGCCAATACAGCGATGTTTGTTAGTATGAAAGAGCATAAATACTGCCAGGTTCCCATCCCTTTGTCTTTCATAGCTGGTACTTGAGATATTGAAGTTTTCACTATGGAATTCACGATAAAAAATGGCTGTACATTGAGACAATTTTAGATGCTGTTTTTCAATGAAAGCCTCCCTATTGAGTTTTTTCTCTAAATTTAGCGAGCTCCAGTTTAAGCGATGCGTCATTGAGAGGACCGACCGCTGAGCTCAAATACTCGGTTGCATGATGAATCATTTCCGCCATGACAGACTTTATCAGAGCATCAGTGGCTCCTAGATCTGAAGTAGGCCGTATCAGAATCTAAGTGCGGGTATGATACTGACAGTAGATTTAGAACCAGGAGTAGATGCTAGGCTATTCTGTAACATTAGCAAGCTAACGCCTTTTAGCTAGTGCGGAATGTGTTGGTGTACGAAGGCGCTTGTCGTAATCAAACAAAGGTAATGATTTAGAGCCAGGAGTCGACGTGGGTTCAGAGAGTTCGGCTCTTGTTCCTGTAGCACCCCCTTTTCTGTTTTTCAAATCATCGGTCGAGACAAAGTTGTCTTTTGCTAGCCCCATTTTTTCCATAACCTTATTGTAAGAAGTTTCGGTGAAGCGCAAAGCGTAAGCGTGTTCAGTGATACGATTATCTTGATGCTTCTTAGGGCGGAATGTAGCAAAACAATCGATTTTGAGAGTATATCTGTGCGGAAGTAAGAGATAACAACGCTTTGTGAAGTTCACCCCACTAGGTTCCACCGCGTAATCTAGCTGATACCTCTTCTCTTCATCTTTCCAGAGATGTTTGGGGCCAAAAGAGCAAGGGGTCAGTAGGTCAGGATCGCCAAGGTGACAAGCGCGTTTTTGTAAGAATGTCTTGAAGTTTGGGAAGTCGTTTCCTAGCGCTGAAATCTATATCCTTGAGTTAGTGCATGCAATATCGATCAAATATGCGTCCCTCATACTCACAATGACAAAAGTGACATAGGTACTATCTTCTTCAACCCTTACACCTAACACCAAAACTGGGTGCCCATAAGAACCCGAATCCAATTTGCAGTATTTCGCAGTATCGACACAGCCATCCAGACACTGTTTACAGAACATCAGGCAACAATCTTTCGAACAAATACCTACACACACATTTCTGACGCCATCTCTGTGTAGATTTACAATGCAGCCTGCGCCAAGTTCTTCCTTGACTAGATCGATTCGGGACGCCATCATAAATCCACGTGAGGATTAAAGTTGCAGAAGAAAAATAGTTCTACCACAGACGGCAAAAATAAAGGCAATAAAGGATAGTCTAAAAGGCGATAAAAGAAGTAATCTGCTGGAGATATTTGGAGTGTTTGCAATAATGTCATCGCGCAGACTTCGAGCATATATAGACTACCTGTCATAACCGCATTTTATTCGATCAACCATATCAAACATTGCATCAATACCGAGAAGCTTCAAGATCCAAACGCAAAATATTTCCACCACTAAATGGAATATTCCATTCTTACGCTTCCCACGACTCGACTCATCTATTCCCAGCGACGAAACGCGTGGTCATGGTTACAACAATTGCTTCAATACTTCGAAAAAAATCTTCGCGAAACAATTCATTATGCTAGCCATGATAATTATTCTACTCATATCTTGAGTCTTCACCGAACTCCTCAGAAAGTCTGGAACACCTTTGACGCATTCCCTTGCCAAAACTCTGGAAAACAATAACCTTGCACATTGCCTGAGGTCAAACTTCAGAGTAAGAACAACCAAGTCACTCGACTCTCGTGGATCACTATTAGCCAGCAAGGCACCTACGTTTTGCCTTCGTTTCTTTTCCCTCCTGATTCCCATCTTCCCCATCAGAACTCCAGCGACCATGACCAACCATGACCGCGACCTAGAATCTTCCAAGGAGTTTTGTAGCCCAGCGTCGATATTTCGCGCATTTTTCAAGACACATGAAGAGGCTTCGGCTCAAGCCTCCATCATGGGGTGATATTCGATACGTTTCTATTTTTGTAAATTTTTAAGGATGAGGACGATGTTGATTTTTTTTTGAGTAGTGGTTTTTGATTGAAAAGAAAAATGTTGGTGTCAGAATCCCTAGCGCTAGCCAGCTGTGGCGCAGCATCTTTCAAAACGAAGGAGCAACAACTATGATCAATTGTTGAAATTATAATTCATATTTAATTGGTAAAAGAGGATTACATAAGGATAATTATTTCTAATAAACCCATATTTATCGCAAGAAGACCGCGGAAGAAAGTCGAAAATACTCTAGAAACCTTGCATGACACCCGGTCGAAATGTTCCCCAGTCCCATTCGGCAGCGGAACTATCTTTACTCATTACGAAACACATGGATTCACGATAAAATGTCCCATTCCCAAGATGTTTTCCATGAGATTCTTTCTCAAATGAGGCAGTAAACACTAAAACGGTCGCACCTTCTCGGATGTCCCTCCCGTGAAAATATCTACTTTCCCTCGAGACCAACTGCAATCTAAGGCACAGCATCAGCATCGTCAAACGTATGAGTACTTCTCATTGAGAAGTGGTAGCTAGCACCGCCAGATATCCATTTTCATAAAATTACAGCATTCATTTACGGAATGTGTGAAACACTATTGACGAGTTGAACGATTTACAACGACGTATCAAGTCCGTCGGCAGCTTCTTCAAGCAAACCCGACTGCCGGATTAGGGGGCTGATGTAAATTTGTTGAGCAACTGTTTCCCAACGAACGGAGTCCTGCCATCTAGTCCCAGTGTCGACGCTCTATCTGAAGAAGCATGAATTGTCAATCTGTTAGGTATTGGATGGGTATGTGAATTGGAGGAAGTCGGATTTGTTGACTCAAATTCCAATATCGGGAAGAACCGCGGAAAATGGTCAGCATATGGAGAAATTTAAACAGTAAATAGTCTGTTTACCGTCAGTGTCAAAATTTTCGAAGATGATTTTGTTAAGCACCGTGAGATTACCGGCATCGCAACTGGAGATGAGGAGACATTAGAATCGGTATCCTATCGACAGGAGTACCGACCGTGGAACCTCATTACTGGTGTCAATATCCTCGGAATCACCATTGCCAAAACCCTCGAATAGGGGGGGAGTCGTTGCCGCGTTTAAAGCCCGCCACTGGGGTGCCGCTAGAAACCATTAAAGGGTATATGATGTGGCACATTATTTGAAATAATAGTGCTCTGGTTTGAGCAAGAATGAGCTGTATCCTTGATGGGGTCTGGAGTGAGTTATCAAGAGGCTAGGGGGCCAATAGCGTCCGGATTAAAGCTTGGCCGGCGGAGGGATCTGGAGATTCGCTCATGGTTTTCTTCTTTTCCAACGGTGGTTGATGATGTTGGATTTTCCAATATTTGGCACGGGGTGGGCTGGGGTGGTGACGGAGGACATGGTTGCTTCTAGAACGTTGCCGTTACTAGCAGTATTACCAGCAGAGTCGCTTTGGTCCATAAAACTATCAGGTGTACAATATAATGTGTTGGAGAAAGTCTTATCAGCTACCCCCTCTGCTTTAGCAAGTTCTTCTGCCGAGAGGTAAGTTAAGGAGAAAGAGGCAAGTGATATTAAAATGCTAGATATCGAATAGCTAGCGCCTCGAAGATGTTTGTGAATCGCAAAGAAAACTTCGAGAACTAAAAAAATAGAGGAAAAAATAACATGGGACATGCATGATGAATATCATTTTCCAAGTAATGAAGTTATTGATAATGAAAGTGAACTATACGTTTAATTTAAGTTTTCCAGTGACATGAATAATTGTCGGTGGAAGAGTTTACTCCCAATCGTGTTCGACCATCCAAGCATCCTCTAACTGTAATCCAGATTCTCTGAGATCGCAACCTGTGTGACCCCACTTTTCTGCGTATACCTCTTCTCCGCCTCTAATCAATATCTTCAGTGCTTGTTCAAAGCCTCGCGGGTCGCGATGAAATGGTTCCCCTTTACCACCTAGTTGTCTCTGCTGCCAATTATTTCTTTCTTTTGGGTCACTGTTCTTAAGCTCTGCTTCATCTCGTACTATACGTATTAAACGTTGGAAACCTTCTCCTCCCATGTTATCCTCTGCCAATGCGTTCATTTCAGCTGCTGTTTTCGGAGGCATATCTGGGTTGTATTTTCGACGGAAGAATAAGTTCAAATCAATCGTTCCTCCCACGTCAATAACCCACCCCGCCTCAGCTGTATCGAGCATTACACCAGACATTTGAAGCCTCTGGTACATATCGCAATCGGACGAGTAGTAGCTAATCATTGGATCCCATCCTCCCATTTTCACGAAGCTTTGCACATTGTTTAACGCGAGCCAGTCATACTCGAAGAAGCGGATACCCCAACCATCATATCCTTCCGCATAGCTCAGATCTGAGGTCTTTCGTAATTCATCAACCGCCCGCATGTATAGAGACTTATGAGAAGTCGCAGGCTCACGTTGCTGATTTAGCGGTGCATGGGTAAGGTCTTCGTCGGAGAATACGACCACATCCATGTGACTCCAGAAATAATTCTCCCAGCCATTTTCAAGCGCGGTATAAATATAAAAGTTCTGAAGCTGAGCAAAAGTGAGGAGGGTCGGCGTGGAAACTACATTGACCCCAAAAACGTTTGTGAGTCGATCAACATTTAGATACAAAGGGTTCTGAAGTGTGATCTTTGATTTGGGCGAAAAGTTAGATTTCATTGTACCAGTGTTATCCACAACATATATATCCTCTGCCGGCCATCCTGCAGTAATATATGATAAGACGCATTGCTGTAATAAAAGCCAGTTTCGAGTGAAACCTATGAAAAGAGGAGTTTTCTCGACAACATGTTCCTTTGGAGGTTTATTCCAAGATGGTAAGTTGGGTAGAGTTTTGTACTGGAAGGTATCAACGATTTGGAGTGAAGCATGAGGGCTCTCAACATTCAAAAGCTGCTTATGAATTGGTCCGGGTGGTCGAGCTCTCACAGCAGGAGATGGTTTGAATGTTCCTTGCGGTGGTTCGGACACTTTCTCCTTGACAGCCTCAACCTCTGTCGTTAATAATTTGGGCATTTCCTTCCATAAATAGAATAAGAGAACAAGATATAGCAGGAAGAAGGTCGAAGCTCCCTTGTATCTCGCCATTCCTGGTTGTTTTCGAAGACAGCAGGAGGCATGACACTCTAAAAGAGGATACACCTTCAGAGCTGTTCATCAACCTTAGTTTAAAATACAAGTCCAGCAACTTGGCTTGTGCTTACGACGACACTATGAATAAGGTTATCAATAAGTTTTCAATTGTGGGTACTGTACCTGAAAGAAACGCCCCTCTTCTCGCAATTAATCACGACGTCGCTTTCACAATATGTTGCGGGCCCTCCGCCGTCTCGGTCTATGCTGGCTGCAAGAGCGCCTATAGACAATGGACACGTATTTTTTTGGTTCTTTTTTTTTGAAGATTCCGCACATCTCAAATGTGCTCGACGAAATATATCAAATAGATTCGTAGCGGTAGGAAGATCGCTGTTTTCTGATCTATGTCTGCAGACTGTGACTATGCCAAGTCGGGATCGCTGTTGTGGGCCGGCCCGTATTAGCTCTCCACTTGGTGACGAAGACGATCTCTTTCGGTCCGGCGAGCTAGCAACGACATTTTCATCTCCATCATTGGTTCCAACGCAAACATTCTGACGAATGATGCGGGTTTGTCAAACAGCGGAGGTCATGCTATCACGTGATCAAGGATGCACGATGATTGTGAGATTCTGTGTAGGGCTGACAGTGTGATGGAAGGCCTCGCTCATATCAAACAGTAAATCTAAATACATGGCCCCAAAAGCATCATCGTAACAAACGAGCCGTGTCCGAAGACTCTCATCACGTGGTGGAACCTGCCGACAGCCTTAGCCCCGAACGTTTCTCCGCATAGAAACGCGGAGATAGGCTTATATTGACGGAAGGTTTGGTAGTCCCTTACCTATGAGCCTAAGTCAAATTCAAACCCTTCATCGAGACGAGAACTCCCACGTGAGCAGAGGCCACCACATGTCCAAGATAGAATGTGTACCAGGAGATTTTAATGTGTATATCTTCAGCGTATTACTCAGGGCATTGATTGAGCCTCAAATCGGGGCGTAGCTCAGACATCACATGATTTTTCTTCTTCAACTAATCATTTACGTCTTCCGGAAGGATTGTGGCTCGTTCAGTCCAATAAAGGCACAGCCCTCTGCTTACTCCCATACTTCCAAGAAGTCGAGGCTTGTACTTGTGATTTGGCGAATTCTGCCTTACGCCGAATATTGACTTTGCAGCGAGCCGTGCTTGCATCTTTTGGCATTTGTCTCATCGTTTCGATCAACCAACTAATGCAAGTTTGCGGAAGCTTGTGCGTTGAGTAACCTTTGGTTTTCGCGATGACTCTACGCCTTAATTTCCCCTCATTATATGCACGTTTTACTCGGGGAAGATGCAATCACGTAAAGGTACCAGTCATAACACACAGCACAATCTGTCATTTTGGTTCTAGGCAATCATCATTATTGTTTCCAGCCTTATTGGTTCATTTCTATTGGACATGATTTGAGTCAAAGTCACCTGAGAATTTCCGCAATTGTACCCCCGGGGTTTTTAACAACGCGAATTTTATCATGGTTGTGGCTGAGGCTTGGATTCACATTTACCCTGTTGTTGATTGATATCATGAAAGGCCTCGGAGTTTTGGATTGTGTAAAGCAACGTGAATTTAAAACTAAGGTGGATTCCACTTATTGATCGATTCCTTTCTTTCTCTATCTTTAAACATCTCAAATTAAACAAAGATTTTCACTACAGTAGGGTTGCATATTAGCTTGTCTACTCAGTCAGGAAATTTGTTCTAGTACTATCGATCACTACTGCCCCTAGTCGACCACCCCTCATTCCTGCAAATATGTCTCCAACTGGAATCGCCTTCCGAAAACAAGTCGATACTCTTCTCAACGAGCTATCAGACTGTATCGCATTTTGTAACCAGATCAGAGAAACCCGTCGACTAGGTTCCAAGCACGAGAATTTCGATAAGCTTGAAGACTCCCTCCTCCACTCACATACCACCCTTTCAATTCAATATGATACTCTACAGCGATGCTTCGGGCACCGCATGGCTGTAGGCGATGAAGCATCAGTTCAACCAATGAACAAATGTCTTCGAGCAGTATCGTCTGATGTAAAAAGAAAACTTTACGAGATCGCCAACAAGACCACACAAACTGCCGGCTCCAGACAACTCCCCGGCTTCGGTGCTCTCCTTCAGCACTGGAAACTCATCGAAGAAGACGCTTCCAACATCATAATCGGCCTTTCCCAACGTCTAATCATCACTCCACCTGCATCAACTCCCGTTCCATCTCACACCCTGTCGCCAAAGCAAGAACCACAAATCAGATCCGATCAGCAAGTTGTTTCCAAAGGTGATTTCAACTTTCTACTCGGACATATGAAGAATTCCTGGACAGAACGATGGAGCAATGAACAGTTGATTTACGTCAATTATTATGATCAAAATAAAAGAAGTTACGAAAAGCCGGAAGGATTCATCGAGGCAGTACCCGCATCATACACACCCGCGAGGCCGGAAAATGTTACTAGATCTAGACCAAACAACGGGGACTTGAATGAAAGAGAAAGGAGGAGTTATGCATACGGAGGGTCGAATCGACCACAGAAAGAAGAATTCCAGACACGATGAGAAGCGGGTTATCAAAAGGTGCGGTTTCAGGGATGAATGGAATAAGATACTTCCAGACGGAATGAAATATTGGTGTGGTTACGGTTACGGTTGCGGGAGGATATCCAGGTTTTGATTTGGTATTAGCAAGGAGTTTTTGGAGGACAACGCAGGACAAGGCCGCCAGTGAGCGCATCGAGAAACATCTTGGAGTCTAACATTTATTGCAATTATAATTGTATCTGCTTTGCGTTCATTCGTCTGGAAATAGTAACTAGTAATCACTATCTTCAACCCAGATGCATCATATGATTTCTGTACGTGAACATGTTTCAGGTGCCTCAATTCAACTTTCGGATGCACCCCGCATAGCGCACTCCTTCCATATCGAAAGCAGCAATCATTTAGGCACCACTAAGCACTTTCTTTAGTGGCTTGCCCTTCAGGATCTGCTCAAACCAGATGTTACGTATCTCTGATCTCTACGGATAAATGTGGATAATACAAAATAAATGACTCACGATGGAGAAACCACAGCCCGAATTCTGAGTTCCAATTTGACGGAATGACAAATCTCATACAGGTTTTGGAAAGCAGCCATGAACCCATGAATAGGTTCGGAAAAATCTCTTCTCATCACTAGATGTGCGTGCCGCAGATGGAAAGCTGCTTGGTTTGTATTTTCTCGAACTCCAATCTTCCATGCGCTCTATTATCTGCCGTATATAGATTGATGTGCTTTGCTCCCTTCCAGTCCATATCCACAGTCGTTTTATCCAGTCGAACATTTTGCCCCTCATTCTGAACATGTTGGAATTCGCAGCGCGCACCCATCAAGCCGGGTTCTTCTCTCATTTTCATCGTCGAGTGTGGGATAAAAAATCGATTTCCCAGGCGTTGCTCGGCCGCTATTGTATGTCGAGAAACTCCCACCACTTATCCTGTCGCCTACATCGATGCACGAATGATTGCTTCTAGCCAGAGCCGGTTGCGGATGTTTAGCAAGATTCGGATTATAGCAGTAGTTTTGTGACTGACGATTCAAGTGTAAAACTGGCTTAGAAGACCTTGCAGAAGACTCGTAGCTTTCATCTCAAGCTTGAAAAATCCTTGTTCGAGAATATCCTGTAACTACGATGGTTCGGGTGCGGAGCTGGTTGGGAGCCGAGTAGGTCCTTGTCGGCTCGCAGAATCAGTAAATGAACTGCGCCCTGCTCAATTGTCTTCTACTGTCAATATTCATTTGTCGTCTCTTGGTTTGTTGCTGGAGAGCAGGATGCACTGTGGACGAAGAACACAGAATTGCAGACGCGTCGCGGTTGGAAGGGCCTCGCGTAAACCTCGGCGCTGAAGGGCAGCCTATGTTCCCGACTTCTATACTCCGTACAGACTTTCCTCTCTCCAACAATTTAAGTTCAACAGATCCTTAATGTGTAATATCATGGAAATTTAGTTAGACAGGTATCCGGATGTTAATCACGCTAGTAGCTTGCCATCGCTCACGATAAATTCTAGCTGTACCCCACGCGGAACTGCCTTTCCATAACCCCGCGCCTGTCACCTTGACCCCAGGTTTCTCCAATGGACAGCTCAAAAGATAAAATTTGTATACCGTGAACGACGGTATGTCAGATCCCTTCATGATGCGTTGTCATTGAAAGATACACTCGGAGATCTTGAGATAAACTGGCAAGATTAAGGAGACCCATAATCAAAGTGGCTGAGAGGCGTGCCACAGAGATGCAGTAGCTTTGCATAGGATCAATGTCTTTCACTCTTTAGCCATATTCCTCCATCATTCGTCATGTCGTCTCTGTACGCAGATATACCACTATCCCGGCCTGACAAGCAAATTAGACTGCTCCGGCTTGAGCAATCATCGTCTGATTGTGATGACTACTGTTTCAGCTTGGCGGCACACGAGTTTCACGACGATGTGCGCCCATCTTATATTGCCATCTCATACACTTGGGGGAATACCGTCCCACTTCTCCCGATATTTGTGAATGGTAAAAAGATGCGAGTACGTCATAATTGCTGGTATTCCCTTTGGCAAATTAGACATCATGGTTTAACTGATTATCTCTGGATTGATTCGTTGTGCATCAATCAAGATAACGATGAAGAGAAGAATTTCCAGGTTGCCATGATGGGATCGATTTATGAATCTGCATTGTGGGTTGCAAGTTGTATTGGCACCGGTGAAACCATCAGTGTGATGGAGCCCGGCTTGATGTCTGATAGTGAAGAAGCCAAACTCGCCAGGATGAGACTTAGAGAAAGCTTTGATCAAATACCATATTTTGATAGAGTATGGATCAAACAGGAAATCATTCTTGGACGTGATATCACACTCTTTTACGGACTAAAAAGGATCTCATGGGAAAAGTTTGATCTATTGATGAACATGGAGCAGAGGCTGTTGGAACGGAAGTTGAACTCAGAAGAAAGTGCTGACTCTGGTATTTTCGATGCGTTAGATAATGGGGCAGGTTCAAGCGGTTTTTACGAATTGAGTCGAGCACAAGAAATGCTACTCCAGGAAACCGAGACGAATTCTGCTATATCACAACTTTGCAATCATCGCTCAAGACCAATGTCTGGTACGTTCGTTGACTTGGTTCTCAGATATAAAACAGCAAAGGCTACCAATTCCAGGGATAAAATATATGCACTTCTCTCCCTTCTCCCAAAAGAAGACCCCATCCGGCAAAACTTAGTGGTTGACTATGGACAGCCTACATTCAATTTATTCCACACAATCATAAGATTGGTGTACAGCGCGTACGAAGATACAAAATATGGACAAAAGCATCAGGTCTTGGGTTTAATCAGGGAATGGCTGGGAATTAATGAAACAAACGTGGAAATGAACGATTATCTGAAATCTGTTCCCTCTTCACCATCGGATTGGCTACCTTCTTCGATTTCAGATTTGGCTGGTTCTTGGCTTAATGGAATCGATCCTCATATTATGCTGGATGTCATGGAAATGTGCAAAATAGGTGCGCAGGATGAAATCAACCTTAACTTGGATCTTAAGCCTGAGGAGTACACACCTTTAGCCTTAATCAAACACATTAATACGTGGCGGCGTAATGATGAGAAATGGACCAAGAAAGATATGCAGCAGCTTGTGCCAATCAACCTCAAAACAACAAGGGTTGTCTTTATACGTCCAACTCTACACATGAGTATTTCTCCGAATATGAAAGAGTTTCTGGCTAATGCAGATGTTCGAGCCGGGGATTTCATTGCAAAGATACTTTGGGATGGGCCTAAATCCTCCTACCACGTCACAGCTGTCCGGACTGTAGCACATGCAGTTTTACGGGCAGTGGATGTTAGCGACAAAGATAAAGAAGAGGACATCCTCGACGACTCTGCCATGGACACTTCCGAAGACATGTTTGATAGCTTTTTGAACCACCTCTCAGAACAAGGGAACAGCCCAGGAGTTATTCTCAAACTCCACAGCTGGGCGATTCCGGTGGGCCAGGATCTTACCCTACTGACTGAAAATGAAGAATCCGATTCTTCATATGCACATCGGAATCAAAGCTTGAGTAGATTAAAGCTACACCATAGGGACTTGTTGATACCATTGATTTTGAACAATACGCCGCTATATGCATTGCTGTATCCTGCACCTGAAGGTTCATACTTCTCAACAGTTCAGTCGGACAATGACGTGGAATCTTTGGATCAAAAACGCCAGCCCAGCTCTCCCTCCAAGAGTGAAGTAGATTATAACTATCTCAGAGATGTACTGGGTTGAAACTTGCAAACACTAAGGATGTGGGTATCGGCATTGAGAAAATTTGGGTGACTTTTGATGGCGTTGGTGCTCCGAGCTCGTTTACAGGGCTCACAAGGACGATCTGGAGTTTGGCAATGTCTCAGGGTTATGAAGATTGGGATTTGGTTACACCATCTTTTTGTCAATATTCGAGAATCCTCGTATATTGTTTCATAAATAAACCCTTATAGATTAATTAGTAGTGATCGGGTGATCAACAACTTTAATTCTATTTCTCACTACGCAGTGTGTCAACCTGACCGAGGAGAGGAACTCTCCTTCGACTTGATGGCCTAAAGGTCTTTTTTTCCTTCTTACGTGAGAACGTATCTCCACCTCGCTCAACTACCTACACACAAACTTCAAGGAAACTCATATTCTGATATTTAAGAGGCCAAACCCAAGTACTCTCAGGAGCTACAAAATAGAATTTCTCTTTTTCGGCAAATCAAGCATGCGAGGATACATCTGCATCTATCATTCCACCAGGTCGCAGCAAGTGGTGGAGCTTCTATGTCCATGGAAGGTTCGTTGTATCCTGGATGGATGGGAAGTGATTACCAGCATTAATACTAAAGGCATCTGAGATGTGAGGGCGGTGATAAAAGCTCGCGACAATAGTCAGGGAACACCGGGCGATGCTTTTAACTATCACAACTTTTCTGGCGTTTTGCCATGCCCAGAGATAGTTTATTATATTGGCTTCCTCGGCCCCCTTGTGCGTGCTGGTGTGTTTATTTCCCTGTTTGATCTTTTCTATCTTTTTAGTCAATGGTCTTTTATATATCTCGATTACTCTGCTATTCTCCTCAGGTATATCCCTCATTTTGAATATAATTGCGTTCACGTACTCGGCTTTGATCGTGAAATTATTACAAAGTCGAAAGCGGAATATTTGATTTTGTATCCCTTCTTGGTTGTCTACTAAACATCAAGATACAACACGTTTCTATAATCGCCAGGCAGATGGCGGGCTATCTAATATAGGAATAGATTAGAATTTATACCATCCTGAGATCTTAGACGTCAAGAATTATTTCGAGAGGGAACCTCTTGGCGATAGCCTTCATAGCTGTTGGGGTGTTCTTGACAAAAAACAATGGCCATTGGCAAGAGTTTACAGATCATAATTATGGTACCAAAAAATGTAATCTCCCCTCATTCGGGATCCTTCACTCAGTAAAAGGAATCCCCAAAGATACTTCGCATGGACTCAATAAATATAGATTCAAGGACCTCTCTATATGCTCTTTCTTATTCAATTTCTGTGATAGAAGAATCTGTATAAACTCTCAATAAACTGGACCAGTACCTCCGTCTAATGTTTGTACTCAGATATCTTTACCTCACTTTGTACTAGGAGGATTAAATAGCAATACTTAAGCCCGGTGCTTCGAGTTATTATCCGAAGTATAGCTCACTCCATAATCACATCAGGAGAATTCGATAAGAATCCCAGTTATAAATTCATCCGTCTTAATCGAATTTTCTCTTCGTAATAGTAAGAAGGGAATCGCTGAAAATCCGACCAGGTGTATTTGACAGCACGGTAGGTGGCTGGATCCAGTCATCCAACTTTGAGTCCTCTTCATAACCTAGTTGGCAGAGGTTGAGCTCTAGGTGATATTGACTGCGGAAAAAGAGAATTGGAAGCAAAAACAAATACTTAACTTGTCGACGAAAATCCTCGAAATTCTTGTTATCAGTCCACTGGACTATGAAAAATGTGTGACAGTGATGCATTTTTAATGGCGGTAAACAACAGAAAGAATTGTAAATTTACTTTTTTCCTTCCAAAAATAAGAGGATCACTCCCTTTGGAAGTGTCCCTAAACTGAAGCTAGATCAAAATACTGACATCTAGAGCCTAGTTCATGTTTATTAGATGTGGTTGTGCTCTGTGGCTTAATCAGTGGTATTTGGATCGTTTTTATACTCGTTCCTTAGTTGTGTGCCAGCAATTGGAAATTCGGATATTATGGCATCATTGGGCATAGCGATGGAGTATTTACCAGACACACCGAGCTACGCTATAAGTTTCTCGGGTACATATTTAAAATCTAGATCAAAAGTTATTCTTTATCTTAGTCAGATTGGCCAAGTGTTATTCTAGGTGCTGTACACAGACTCACGGAGTAATGAATCTAGCAGCAAATACCTACAACTCGGTTATTTTTAAAAAGGTAATCAGAGGTTTGCAGTTTACTTGTCTTTAGCTAATTCTTTCAAGCGTCGAGATTTAGGCGTTAGGAATGACAGCAAGACGTGATACTGACAATAGAGCATTTTTGGGTTTTCTAACAAATTTTTCGAAATTTGAGCGCGCGGAAACCTTACATGATCGGTATCAGAAATGTTAGGAAAGCTTTTTCTTCTATCATCCTAATACTTCCATACTTTTATGGCAGTTTCTTATTCCTCCACCTGGACTGTTCTGAAACCTTCTAGAGGGTCGTGTTGAGGTGCCATGGTTAGTTTTATCACTCTTTTATATCCAAGCTCATCTATGTCGCTCGTGGTCCGATATGCACGTATGGAGGATATGAGAGAAGCTGGCTCAGAATTATAAGTTGGTGATATATAAAGTCTTAGGAAGCTTGATAATTGGACTCCATAACCTACCTCAACAGGAAATTATTGCTACAAAGGTCCTTTGAAGGGCAACTGGTCTTGGATTCTCATATGAAGTGCTCAAAAAGATTTATGCGTGGGGATTATCATATGTCTTTTTGGACAGATGGGAAGTATGACTTCCGTAGAGGAATAGGTTCCGCAGCAATACCCTAACGTATGTTAGAGGTCTGACAACAAAGTCAAGCCAGAGTCAGGATGCTTGATTATACCAACGTTTATTTAGAACGCACTAATCATGTTGAGGGAACCACTAAGTAAAAACTCATCAAAGGATATACGGAGAATGATTTCTGGAGTTAGGAAAGCGAATTGTGAGGCGTCGCGTGAAATTGAATTGTCCAATCCTGGTAGTTATCATGAGAATAAAGGCCAAAGGTAATATAACATCGCTGACGACGGTGGAAGTTGTCACCGACAATCGGTAAATGTGAATACACTTCTTTGATTAACTTCAGAATTACTGGCCTGGTTGAAAGCGAGTGCCGGAGAGGTATTGAGCATGGCTGGAAACATATGTTTAAAAGGTCGATATGGATATGGTTATCCCGAAGTAACTTCCAACAAATATTATCCAAAATCCACTGTTGCCTTTTAGGCTCGTGTCAGTTGTCTCTATGTTTTCTATGTAACAAACTGTTCTCTTAGCAATGGAGTTCCTCGGATGCAAAGTTCTAGGAGACCGCGAGCACTGTATAGACTTCTCGCGTGCTAGGATTGTGACCTAGGGCGGAATGGTAGTGCCCCAGTATACTCATTGTTTTATTATTCAATATTAGAGGCACAAGTGTGAGGCTTTGAGATTTGGCATTTTAACGGTGATAAGTCTTCATGGGGTCAAATGACGATAGTATAAATAAGAGGACAACAACTTGTATGTGTTGCCGTGTACCTCACTTCCGACCACAAATATTTAAAAAAGAGCCTGAAAGTAAGCAAATATGTATTTTCTTGTCAGGAAACAAAGTGTTACAAGTCCTATACTGTACTCCTTTGAAGTACTTCCGGATGCTCGACAAAATACTATCTTGCTAGAGGACAACTTCTATACCGTTATATCTTCCACCCCAAGGCAATCGATAGGAGGGTGAATGGCTCGGGCTTGGCTAGACTCCGATTTTGAGGGCTAACTAGACAATCACCAAGCAGGATTGCAATATCGAGAAGTATGGATACACATCAGCTCGGACTATTCAAAGACCATTTTTCTTGAACAATTCTACTTCCCTAGACCTGGAAACTAACAAATCATCATTCCAGGTTATAAGGAATTCGAATTAGCCTTTAATTCCACCAGATTTAAGCTTTCTATCTTTGTGGCTTTATTTTACCAGGCATCATTTGGAGGGCAATAGAAGGTAGAAAAATAGAATTAAGATGGTGATCGTTTTATTGATAATAAGAGAAGAATGTGCCAATGACGATGAGAAATCTTTCAGAGGCAATGATTTCGCTTTGTGATTATTTTAAGAATAATGTGTTGTCCATGACTACCGCTTATATGTGACAATGACTCTTAAGGAATTGTTCATATTGATCGATTCTCTCAATAGAAGCTTTCTGAAGTTTTCACTCTCGCTCGTTATCCTAATGCAAAAAGTGTGGAGGGATTTATCCAGTGACTGATCATCCACTTGTTCATTATTTCACCACAGAGAACACCACAAAAATGACTACATAGAAGACTCCTCCTATGAAATCTTCGTGCTCATGTTATAGACGAGAGACTGTATATCACAATCACGACTAGACCTTGGGATAAACGCCGTTATAAATGGAACTTATTAGATCTGAGAAATTTTCCATCACAAGCGAGTTTTGTACCTTATTAGTAACAGGAGAGTTTGATTCTTCACAGCAGAGGGAGATCAGTTAGATCATGGATAGCTATATATTCGGCAACGATAAACAGATGCAGGTAAATAAATGAACATGGCAGCGGTTTTCCTTCACTGACAAAATTAGTGATAGACCTTCCAATATGTACAATACTTTGTCGAATTTTCAAAAGTTCCTTAAGCATATCGATCGAACAGTAGTTGCGAGAGCTAGTTACTACAAATCTGTTCTTTCATGTGGTTTCCTGTCATCATGAAATATATAGGATCTGGACCCAAACAAGGAATAAGGTATATATACCCCAAAGTTAAAGGTACGTATATATCCCAATTTTAAGCAGTCCGGTCGATCAAAGCTCCAACACACCATTCCTACCAGCTTCAAAGAATCTGCACAGCCAAATATATGATTTGTTGTTTCTTGCAGGAAGCAAAGCCATCCGTCTTTGAACTTACAATCTGTGTAGAAAAGGAACATGTATTCCTAATCCTTTACCTCTTCCAATTGTACCATCAGATAGTCATTGGGTCAGAGACATGGCGATTATTGCAACAATAACTTTTAAGCTCTGACTTCGTCAAGATGAAGTATTGTTCACTCTATGGAGGGAGATGGAGGTATGCGAGGAAATGACTATTACTGCCACTTCTACGTGCTTATTTGCAAACAATATTGAAGAAAAATTGTCAACGACAACAACAACGACAACAGAAAAACGGCATTTCTTAACCCTCAAGATATGGAGATTTTAAGCTTGAATATTCATTGATATACGACTTAGCATTTCAGGATGAGGGATTCCGGTAATATTCCGTTTTGGGTTCATAGTGATTGTCATGCTGATTTGAAGGAAGAGAGATATTGCAGTTTACAGTCGAATTCTAAATGACCTTACCTAAGCCATGAACTCGCCTCCCAGTATGCGTGGGAATAATATATATTTGTGAGTTTAAAAGCGGGAAACAACATGGAATCATTGAGCTGTCTGAACGATTGTGGAGGAACAATGTGGGAGTATCATTAAAGAGTAGTAGGTCTAATTGAGTACATAGCTAGTCATAGACCGTTCAATCTATTCATTGTCTCCTCATCTATTACTCCACAACCCGGAGGAGCTGTGTATCTACATACTCATCCACTCACTAATAGCACATAGAGAGCCATTAGGAGCAGCGAGTATCTTAAAATCACATTTTGCATCTACTTTACCAACTTACTCAGCAGCCACTGTTAAGTTCTACGTTGTTTACACATACTATGATATATGATAGTTTATATCAAGAAAACTTTACCAATAGTATAGAATACACAAATCATCTAATTTGGTATCAATCAG